GGGGGTGACTTACGGTGATGGTGTGGTGTAGGTGGTGTGAAAGAGAGGAGAGGAAGAGGGAGAGTGGAGAGGTTGGTGATGAGTGATGTATCTGTGTCTGTGTCTGTGTCTGTGGACGGGTGACGGGTGATTGGGATTAAACTAAGGTATTTGGGTGTGAATGTGAATGTGAATGTGAATGGGACTGTAAAGTAAGCCAACCTAACCCCCTTTCATGCGGAAACGCCAAGGCCACCCAACTTTCACACCAAGCCGGTATGGGTTTGGTTGTATTCAGCACATGCTCGCCGTGTTAGCAGTTGGCCTAAAGCTTATGGGTCTCTAGACTTAATATTGGAGGCGGTTATTACTACCCGCTGGCACTGTGTTGGTGTCCTCTTTGTCTTTCCTGGGTATAGTAGACATGAAGACGTGCTGTCGAAAAGACTGCATTGTGATATATGGCATGAGAACATCCCTGGTCATTCTATTTAGAAAAAGAATTAAATTCACTTTGCCTTGATCATTGTAAGGACTCTAATTAAAATGCGCTTCTAGAAGATTATTTACCCAGCCACCTTGCAATTTCTCAATCAACCGCCCGGTTAGCTCAATCGGTAGAGCGTGTGGCTTTTATTCATTGCACACCTCAAGGTTGCGAGTTCGAGCCTCGCATCGGGCGTTCTTTTTTTTCTTTTGCCTTCCCGGTTTTTGTATGCTCGTGGGGTAGGTGAAGTTTTTGATTAAATAGCAAAAGGGATTTTATCTCTTGTATGTTATTGTTTATCGAGCTTATATCTTTAATCCAACCAAACGGGCTATGGAAAGGGAAGCATCAACAAACCTTAATAGTACTCCGTACATTCCCTCGTCCATGAACCTTCCACATTCGCTGCGGAGAATACTTCTCATTGCGCCCATCACAGCGCAAGTCCAGGATCGGACTTGATAGTAAGTTCCTCTCTTTCCGTGGTATAGATTATCTTCACTTGACAACCACCCAGGTGCAGTGGTTGCAACCTAGTCATATCGATCTCGTATGCAACAATGAATCTCGTGTGTGTTCCCCTCCTAGTGGAATATTGTATGCGGGTTATATATGCATCGTTTCATACACCACCAGCAAATATGAAATCATGTTCGGGAAATCCCACTTAAATGCAAGCCAAGCCCGCATAGCAACCCCCCAACTTAATCCAAGGCAAAGGGTATTATGATTACTGGCCAGGCATCATGGAAGGTTGACCCCACACCCGGATGGTGTAGATAAATTATGTGATCTGATCATGTATTCACATCTAATATGATCTCTGCTGCTCGAGACTAAGAATACTCACCGCTGAATCACAAGATAGTTTAAGGAATTGAAATGATGAGATCTATTACGGTGGTGGATGATGTACAGAGGGTGCAGGGGCACTGGAGAGGTATAAACGGACGATATATATGACGGAGGCTTTGAGACTTCTCTGCACTTAAATCGAAAATCTTAGGCTGAAGACATTATGGATTGGACCTCAGGGTGTGAGAAGGCTTGATCGAGCCGGGTTCCTACAGTGTATAGGAACCTAGACACATAGATACAGAGGCATAGATGGAAAACGATGGCTCACATCGGCGACTGAATCAAGTAAATCAGACGGCGACCGATAATCTTAGTACACGATCGGGCTATCTATATTTATCTGAGATACTACTACATAGGAATGTACGATCAGTGGGCTTAGACTTGAAGGTGAAAACCCACAAGGGGCCTCCAAGTCCGTGTCCTGATCGCCACCCCCCCCCCTCCCGGGATTTAATTGCTCTTCTCACCACTCGCTTATATTCTTTTTCATAGACATGGAACAGCTACCAGTCATCTCGCCGAATTGCGCCTTCAACACCTGGTTCTCCTGCTCTTGAAGGAGCAACATAGCCCGGCTCACGCGCAGCTGGGACTGTTGATAGTTGACCAAGGTTTCGAGAGAAGAGGGGAAGGAAGAAGAAGAAGATAGTTGTTGGCTTCCTACATGGGTCGTTTCTTCCATTATGGGCAAGCTAGGTTCCTTCCCAACTCGGTCGAGGTTCATCGGACCTGCGACGAGCTTCAAGAGCAAGCTCTACATCTTTGATCATGATCTGGAACCTAGATTAACAGCTCGATCACGGCAAGACATGTTTAGCAATGGTATAAGTTATACGTGAAATCTGTGTACCTCCCCATGGCGCGGCGGTATCGCCTTCCAATCAAGTATGACTGATTTCGCAAAGTAGGATCACACTCAGAGCCTTTACGAAACAGCCGGTGAACCTCCCCCGAGCTTGCCATGGCATAAGCAGGCTCGTAGATGAACTCCAAACCAAGAAAGGTAGGCTGCTTCCACTTCAGATCTTCCAGATCAGTTTCAGTTCCCGCCCCCAGGTCGAGCCATTTGGTCACTACCACAGCCGTTCCGTCCTTGCCACAGTCACGGAGGGCGATCTGAAACTCAACCCGACATGGCGAGCACCGCATATACTCTGTGGTGGACGGTTTCTTTGAACCAAAACCCTGTTGCCGAATCGCCGATTGAATCTCGTCCACGATCGCTTTAGTCCCCAGTGTCTGCTCTCGACAGATGCACTGCAGCTCGAGCACGGTATCTGGTACATTCAGGTGCCCGTCCGAGACGATATTTCTATCGTGGAATAAGATCCACTGCTGGATCTGCAGGACAAATGATGGCATTTGATGAACCCCAGGTGTGCAGACCCGTCCTTCCACGGATGAGAGAGTCGTCCTTGCGGGCTCCCTGGGATAATCAACCACTTCGGTGTAGGCCAAGGACTTGGGGTTGATACCGCTGCCACCATGGTGGTTCTGCAGCACGGCGACGAGGTGCCAGTGGTGGAAATCGTAAAGGCTGGGCAGGCAGTGGGCCATGACGAGCCATCGAAGCGAAGGTAATAGACAATTCCGGTACAGTACTCCCAGGTCTGGGCATTGGGGGTCGTGATTCCTAGCACTGGCTGGATGGTGGACGTCGGTGATGCGATGCAGTTTGGCGCAGTAATGACAACAGAACCTCTGAGGGATGTCTCGGGCTAGTCGGGTGAGGACGGACAGAGCTAGCGACCTGTCGCGCACTGGCGTGAGGTGGTAGAGACCGGTCGTGGAATATTTCAGGGTTCGACTGCATAGGCTGAAGCAGATGATGTCGGCGGGTGCCAGGAAGTTGAGCACCTGGAGTAGTAGTTCCAGCGGTAGCAGTTCCAGGGGAGAAAGTCGCGTTGCCTGTAGGCTGCGTAAAAAGCGTTGAAGCCGACGAGGCATCCAATCTATCAAGCCCATCTTGATCTACCTGGTTAGTAGGATGAGGAAAGGATGCCCGCTGAGGGGGATCCTTTCCTTGGGTAAAACACATGATGATACGCTACCGGGTTCTGCTACCGGGCTACTACCGTCATACCTCGCTCACGGCACAGATCCAACTTACCATCAGCAACCAGCCTTGAGGGTGATAGATAGATACCAAGGGAAAAAAAAGAAAAGGTATACATACAACAGAAGGGATTCGCTGGTGGTCACCCACCCAACTACTAACCTCCCGGCGTGTGGCTTAAGTATGGCTGAGCGGACGGGAAGCCCTGTTCTCCACACCCTATGGTCGTATGTGTTTGCTTGGTAGTGGAAATGGAAGATGTAGAGAGGATTGATTGATCTATCTCTTCGATGCCATCAGGTTGATGAGGATGAAGGACGTCATATAGAGTCACCAAATGGACTGTTGACCGGCCGGAAGATACTACCACCATGATCTCATCAATACCTACCTAGTATGTCTCAGAGCAAAAGGAATATTCCGGCCCAAGTATCTGCAATGGATACTGGCCGTTGCGGTTGCTAAACATTCCATTCCAACATTGACACGCAACGGAAAAGACTACTCAGGAAGTCATAGTACCTCCAGACAAACCGGCAAGGCATACCTATCATGCGATGCGATCGAAAAGGTCTGCTGGATGATGCTTTTGCATGACGGAGACAGAACTCGTCTTTACTATCCTTATGTTTGATAATAGAGGTGATTCATAATCCTCTATATGTGCAACCCATGCTGAAGTGCAGTATTGTGACGATGATGACCTGCCAACTGTCTGGAGCGATTACTCGCAACTTGGGCATGAGAATTTCTCAAGGTTAAACATCCCGATAAGAACCGAATGAGACTCAGCTCTAGAGATTGAAGATCCATCAAAGGCCTATAAATAAACATAAAACAAAGCTCATACACCGATCAACACCCTCCACATACAACTTTCCAATCTCCATCTAACCAACATTATCAACATTTGTTCAACCATAACTACTTTGATAAGAAATATCAACCGAGACCTCAAACCATAACTGCAAGGCACAAACACAAACACAATCAACCAAGTGCGGAGTGCCGGCCAACCACCCTACTCCTAACGTATCTATTAAGATATCCTTATACATTCTGCACCACAGCTAGAGGAGATATATCCTTTTTGGTCAACGTGGTAGTACTAGTAGCTTTGACAGCAGTAGTATCCATCCAAATTATTTCCTAGTCACTCCGGGAATTTCGACCAGCCTAGGTAGGTAATGCCTGGCAAATAAACTCTCTAGGTTTTATGTCATGCCACGAAGACATCTCTACCCAACGAATTGCATGCTACTTGATACTTGTCTATTTCCTAAAGTAAGAGAGTCCAGCGGATGGAAGAACACCATTCGATCTCAACCAAAAAGAATACCACGCCATCTACCTAGTACCCATCTCACTTATCCAAGCATACGGATTGGTAACTAACCCAAATTCATCAACTCAGGGGCTCAACCTAATCCTTTACCACCTACCTAAGTATCAGTGGGCTGGCTACCTGCATATCAATAATCGATTATTATTCTCAAAAGTGGCATAAATTTATTGACTTTCTATATTTCCGATGTGTGATAGGGGTAGGGGGGAATACGTGTCAGAAGCCAAGCCAAGATCCGTATTCTGTACGGCGTACTCCGTACTTATGGAGTGTGTTACGGGGTCGGTGGTACTGGTAAGAGGGATATTTATTTAATATTCATTCGTGGGAGTATTTGAGTGGTGTGGTATTAGATCACAGGAGAGGGAGAAAAGGGGCATGTAGAGAATGAACCGGTCTAACTTGATATAAAGCTGAAACTGAACATATGTATGGCAACGGTAGTGTCGATGTGGTTGCTGAATACCATTTTGCAAGTGTATAATCCTCTCGTGACTAAATCCTTATGTAACGGCTCCCCCTAACGGACTCATGAATGTAATAGTAATAAATCTGTGGGCCAGCCATCTAGGTATAATCACATCAATACGTACCCACCGGTTGAACAACATTAACGGGCCGACGTTTCGAAAAGAAGTTCACCAGTTTGCGAAACACTGTCGGTTCACTTGATGTATCGCCACGGGGCTTCCGTTTCAGACTCGTGGCTTTGCTCATGGCTGACCAGGAGGTTTTTAATCGCGATGCGTTGGAGCCAGGGCGGAGATTTTGAGTTTCATCGACCGAGTCCGGGCATGCTGGAAGCGCGGTGGTGCTGACGTTGGTGATGGTGCCGGATTTCATCTTGGCTCTCACGGCTTGTTGGATGTGCATGGCACGTTGGGTTTCTTCGGCGGCGGAAAGGACGTGCGCGAGGCCGCTGCTGTCGATGATGATTCCGGGTTGTTGCTTGCAGAATTCGGCGTCCAAAGTGTCCAGGATCATGGGATCGGTGTACTCGGATGGGATGGCGGTCGGGGTCTCGAGAGCTACTCCCGAGTGACAGTGCGAGGGAGAGTTCCCGGACGTGTCGAGGCCAGGAGAGGAGTTGGTGAGGATCTGTGGTGAATGGAAGCTGGCAACTCCGCTGGACATGATTGCAGCGTCAGGATCCAGAAAGACCTCGACGTTGTCTTCGGTGAGAATGTCGGGGTGGCTGTCTTCATCCACAGGCTCACTGAAACCGTCGAGAATTGCTTCGGTGCTTTGGCTGCGACTTTGGCTGCAGCTTCGGCTTCTGCTCCGTTTCCCCCAGCTCATGATATGATGTCCCATACCTCGTCTACTTTGCGGAGGACTCATGGACTGTGTTGCATTGGTGACAGCCGAGTGGGACGACGTGGCTCGTCCCGACCCAAGACTGTCGGATTTGCTTTGCTGTTTAGACTGAGAATGGAGTGTCCTCATGGCCTGCATACTCGGCTGCTGGGTCAAGGCAACCCCCGAGTCGAATTTGTCCTTCAGAGCAGCCACATCGGCCCCTACTTTTGGCAGCATATACTTGGAATCGACCTGGGCGGTCATGGACGATTCCTGCATCACCGTGTTTGTCGTCACTGCGCGAGCTCGCTTTTTGCCTCCCGACGGCACGCCTTGTTCAACCCGGCAGACGAGCAACGTGCAGGCATTACGTATCTGCGCTTCCAGCTCTTTGGGAACCTGCTGTCGCTCGATCAACGGCGATGGGGGCTGGTAGAATTCAGGAGTGTCAACAAAATCGTAATACCGGGTAGGCTGGTTTTGGGTTACCAAGGTGGATTTCTGGGACAATTAGACCACCATCACAAGACCGTCTGCATAGGATCTACCCACCTGGGATCCGAAGAGAAAGGAAAAGGAGGTGCGTCGCTTCGTGCTGAGCTCCATGATATCTGGTATCTTTCAAATATGACGACAGAGAGGCGCCCAGTCAGGAAAGAGATCAGCTATATAGATGACAATAAAAGATGGTTTGGCGCCTGCCCACGTCGAGAACCCAGGGGCAACAGTCGACTAGCGGCGGACGAAGACACGATGCTGGGCAACCAGTCCCACGCGAAAGGTTAACCGGGTATCTTCAGCCCAAGAATGGGTCTAAACGATGGATTGGAATGCGGGGAGCAATCTGAGCAATGTGGGTGATTAACGAAAGGAAGGAGAGGAATCATTTGAAGAAAAGAAGGAAAAGGCTAGGAATGACGAACAAAGGCAACTTAGGAGCAATGCTCTGCCGGTGCACACCCTCAGGAATTCCATCGCAAGGAGGAGCAGTGCACTGGTCGGGGGAATAAAAATAACCCCAACCAGACGAAAGATGCCAGGGAAAGGAGCCCTGCAGACAAGCAAGCCCTCGTCACACGGCATCACGGGGCTGTTGCATCGCGTTGTCTGATTGCCTCGACTCTCCAGTGGCGGCCAGCCCAAACCCTGTCGGACTTTATCTTGCAGTGACTATTGTCTGGCATGCAGCCAGCCCGGCTGCCATTCGCCAGGTGTGAAACCGCCCCAAAGCGCTGACCTGAGGGGCCGGCCAGCTTTCTTGATGATGATCATATGGCGGTCACATTGCTGATCGGGGACTGCTCCATTCGACTTGGCTGCCACTGTGGAAACACGGTCGAAGAACAACAGGAGGCGAGGAACTCAAGTTTCACGGTGGAGTGACAACATCAGCCCGACTCCAAACGGAACGCTTCCTTGTCCAACGTTCTCGCAAGGGGCCGTTGCAGTGGAACAAGGGATGAATCAAGGGGCGGGAAGTGGAACAGGAAGGGGGGCCGGCCATGAGATGAGATCCATCACATCGAGCCAATATCCCCATCGTCATCAATGCGGGGGCGTCAGACCCTGAATATGAGATATCATGGCTGCCATCTATCCATCCAGACCGAAACCCCTCATGTATCAGCACCCTGCGACATCCCTGGTCAATCGGTCCTGAGTTGCAGGATGAATGGAACGCGTCGGATTGCCGTCTGACCGATCACATCAGCCCAACGCCATCCATCCATTCCACCCCCTCAACCTTCAAACCTAATAATCAGCTTCTCACCTGCACTCCGCATTTCCCACCCTCTTGGCCCTGTAAGCGACCAATTCATGCAAGCAGGAGGTCGCTCGTTTGCCTAGTCGAAACATATTCCCCGGAAGTTAACCAATCCATAGAGTTGTCCAGCGCCGTTCACGTCATTGCTCCCGCGACCGGCAACATGACCTCAGCTTGCATTCAGGATGATCGGTATGGACGCGGAGTGGAAGGCAAGACGATGGGATGCGAAGCGGAGCACGGCTGCAGGTGGTGTGGTTCCTGGTGCAACCATGGCTGGGAGGCCGGATTGCCAATCGGGCGGCTGGCCAGACGGGCAGGACATCACAGTAAACTTGGAGGAAAAGTGAAGGCTACGTATGATCTCAATGCTGGAGCTATTGGTGACATCAAAAAATCTATTCATCTCTAGATATGATCGAACGCTTTTGTTCAAGTCGCCCACCACCCCCAAGTCGGGTCGAGGGCTTCTGATGGAGAGCAGTTAAGTGCTTCTTTACAGCCTTACCTGTGAGGAAACGAGAGAGGCAGTTGGATGCTCATCTCTCTGACTGGCTAAGAATGATAAATAACAAGACCGCACCGCTACTTCCCAAGGCGCCTGAACTGGCGGGGTCCGAAGCCGCGGCGCGTCCTCTCGCCGCCGAGAGAAAGGCCTGGCCTGCCACCGCCATGCTTCAGGCAAGTTTTCAAGGCTGCAACTAATGCGCCACATTCATCGGGTCCTGCGGGTCAGCTTACCACGCGGTGATATCTTCCACCTCCGCTTCGCCAAAAGTGCTGCTCTTGGTTAGCTTGTTCACGCCGTCCACGGCCGCAACGCCCTCCGCGGGTGCCTTGGACATGATGTCGGGCAGCACTTCGCGGAAGAACTCAAGGATGTAGCGGTTGACCTGCTCGAACTGAAGAAGGAAGGCGTCGTGACCTTCGGGACTCTCGATCCGCTTCAGGCGCGAGTCCGGAATGCCGGCCGCAATCTCTGCCTGTTCCTCGAAGGTGAAGAGTCCGTCAGATTCGATGCCCAGGACCAACGAAGGCTGCTCGATCTGGGACAGGGCTTCGCGGACAGGGTTCTCCGAGACCGGACTGGCCCGGTGTCTCGACACATCGTGGGTGTCAAGCTTGCGGGTGATGGCAATGTAGCAGTTGGCATCGAACCGCTTGACGAACTTCTCTCCTTGGTACCGAAGGTACGACTGCGCCGAGAAATAGGTGGGAAGCCGCTTCTTGCCGTTGGCCTCAACGGTCTTACTGAAGGTCTTGGTTCCGGAGAACTGAGGGTCTTGAAACTGGATTTCAGACTGTTGGACTTCGGGCTGCTGAGGACCAGGGGAGCTGCGTCCGCTCTTGTGGCCATCGTTGTGGATGGCCCAGTGCTCGTTGGGAGGGGTAGGCGACCGTTCGGTACCGTTGATGTTCTGCCGCTTGGAAGGATCGGGCACATTTCTGCCAAAGCGAGACTCGAAGGAGTTGCGGCTCCGGTAGGTGAGAAGAGCAGACATGCGCGCCGCACCCAAGCCCGTCGCTGGCGGGTCGTCAAACGGGTAGTAGCCATCCTCATACTTCGGGTCGCTGTAAATGCTCTGGCGCTGAGCCTCACCCCAGCTGATACACCAAGCCGAATGACGGGCTGACGTGGCGATCGGAACAATTGCGCGCACATAGTCCTTGCCAAAGTAGGCGTACTCGAGCGTAAGCATGCCTCCCATGGAACCACCCACCACAGCGGCAATTTGACGAATACCCAAGTCATCCAGCACCATCTTGTGGATTCTATGCAGTGTGAACACGCCGTCACTCCGTAGCAAGATCATGAAGAGCAAACTCACTTTACATCATCACGGACCGTGGTGAGAGGGAACTCGGGGCCATACAGGCCGTTTTCGGGGTTCCCGTCCTTGTAGGTCACGGCGCTGGCACTTCCGTATGGACTCCCCAGACTGTTCAGGCAGACAACGAAAAACCGGGAGGTGTCAAAGGCCTGTCCGGGGCCACCAAGCAGGGGACCCCACCAATCGGCGACATCGGCACTCCCACTGAGAGCATGACAGATCACCAATGCATTGTCGCCCTCGGGGGAGAGCTCACCCCGCGTCGTGTAGGCGACGGGAACGTTGTGCAAGGTAACACCGGACTCAAGGGTAAAGGAAGGGATGATAACGAAGGATTGATCGGTGATCAGGCTGGAGTAAGGGTTTTCAGGTTGCGAGTCGACCCTCTCTACGGGATTTAGTAGCTGTTCAAATTTCAAGTCAAAACGCGGGGGAGGGGAACACTGACGGAGTTGCCCGCGGGCGGGGGGAGCGACCATGATGATCGGAGTGCAGACAATAGGGCAGAGGGGAACAGAGAAGACAGAGGAAGGCAGTGGTGGGAAGCAAGCCGGAGGGAGGTGAGGGAGAAATTAGACACCCACAAACGAGGAAAAAGGACGAAGCAGAAAAGGCAAAGGAAAGAATGGATGCAGGAATGACGGCGATCTCTCTTATCGCCCCGGCAAGTTTTCCGTTTGACTCATACGCCATCATCACCCAATCAGATTGCTGTCAAAAGCTGGGACGGCGGCATCGGCCCCGGAAATAGGTTCCACCGATATCCGCCCCCGGTCCCGCTTGGATCCATCGATGTCTTGCCCGGCAGTTGACTCGGAACTTGGGTATGCCAACTGTGCAGCTCACTATGCTGGCGGGAAGGTCCTCTCGATGGAATACCTGACCTATGTTAGCAAGGTAAGATGTCGTCAAGCTTAAGTATTTTTATACATACAATTGGCCAAATCCAAGGCAATGAAGTAGGATACACGCCTATCAAATATATATTGTGTGGAGATACTATCATGATGAGTATCCGGTCGGCGGGAGGCGAAGGGTAACCCCAGAGAAGTGAGATCCTCGTACCTGGGGCTCGGCGAATAAATTAGGATTGAAGATAGTGATGGTCCCTGAGTGCTCATTGGACGTTCTTTTGGAGCTCGCAAGAGATTCAAGGCACAAGGGAACATGATGGCCATGGCGGCCAGAATGAACTCAGGGATACTGCTAGTGACTTGGCAGAGATCAAGTAAACATAATTAATAAGTGAGTGGACTGAATACTCTGGAATGCTGACCTTGTTTGTTATCAAGAGGTGGAGAATCGATGACACCCGTGCCATTGGGTATTTTTTGATCAGGGACTGCGGTCTGAAGTTTTCAGGCTCAAGGGTTGTGCACCTGGTCCAAGAACAAGAAGGTAGTGTGCCAACAGTTGCCATCACAGGCGGGACGATACACAACAAAATGTAAGAACGGTAAAAGCTTTGAAACCACGCAAGATAATTCCAAGAAGAGAAAACCAGTCATCCACCCAACCAACCCAAACACCAAGAAACAATCCTAATCCGGTTACTAAAACCCATGACATCCATCACAGCCATAAACCATGCGCACCTAGAAGACAAGAAGCATGGCTACCTAGGAGCCTGCGTATTTCCCACCGGCTCCCCAAAATACCACCGCCCAAAAGTCTTGATCAGAGCCTCGTCCTTCTTACGCATGTCAAAGAGCTTCGTTGTTCGCATCACCAACGAGCTACCATTGAAATATGCCTCGATCAGCCGAGCATGCTGGGGCCCCACGAAAGAGAATAGAAGAGCCTATACAACCTGACTTAGCTATGAACTATTCAAAGGTGATGTATATTACCGGAGCAGTCATATGCTGGAGGAAGCGGGATCGCCTCATTTGCGCGATAATATAACGTAGAGCAATCATGATCTCTCCTCGGAGGATTCTCCCGTCGGTGGCATTCAGGTCGTTGTAAAGGAGGGCTTTTAGGTGTGGGTATGGGCCCTCCTTGACCTGAATAGCATCCAGGGAGGCGTATTCGGGAGAGTCGTACTCGATCAGGCCCACAAAAGGCACCTCGCCAATACTACTTTCTTATGAGAGGCCAAGTCCAAGACTTGAAGGGGAAGACCGAGAAAGGTTGGTTGGTTACCTGACGCCCGACCACACTCGATCGAGAACCTTGTCCTTGCTATGACAAGCGCAGGCGAACGCATAGTAAGTAAAATAGTTGATCACATTGCGTGCGCAGTCGATTGGTCTTCTGAAAATTGGATCAATGGAATCAAAGTCATAGTACCCGGGCGGCCTTTCCCGGTCATAGTCGTCATCTGGGTTCAGTAGCAGGGAGGCAGAACATGGGGCAAAAAAGGTAGGTTTGGAATCTGATGTTTCGTCCAGATCCATAGACACAAGCTGGATCTTGTGGCTCTCCAATTCATCGGAATCGAATTCATGTGCCTGCAAACTGGCAACATGGTTCGTGATTGCACGCAGCGCCGCCCGAAGCTTCTGGTGCTCTGGGGACTCGACAACAGCCATAGTTGTGATAAGGCAGTATTGGGATCACGATAGAAAGCGAGAGGGGCCAGCCGGGCATCCTATGCCCCTTATACCACACCCCAATCTAGGTAAACAGGAATCGGTCAATAGAAGGTGACGCGCCGAGCCGCTGGAGCGTCTCGTGTTTTGCCGCCAAGGCGGTCTCCGATCTTCCAATGGACCGGGGTGCTCCATCTGCATGATGTGTTCCATGGAAGAAAGAAAATTGGACTGCTCTGGGTATATTGGAGTGTATGCCAGCTGATATGATCTTATCTTGGCAAGGTAATGATAACATGTCCGTGTTTGATATCTAGGGCAAGGAAACGGGGTAGTACATGTTGTATGATGAAGATATGTAACTGCTGGAAGGGTCGACTAGATTACCGTTGGCTTCAGTAATGAAGAAAGAACGTGCGGTTGGTATCATAGACCAGAATATATCCTAGGCAATTCGGATATTATGGTACATGATGAGGTCCAACTTCTCCCTCCGCATCGGCAATGGCAATTGCATCCGCATCCGTGATCTCCCAATGAATATCGGTCTTGAGCATAATGCCATCGCTATCATGCAGTGCATCCTGACTTTCACCTAGCCGACTTTCACTCGGGATAGGACGCGAGGCTGCGCGGAACGCTGCACTGAATCTCTTCGAGTTGCTCTGCCCGGGGTATGTAGTGTGGGACTTTTGCGCGTAGGATGAGCCCAGTAGTCGAGGGAGATAGCGCTTCGCAAAAACATATAGGGATGGGGTGGAGCCGCAGAAGACAGCTACAGTGTTGTTTGTTAGCGATGTACAGGTATAGGGGCGGTAATGTATGTACCAACGTAGGCCTCGATGCCGCACCAGTTGAGCGAGGCAGCGAGGACGTAGGTTTCGTCGGGATTGTCTGCTAGCTGTAGGACGGTGTTGTACCGCACACAGGCTGCTGTTGGTGTCTCAGTATTGGTTTTGAAGAGATCAAGGATAGTGAGCCCCTACCGGCTATGGATAAGAGACCGACGCTGAAGACCCCTAGAACAGCAATCTTCTTTCGCTGCGGAGATGATTAACAGGTGGAGGTATAGATTCGTCAGGTGCACCTACTAGAGAGATACGAACACGCCAAAGCATCGGAATAGGAACGGACCAGATCAGAATATCCATGACAATGACCAGGATGCCGTTGACCTCATAAAATGTCTGCTGGGATGCGGACGACATACAGTGACCGGATTTGCTTGAATCCCAAAATTTAGAGGTAGGCACACAGGACAGCGTGTCGACGAAGAAGCTCGAAATTGACACGCCCAGGACGATGAAGATGACGGAGTAAACAAGCCATTGCATGTACCGCCGTGCTTCAAGCCGGAGATAGAACCAAAGAAGAGACAACTTGATGAAACCTAGACCAAGGACGTAAAGGAGACGTGTAGCCCATATACACTGTTCTGGTCAGCGGACGAAGCTTTGTGCGGTACAACTGAGGCTTGCCTTGAGCATAGGAATTCGGTCTTCCACGGGAACATCTACATCTACAGCTAGTTAGAACTGCTGCAGTTAGAAGAGTGCGGAAGGCGTACAGTGTTTTCCAACCCCATAGTATGCCGCTATGATCAATCAATTTATGCTGCCTATAGCACTTCGGCAAACTCGACCTACCCAGTATTGACGCAATGCTGAGACCGAATGTTAAGATCTGATTCTTCAGGTCAATATCTGGAGAGAGTTGGCGGCATCTCGGCTTACCGTTCCAATCACCATGAAAACTGTATTCCAGTTAGCGATGAGAGGGTATCGAACACGACTGGACTCACCATCATCGCATCCCCATGCGCGCAGTAACACCGCTCTCACGTATATTCGAAGGGCAATCACAACAAAGGTAAAAGCCATGAAGGCGACTCCAATTCCAAACACACTAGTTTGCTCCCCCGCGAAGGTCGCCCCCCGCGAGTTCAGAGATTGCCGTAACATCTTGGGAGCCCACAAGGTAGCCAGAACTCCAAAGGACTAGATCGCGATCCAAGGGTGCCATATCCTTAATTTTTATGTAGCCCTTAGCATGCCGTCCTTTAGGGCAGGATGAAAAGGTCTTTCAGAGACTAAATTGCGCTCGACAGAGCGACCAGGATCATGCCGGCGGAGCCATGTTCTAGACTCTTGAACAAAGCCAGATGGTGCCAGGGAAGCCATCAATACTTTATTGGTGTAACGTAGATAGTACTCCGTAGTTAGTATGCCATCGCCAGCTAGTCTGACCGGGATAGGAAAGATCAACAGATACCTGTCTCAGAATTCGGACACACACAAGACTCTATAACCCTGAGATTAGGCCAAGAACATGCGCAGCCAATAGAAGAGGGATCGATCTTGCCCGATGGTTCCCACTGTAAGCACAGGTGAACGGATGAAAGAGCGAAGGCACTAGAGAAGTGGATGTGGACGGGATGGGCTGATCGCGATGCCGCCTTGGGTCTAGCGCAAGGCTGTACTTTTCTCTCCATCAGCCAGTCCCCAGCGTCTCATCTCTCATCCCTCGTCTTTCATCTCTCATCTACTCCCTACACCAGACTGCATCCCTGGGTTGCTGCACCCCGCGAGATCCATGAAGCGCCCAGAAGGGTAGTGTCTCACGTGCCTGGGGCTACTTTCGATTGGACAATTCTACCCCCGCAGGACCATGTCAGCTCGGAGCCATGGGCGTACCCCTTCTCGGCCGTGTCTCCATGTTCCCACAGATCGTGGGGACAGTCCGGTCCGCCGTGGATCAGTGCTTTTCTTTTTTCTAGCCAGCTGAGACAGTCCGATGAACCCATTCCATCCGAGTGGGGCGAGGGAACGGCCTTAATTTGAAATGTTGGTGGGTGGATATGAGAACCACCCCTAAAAGGGTGGAACTGGGAGCCACACTAAATGAACGTGCACCACTGCACATACGTTCATCCGTCATCGACATCGGAGGGCCGAGCCGAGCGGAGCAAATTAAGCCATCCCGCTGTCCTGTCAGAATGCTTGGAACTGGCGGTCTAAATGAATCCGTCAGATTTAGTTGTCCAAGATATCCCCGCTAATAGCCTCCGTCTCGCACTAGGTATATTGTCTCCTGCGTCGTGTGCGTCCGGCCCTATAGGTAGTCTCGGAAAACCTTCTACTCAGAGAAGGGGCAACCCGTCGGTTGAACTACGCAACACGGCGGACCTATGGAGGACTCCCTAGTGATCTATTTAGCGACTGAGGGTCCTACTGGGCCTTTTGCTTAGACAGAGCCAGTTCCTATAAGTGATGGAGGGGAAGCGGGCTTCGAGAGGGGTCCCCCTTTTCCGATTCATCTTCCTCATCTCTAGAACAGTGAATCAGAATGGGCATCATTTCCAGCGATAAAGCCGCCTTGGTTTTCGGAGCTAGTGGGATCTCCGGCTGGGCGGTGACAAAGAGCCTGTTGGAGTATCCAACTCCCAGTACCTTTTCTCGGGTGATCGGCCTGACACATCGTCCTCAGATGAGAGAGGATTTGGGTCTCCCCGAAGATCCGAGGCTGGAGGTGTACTCCGGGATCAACTTACGGGCAGACCTGGATGAGGTAATGAACCAGATGCACGAGACCATTCCGCATCTGGACCAGGTCACACATGTATACTATCTTGGTAAGGCATCTGTTATTTCTTGACAACAATGTAGGGAAGCCGTGAGCGCGTCTACTAACAAGACAGCGTACTCCAATGCCACCGCATACACGGAAAATGTGATGGAGATCAAGCGCATCAATGTCGCCATGACTTATAACGCCGTCCATGCCAGCGATAGGCTGTGCAAAAACATGTCCTTCTTCGTGCTGCAAACAGGAACAAACGTACGCCTCATCTTGTACACAATGCAGAACCAGTCAGTCTAACTAAGACAGAACTACGGTGTCGCCGTCTTCCAACATATCGACAAGCTCACCTTTCCCACGCCTCTCAAGGAAGACGCTCCTCGCGTTCCGTCTCCGTACGGCGACGAGATTTTCTACTACGGCCAGGTTGATTTGATCCGGGAGGCAGTTCAAGGGAAGAGCTGGGGTTGGTGTGAGGTCCGTCCGGACGCCATTATCGGTATGGGAATGCGATAAGCATACACGAACCACAACTCTGCAGGCGCTGACCTAGACAGGCCACGTCCCCAGCACCACGAGCATGACCACCGTTGAACCAATCGCTCTCTATCTCTCCCTATACCGATACGTTAATGGTCCCGGAGCCACCGTCCCATTCCCAGGCACGCCAACCAACTACGTCTACACCTACACGGACTCGTCCCAAGACATAATATCGCGAGCTGAAATCTACCTCTCGGTAGTGAAGCCAACCGAAGCGAACGGGGAAGCATTCAACATCGCGGACACTGCCACCTTAGGTCCCTGGTCCATCAAGTGGCCAATCCTGACCGAGTACTTCGGTCTAAAGGCCACCGGCCCCACGCAAAAGGACTACGCGCCCTTCGAACAGTGGTGGAACGATCACCAGGACGACTACGACCGCATGTGCAAGGAATACGGACTCAAGAAGCGAGTCATCGGGCCGGAAACCTGGATCTTCGTCTACGCCGGGTTCAAGCTGCTAGACCGAAACCGGGAGTTCAGTCTAGACAAAATCCGTAGCATCGGGTTCACGGAGGAACGACCAGTGGGTCAAGGCCATATTGCAGCCTTTGATCGCATGGCTGCGGCGCATATCATCCCGTCACCGGCCCAGCTTCGCTTATCTGAGCCGGGTGCTGAGAGAAAAGAGGAGTTTAGTACCCATGTCCCATCTGCTGCTGCTAAAGTGTCAAGCGTTCTATAATGAGACCCCAAAATTGCTCAGATAACCTTATTTTCCATATCTCCTCGACACTTCTATATTAAACTGCTGGCCTTTCAGTGCTGCATGGAAATATCCAATGAAGTATCTCTTCTGAGTGCCTATTTCCTTCAACATATTCTCCCCTTTGAACTAAGCTGAATCACTGACTAGAAACGGACCATTTAACTCTTAGTCCCTGATCCATTGACGACCTATCTAGGTCGCATTCATTGCATATATTGGTTTTGCAAACTTTCACAGGTAGTATACATTTGATACGTTATCTAAATCTCGACGGAGATTATGTGTTTATGTTACAGTATGTCTCGAGGAAGATATTCCAAAAATATCGAAGAAAAAGAGGGGAGAACTAAAAGAACCCGCCTCTCAATTCCGTCAAAACGGCCTTCTGTCGCGGGCTACTCATCTTCTCGAATCGATCGACGCTCATCACGAACGTACCACGACCGGCAGTCAGACTGCGCAGATGTTTCAGATATCCCACCATTTCCTTGAGGGGCACCTTGGCTGTGATTGTTCTGGCTCTGTTGGCTGTATCGGGGATTGAGGCGCCGACGGAGGCCGTTTCGAAGGGATCCGGAGGGGCGTAGATCTTGCTTGGGTCAATTGGTGGGAGTTCATCGACTGGTTGTGGGGATGGGGAGAGGTCGGTCGATGTGATGGGGATTTCTTCGTCCAGGGAGACAATGTGGCCGCCTCGAGAGGAGGAAATGTCGTGGACGACTGCTCCGAGGCTGGCTTCGTCGACGCTGATGATCACGTTCATGACGGGCTCCATGAGGGAGGTGCCTGGGCCGGAGGAAAGGTCGCGGAGAGCGGCGGAGGTGGCAAGACGCGCAGCGGAGGAGAGGGCGGAGGGGGTGGTGTCGTTGCCGAAGAGGTGCTCAGCTGGGTCAAAGGTGAGGGTGACGCGGGTGTTGTGCATGGGGAAGGTGAATTGAGGGCCGCGAGCAAGGGCCGCGAAGCAGCCGTTCTGGAGGGAGGTTCGGAGCGTGTGTACGTCGAGACCAGCGGGAAGTAGCGGACTCTCTTGAACGCCTCTGCGGCTGGTTTCTATGTGTAGTTCTGGGGCGCGGATGATGATATGGTTGCCATCTCTGGTTTCGACTGACACGGCGTCTTCTGGGACTTCAGATGCGTCGTCGGGATCGAACGGTTCCACTGCTGCTGTGCAACCGGCTTTGCCTTTGCGGCCGGCGATTTCCTTGTCGAAGATTTTGCTCACGACAGGGGATCCTCCAAGTGGGCATTCACGGTAGCCAATCTCGATGCGGCCCATGGAGGCTTTGGCCTTGAGGTCGTTGATCAGACGGTCTCGGGCGATTTCGAGATGGAGTTCGCCCATACCGCTTAGTAGGGTTTGTCCAGAGTCTTCATCGACAGTGACGTGGAGACTGGGATCTTCACGCAGGAGAAGGGCCAGGCATTCATGGATCTTCTTCTCTTCGCTCAGGCTATGCGGTTCGATGCTAGCAAAGAAGACAGGGGGCGGAACTTGGATAGGACGTAGTTGGAGGGTATCAAGGGGTTCTGGCGGTGTCGATTTGTTACCAACATAAGACACCAGTGTATCGCCAGTTCGTGCATGTTTGAGGCCGGCCACGACACCAATGTGTCCCTCTGGGATGGAATCCACCTCGACGGCGTCGTTGGCGTACATCTTTAGGAGACGCGGTGCACGCTCGGAGACCTTGAGGTTGGTGTTGAAGATAGTGCTGTTCCGATCAAGGGATCCTGAGTACACACGCACATAGACCAAGACACCTCGCTTGGCATCATTCACCACCTTGAAGGCCAGGGCACAGCTCTGAAGTTTGGCGATGGCATTTTGGGATTCGGCCTGGAGGACAGATTTCTTCTTTTTCTGCGTGCCCTTGGAGGAGGCTGCTTTCTCGCTCTGTTTGACCAATAGATCGCCAGAGAGCAGACTCCGAAGACCTCCGCTAACCTCTCCAATGCCCACTTCCGGATCCGGAGTTTCGAGGGGACTGGGAAGGAGGTTGGTCACGGCGTCAAGCAGAGGCTGGACACCAACATTGCGGAAGCTGGCCCCAGCAAAGATGGGGATGACCTTCCTACTCTGTTCCTGTAGAAGACACCGGCGCAAACTGTCTAGAATGTCGATGGGAGGAACAGCGAGGTGATCCTCATCATGTTCAAAGAATTTCTCGATCATAGTCTCGTCATGCTCGCTAAGCAGCTCGACAAGTGCTATCCTTGCGCGTCGGAGTTCCTGTGCAAGCTGACTTTCCTCGCTGTCCAGTTCTTGGAGGTTGAACATCTTGACAGATTTGCCGTCGCCTTCTTCCCAACGGAGGCCTTGCAAGTTGATCACATCGGCCACTCCAATAAAGCGGCCATTTCCTCCCTCGAACCACGGAATCTGGCAGACCGCCGGATATCCTGCCAACCGGGAGCTGACTTCTCTGACCGTACGGCCAAAGGCTGCACCATCTCTGTCCAGCTTGTTGATGTAGACAATCCTGGGAATACGATAAGTGCTTGCCTGGTGCCAGACACGCTCCGTCTGAGCTTCGACGCCAGCTACGCCGTCCAGAATACACACCGCACCATCTAAAATGCGTAGGGACCGCATGACCTCAAAGGTGAAATCCGCGTGTCCGGGTGTATCAATTAGGTTTACTGTATGCAAAGAGGCAGACCGAGGGACCTGTGGGTCATGCTCAGCTGCTGAATTCTGATCATTCGATGCTTGAGGCGGCCAATGGAAGGTGATCGCAGCAGATTGGATGGTGATCCCGCGAGCTCGTTCAGCGGGCAGAAAGTCAGTGACCGTGGACCCTTCATCCACATCTCCTATCCGTCTGGTAAAACCACTATAGTAGAGCATGCGCTCGGTGGTGGTCGTCTTGCCGGCATCGATATGGGCGATGATGCCGATATTCCTCGTCCGGTCAAGAGTGTCAGCCTGCCATTTCGGTCCCGAGGTTGAGAGCATCTGGATTTTAGAAAACTGCCATCTTTTGAAGCCTTGGGTGAAAGGCAAATTAGCACTCAAGCGGCTGACGGCTGACTGGCACTGTTGGAGGCCAATTGGCCTCGCCGCCTGGTGAGAGGCGCGCAAGAAGAGAGCTGCGACCATGGGGACGGCCAGTGTCCATGTAATAGCCGACAATGAATTAGAGTGCTCTAAGATCTAGAATCTAGCATGCATGGTCAATTGGACCGAATGAGAATGGCCGATGTTGAAAGGACCAGCCCAAAGATCATATAGCCGGAGTATGGAAAGGTGAAGGAAGCAGCTGAAGCTTTTGCGGCAGTCCAATGACCCGGGGATGTGGATGCCTGGCCAATCAGGCCGCCTAGGCCCCAACGACGTAACCTCCGAAGTCCATCCCGTTCCGCCCATTCGACTGTCTTCCCCCCAATTCAACGCTTGCATCCTCCTTCTCGCCCCTCGTCAAGCCGAATCCGTTGGAGATTCCGGCACATTCCCGTTCCCAATCGCTCTCTGGATTATCAATAGGTAAACGCCAATTGATCCATGATGATGACCATTCCGGACCAGACAATGCTGATGATTGCGCGCCCGCAGCGCGGTGTAGACGTGGTCCCATTTGACCCAGACAGCCACCATGGACTACTCCGCCATATCACACGATCCGGACCATCCCGCGGGGACTTCTCCCTGGGCTTCACCTCGCCCGACCCAGACAACCTTTCCCGCTTCCGTGACCAGCGACATCCCCCCGGCCCCCTTGCCTCCTCAAGATGAATCCCCGTACAATGCCGCTGTGGAGTCGCAGCCTACCGAAGAGCCTGGGTCTCAGGAGAACGAGATTGGCTCCCCCGATCTGTCGGCGCGATTGCAGAGTGCCCAACTGGGTGAGCCCGGCTATGCTCCTGAGCAGCCACAATATATCACCCAGCAGCAGCCGCAGCAGGGACAACAGCCTCGCTCCCAGCTCCCCGCCCGCTACCAAACAGGCCCAAGGCAGAATGCTAGACAACCAGCCCCCGTGTACAGAATCCAGGCGAAGGTTACAGGCTTAGAGAGGACGGGCAAGAAGGACCCCATTCTTCGATTTGATGTTCACGTGAGCGAGATCCTTGCTGAGTCGGATCTGCGGTTACTGATTAGGGGTGTCTAGACCAATATCCCCAAGTTCAGAACGACCCAGTACCGAGATGTCCGACGTACCCATGGCGAGTTTGTCAAGCTCGCCGAGCATTTGATTTCAGCTAACCCGGAAACGTTCGTTCCTGCGGTTCCTTCCCCACTAACCCCTGCCGGCGCAGGCACCGAGGAGGACGAGATCAGAGTCAAGTCTTCTTTGCAACGATGGCTGAATGTGGTGCTGAGCAATGAGGTCCTCACTCACGACGATGAAGTGGTCTTGTTTGTCGAGAGCGATTTCGGCTATAGCCCTGTGGTTCGGATGAAACAGCCCGCAACTGGGGTCCGGAGAAAGGTCTTGAAGCAGTTTGCGCCGCCCCCCGACGACACGCCTGAACTACAGAACGCACGGCCTGTTGTGAAGATGTTCTATCTCGGCACAATGGATACTAGCCACAAGGTGGATCGTGTGGTCAAGGCCCGCCGAGGTAGGCTCACGTCTCGGTTCATACTGCATGACCATGGTGCTAACGCCAGTAATTCCAGGACTTGGTCTCGCTGAATCAGACTTCGGTGTTAAACTGGGCCAGATGCACGTGCAGGAAACACACCCCGGTCTGTCCAATGCGTACCGGAAATTAGGGAAGATCATCCAAACGGTCGGAGATTTCCATGCCGTCCAGGCGACGGCCGAGGCCACGACCCTGGGGGATCCACTAAGCTACCATTCATCCGATGCCTTCATTGTGAAGGAGACCCTCACCAACCGCCATATCTTACTGCGAGAATTGATCCAAGCCCAGCAGGCTACACGTAGCAAGCGTGCTGCCGCTGACCGTCTCAAGGTCAGCTCCTCTGTTCGCCCAGACAAAGTGGATGAAGCGATCAATGCTTTGGACGAGGCCCAGGGCCATGAGGACCACTTGACCAAGAGAACGCAGCGGGTTACATCGAACTTGCTCTCAGAAAAGCAGCGTTGGTTTGCGCGGACGTCTAACGACATGCTGGCGAGCCTGCGCGAATATACTCTGCGCCAGATTGAAGCCGAACGTAGAACTCTGGCTACACTGGAAAGCGTGCGACCTGACATCCGGGCCATTGATGCATCCGGAGGGCTCAGTCGGCTGGGACGTGAGTCACACCCGGCTGCCCGGAGACCCAACCTTGGGTCCAGCCAAGGCCCCAAGGGTGATGCGTGGAGCGGAATACCTCGGCGCAGCGACAGTCTGGGCCGGAGCCTGAGTGGCAGCTTCGTTGCCCCTTCACCCACTGAAGATGATGACGAGGTGAATGGGCACGGCAATGGCAAGGGACGGCTGCGCTCTGCCAGTGGTGTGAGCTCCATTGTGGAGGAGGATGACGATGATCGACTGGACGCCCGGAATGCGGCAAGTCGCCTGGCTACGAGCACCTTCTAAGTATCTGTAAATTACGTGCATGATCCTGTGCAAGATTCCCCTTTGACACCGACTTTCTGTTACTATAACCACCCTCGAATTCTCAATTGTAGCCCGTCTATTCTACCCACGACGTTGAATCATCCCTTATGACCACTGTCTCTGTTGAGAAACCATGTGTTAGCATTCTTGTAGCCTCCCAGTTACTTTTTCATTCATGCACCCCTCACTCCAGAAGCGATAGGCGCAATCTTATTATGAGTAGGAGCCTAGAATTGTATCCAGTGGATATTGCCGCTGTCATTCAGAAATAATTAGCCAGTTGATGGGTCCTGATGGGAGCCCCGCCCAGGTACGTCATGAGGGGTAGCTGCGAGGGTGCCCATCTTGGACGACAACACATCGTTGCAGTCGAACACGAGACATGTCCAAAGAGGGGTCTGTATCACGCCAGCCTCGATGGTCCATACCCGAGAGCCCATTCCGAGTGTCACCAAACTGTGGAACCGAAAGGAAGCTCCGACCCATCCATTGTCAAACCAGCTTGGATATAGATGGATGCCCTGGCTACGCAGCACTTCTGGTCCCCCACCCCCACTTTTGGTCGGTTCTGAACCTCTGATTGAGCCTTCAACCACGGAGGACCCATCTTTTCCACTCTTGATTTCAAAGCACGGCGGAGGTTAAGCTGCAATTGGTATTGGGGCTCCCTTTGTTTTGATCAAGCTATAAAAATCGAGCTCCCCTCCCCCGCTTCCACTGCTAACGCATTCTCACCGTTCCCATACCCATCCCATTCCAACGGTTGCACGGCCCCTAGTATCTGAAAATGGCTCCCCAGAAGGTCTTCCTGTAGGTTTCTGATACCCGATCAGACAGACTAGGACATCTATTGATGGCTGCTCCTTTCATATTCCAGCACCGGCGCTACTGGCTACATTGGTGGAGACACCTTCTACAACGTGTACCAGGCGCACCCCGATTGGCAATACTCTGTCCTGGTTCGCAACAAGGACAAGGCAGCTCAGCTTTCCAGCGAGTATCCTAATGTAAGAGTTGTGCACGGTGACCTCGAATCGGCCGATATCCTCGAGGAGGAAGTCAAGAATGCAGACATCGTATTCCGTACGTCGACCCCGCACACGTGCCTTTCCGGTAATCTGGATGTATTGCTTACGTGCTATGATTAGACTGCGCCGACTGCGATAGCGTCGCCTCTGCTGAGGCAATTGCAAAGGGCGCCACCCACCACACCCCTGAGAGACCATTGTGGTGGATTCACACTTCGGGCACCGGCATCCTGACCGTCGAGGATTTCCGCACCAACACGTGGGGTCTTGAACGTGCCAAGCAGCACGACGACTGGGATGGTGTGGACGAGCTCCTCAACCTTCCTGCAGACTCCTTCCACCGCAACGTGGACGAGATCGTCATCAATGCCGGCAAGCGTGCTCCCGACAGCGTCAAGATCGCCATCGTCTGCCCGCCCACAATCTACGGTCCTGGCCGCGGTCCGGTCAACCAGAAGAGTGTGCAAGCATACTGGCTGGCTGCTGCTGTCTTGAAGCGCAAGAAGGGCCTTCAGGTCGGTGAGGGCAAGAACATCTGGCACCAGATCCACGTCCAGGATCTGAGTGATCTCTACCTTCTCTTGGGAGAGGCTGCTGCTGCGGGCGGCGGCAAGGCCACCTGGAATGACAAGGGTTACTACTTGGCAGAGAATGGTCCCTTCTGCTGGGGTGATATCCAGCGACAGGTGGCCCAAGTGGCCTATGAGAAGAAGCTGATCCCGTCCCCCGAGGTTGAGCCTTTGACCGACGAGCAGGTGACTGAGACCAACCAGTTCGGTCTGTATGCCTGGGGAAGCAGCTCTCGTGGCTTTTCTTACCGCGGTAGAAAGCTACTAGGCTGGTCTCCCCACCGCCCTAGTCTCCAGGAGCTTATCCCCCAGATTGTCGACATTGAAGCCAAGGCTTTGGGCTTGCTGTAATGGGGACAACGATGTATTAAATTACGACACACTGATGTGATGAATGCCATGATCTGATGTAGCTGCTGCTGTGATTTGTAAGCCGTACTGCATAGTGTACAATGTTCTGAAAAGAAGCACTTTGACGTCTACATCTGCCCTCGGCCATCGACTAAGGTAGGCAACTGCCTGAGGCGGAGTAACGCTGAAAATCGCCTAGCGTGGAGCCCGCCCGACTAAGCGACGGAGGCGCGACACCCGCCAAACACCCGCCCAGACGCCGCCGCCTTTATTGTAACCCGTGCATTCGAGCCATTACGTTCTTCGATCCGGCCAGCGGTATCTGCATATTCCTCCAGGAATCGTCCTTTTCTTCCCTTCGCCGTATGAGTTTTCCACAGCAGGTTAATTCCCCTCGCCCCTTGCTCTCATTACATATATTCTCCGACCGATTGCGGCTCTTTGTTCCCACGTGAAGCAAGCTGACCCTCGGAAATCTAGGTTCGCCGCATGAATTGCGACCTGTCGGGAACACATCGGTTCTCTGCCCGCGCACTCTAGCTCCAATCGGGCTGTCATGGCTCCAGGTGCCGGAGGAAAGAGAAAAAGAGGCGATAGATCGTGGTCGGGCGATTCAGGGAACGACGCTCAGCGACCTTCCCCCCATCGACCAGCCAACCTCAACATGGCGCAACACAACTACGGCCCGCAATCTCGTGACTATTCCGACGCGCGTGGCCGAGTACGCAGACAACCCAGTCGAGGAGGAAGGAATAGCATGGGTCGAAGACCCAGCACCGAAGGACAGAGCGCTCCGAGCGGTCGGCGGGATAATGCCATGTCCCCACCTAACTCAGCCCCGGCGAAAGACGTTCCAGATCCAAGCCAGGCAAATGGCGTCCTTCCGATAGTGAATCAGCAAAAGCCGCCTTCCTCCCCTTCACCCTCGCCAGCTTCATCTCTCCCCCAATCACACATTCAACCATCACCCGCGCCTACTCCCACGCCTGCACCTGCACCGCCAGCTCCGATGGCAGCTCCCCAGCCTCCTGCTGGGCCTCCGCCGCCCTACGACTACGAACATGTCACACAACATGCTATCGAGGAGTGGGCTGCGACGGGGAAGAAGGCTATCGTGGAAAGCGGAATCCGAGTAAGAGAAGCACAGGATGCCTCCGCGCTGGCATCGATTTATCAGGAACTCATACGGTCCGCCCTCCATGGACGGTTGCCAGCGGAGGAAGCAGGTGCTACAGTCAAAGAAATTATTGGCGAAGATGTTGCCGCGGAGGATGTTGATATGGACGGTGAGGGATCAAGCTCAGACCTGCTTGATACGCGCTCTCTGTTTTTGGACACATTGTCTATATTGACCGATTCCGACACGTCGAACGCCGCCCTGAGGCCGCTCGTGTTCTCCACAGGGATTAACTCCGCGCTCATGCGCCTACAACTCGACACACAACTCCTCCAATCCTTAGGACTTGTCCGCGAGACATTCACCCGTATGGGTATTCGCAAGCAAACCAACCTCCTTTATCGACAGTCGAACTACAACCTTTTGCGGGAAGAGTCCGAAGGGTATTCCAAGCTGCTCACGGAACTTTTTACGACAAGCAACAATGAACCTCCATCCAGTGAAGTAGTCGAAGACACATTTGAAAGGGTGAAAGCCATGATTGGCGCCTTCGATATGGATGTCGGTCGTGTTCTCGATGTTACCCTTGACGTTTTCGCCGCTGTCCTTGTAAAGCAGTACCGCTTCTTTGTGAAGCTCCTGCGGGCCAGTTCCTGGTGGCCGAAAGAGGACGCCTTCCGCACCGTTGATGCAGGCAACCGTGACTCTGGCCTCCCTAACTGGGCTTTGCCTGGATCATCCGGATGGGTCACAACCGACGAGGAGCGTCTTGAGGCAATGAAAGCCAATGAGCAGCGAGACCACGATTTCTGGAACAGGGTCAGAGAAATTGGAATCCGTGCTTTCTTTGAAATTGGCCGCCGGCCCGTGTCTAAAGAAGAGTTACAGCAGATTCTTCCGGAAAGCAATAGTCTTTCGGAAGAAGAAAAAGAGATGCGAAAGTGGATCGAGGAAACAGGAACCTTGCCCCCCAAGGGGAGTCGAGTAGCAGCTCAATTACTCGGATTCAAACTTCGATTCTACTCTTCCCGTGCTCGCGCTAAATCCGACGTTCTCCCTGACAACCTCATCTATCTTGCGGCACTGTTGATAAAGGTTGGGTTCATCTCACTACGTGACCTATATCCTCACCTCTGGAGGCCGGATGATTCGATGGGTGCGCTGAAGGAGGAGAAGATGAAGGAAAAGGCGGAACGGGAACGGGCAGCGCGCCCTGGCGGTGGTGTGAACGCTTTGATGATGGCCGGTGCTCTATCAGATGATACGCTACCTATTCCACGCATCCGAGAATCCGAGACACGATCTGCGACTCCTGGAAAAGACCAAGAAACGGACAAATCCACGAGCCCGAAGGCGGAAGAGGACGAGCTTCCTGAACCCTCGGACCAAAAGGTAATGCTTCTAAAGAGTCTCCTCGCAATTGGAGCCCTTCCAGAGTCCCTGTTCATTTTAAGCAAATTCCCCTGGCTCATGGAGGCCTACCCCGAGCTCCCGGAGTTTATCCACCGCATTCTCCACCACTGTCTCGGCAAGGTCTATGCCTCATTGCGGCCTTTGCCTTCGATAGACGAACTCAAAGAACAGAAACAAATCTTGAACCATGATCAGGCAGGCGTGCCCAAGGGTCAAATTCGGCTGACACAAGCACCGCCACGACGAGTTCTCCGATGGGCTCAACTCGATAAGGAGGATACAAACGATGGAACCGACTATAGATTTTACTGGGACGATTGGGCAGACAATGTCCCTATCTGCCAGACGGTCGACGATGTCTTTGCATTGTGTTCATCATTCCTGAACCTCTCTGGCCATAAGATCGGCCAGGACCCAAGCTTGTTAACGAAGATTGCCAGGATCGGAAAGGACAGTATGAACAAAGATCATTCGCCCGAGAATCGGGCGCGCTGGCAGGACCTTTGCAAGCGACTCCTGGTCCCATCGATCAGTCTCACAAAGGCCAATCCCGGCGTGGTGAACGAGATCTTCGATCTCATCAGTTTCTTTCCCCGGGAGATACGGTACAACATGTATGCCGAATGGAACGCTGGTCAAACGTCTAGACTGCCTGACATCAAGTCTGCCTTCGATCAGGCGAAGGCGGAAACGAAGGACGTTCTTAAGAGGCTTAGCAAAACGAACATCCGACCGATGGCTCGCGCATTGGCCAAGATTGCTTATGCCAACCCTGGAATCGTCATCACCGTTGCCATCAATCAGATTGAGTCCTACGAGAATCTTATTGAAGTTGTCGTGGAGTGTGCGCGCTACTTCACGTATCTCGGTTACGATATTTTAACATGGGTCATGATCAGCTCGCTCGGCCAGAAGGGACGAAGCCGTGTGCAAGAAGGTGGCTTGTTGACTAGTCGTTGGTTGAATGCGTTAGCCACGTTCGCAGGACGGACCTTCAAGAGGTATTCGGTGATGGATGCTACCCCCGTCCTCCAATACGTTGTGCAGCAGCTCCGACAAAACAATTCGACGGACCTGATTATCCTAGAGCAGATGATCAGTTCCATGGCGGGAATCATCACCGACAACAATTTCAACGAGGCGCAAATCCAGGCTATGGCGGGTGGCGAACTCCTTCAATCCCAGACAATCTTGCAGCTGTTGGATAAGCGACACGAGTCAAAGACTACCTCGAGACGGCTTATGAAGTCTCTTACGGTATCGAAACTCGCCGGGCAGTTGCTCATCGCCATCGCCCAGGAACGCTGGACCTGCGTCTTCAAAGAAACAGAAGGCGCCTCGGAGCTCAAACTTCTGGGCAACATTTTCGACGAGATCCATCGTATCTTGGTTCAGTACCTGGACTTGCTTCGCAGTAATCTGTCGGTGGAGGATTTCGATTCCTTTGTCCCTGACTTGGCCACTCTTATCAAAGAATTCGGCATTCAGCCTGAAGTCGCATTTTGGATCCGGCGACCGAGCGTTGCCAAGAAGATTGCAGACATGGACCGGACGGCACAAGACGAGGACTCTCCTACGGCCGGCGTGACCGCAGCTCCCGCTCGTGAGAGTGAAGAGGCGCCGCCGTCTTCTAAACCCGAGGCGGATAAGATGGAGACGGCTGAAGATGGAGAGGCGACCGTCGCTGAAGGTGAACAGTCGGAGAATGCCATGGAAGTGGACAAAGAAAAGCCCGAGAACGCCGATACACCCAGCAATGAGAAAGCTACCACCGGACCTGCTACTGCTGAAGGACCGGCTTTGAATCCAGTCATGCAGGACCTTCAAGACCAAGTCAAGGATGTTTTGGGCTCAGAGACATGGGGAGTTGTCGGCCTACACTTCTATGTGACGTTCTGGCAACTGTCCCTCTACGATGTGCATATTCCCCAGAAAGCGTACGAAGATGAAATCGATCGTCAGAAGAGGAAGGTCATTGCAATCAGCAACGACCGCTCCGACATCAGCATGGCCGGAACCCAAAGAAAGGAGCGAGAGAAGAGGCAACTGACGCAACTCCAAGACCGGATATTGGAGGAGAACAAAGCCCACTTGAAAGCCTACGGACAGACGAGGGCGAAGCTTCAGAAGGAAAAAGACCGCTGGTTTGCCGGTATGCGCGGGAAACACGATGCTTTGAATGTCGCCCTCCTCGAGCAATGCTTCCTCCCACGCCTGCTATTTTCCCCCATCGATGCATTCTATTGCTTCAAGATGCTTAAATTCCTTCACACGACGGGTGCACCCAACTTCCGCACCGTCGGTCTCCTGGATCAGTTGTTCAAGGAACAGAGGCTTATCGCCTTGATATTCCAGTGTACCTCGCGAGAGGCTGATAACCTTGGCCGATTCTTGAACGAAGTGATACGCGACCTTGGCCGTTGGCATGCTGACAAGGCAGTCTACGAGAAGGAGGCTTTTGGCACCAAGAAAGACCTTCCTGGGTTTGCCATGACCGTGGATCCCGAAGGAAAGCCCACGACGTTCCTGGAGTACGAAGATTTCCGCCGGCTGTTGTACAAGTGGCACCGTCTCCTCGCGCAGGCCCTGAAAGTCTGCTTGAATGGCGGCGAATACATGCACATCCGTAACGCCATCAGTGTACTGAAGGCTGTTGTGCAGCACTTCCCGGCCGTGAACTGGATCGGCCATAATATGTTGGCGAGCATGAACAACTTGAGTCAAAACGACGAACGAGACGATGTCAAGATCCCGGCGGCTTCACTTATTGGCGATCTCAACCGGCGCGAGAAGAAATGGTTGCTTCCCCAAGCCTTCATGATCTCTAGTCAACCGGTGCCCGGCCGAGGAAACCAAGCAACTGCAGCAGCAAAGCCTGGCACTCCTCGTCCCCAGTCTAGTACCCCAACTCCCTTGAATGCTGGTGCCGCCGAGTTTAAACCCACAGCCACCCCTGAGTAAGTGCACCACGAAAGCCAATGTTTCCATAGCCGGTTGTATTACAAATTCTGATTGCCCGCAATTCCAGATCACAAGGAGCCTCGAAGTCCGAGTCGGGCCCCACGAAGACCGAAGTGGAAGATGGGGAGATTGAGGACGCTAGGATGATCGATGTCCCGATGCCTGATCGGACGGCTCCAACGCCGAGTGAGACCACCGATGCTGTGACGCCTCAACGTGATTTCACTGCGACTGAGCCTCAGGCTGCCGAAGCACAACCATCAACTGCCCGCGAACCAACATCGAGCGACAAAGATGCGACGACTACTCGCGGAGCTCATCCCGAAGGGGACCTTCCTCCACGCCCCGTGGCCCCGGCATCGCCTGCCGGATCGCAGCCTCTGTCGAAGGGCCTGGATGTTGGCAGACCGGCAAATGTACCGAAGCGCCCTGAAACGGAGCGAGCCCCGTCTGGTGCCCAGAACCCACGGTCCCAAGGCCAGGGCCTACACCGTTTTCCACGAGATGACAAGTTGCCCCCTCGCCCGGATCTCCTAGATGACCGGCGTGAGCGACACCAAGAGTATTCTCGCGGTGGTCGCTTTGGAGGTGACCATGACTATCCTCGGCAATTTGACCCCGCCATGGCTGATGGGCGCAGCTACGGTCGCCTTGACAGAGAGTATGCTTCAAGGCCACCCATGGAAGAACCATTCCGTGGACCTCCTCATCGGGATGGACGTCCACCTCGCGACGCGGACTGGCCGGATCGGTCAGGTCGCCTGCGTCCAGATGCTCGTGAGGGACTGACTAATGTACGGTCCGGGCCCCCAACGCACCCTGATCGCGCGGGTATGATCGACGACCACCCCGAGGGCTATCGGCGCGGCGACACCGGTCGACAGGAAAGAGACGACCGGCGGAATATAGCGCCCAGAGCATTGTCACCTCCAAGGCTAGAGCCACTGGGCCGTCCGGAACGGTTTTCAGGTGAGGATCGCCGGTCTGCAAACTTTGCCCATGCTCATCCGCGAAATGAAGACATGCCCACGGGGCCACGCAGTGATCGGTTTGGGCGCCCGTCGATGGATGGAACTGACTCTAGAGACCCGGTTCCGGGAATTGACATGAACCATGGACGCCTGCGCCAACCGGACCCGCCTTCGGATGTCCCGTCAGGTCCGAGGGGCAGGAATATCGTGGGACGCGGGGGACGCAATGCCGCTGGCTTGCCACATCCCCAGGCATCGCCTGCGAGCGGTCCCATGGCAGTCACTGAGCGCCAACCCCCGACTGGCCCTGGCCGGCAGGGTCTACGAAACGCACCGGATCAATCTCCCGCGACCGGCCCTCCATCCCCGGGCGGAGAGAAGCTCGACACCAGCGGGATCCACCCAGACAGGCTTAAGGTTTTGCAACAACAGCCCCAGGAAAACGCCTACGGTGGAAGTCCACGGTCGCAACATGCGCCCTCACCTGCGGCGATTGTTCCCCCATCTGGTCCTCGCAGTGGACTTGGGCCCCCGGCGGGACCTTCCGCCATGCCACGTGGTCCGCCCTCGGGCCCTGGTTTTGGCGGTGAACGCGGCCGGGGAGACAAGCGATTCGCTGGCATCAACAACATGCTCCAGCAGTCCGGTGGACCGCCGGACCGTGGCCCTGGCCCAGCCATTCGCGGCCGGGGCGCCAATCGGCAGTCGGCCGCCATGAACGCTCCATCACCACAATCGGCCCGTTCCCAAACACCCGTGGGCCAGGAGGAGGGTGGCCGTGGTGGCTCGTCGGGTCAAGGCCGTCCTGATCTTATGGCCGGCCGGCCCTCTGGAGCAGCATACAACGAAGATGACAACCTTTCCCGGAATCGACTGGGTGGTGGACGAGAGCCTGCCGATGATGCAGGGAGCACGGAGAGCCGACGAGGTCAGCGATTCTCTTCGGGCGCCACATACCCGCGTGATCGGGAGCGAGAAAGGGAGCGCGAGCGCGATCGGGAGCGGCGCGGAGGCGAGGAGGATACCTCACGCAGTAGCAGTCGACGTGAGGAGCATCGGGAGCGAACTCGGGATTATGAACGTGAGCGGAGTCGGCGGAGCGATGTAGGAGCGGGTGCGAACCGGGAGGAGCGGTATGAGTCCCGGGAAGCGTCTCGACGAGGGCCTGGTGCACGCGAAGACAACCGGCGCCGACGAGACCGGGATGAGGGATCTGACATTGCCCCAAGTAACGCGGAGCATGAAGGCCGTCTCCGCCCGCCGTCTTCACTGGGCGGACAGGCCCCTCCGCCGCCACCACCGCCGCCGCTTGTTGGAGGTGAGGAAGAGCGCCGCTGGGGAGGAGGACGTGACCTGCGGGACCGGGACCGAGACCGTACCCGGGATCGCCCGCGGGATCGGGACTACCATCCTGAGGGTGGCGGTGGAGGACCGCACCGCAAGCGCAATCGACCGGGCGACGAAGGTGGACACGGAGAGAGCAGTGGACGGGGAGGGATGCGGATGGGGAGTGAGAACAAACGGCCTCGACGAGGCGCGTGAGGGGCGGGGTTGGGCGGAATGATCCGTGATGCATATTGCTTTTGTCTCTCATTGAATCTACTGTTTCCTTTTGACCTACTGGACTCTTCAAGCATTGGTGGGCGGAGTTCTGCGTTCCGTCTGTTGCCTGGGATTACCATTTCCTGCATGCATCGGCCTGTATTATATTTCTTTCCTCTCTGTGTTGATTGGATAATTGGATGCACGCAGCCGGGTGGCTGCGCGGTACGATAATCAGATCCCTGCGTAGTGTCTGGGCTGTGTAGTGACCAGGTTCCTGGTGGACACTGCAACTGCCAAGTGCCAACTGGCGGGTAGGCGATACGGGCCGACACTCCGACGAGCGGGTAATCCTCGGACTTTTTCGTCATTCGTGACTCCTTGCTGGATTGAGCACGGCTCATCCTCCCGTCAATCCGCCATGATGATCCATCATCCGGTCTGCATCGACACCCGGTGGAGGCCTGGAGAATGAATCTCCGATAAATGCCCTCCTTCGCCCCGCCTTTGCTTTTATACACCCCTCCTCCCTCCCGCTTATCTTCCGTCCATGATTTCTTGATCTCTACCACATAGTTCATTATACCCGGATTTACTTGCATACGACCCTTTCCTACTTCACCTCACTTTGTATAAATTCCCTCCATCCTCTTCCCAACATGACACGTCTGGACGTGGAAAAGACCATCGAGGAGCTCACGCTGGGCGAAAAAGTAGCTCTCACAGCCGGTAAGCACGATTCTTCCTACAGCAGCAGTACGAAACTCATAATCTTGACAGGTGTTGATTTCTGGCACACCGCTGCCATCGACCGGCTGAACATTCCCGCCTTGCGGATGTCCGATGGGCCCAACGGCGTGCGTGGAACCCGCTTCTTCAATGGCATCCCCGCGGCCTGCTTTCCCTGTGCCACCGCCCTCGGAGCCACCTGGGACACCCAATTGTTGCACGAGATCGGTCAGCTCATGGGCGAAGAGTCCATCGCCAAGGGCGCCCATATCGTCCTCGGTCCCACCATCAACATCCAACGCTCTCCGCTGGGCGGTCGAGGGTTCGAGTCCTTTGCCGAGGATGGCGTGCTTTCGGGCACTCTGGCTGGGAACTTTTGCAAGGGTATCCAGGAGAAGGGTGTCGCAGCTACCCTCAAGCACTTTGTGTGTAATGATCAGGAGCATGAGCGGATGGCGGTGAATAGCATCGTCACGATGCGCGCCCTGCGTGAGATCTATCTCTTGCCTTTTCAGTTGGCGATGCGCATCTGTCCGACTGCTTGTGTCATGACGGCGTATAATAAAGTCAATGGGACGCATGTGAGTGAGAACAAGCAGATCATTACGGATATTCTCCGGAAGGAGTGGAAGTGGGATGGTCTGGTTATGAGTGATTGGTAAGTCATCCAGCAACCCACATAGCATTTCTGTCGGATTTCCTCAGTCAGCCGAATGGGATATGCTTTTTGGCCCAGTATTTGGTATACTGACCTCTGCAGGTTCGGAACCTACACCACCTCCGATGCCATCGAGGCTGGTCTGGACCTCGAAATGCCCGGCAAGACACGCTGGCGTGGATCTGCCCTGGCACATGCCGTCTCTTCCAACAAGGTCCCCGAGTTTGTCTTGGATGACCGCGTCCGCAACATTCTCAACCTCATCAACTGGGTCGAACCCCTCGGCATCCCCGGAGGTGCCCCCGAAAAAGCCCTCAACCGGCCCCAAGACCAGGCTCTGCTTCGCCGCGCTGCCGCCGAGTCGGTCGTCCTCATGAAGAATGAAGACAACCTCCTCCCTCTCAGTAAAGATAAATCCATCCTCGTCATCGGTCCCAATGCCAAGATTGCTGCCTACTGCGGCGGCGGCTCTGCCTCCCTGGATCCCTACTACACCGTTTCGCCCTACGACGGCGTCGCCGCCAAAACCAACGCCGACATCCAGTTCTCGCAAGGCGTCTACTCCCACAAAGAACTGCCTCTCATCGGCCCTCTCCTCAAAACTGCCGACGACAAACCCGGATTCACCTTCCGCGTCTACAATGAACCCCCCTCATCGCCCTCCCGCACCCTCGTGGATGAACTCCACCTCCTCCGCTCCACCGGCTTCCTGATGGACTACATCAACCCCAAAATCAACTCCCTCACCTACTACATCGACATGGAAGGCTACTTCACCCCTTCCGAATCCGGCATCTACGACTTCGGCGTCACCGTCGTCGGCACTGGTCGCCTCCTCATCGACGACGAACTCGTCGTCGACAACACCAAGAACCAGCGTCAAGGCTCCGCCTTCTTCGGCACCGCCACCGTCGAAGAACGCGGCTCCAAACACCTCAACGCCAACCAAACCTACAAAGTCGTCTTCGAATTCGGTACCGCCCCCACCTCCGACCTCGACACCCGCGGCATCGTCGTCTTCGGCCCCGGTGGCTTCCGCTTCGGCGCCGCCCGCCAAACCACCCAAGAAGACCTGATCTCCGCCGCCGTCACCCAAGCCCGCACCGCAGACCAAGTCGTGATCTTCGCCGGCCTCACCAGCGAATGGGAAACCGAAGGCCACGACCGCGAACACATGGACCTGCCCCCGGGCACCGATGACATGATCTCCCGCGTCCTCGACGCCAACCCCAACACCGTCGTCGTCCTCCAATCCGGCACTCCCGTCACCATGCCCTGGATCCATCAAACCAAAGCCCTCCTCCACGCCTGGTTCGGCGGCAACGAATGCGGCAACGGCATCGCCGACATCCTCTACGGCGACGTCAACCCCTCCGCCAAACTCCCCGTCAGCTTCCCCGTCCGCCTCCAAGACAACCCCAGCTACCTGAACTTCCGCTCCGAACGCGGCCGAGTCCTCTACGGCGAAGACATCTACGTCGGCTACAAATACTACGACAAGATCAACCTCCCCCCACTCTTCCCCTTCGGCCACGGCCTCTCCTACACCACCTTCTCCCGCGCCAACCTCTCCCTCACCACGGTCCCGGAACAACCCACCCTCCACGACGGCGAACCCGTCACCGCCACCCTCACCGTGAAAAATACCGGCTCCGTCCCCGGCGCCGAAATCATCCAATTATGGGTCCTTCCGCCGTCTGTCACCGGGGTGACTCGTCCCGTGCGAGAACTCAAGGGCTTCACGAAGGTGTTCCTTAACCCGGATGAAGAGAAACAGGTGGAGATTGTCGTGGAGAAGAAACTGGCGACGAGCTGGTGGGACGAGCAGCGCGAGAAATGGGTCTCGGAGAAGGGAGAGTATGGGGTCTTGGTTACGGGGACTGGGGAGGAGGAACTCCGGGGGCAGTTTACGGTCGAGAGGACGAGGTATTGGGTGGGGTTGTAGGGGTTGTCTTCTTTGCAGCAACATTTTTTTTTTTTGAATCTTTAGAGATGGATAGTCCGACGTGGATGCGTGGAGATGAGGGAAATACATAGGGTAGGTAGGTAGGATGCTAGATCGCTTATGATTTGAATGAAATCTGATGAAATGACATGACCATGATGTATACGGTCCATGGGTCAGTTTGATATGGTTCAGCGAAAGGGAACGTTTGTAGGGGCTTAGTATGCAAAAGGCTTCAACAATCAAGAAAAAGAAAACGAACGAGAAATGGGTTATAGGGTTAGGGATTTGCTGAGTAGGCACGTATGCCACTGAAGTTAATATTGATGGTGATGGGATTCTGGGTTAGACCTGACTTTGCGGTGATGGAGTCATAATGGCGGGTTGGGCGAGAGACTGTAGTCTAGTTCGCCTCAGACAAACGGAGGTTTAAGGGGGTGGACAGATTCTATGGTATGTACGTGTCTCAGGAGTCGAATGAAGGATATGAGTTGTGTTGATTGGCTATGGTTATGGTGGCTATAGAGGCCTTCGGGCAGATAGAGCTTCCTTTTGGAGACTTTCGACGCAGGTGTTGTCTGCGAATGCTCGACTCGACTCCATTCCGTGGAAATTAAGGGGACTAATTTATATACAGATATGCTGCACAATGAAAGTAAGTTACTAATGACAGTAAAAAATTCTCTCGCTTTTGTCCTCTGATATCTGTCTATTGGCTGGCAGTCGTCGTCAATCGACATGGCATATGCAACGCAACATGAGCCATAGTAGGTTGTTTCAACCAAATAAAATGGCGCAATATGGTATCGTTTGGACAAGACATCTACCCCTGAATTTAACCTACGGGCTGGCCCGTCAGATACTAGAAGCAGTTGTTGAAAGTGGGAGTAATGCTGGTAAGTATTGTGGTCATTATCCGGCACAGGCAGTGGAAGTAAATATCGTCTAGCATCATTTACGGCAGCAAACGAGAGGAAGAGCACAGATCCCCTAACGGTGTAGTCATTACGCTTGACCTTGCTTTCGACGAGGACATGGGCTGGCTCTTCCCAGTAATTGGTCCTTGGCGAGGTGGCTGTACCGGTGTCGTAGTACAGGGCCTCCTTTTCCGCCAGGTTCGCGGGGTCGAGTGCAACGTCAAGTCAAGGCTGGGCTCTGGTCAAGCTTGCAGCCCGACTGGGCGCGGCTCTCGGGAAAAGCAAATATTGTTGGTCAGTCGGGATTCATATAGCTTATATGGAACAGTAATAGTGAGTATAGCTTAGCTCGTGGACAAGAGAAGGAGGCAGATTTCGTTGCATTTCATCATGACGGAGCAAACCCAAGTGTCTGTCTCGTCAAACAGAATGGTCTGTTTCAGCCATTGAGAGTCCTGGTTACAACGGCCTCCTCTGTATGGCCTCTAGCCCCTAGGTAAGGCAATGTCCTAATAGGATGCATCTAGCCCCGACGAATGACGACAGAAATTAACGCTCAGGACGCTCATCGCCACTCTCCGTGTAACCATTCTCAGTAGGCGACAGGAGAATCGTATTATCTAGGCAGAAGGCTCCAAAATGACGGCTGACAAAGAGGCTGGATCAGGGTGGATAAATACCGGCAGTCGTCCCTCCATCGTCTTCATCTTCCCTCCTTCTCTCCCTCTCCAGGCAGTCTCCATCCCTCAATCCGTAGCGATGGAGGACAGCCTTCTACCCAATATCCCGTTCAGCTCTTCCCCTGATGGCTATATATATAGTCTGCAGGGACGACGATACTATGTCCGTCCAGATGAAAATGTAAGACCCCCTCCCCTTGATTCACTATGCTGGCCAACACCAACTCATTTAGGCACCACCCTTCGACGGAGGCCCGGAGTCGACGTTCGTGACGGTCTTTCATATCTCCCATGAAGGGCCATTCACCATCACGATCGATTGGCTGGCAGCCATTATTTCGGAATGCCAGGCCAAAGATGATGTCTTCCACGTCTCCTTTCTCCAGGGCATCATTCTCGTCGGTCTGGATGATGCCCTCATCACGATGGCTGATGGTGTTCACGACTATATGCAGAAGGTAGGCATTGAATGGATTCAAAGCATTCCCGAGGGCGATGAAGATATCCATCCTGGACCATATTTCCTTACCAACGGACTTCTTCAAGAGGTCTGGAGGCTGTACCCCGACACAAATGGGGCTTTTCTGGAAGCAGTTGAACCAGGACAGACAAGGAAAGTCATCCCTTCGCCAAATGCATAGACATCGGGCTAATGATCTCTTCTTGCAGCCCCTTTCTCCATCTCTCGCTTACACATGCCGGGACCTCAGACATCGCCGTTACATCACGTCTCAGGTCTTCCCAATCTACCCTCCCACTGGCCGGACTACGAGTCGCTGTCAAGGATAATATTCATCTACAGGGGCTCAAGACATCTCTAGGCAACAGAGCTTATCACAAGCTGTCCGCCCCACAGCAAACGACAGCGGGATGTATCCAACAACTAATCAATCTCGGGGCGACCATCGTTGGGAAAACCAAGCTGAACTCGTTCGGGGTATGGGAAGAGCCGATTCACAACGTGGATTATCAAGCACCTTGGAACCCGCGCGGAGATGGCTATCAAACTCCCCGGGGTAGCGACAGTGGTAGTGCTGTAGCTGTTGTGGCCTATGACTGGTTGGATATTGCGGTTGGAACTGATAGTGAGTCTGCCTTGGCGTCAGTGTCTGTCAACTAACCGATCATAGCTGGTGGAAGTATCCTCCGGCCAGCTCTGTGGAATGGTTGCTTTGCGATTCGTCCTACTTGGGGTGCGCTATCGACTCATGGTCTGGTTGCGCGCATCGGGTACGACTATTGTCCCTCACGGACCGGTTTAAGTAAGCTAATGATGACTAGAAAGCTAGACACGCCCGGGTTTCTAGGAAGAGACCTTGGCATGTTCAGAGATGTTATAACTGCCTGGTATGGAGATGAGCTCCCTACCTTCAACCCTAAGGTACACTGCTTTCCGTCTGATCCCCTGGTGCTCTCTGACAATCGGCAGCCATTCAAAAAGATCATCTGGCCCACCGACTACTGGAACACGGTACACCCCGACCAACGCACCGTCGCCGAGAAGTTCATCCTAGACATGGAAGCTGCCTTGGGTATTTGGCACGAGACGATCTCGATCCAATCCAGATGGGAAACTCCCCGACCAGGCTTCGGGACATTAGACAACTATATGAATGATGTATGTTCCGATCCAACAATATGATCTCATCTCACAAACCGTCAGGCAATGCGCCATATCTGGTACGACGATTACCATGAGCATGATGACTTCCGCGGGGAGTACCAACGCCGGTTTCAAAAGGCACCATACATCAGTCCGGCCGTTCGCGAGAACTGGTATGCCCTTCTCACACTAACACCAATCATATAACTAAACATAGTGTAGGACCCGGAATAAAAGCATCACTGAGGTTGAGCGAAACCGAGCGGCTGCGAAACTTGATGACTATCGAATCTGGTTCCAGGACGCTATCCTTGCCCCGACTTCCGGCAATTGCCTCCTCGTCCTCCCGATAGAGAACATGAGCCCTAGCTATCGTGATGAGGGACCACAGTAAGTGCATGTCCTCGTTACTGTACCCACTGACTAACCAATCGTTCTTCAGGCATAAACAAGGCGGTCCCAGCGTCAACTCCCTCATGCTGGCATCCGTACTAGGCGCACCTGAACTAGTTGTTCCTAGTAAGTTTAACCTGCCCCAACCACCAACCCAAGACTAATCCCTTTCCAGTCAGCCAAATTCTCTACACCTCGAAGGTAACCGAGAAGGAAGAACATCTTCCCTTCGCTATCGGTCTCGTCGGCCCTCCAGGTAAGTCCATACCCCTTCTCACCACAACACAAAATCTAATATTGTTCTAGGAACCGACCTCCACCTCGTCACCGCAGCACTCACTACTCTGCGCGCCATCAATAAACCCATAGTTCTGTCCACTGGAGCGTCCGCTTTCACTGGAAAGAATTGACATCCATTTCTAAAAGCAGAAATTATGGTATCTTGCCTCTTATTTTTACGTTGATTATTATTAAGGATTATGGTTGCTTGGTAAAGTTGTGAAACGAATGGTAACTTTGCTTGGTATCTCCTATTACTAATGAGTGATCTTGGACTTGCTTGGTATTGCTATTGTTATTGTTATCTCTATGATTATTATTAAGGATTAATGGTTGCTTGGTAATGTTGTGAAATGAATGGTCACTTATCTTGCTTGGTATCTCCTTATTCCTAATGAATGGTCTTGGTCTTGCTAATGCTATTGCTATTGCTATGTTATGATTATGTATGCTAGCCAGGTTGGTCCATATGCTAGCTACCTTGCTAAATATTGCCTTTTATTCGGAACGACAACGAACTCAGGGAGACGTTTCCATGGAGAAACGATCCTTCTCAGCGACGGTGGGTAATATGATCTACGTGGACAAGTCCAGTCCAAGAAATGCAGATCTTGATTCGTACGAATAAGAATATGGAGCAAGTACTCTCGATGCATTCATTATGCCCATGCAACCACTCAACTTAACACAGCAAAACACCACACACTCCATGTCATGCTTCATATCACATTCCCCAATCAACAACCAACAATCAATCCATCTAACAGCGTACTCTGCCCGTCATTCAAAGGATCAGGACCAGACAGACAGACAAACCGGTAGTAACTATACGAACGCTACATCATATCTACCCAACATCTAACTAGGTAGAGGAATTCTAATCCAATCCAATTACCAATCACCAATCGTCACCCCATCCTCCCTCATCCGTACTCTTTCTCCCGGCCGCAGAAGTCGACGTCGCTGTTGTGGACGTAGCAGCAGCAGCAGCAGCAGCAGCAGCAGACGAAGCCGAAGAAGCGCCAGCACCACTAGGCCCCGTCTTCATGGCCGCCGTTCCAATCGCACTCGACCTGGATGCCGTCCTCCGATGACTATCTTCCGCTGCGAGAGAAGAGAAGGAATCCCAGAAGTCTTTCCGTTCGGGTTCGGCGCGGCCTCGCCGGGCTGCGGCCGCAGCTGCGGCTTCGTCGGGTCCTTCGACAAAACGTTGGAAGTGGTCCGCTGCGCCGCGGACACCGTGTTGCATGTTCTGGCCTAGTGTGGAAGCGTGGACGCGGGCTTGGGCGGCAAAGTCGGATTCTGCTATCTGTAGTCCGAGAATTAGTATGGTTTACTCCACGAATAGGGTATGAAAGGAGGGGGGATGGTACCGTCTTCGCCGTAGGCTGAATATACGTATCATTCACCGTCTTGGCGCCCTTCCCGACGGTCGTGGTGAACCATCCAAACCCCTTCGTCAACGCCGCCATCGGATCCTTTTGAAAATCATCGAACCCTGGAATCCCCGCCCCGTTACCCGTTGTCTTCGGCGCACTCGTAGCCGGCATGCCACCCCCAAACCCCGTAAACTTCCCCCCCTGCGACGGAGGCAACGATTCCGAGCGCGACGAATTCTCCGACCCCAACCGAGCAAAATACGCCTCGTTGCGTTCCTTCTTGCTCATCTCGGGCACTCCGTCATGCGACGCGGGGGATCCGCCCCTCGCAGCAAGCGGCGTGCTCGACCGCGACGTCGGTTCTTTCTTCTTCGGTTGTGCGGGTTGTTGGCCCGGGACGTAATCCCGGCCTTCGATCTTGGCGGAGAGTCTCTCTTTCCATTCCTCGCCGACTTCGCCCTCGTAGCGCTCTTTGATGGTGGAGTCTTCGAACGTGCGGCCTTCAGATTGTGTTATGGGGTGCGAGTCGAAGAAGGTCTTCCAGGGCTCGTTGCCTCCGTTTTCCATGCGAAGGATCTCGGAGGTCTTGAAGGCGTCCATGGTGATGGACCGGACAAAGGAGATGTGCACGCCTAGGCCGCGGTGGGTGCCGGCGCAGTTAAGGCAGATGAAGGTGCCGAATTTGGGTGACGCCTGGATATGGGGTTGTGTTAGTTTTTTTGTTATTGAGTGGGAGTGGCGTGTGGTGCCGTGCTTGAGGGGTCATACCCATTGGGGCGAGGGTGCGCCGCAGTCGCAGCATTTGTCGTTGCCGTTGGTTTTGGAAATCTGCTGGAGCTAGAGAGGGGAAGAGTCCGGGGAAGTCAGTCGGGTCGTAGGAGGGAGATGCAGGAGTAAGGGGATGGAGGGATGGTGGCATACCTTGGCCCTTGTCTCAGGGTCAACCTCCCACAATCGCGACATGATGAAAGCGGGTGGGCAGAGGTAGGAGCTCGGATGGATGGAAGAACAAGACGGGCAGCAATTGCTCAATGCTCCAGCCCCTGGATGCGGTGAGATCGGGGAGAGGTTCAGCAGAGGGAGAGGGAGAGAGACAGAGAGGGGCCGATCGGAGGGGAGCCACGGCACTACGTTTAGCCTCGCTCCACCCGCCCGATCCACTTCTTCCTGGTCAATATCCCAGTCCGCAAGCAGACGAGGCCATGACTACAACCCATGTGATTTATCTAGGTGTCTTCGGCCGGCAGTTCCACGATTGTTCCATGGTTCGTGCTCTATGCATGACCACGGATCGAAGATTCATATGTTGACTAAATTGATCGCATCGAAAACACGATCTATGGCTTGTGGGAACCCTGTCTCCGCCCGTCAATGCTCAAAAGGCCAGCTTCCGGTCCACTCAATCAGTTCCAGGTTGGTCCCAGGGGACCCATCAGAGAAAGTACCTGGGGATCTTTTCTGTTCGGTCAGACATCCGGGAGTGGTAATCGATTTGACCGACTAGAAGGAGATGTGAGCATGCGTTGATGTATAGCACACAATGGGAGACTCACTCGGAATGGCCAACTCGGGGCTTGAAGGATTGATGAAAGAAATGTGGCCCGCAGCCCAGGAACATTCGGGCTGCCTGTTCCATTCGTCCCGGTATCTGAGGTTCACGGTGTCAATATGCATCGTTAGCACCGTTCCAGTGATGTCCTTGCCCAATTCCCTATTTGTAACGCATTGATTCCTGTAGCTGGCGATCTTGGAGAAGTCCATACCAACACCGCCTCACCCCCTGTCACTAATGGACTAGGCCGATGTATTATGACATGGTTTTTTCGAACCTTCTCAGAGGATTTGTAGGCAGAGTAGAACCAGTTATGTCAGGTGAGCTAGAGCATCTCAAATGTAAGACATGGTCCAAACAGGACGAATTCGCACCAGGAGAAACCAACGTCCATTGTAGAGATATAAATGGAGATCCTTTTCCTCCACCGGCGAGGTCTACCGCCAGTCTTCGCCTATAGAAGAATGGTTGAGCCCCTAAACATTCCAATCTGGTAGGGTCACTCACTCACCGACTTGGGATGATGGCCATATCGCCTGCAGGAAAGCATGCTGCTGTCACCGTAGACTTTCCATACTCCGTTGAAAGTCCCTCGCTCAATGGATCACGGCCCACATGGGCAACGGGGATGTGGTTCGTATGACAATCCGCCGTTCTCCATCTTTCCAATAAAGAAGTGACTTTCTCGTTTAAAGTGGAGTACGCTCCAACTCCGCCAAAATTGATGCCTTGAAGGAACATGGCATTGGAAAAGCCTTCCTTTTAGAGGTAGGTCTTCCGCCATGCCTCTACGACACCTGCGTCAACTATCGTGTTCGGAGGCACATGGATGTAGATAGCGAAGGTACTATTCCTCACAATTACTTCCCTGATGGCGTAATAGTGTAATCCGTGTCAGACTTTTATCATGACTTGGAGGAGCGAGAATTTACATACCTTTGGCATGGGGTTGTCCTCGGTTGAGAATATAACTTCCCATTGATTTCCAGGTAGCTTGTCATCTTGAGAAAGTATATCGTACTGGGAATAAGGCAATTAGATGAGCTAAGGGTTCAACGCGTATTCAGAAAGAGAATAGTGGAGGACTTACAAGGACTTGAAGTAAAACAAGGTGAAAGCTTCTTGATGCTCAAGTTATCATCCCGCAAACAAGTGATAGTAGGATGTCCCGAAAAGCGTCTTCCTTAGTAGTCTTCTCTCGGATGGTGGGATTTCAGGTAGAGTCCGTAAGATATATTTCAAGGTAACAAACCACCTGACCGAAGAGAAAAATGAGAAGGATTCGTTGGTATTACCACGTATGGCCAGGAGGGAGAATTCGAATGTGGCAACTTTCACTCGGGCTTTCGACAACACAAAGGCCAGACAAGAAGCATGAGGCGAAGGGAGGCGTAGATCACGTATGGTGTTAAGTCGTTCACTCGTCCTTATCGAGTTGTTTCGATGTAGGCACAGTTCCCCGGTGTGCACATTGAAGAGGACAACCCGGCCATTATGTACTCATGTACGGAGGATGTACCATCCACTAGGCATCCGTGACAGCGAGGATAGATTAAAGAACGAGTCCCGCCCATCAGCAAATAGCGCCAACGGATGACGGGACTGATAAGCGCGACCGTTGCCTATCGGCCCCTTGCACCGAGCTTATTTATTCCCCATCTCTCCTCCCCAACTTCTTTCGATCCCCAACCCACAACATCCCCAAACACCATGCTTACCTCCACTCTGCTGCTCCTCTGGAGCACCGCCGGAGCTGCCTTGGCCTCGCCCCACCCTCGCTCCGAATCCCAAGTAGTCTTTGCCCCGTCCCCGGAGGGCCCCAGTGCATATGGCCATCTCGAGGTGGACGAGGCCATTCTCTCCGCCCTGAACACCCATTCCGACCCTGTCGCGGCGCTGGTATCTTTGTATCCTGAGCAGGCCGCTTTCCTGGCCGAGCCGCGTCTCTTGCATGTCCGAGGCGAAGAAAAGCCCGAATGGATGACTGAGGGAGACAAGATCCGCCTCCGCCGCCGCGGTCAAAAGTTCATAGACATCACCGACCACCATGAATTTTACGCCGAGCAGGCGACAGTTGCTACTGCCGGTAACCCAAGTAAGTTGTCATCTTCTAAGTATGAACCCAAAGCTAACATTTTCTTCTCTACTGATCTCCCCAACCTAGTCCACAAACGCCTTGTCAAGCCGCTATTCGCTCACATCGAGACGCAACGAATGTCCGACGTCCTCCGGCATATGACCTCGTACTACAACCGCTACTACGGTGACTTTCACGGCGAAAAAAGCTCCGAATGGCTTCATGATCACATTGCCGAGGTACCCCTCACCTCCCCTCTACGACCGCCAATCACTAACCCATCCAAGATCATTGCTAACTCGCCCTTCGGCACCCACATCTCCCTGGAATACTTTACCCATCCATTCCGCCAATCGTCTATTATTGCGCGTTTTGAACCCAAAGTCCGCAACTTTTCCCTGCCCTTGACCATCATCGGCGCGCACCAAGACTCTGCCAACTACCTCTTCCCGCTGCTCCCTGCCCCTGGTGCAGACGATGATTGCTCCGGTACCGTCAGTATCCTCGAGGCATTTCGCATCCTCGCTGAAAGTGGGTACGCGCCCAAGTATGGTCCTGTCGAGTTCCACTGGTACGCGGCCGAAGAGGGCGGACTTTTGGGCAGCCAGGCTGTCGCGCGGTACAAGAAGGAACAGGGCGCGAAGATTGGCGCGATGATGGAGTTTGTAAGTCGACCAATACTCACCATCATCTCATCTAACCATTCTTCCAGGACATGACAGCGTTTATTGCTCGCAACGCCACTGAGACGATCGGTTTTGTCTCGACACAGGCCGATGCCGCGCTTACAAACTGGACTGTGAATCTGAGCCGAGAATATATTTCCATTCCGGCAGAAGTATATGAGCTCGGACCGTAAGCTGATCCCCATGGTGGGTATACCAAGAATGCTAACAATACCAGCAACGCGGGCTCGGACTACATGTCCTATACGCAACTCAACTACCCCTCTGCCTTCGCCTCCGAGGGAAACCCTCTTGGCGGGGCGGGCTTCCCGGGCGAATTCGATCCCTACATCCACGGCGTGGGAGACACGATGGATATTGATGATGAAACAGGTGTTTTCTCTCTTGATGTGAGTAATCACTTTGTCTTACTCTGTGACATGCTGACAATGGGTAGCACATGGCTCGATTCTCCGAACTAGCCATCGCCTTTGCCGTAGAGCAGGCCGGATGGGATAATTCGTGGAGGTAGTATACCATATATAGATGCTTCGACTACACTACTCTTGGAAAGTTCCATTGTGCGTTGAGATCTGGTCTGCGCTAGGCAGATACCAGTACTGTACAGTCAGCGAGGAATATACATGTTATACTACAATGAAATGTTCCTACGATCCGTGGGAATACTCCTATAGACTCAGATTACACATCTGCTGGCATCCAATACATAAAGACCAGTGACCTGCTTCTATCACCTCCATTCAAGCCAGTCACACTTGATCAAGCATCTCAAGGCCCCGATCCGGGGTCTCGCACGATATACTCTCCAGTCATGCCTTATATACAAACCCCCAGATATTGATGCTGTGGGACGCGAGCAGAGCCTTGAGCCATGCCTTCGCATAGTCTAGCATCAATACGTGGCAACAGCTGCGCCGATTATGATGATCTGTTCCCATCACGATTCGGGCATTTCTCACCCCTGTCAACCAGCCGACACCAAGGAATACCAGTCTGGCTTCGCTACTCCAAGATCATCTAGACCGCAACTCTATTTTCTTCCGGCCCACATTCTCGACCATATCATGCATTGGACACGCTAGTCTATTCAGACATAGTGGTGGCACGAGTTTATTCGCTCGGAGGCGTACCACGACAATACTATCTATGAACTCGCTTCCACATACAACACCGACTTCATAGTCTCTGACTACGATCTAGACTCGATATCCGAATTGGAGATTACCCTTTACCAGTTGGCACTAGGGACTCCCATGATACCCCTCGATTTCCGAGAGATGTCAACCAAACGAAGACCACAAACTAAATACCCTACGCGAATGGCTTGGTCCGGATCAACCCTAAGTTTTTGCGCAGATATACAGCCTGGTCACACAGTATTTACAGCAAATACCTGGACAGGTCAACCACACTACAGTATCCCCTAGGCAAACCCTGGGCACTGATTACCTCAATCCAATGGAAGAGGTGAGATTGAAGTATCAGCGACTCCAAACATCTCAAACCCCGGCTTAGGACCATCGTAGGTCCTAGCCTTAGCTCCGTCCTTGTCAGGCAGCAATATGAGACGTCGTCTTCTGGGGGCGTGCCATACAGGTTTAGTCTCATGAGGAGAGGTATTCAGGTGCTGAACATCTTGGCTGAAAAAGTATAAGATGGTGTCACTCAGAACCAGGAGATGTGTGGTTCGTGCTGGGTACCCCGGTCAAAGTCAGATTACATTCTCGGGAGTGATGCAGTGGCTGCACTCGGTTGTCCGAGGAAGAGCTCAAGCTTTGCTTGTCTGATCAGAGCTGAAGTTGGGCGTCGAGTCCGCCATGCATAGACTAAGATGATCCAAGTCCAAGAAATCATGAAGATGTTCCGAGAATGATCTGACCATTTGACAAATTGAGACACCGCGCGTAACTGACCTGATTCGGAGACATAAGGATCGAAGTATCTCTCAACTCCTCGACAGATATTCTACCGACTACGCTAAAACCATTAATCGGCACTGGGCAGGACTCTGCCAGATTGAAGAAACATGCTGCAGCCGCCAGGAGAGCCACAAGCATGCCATCTCATATCCCAGGGTGTACAACGGTTTTGCTTTTCCCACACATTGCGTTTCGCTCTACCTACTATAGCGAAGCGAATACACTGGCTGTTGAGTTTGAGATGGACAAAGCAGGCTGGTTCGTGAAGTCAACCGGCCCAAGTTTGGCTGAGGTTGGGAGAGACTACGACGGATAGTTCTGGCAGAGTTATTGGAAAAGATCAACCATTTATATGGAAATATGTGGAGACTGTCGAACGCTCGTGACCACGGATGTATACGGGCTTACAGTTTGTAAGTTTGAGAATCTAACACCACTACCCAATCCCCTATGTCTGTCCATTCGCCTTGTTCCTTGCTTTCCAGATTAATGAATCCTAATTCCTGCTCACAGTCCCCCAAGGCATACTTTATCATCCCCTTTCCTGCAATCATCCTAGCCACGCCTATCCAGTCCGCACCAGGCGGTGATCCTCGGAAGTTACAGTCCCGTCTTCGCACTGCACAACTCGACCCTTTTGCTGGTCCCTGTTGGATCCTCCCAGATCAGTCTCAGACCCGAATCAACAGGAGTCCCAACCTCATCGTCTCATTAGACCATTATATCTTCGAGACAGAAACATTCAGCGCATGCGCGACGTCTCGCAGCTGCGCTGGTATAATTCACTCTCTTTCTTGAGGCAACCACAGGACGAGCGTGAATCGAAGGTGCAAATATCCCGAAACCTTTCACACGAGTCTCGACCCCATCTGGTAATCAACCTACCAGTCAAGCCACAGACGCGGGATACAGCACATACTCATCCCTTGAGTCCGGTGCTGCGCTGATTGGGTATAGTTTCGTAAGACTGTCATCTGGGAAAAGATCTCGAGTCCCGAGACGACCCTCACAGTTTAGCCCTCGGATTAGGAAGCCGTTGGAGATAAGAAGCTTACCCCGACTCCTTAGTTCTGTCGTCCCGAAAGAAAATTACCGCTGCGGACAAGGGTTCCACGCGAGAGTTCGACCCTACATCCATTGAAGCCATACAGCATACTTGACCCCAACCCCCTTGGATTCTGCACTGGGTAAATACAGTTGTTCGAACCTCTTGGCTGCTTTCGTCAGAAACAGAATCCAAGACTCACGCCTCCAACAAAAGTCCCTACGCGACTCCTGCCAAACGCAAGAAGTCAGTCATACCGCCAACGCAATCCAAGCTGCCTTAGTCCTGTGCTGTCCTCCAAAGCTCGAGATAACCACTCCTTACGCTGGCCTATCGATATGATCTCGGAGAAGATCAAAGAGAGAAACCGAGTACTCCTCTCGAAATGCACCTCAATCAACCCAACGGAGTCAACCCGAGTCCTAGATATCTATACCCCGATCAGCGTGTTATTCCACCTCCGATCCCCAGTCTCATGGGAAACCACAACTATTCACTACAACAATCCCAAGAGCCAATTAAGAAAGAAACCCAGGCACTCCCATCAAAACAAACCTCTACCGACCCAACCGAGCCCGTCCAAGTCCTACACATCTATATCCGATCTATGTCCTCTCTCCATCCCCAACACCAACACTTAACCACAACCGCAGTATCATCAAAACCCAGCCGAGGACCAGATGTCTACTCCCCGACATCCCCATTACAAAGACAGTCGCAGATACCCAGAACACACAAATATACCCTCCTCGCGCCCCGTCCAGCTACGTGCAAGAGACCAGGAAGTCTTATCTTCGCTTCTGTCTTCCTCTCCCTGGGTGCATGTGCATATATACTACGAGTACATATACTCTCCATCGTACAAATACACCAAGACGATGAAATACTCCCATTACCTAATCCTATGAACCCAACTTGCATGGATCCTTCTCAGTTTCCACTTCACTTCATCTATGATCTATCAGGAAAGGGTATGGTAGAGTGGGGTGAGGTGGGTGAGGTGATGTGGGATACTACTGGACGATGTTCGTCCTTCCTTCGTTTCCATCCTGACTCTCTGCCAGACTTCCGGATCTTCTTCTTCTTTATGGATTTGATTGTTCTTTTATCTATCAAGGTCCTCAAATATCACTCTTCATTACGGATATGGAGTACTATCTATATTCAACAATGATGATGAATGATATTTATCCACCTAACTGTATTGATGTGATTACTATATGATACTATCAACAGGATTTCAGACTATCACTCTCTACTATCGGATAAGAACTATATATCCAACATGAGTAGAAATATTCTAATGTATCAATCCCTGTCGATTTATATCCCATTCTATCTAGGGAATTTATTACTCATGCCTTTTTCTCCTTTATTCTACTGCCTATATCTAGCCTAGGTATTGTATTTTATTCGTTATTGTCAGTAATGATATCTCTGCGGATACATAGACATCACAGTATGATCAATTAACACAACTAACGGATGGGATAAGAATATAGTATCTGATTTTACTTTATTTACTCTACCTAGCACTATAAATTGCTCGGATAAAATAAATGACCGAAAATTATAATTGATTTCTGCTCAGAATAGACTCAACTACTCCTCACAGACCTTAGTATACCGGTCATGGAACATTCTACCATCTACCATAAATTACTAGGATAAATAGACCCACCGCCATCCAGGGTTGTGGACTGAAGCGGGGAACATTACATCACTGTTTCTTTCAATACATAGTGTCAATTTCACTGCGAAAGACAATGGTTCAAGGCATACAACTACATATGCATACTCCAGGCCAGCCTTGGGCAATCATAAGCTAAATAAATATTGCTAAGATACAGTAGCAGAAGGGCAGATCATGAGCAATGGTCAGGTCTGTCAACATTACGCATTTTCATCTCTCCAGTACGAATCCCTTTCGGGTATCCGTATACAAGATATAACCCCCCCCAGGACCGGACACACAGGAAGAATAGTAAAAGGCTTTTCGCTTTTGAACTTTTCCTTTCTGCTCTTGCGCCTTTCTCCCCAACCGGAAAAGACAAATGGCCTCCTGACGACGCCCACTATAAAACCATCCAGATGACGGGTCCAGACTCCTCCATGGACCCCCGAGTTTCCACGGGGGTTCTTCGTTCAGGTGGGGAACGAACTTGTCATTCAGGCAGCGGCCGGAGCAGCGTTCTCCTGCGCCGGAGCCTCGGTCGCTTCCTCCTCAGTCTTCTCGGCCGGCACGACAACGTCGTCCTCCTTGCCGGGGCTGTCGATGGCGACCTTGACGGCAATCTCACGGCCCTCAATCTCCTTGCCGTTCATCTCCTGAACGGCCTTGTCCTGGAGCTCCTCGGAGCCCAGGGTAACGAAACCGAAACCACGGCCCTTGCGGCGCTCGTTACGAGCCTGAAGCTTCTTGATCATGAAGCGAGGGATGGGACGAAGGGCGATCTTGGCGGAAACGGGCTGGTAATCGGCAAAGATTTCCTTCAGCTGGAGGGGAGGTTAGCATGCATCCAGCAGAAACCGCTCATAGTCCGTACCTTGTCCTCGGTCAGGTCATAGGGGAGGTTGGCCACCATGACCTTGGTCTTGGAGGGGATACCATCCTCGGGAGGTCCGCGCTGCTTCTGGGGACGAGGAGCACGGGGCTTGCCAGCCTGCTTGCCAGCCTCACCGGAAGCAACGGTCTCGTTCTGGTTGGTGACTTCGGCCAGAGGAGCAGCCTCGTCGGGGATGGTAGCAGTCTCAGTGGTCTGACCGTTCTGAGCAGGACCCTCCTACATGATGTTAGCATCGATTGGTCAGATCCCGGAATTATCGAAAGGACTTACAGAGCGGCTAGCACGGGGCAGGCGGCCTCCACGACCACGACCGCGGCCGCGGCCACGGCCACGACCACCAGCCCTCTTGCGGCCCTCGTTACCGCTGGCACCCTCACCGCCACTTGCGGCACCCTCAGCCTTGGCCTCGGCGGGCTCGGGCTTGCGGGCAAGCTGGACAGAGACCTTGCGCTGGAGGATCTCCTTTCCAGACAGCTCATCGATAGCAGCGGTGGCCTCGTGGGCAGTGGCGAGATCCACGAAGGCGTATCCAACGGGGCGGTTGGTGCGAGGGTTCACGGGGATGGAGACGCTCTCACTAAATTGAGCAATGTTAGATCGACCGAACCCAAACATTACACCAAAGAGCTCCAGACGGGGCGTGAAGCAGCGGTCACATGCTACAGGGCTGGACTAGCTCCGATGACAGCAAGGGGGCGGCAACGTGGCCCTGGACGGCTCCGAGGGAGCTTAGACCAACCGGGAGATATGTCGAGAGAAAAGGCCAGGTGGAAGAATGCAGGTCAAGCACTTACATGGTGTAGTTCTTGAAAAACTCCTTGAGCTCCCCCTCAGTGGTCGCATAAGCGAGGTTCCCAATGTACAACCGACGTCCTTCATCAGCACTGGCCGCGGCAGCATCGGTAGACTGCGCAGGGGCGGGAGCAGTGCCGTTGGTAGCCTCGGGGGCGGTAGTGGCGGGGACAGAGGCGACGGGGTCGGCGGTGGTTTCGACGGCAGCAGACATCTTGACGGTTAAAGACGCAACGGGGGGTTGAGCGTGTGGGAGAATTGAACGGGTAAGGTTGCGCGCGGGGAAGTCTTGACCGGTTTGTGTGCGTTCAGACAAGGACTCAGGGGAGCTAATGACCGCCTGTACTTGAAATTTCCTTGAAGAAGGTGGGATGGGAAGTAACTTGAAGAGGGGGGGTGTGGGTGGAGGAGGAAAAGGGTAGCTTGGTGCCCTAGATACGAGAGTTGACGGGGGGAAATCTGGTTGGAGACGATGAAGATTTACCTTGAGGAAGGATGAAGTCGACGGGGGGGAAAGGAGAAGGTGAGAGAAAAAGGGCAGGCAGCGAGGGCGGTGGCGGGCCTATGCCGAACGGAGCAGGTCACTGCCTGAAGATGCCTGGATCTGCCTGGATCTGCCTGAAGATGCCTCCCAGCTGGCCGGCCGTACCAGTTCCGTACCGCGCTAGACCGAATTGGGGTGCCCGACGTGGACTTTCCGTTGGGCGGTCTGGGCGGTCTTCAGGCACCTTCCCTGGAGCAGTTTAGGCCCGATGGAGCAGTTGGAGCCCACCGGGGGTCTGACATCACCGGCCTTGTTGACTCATCCTGCCTCATACGGTTGTTGGTTTGTTGGGGCGGGAACAGCATCGTGCTTGCCCGATGAATATGAGGTCGAAATGAGCGACTGCCACCACCAACCTCATCGATGAGGTGAAGCAAACTTAGTACCCGTGAGGCCATTATCCCTCAATCCTGCAGAGGGACGTACCTCTAGCTGCAGTCAGTCCCTCCCTCTCATTAGTCCGACCACTGCGAGCCCCATCCCCACTTGCCAACTTGTATCTGGCCAGATCGCCCTCGCTCCCGTCATCGCGACTCCACGCTGGTGTTCTCCCTCAGCCTGACTGGATGACCCGCTGTTGTTCAAGTGCTGCCCTGCTCATGCCGTGGATCACACAGAACGGTTCCAACTGAGACCTCAATTCCTCAGAGCTACCACATTTCTGAGTCGAGTTGGACACGGATTCCGGCGCGTGAGCAATCAATTGCGGAATGTCGTCTGTCACTCCTGTATGCATCCTGCAATATCGATACCCCTGCAGCCGAGACGACTAGTACATGACGCACCCGTCAATCATCCGGCAACCAATACCAGCCCGTTCCACGCAAACTTCCGGCCAGCCCAATTTCCCCAAGGATCTCCCAACCAACAATGCCTCTGGCCCGGCAATACTACCCGCATTCCACTTGGTGGGTAGACAAACCAATAGGATCTGTATCCAATATAAACAATGTACTCTGTATATCGTTCATGATGTTTCAATAGTTGTTCGGGCACCAATCTTATATCCTCCCATAAGGCCGTTTTGGTAAGCGTTTCGTGCTGTTTTCGTAGATCATCCGGAAGATAGTCCCATATTGTCGCGTACCCTATCCATCTTCACTGGTACCTCCAATCCACAACCTTCCACCTGGACCTCCATTTCACAGAATCTCACTTGTATACTGAATGATACATCGCCAGTCTCAGATGTCTCCCTTGTGGAACATATCCACTACCCTTCAACATCTTCCGGGAGATCAAACCGAACTTTCTTCTTCGGTTTACCTTGGGCCGAAGCAGGTGGCCCCCTACTCAGCGCAGGAACAAGAGCAGGCTTATTGCGAGCTTGTACGCGGCAATGTTCCTTCCAAGTGGCAATCATATGTCTCCCAAATCTCGAGATGGTAATCCCACTGTCCTCATGCCAATGGAAGTCTGGATCCGACAGAGGGCCGACAATCACAGCATTAATGGCCTGAGATACTTCACTTATGCTGCAATTATGAGAGGCAGCAAACGCCTTAAAGGGGAAGGATTGTGAGACCGTGCTCGCCAAGTCTGCAAAGAATTGATCCGTATAGGGCGGAGGTTGTTTACCTGGGGGAGTAACTGCTGCAGTCGGGATAGTGTCGGAAGTAGATTGTTCTTCCGCAGCTCGCTCTATATTTGCTTCTGTCTGGATGTTTTCTTTTCTCCGCATCTGTGACATCATGTTTCCCTCGTGGGGCTCCTCTGTCGTATCTGGGGAGGGAGTGTCATCTACCAGTAGAATAGGGCTGGACATAGAGTGCTGCGTCGCAGTCGGTATATCCGCTTCTCGGTGGATGTCTTCCGGGGTCCCGGTCTCCTCCGAGTTATCCTCGATGTAAATGGGAGACTCTGGTAGTGTGTCTAAAGGAGGAGAAGCAGGTGTGGTCGGAATAGAGTTGGAAATAGAGTGTTGTTCCGCAGTGGCTTGTATATTTGCTTTTGCGAGAACATTCTCTGTTACCGGTGACTCCCGTATCGTGCCCTGAGTGGAAGTGCCGAACTCCACTGCTGGATCGAATGTATGTATTTCATCGGTAGGCCACGCATAGAGATCCTCATCCCTTTGGGCATCAGCTTCGGTCTGTACAGTGGGGATCTGACCCTCGATTTCAGGATCAGTAGACTCCACAGCCGTATCCACTAGACGTTGGTGATCGTCAGCCTTCACCGGAGAGTCAGCCGCCATAGTTCGAGCCCGTATCCTAGGGACACTAAGCTCCGTCACAGTATCGGCTGGGCGCTTGAGAGCCTTGGTCGCTCCACGGATATCGTCGTCTGGGTATAGTTTAGCGGTCTCCATCAACCCTGAGAGCTGACCTGTCAGGGATGTGGCAAGCTCGATCTTACCGGCAGCTTTCTTCCGAGGATCGGCCAACGCCTGGGACTCGACGATTTCTGTGGTCTTGGGAATCTGGCCCCCCTTTCTGGAAGTAATAGGTTCTGCAGCAGTGCCGACAAGATTGTTGATCGCCATTTTGGTAGATAGAGCTGGGTTCGATCTCGGAGGGACGGGAGTTGATGAGCGGCAGATGGGGGTGAGGTAGAAAGACGTGGTATGATCAAAGGTGGGCACTGGTGGTCTCAAAATTGAGTGCTGGACACGATGGGTCGCACGAAAGATGGACTGTTTGTCAAGTGGGTTCTTTGCTGAAAATAGGAACTGGAGGGGTTTTATTGCCTTTGACAGGGCTAGCTGGCAGACGAGATGCCCAGGTCTTGAGGCTTAGGCAGAGATGAGTTGTCCGTCTTCAAACGCGACTAGAAGCGGTGAGAAGCGATACGGGGGAGCAAAAGATACCGAGAGACGCGATCTGTGGTGGAGAAAAGGAAAACAGAAAGACTTTGAGCACGCAGATGCAGAGATTTGTGTGTTGTGGTGAATGCTATGTCAGTGAATCGCGTTGTCAAGGGCTTATGGCATCGGCTCCACCCTTTTCGGGCTTGCCTTGGATGGGAGTCACTGCTGCAAACCTAATCTCTTGACAACGCAGTTCTTTCAATTTGACCCCGTTTCCTATGTATATGCTCTGCGATTTATGATGGGGAGTCTTTGGACCCGGGATGTTACTTGCTGGAGTTCTCGAAACCCGGGGACTTGATGGAATTCGGTGATATTTGGTGGTTGGAAAGGATCGGATCAGATTGGGATGTCGGGATTTGACGACGACTGACTAACGAAGCAAGCGACCTCAAGCATTCTTATATCGAAGGAAAATGACCCAAGTTGCTTACCATCCAAGGAGCATTGCTACGAAGGGCAGGACTCTTCCTTTAAGTCTGTAACAGTCGGGATACTCTTGCGCTTCTCTTTGTACTGCCGGTTATGAGATGCGATGAACAAGATATTGAAATTCTTCAGCACGATCTGGCTGGGGAGCAACACCCCACTCTCCTTAGCTAATCGAACCCAGCAGATGCATTATACGCTACATGTAGATAACCTCTCTCTTTTAGATGAAGTGACAGTTGACAGCATCTTTAACATTCCCTGACCCAACTCCTGAAACCCGATCCGCCAATCACTGGCTGCTATCACGGCCCTTGGAGCTATAGTCGAGCAACTTCGTAGTCTTGGAAACACATGATTGCGGTAACAGATCTACGTAACTCTGCTCGTGATTATTGACGTTTTTCAGCCGACCAAAAATATCAATGAGATTCTGTAGACACAAGCGAAAGGATTCGTAACCTGACATATTGTCGTAGAGAAACTCGGCACTGAGGAACAACGGGATGGGCATAAGTGGATGGATCTAGGCAAGACAGATCTATCAGTAAGCTGCCACGGTCTTCTCATCCTGATCTAAGAAATACTCACCTTGGAAAAGTGGAACTCGAGCAACATTTTGGCCAGACGGACGATATCTGCGGCAGCAGTCAAGGCCCGATTGACACACTCCATGACTTCGGGGCTGGCGTCTGAGTGATCAACAGGAGTGGGAAACAACGACATTATACCCTTACAGTAGTAGATGACGGTGGCCTGCGCTAGAATGTTGGCAAATAAAAGCAGCGGATCAGACACTTCATTAGGGGACGGATAGCACTGCGACAGGACCTGGAGCCTGGTGGTGAGAATGCCGTCTAGCCACCAACGCTGCTCCGTCCAGTCCAACGGGATTTCTCCGTAGGCCTTGGATATGTTGTACTGCTGACCCCGCAACAGGCTGCGTCCGCAAATTGTGGCGAGTATGAGGCATTCGTTGAACGGAGATCGCACCTTTGGGGTGGGCTCTGTCATGGCTTCAGATAGAAAGGCCCCCAGCACTTGCTGACCACTCTGGAAGTCCACGTCCGGGGCTGGCAAGCGAGTGCAAACCTGCGATCTCAAGCAAACCCATCAGTCCAAGAATCAAGTTGATCCAATGCTCTGTGCGTGGTATGGTAACTTACCACGTGCTCGTGCAACGTTAGGGGCCAGTTGTTACGCATGCTGAAAAGATGGTCAAGCAAGTAGGCCATCCAAAACACGCGACGCTTCTCCTCAGTTCCAATAGAATCTTCACTTTCTGGAGGCGAGATAGTCCTTGGGCTGTTTTTGGGGCGGTCGATCTCATGGAAACGCATTCCCTGTACCAAGCGAAATGCCTGGCCAGCACTCATCCAGGCCTGTCGGTGGCGAGTACGCATCGACTCGCATGTCGCAATAAGCACCCATGCCTGCACCAGCTCAGTGTTAGCGTCGCTGGTACCGGGAGATTCCATCAGGTGCTTCGCTTTGTGGTAGAGCGGCTCCGTCATGTCCCGAAACTGTGCCGAGAACAAAGTGGCCAGCGTCCACATTGCATACTGGAGACATGTGCGCGACGGCAACTTCGGGCTGGTTTTGGACCACAATGCATACCGCCGCTGGTGGATAATGGGGATCGACGGGTGTACGCGATCAAAGTAGAGCTGGTCTCTGGGAACAAGATTAGCTCCTCTCGTTCGCACCTGCTCTACGGACAAAGAGCTGGTCTTGTTACAATTCATCTCGCATGATATCTGTGATGTGTACAAGGGCATCAGGAGTCGAGGATAACGTGGAACTTAAGGACCAGTCAGACAAAGAACCCAAGTCGGCCACACAGCCAGTCGGAAGAAGCGCCTCAGGCGCCGGTGTTGTTGGAAGCCATAGCTGAGCATGGTCAACCACTGTTGTGTCGGGAATCTCCACCGGCGGTACTATTGGCATAGCATGGACGTCGCTGCTAGATTCCGTGCTGCGCTGCTGACTCTGTTGTTGCTGTTGAGCGTCGTTATGACTCTCCAGCATAGCTTCCAGATGCACTACTCGGTTCTTCAGCGCTTTAATGTAGCCCTTCTTCGGCCCCCGGGTACCGCGCTGAGTGACTTCACATATCGACCCCGAGTCTTGACAGCCCCCGCATAGTGGTTGCTGCCCATCGCACCGCAGCTTGCGCCGTCGGCACTCATCACAGGCGGCTTTGATATGTTGTCGACCCCGCGTCGGGAACGGCGACGGTATTACTTCCGCCTCGATGGCAGGGGGCATATTCACTAAACGATTAACAGGTGGGGTATGCCACAGTCGATTGTATGCTTGCTGACATGAAGATTAGTCTGGTAGAGGTCTGCTTTTCATTATTAATAAGCGTCAGCATGGAGTCGTGGCTATAGCTCAGGCTAATACCAAACAAGCTTCGCGCCATCTGATCCATGCATATCCTAGTAGGTATCCGGGATACACCAGCGATAGGGCCACAAACTGAATGCCTTCATCAGTTCTTGGAATAGAATTTGCTATTTCTTCAACTCATATAACGCCTCTAGGGCGAGAGACGTTTCACAGCTTCTCTAACGGGGCCTGAAAGTCGATTTTGAGCTGTACTATACTGATCTTCGCCTGTAAAGTCCAAGGTACTTATCTGCATCGGCCACTAAGAAGCAAGCGTGGCTCACTTGATAGGAACGGTAGGGCTGATAGCCTATAGAGTACAATGTCCCAAAATCTCTTAGAGCTGCACAAAGAAACATAAGAAACATAAGTAATGGAAGCCTGGTTGTCGTCATCTCAGCCAGTCAATGGCAACGGAACCGGAACTGGACCCGCACGGCATTAGGGTTGGTGCTAAATGCTGACCCTTGCAGATGCGCTGACCCAAAAGTGGATTTAACATCCTTTCGACATATCCTCGATCCTCATCTTCTTCGCTTGATTTTGACAGTGGAGTCGCCAATTTACTATCAACTTTTCGCGAGGCACAGTGTTGTGTGGTTCATTCGGATTTACCGGACTTTGAGGGAGTTTAGTGTAAACCCCGGTCCAGTCTCCGCATTTGCCGAGTAAGCTAGCTGCATGAGCGATTGCGAGTATCACGGTTCGATGTGAGGCGCGAGGATCAGAACGAGATAGTGGAACTCGATCATCATTCTACGAATCACGAGCCTGCCTTCTCAAGCAGAGAAGGGTCTCCTTGCCAAGACCCTGCCAGCCTGTTGTCTCCACCGAAAGTACCATGGGTGACGTCCAAAGTCGAAGTATGTGGGTTTCGGACTCTTATAAAAGCCATTCCCCGGATACGATGGATTCATCTTCCCATCGCCTTCCAGACAGCCCTTGTTGCGAAGTTCATCCCAGGTTTCTACTTTAGACAGACTACCAACAATTATATCCACCCAACAATCATTGCCCAACATGGTCAAGACGCTCACGTTCGGAAACATTCAAGTCCCATCGCCTGGCTTTGGTGCCATGGGCCTCAGCTTCGGGCTGGGTTCCAATCTCAGTTACGAAGAAGCTGAGCCGGTGCTCTTGAAGGCAATCGAGTTGGGATGTACCTTCTGGGACACTGCCGTGAGTTCAACCTGCCGTCTGAGAGTAGGATTTGCAAGCCTAACGTGTGAGCTCAAGGTTGCCTACCAAGCCGGTGTGAATGAGAAGCTCCTCGGAGACTTCATTAGAAAGCACAATGTCCGCGACAAGGTCTTCAGTACGTAATTCTAATTTCAGTTTGCAGTGAAGCTACTGACCACATCACAGTTGCCTCCAAATGCGGCTTCGACGTCTTCTCACCGACCCGTGCTGTCACCAACTCTCCCGCTCACATCAAGCAATACATTGAAGACACGACTGAACGACTGGGCTTTACGCCTGATCTGTATTATCTGCATCGAATCGATCCCAGTATGTTTTGTCTGGCCATAGTCATTTCGACTACTAACCGAAGGTAGACACCCCTCTGGAAGAGTCAATCCCCGCCCTGGACGAGATCCGTAAGGCGGGCAAAACCAAGTACATCGGCCTGTCCGAATGCTCGGCCGCGACGCTGCGCAAGGCGAACTCAAGTTTGTCCCCGTCTGCCATCCTGTTAGTTTCAGACTCGCTAACCGCAATTATAGTTGCCAAGATCGACGCAGTCCAGGCAGAGTACTCAGCCTTTGAGACCCTGCACGAGACGGATGGCCTGATTGAAACCAGCAAAGAGTTGGGTATTGCCTACGTGGCTTACAGTCCCCTCGGCCACGGCTGGCTTGTTGATGACTTCCCCTTCAAGACTCCTGACGATTTTGCGCCGGACGATTTCCGTCGGACTGGTGAGTGGTTACCTTCCCGGAGTATACTGGCTTTATTTCTAAACGACCACAGTCCCCAAGTTTCAAGGCGAGAACTTCTACAAGAATAAGCGTATTGTGGAGGAGATTCAGAAGCTTGCCGCGAAGAAGGGTTGCACGATCAGTCAAATCGCCCTGGCCTGGGTTGCTGCTCAGGGCATGATTGCCATTCCCGGCACGACCAAGGTGCACCGACTGGAACAGAACTGGGCGTCTCGGGAGGTCGACTTGACCGAAGAGGAGCAACAGGAGATGCGAAAGATTATCGACGCTGCTAAGCCCCATGGCAACAGATATGCCCCGGCGCAGCAGGCTATGGTTGGACATTAAGCTGATTGTCTCCTTGACTACGGTCTCATCATTCATTGAACACACTTACGCTTTGTTTTTGATATTCGGAGCACAGAGATGGGACAAGGCCACATGTATATACCATTGTTACCAATGTCAGGACCAAGTCGAAGGGAATCTTTCGTTGATGAATGCCTGAAAGAGATTACGTGAGACCCGTATTCCCTCCGTACTCCGGACGGAGTATTGATCCTTTTGAGGTCACGGACCAATCACCGACTGCCGTTCGAAGAGCGCACGCACGGATATCGCCTTAGGCCGTCGAACGGGGGCTAGACCGCAACTGGGGCAAACCCTCGAGACCCTGCGTTTTGTTTGCTGATAAGGCGAGGCTTCTTGCTACTCTGAAACGGCTATTCATATCTATCCTATCCAGTGGCCACATACTCCAAGTTTCTCAATGATTATGGGGGAAAAGGACCGAGCAAGATCCGCGACATCCCCGGGAATTGGAGGGGAAACAAGCCTTTGGGGGATCGATCGACGACGCAGTCTTGGCATCCGTCAAGTTGCGATGCTGGCTTAGTCACGGCGCAACCACGGGCGCTTTCTTCGAACTAGTTTTGGCACCTTTGCTGGCACCCCCAATAAATTTAACCTTTGCGGCCCCTTCCACCTTTCCCTTCTTCATCGCCTCTCGCCTGTCTGTCCCTTTCCCATCATTCCTGTGCCTGTCTATGTGAAAGATCTCTGTTGACGCTGTCTTTAATGGATCCCATCGAGCCCGTCAACGGCTCGCCCGATCCCCACGAAGACCAGCCCCCGACCGCCTCCCGACCGACGTCATACCCCCGACAACGTGCGGCTTCGCTGCGTTCCCGCCGTCCCTCCATTCGCCTCCAACGCCTCCCTTCGTTCGAACAAGCCAGCCTCTCCACACCCCGCTCGCAGCAATCGCAGCAGAATGGCGATAGCGCCAGCCGACCGGCTGGATCGACCCTGGCCCCTCTTCCTTCCATTCCTGCGGCTTCCACCGAAGACGAGTCATGGCAGGGCAATCGTCGCCGCAGCAACTCCGAACCTCGACCCGGGCGATGGTCGACGCCCAACCCGGCTGCCCTCGCGCGGCTGACAACGGCCGACCAGATGCATCCGGTGAAGGAGGAATCGTCACACCATAGTCCGATCCCCGCGGAGTCACGTCGACCACTCCCAGAGGTTGTCCCGCCGCCGCCTGAGATACCCAGAAGGGGAAGTCGAAACCCAATGCGGTGGGCGAGTGGAGCGGCCACGAACCGGTTCACTAGGAATCGCGCGACGACTGTGAGCGGAAGCGCTCCAGCTCAGACTGATGAGATGAGCGATGAATATCGCCCTCATATTGTCGACGTTCTGGACGTGATCGGTACATCACCTTCGCTGACTTTATTAGTCTTCTAGGCCAGGATACTGACTGATATTTTATAGATCCGGAAGTTTCGGCACTATCTACGCTCACCAACGTGCAGAACTCTCTGTTTATTCCCAATCTGGGGCCTCTCTTGAATCGTAACCAGACTTATACCCTCTCGCCACCTTCTCCATTAAGAGAACTAGAAACGACAAGTGACGAGGAGCCTTCGGACGAGACAAAGGAACCTGAAGTCCGTCCATCTATCGAACATACTCTCACGTCTGTTATAGCTGAGGCGGGTGAGCCTCGGTTTGCTATACTGCCAGATGGCAGTGACCTTGCGGGTTGGAGTCATGAAGAAATAGAAGAGCTTAACGATCATGTCCGGCACATGCTGCATTCTCGCCGATCAAAGTTTAAACGATCGATGAAGGGCTTCAGGAAATACGTATCTAAGCGTGGGTCATGCCCTCCGCCTCTTCATATTGACTGCTAACCTTTTTTCGCAGCCCTTGGATTCCTTGTTACCCTCTATGCCACCCTTATTACGCTTTTTGGACTGGCCTGGGTACTCTTCCTCATTGGTATGACTCTATCCGAGATATTTACGAGCAACTCATAGGACCACGTGCTAATGCAGTAATAGGCTGGATCAATGTCGGAGGCCGGCAATCTTATATCATTAATGTCATCGATAACGTCCTGGTAGCCCTCTTCGCAATCATGGGTGACGGGCTGGCCCCGTTCCGAGCAATCGACACCTACCACATGATATTCATCGCACGGTACACGTTTATGACTTGGAAAATCCGCCGTAAACGCCACCTGCCCGATCTCAAAAACAAGAACGATCTTCCGTCACGACGTGAAACAGACGTCGATGTCGAATTCGGCGACACCCCGAAGGACGAAGAGTATGAGTTTACTGTGCTCGACCCTGTGCGGCAGCAAAAGCTCATCCACCACCAAACCAAGCTGTCCAACTCCCACACCTTCTACAAACCCCACGAAACCTTCACCCACCACGCCTTCCCCATGCGCCTGCTCATCGCCATCGTCGTGCTCCTTGACTGCCACTCCCTCTTCCAGATTGCTCTGGGTACCTGCACATGGGCCATCAGCTACCATGTTCGCCCTTTCGCCCTCACCACCGTCATCCTCTGCTGCTCCATCTGCTGCAACATCACGGGCGGTGTGCTGATCATGGTGGGAGACCGCATGACCCGCAAGAAGGACGTCGTCGAACGTCTCTTCCGCCAGCAGTTAACCGAAGAAGCGATGAAGAAGATCCGGAAGAAGAAGCGGAAAGAAGAGGAGAAACGCAACGCCGAAAATGGAGGTGTATCACGCTCCCACTCAACCTCCTCCCAATCCCAACGGCAGCCATTGCAAGCGCAGAATAATGAGGGCACACATGAATCATAATCCCTCCTTTCCCTCCACTTTCCAAATGCACATCACAACTCCTCGCACGCTTCACGACGCCTACGATACTCCATCTCCCATTTCTCCCGACAATGATATCCCCACCGCCTCCATACCCCATTCTGCTTCGCAAAAAAGCACGAGGATCACCACACCATAGATGGATCTCTCTGTACTAATATATACGCACATATCTGTTGTATCTATCTTTCGCCATGTTCAAATTTGCTATGCTACTTGTCTGTGGAATTTCCAGCGATTTTATTTATTGCTAGTTATCTTCTATTGAATGTCAGAGATAGCGATGCATATATATGTTGCATTGACCTGACTATCGCCATTGCTGTTCATATTTCCGTCTCTATTGAAATCGCGTACTGCTAAGACACAGCGTGTCATGCATATCTGGAATACTAGTATATACTATTATATTTTTCAGTACCTACATACACTACACAACACCCAACCTCTCAAATCAAACTGCAGTAAAGTTGACTCAAAAGTAGAAAAAGAAATATCCATAGACAAAGAATGTAAGAACCTTATGTAGGGTTGGTTATATAGACATGCAGTTGGCGCTCATGTACAAAGGTGCTCGGTGCACGGTGCTCTTTTAACGAGCTAGTGCTAGTCTGAACAGACCCGATCAGACAGACGAGGAATGTATAGATAGGAGCAGGAATATGAAGGTAACGAGGGAATGAGAAAAGTGAGAAAAGGGTTGGAATAGGAGAATGCCTCGCTCAGGATACTAAGCATACAAATCCCAGATTGATGCTTGAGATTGGGAACATGATTTCAATGGGCCCAAACACCGCAACTCGCTGATAGACGAGATGGTTGAAAAAAGGTAAAGGAGAGTAAAGGAAAATTGGGAAACGAAGGACGTATGGAGGCTGGTTTCACCATACAGAGTAGGGGGTTGATTTCTCACCCATGTTAGTATTGTTTGTTTCAGTCGTGTGGTGTTGGCGGTTACAACTCGGTGTGGCCGACTGCTGAGTCGGATCGCCGATCGAGTAGGATCTTCTCGAGCGTGTCGAGCCTTTCGCGGGTGGTGCGGATGGCATGGTCCATTTCGAGATCGGACATTTTCTCTTCGTTGACTTTGCTGGCCAACGCACGTTCGCTCTGGACTTTGCGAGAGTATTGCTGTGTGCGCGACTCCATCGTCCGACTGACAGTGGGGACGGCGAGGCCGTCCATGCCGACCCGGTCTTCCAGCCAGCTCCAGAGCTCGCTTTCCTCCCGGCGCCACATCTCCTCATAAGCGGCCAGGCGCTGGGGTAGTGAGTAACCGGGGCACCCGATGTCGTGAGATACGATAGACGACTGAGAGGGTCTTCGGAAGAAGAGAATGAAGAGCAGGATGCCAATTATCACAAAGGCAACGTTTCCGCCCAGCAAAGGCTTGACCATGTCCACAACAGGTCCAAGGATTCCGTGGAGTGGCTCCAAAGGCCCCCAGGACTGCGCCTGCTGCGCCTGTGCCTCTTCCGCTGCCTTGGCGGCTGCCGCTGCTGCTGCTTCCTGAGCAACTTCGCTCTTCTTGCGCCGTCCCTTGCCTTTGCCTTTGCCGCCACCTGTGCGGCCGCGAGGGACAACAGCGGCTTTGAGGGCAGTAACTAATTCGTTTCCGAATGTCGTTTGACCATCCATCGCACCCTTTTCAATAGGACCTATTTCCATTAGCACAGTGATTTCTGATCGCCATCCGGCATTAGGACATACCTTTCAGCCAACTCTTTCCTGACCACTCGATGGTACACGTCATGAGGAACCGCGTCTGATTTCCTGGTGCCCAGGTGAAGAGATATTTGGTTTTGGTCAAGAAGACGTTTCCGCTGGGCACGTCAGGCGTCTGTGTGCTCAGCGTAACAAGAACGGCCTTTTCCAGATCGAGAAAATCCAAAGTCTCAGTACTGATACACTTGGTCTGCTTGGGACCAATAGATCCGTTGAGCGGTTTGATGTAGGAATAGTTTCTCGTGCGGCTGTCGTTAGTGAGGCCCTTGTTTCCACTTTCGAACTGCAGCTCGCCCGACTTCTGATTGTCGACGAGGAACTTCGTCATAAAGGCACCGGAGGCCGGCCCAAAAACGTACGAGTAGACTTTTCCAAGAGGCGCTGGGATCACATCGTCCTTGATCAATTTGTCGTACTGACCCGCAGGGTCGGTGTACTCCGTTGGAGGGTGAGTAGATGGACCAGGGAAGTCAGCGTCACCGTCAGCTGGTGAGCCAGATTTGCTGCCTTTTGCATCGCCATTGGAGTTGGAACCCGACTGTCCCGAGTCCTTCGCATTGGCGAGAGGACCCGAAGCTTGGCGGCTTACACTCTTGGTAGGCAACGATTTGTCGCTTCCATTGATGCTAGCGCCTGCGGCTTCGAAAAGGCTGTCCGCGTTGTCGCCTTCCTCATCCTCATCGTAGATCTCGTCTTCTTCCTCGCTCTCATCGTCGCTCTCTCCGGCCTTCTCGGTTTTATCCCCGGTGCCATCAGTAACCCTGGTTCCATTGGCGGAACTCTTGAGGGAAGGATGGTTGATCTTCCAGATATTGACCATGAGATCATAAGTAGACTCTCGACTTAGAAGACTGCGGAAGGTATGTCTGGCGTGTAGCGTCTGAATAGCTATCGCATTCGGAAATACCATCGCAGTTGACTCCTTTTCAATGGCCACCACCTCATCGAAGCTGATCACGAGGGTGGTCACCCACCCCAGGATATTACTGGAAAAGCAGATATGACCCTCTGAGATGTAAATTCGACCAGCCAGGATAATCTCTCGTTGCAAAGCACAGCTGTAGTCCTCGATCAAGTAATCATCTTCCGGCACGCTGCGGAACAGCTGATGAAAGTCTCTGTTTCGCTTTTTGCTGGCAACTGCAAAGCCGGTCAGCCGAGGCATGCTGGCATTGGCGGTCGGGGCACCAAGAGCGATCGCACTGGCGCCAATCGCACCAATCGTGGATGTGGTTGCTGAAGATCCCCGGTGTCGACGCCGGGCAAGCCGGCTCCGCACGCTTCCACTTCTATGTGGCCGAGTGGTACCAACTTCTCCATCAAGGATACTGCCATTCGGTGGCGTCTGATCACCGGCAGCTTCCTTTGTGAGAGATGTACTAGACTGTAGGTCAAGACCGTCATCCGGGACCAGCGACGTCTCAGACGGCTTTTCATAGGCCATGGTAACTGCTCGGGCGGCACGGCTATCTTCGAGTCTGGCTGCCTCCTCATCCCGTTGGGATACGCCCGGGCTCTTGCGCTTCTCAAGTGGTAGGTCTGGCTTCGTGATCACAACGCCATCCGGTGTTGAGACAGAACCCCCGGGGGGGATCGCGATATCCAGATGACTGAAATCCAAGTCGCCAGACCCCAAGGTGTCCACGGCCATCGGCTTTTTCTCCTCTGGTTTGCTGTTGTTGGCTGACTGACTAGGGTTTGCGGTGACCTCACTAGCCGGCTGGTTCTCGGACTCGCCCATTCCTGCTTGGCTAGCATTGCGCGCTTTCGACTGAGAATTGAGACTGCTGCTCAGCGTCGACGCGGCGTTCTGTGCTGCTGAAAATACAGAAGAGAAGAACCCAGTCTGTGGGGCGCCCGGTGGTTTAGCACTGGCCTTCGTTTCTTCGACAGTCGGACCCAAAGCAGATATGGAGTTTGAGAGTTTGCTGGGCTTGTGACTGGCAGCGGAGGCGGACCGCACCCGTCGGTGCGATATCATATTCCCGGAAGGACTGACAACGATGCCGGATGGGCCGGCCTCTTTTGAGTGGATAGAATCAGGCGATCTAGTCACATCCGGAGAAGTGAAGAGCTTAGGAAACTCGGTGTTCGGGGTAGGGGGAGTTACGGTGGTATAAGGCTGCGGAATTGCTGTGTGCGGGGGCGTTCTCGGGGCGGGTATGTCTAAAGAAGGAAAAGGCTTATCTCCCTTGAGATCGGTGCGGATGGGCGCTGGTAACGGCGGAGGCGCTTCGTCAATGATAGTCGGAGCTTTCTTCGCCGATAAGCTACCACGTCGGTTGCTTTTCGTGCTCGAAGTAGACCCTGCTCGATCGCGGTTGGGGGATTTCTTGTCTGGATTCGAACCGAAGGCGTTTTTGAAGCGCCGCCCGGGCGAGATGCCTCGTTTCTTTCCACTGCGCTCTGATGGCACACTTAATGTAGAACCGGGGTGGCTAGGCGGCCGTGAGAGCTCTGTATCCTGCTGAGACTCGGGGGCGGTAGATTCCACATCGCCTTGAGCGCCTTCATTGTTTTCATCTACCGATTCGGTCTTAATGAGAGGTGAGGAGGAGGTGTAGAAGCCGGCATGTGAGTTCTGGGAGGTAAGAGGGGGAGTTCTTGGGCGCAGTCCGACGTTAGACAACCTGTTCACTTTCTTTGATACTGTACCAATTCAGTAGGGACATGCAGACTCACCTTTCTGGTTCGGAGTCGTCCGTCAGCAGGTTGAGAGCGTCATTATCTACAACGGTCAGATTCTCGTTGGCGACTGATGAGGTGGTCGAAACACCATCGCGCGACTCTGTCGAACGACCCTCTGGAACATCCCTATCACCCTCTAATTCTAGCTGGGTTGACGATTCATCTGACGGTTTCTGATTCTTCTCCTTCTTCTTCTTTCGTCGAGCGGCTAGAAGCTTTGAAAATCCGCTGGATCCTGCCTTGGCGGAATCAGCCTCGCCGGATTGCGACTTCGGTCTATCGGATGTTGAGTCGAAGGAGGAGCGCCCATTGCTGCGGCCCGAGCTTCCCATGGTCTCCAGATCAACCGGAGTAGTCTTGGTGCGATTGATCTTGTTGAAGCTGGGGATGTCGGAGTCGGGGACCGGGGGTGGTTCGGGAATCGTGGAGTTCTCCATGTTGGATAGGCGGATTGAGGTGCGAGAGGTAAAGAAAGGGGAGGTAAAGAAAGTAATGAAGAGGATTCACCAATTGTGTTAATTGTCAGGTGAATGTTGGAGTACCACGGTAGTACGCATGTTAGAGGTCAGAACCTGTCGACGTCTAGCAATGCATGGAAGAAGCGGCGTCAGCAAAAAGGAGGGCCGATGAGGGGGTGGATCAAGTATTGCTGAGTCTAGACGGTCGCAGACCCAGCAGCACGCCCGTCCTTTTTCTTTCCTTGCGGTGGGGTCTTTACGAGACGGAGGGGGGAAGAAGGGGGGAAAGAGAGGTGACGATGAGGAGAAGGAAAGCGAAACGGAGGCGCTTCGAGTTGCACTCCGCAATGTTGCCTGCCCGCCAGCAACGACGGTGAACTGAACGGAGCATTATTACCGCAGGTGATCATCTCCCGCCTGTATTTCTCCGCCGGGAGGATGTACACAGTCGCAACGCGAGTGGGGGTTCCCGATCGGCAGGAACAATTTACGGTGATGAGTCTGCTGTCGCTAGGATCTTGGTGCTTCGTTGTACTCTGCTTGGCTCCTTTCCAGCTTCCGATCCTTAATTTATTGTGGTCGAAGTAGTGCAACCTCCTATCGGCTGCAGGATAATTATAGAATTAACCGCGGCGACGGAGCTGTCACCGTGTATGAGCTTGTCACGGTCATGACCATACTTACCGCCCACACCTGGATCAGGGGGGAAGTGGTTCCATGGACGCTTCGTTGGCGTGAGGGGCGGTAATGTTACCGTCCCATTGGTACGGCCCCGTGATCTGCCCGAAGCGGTGAGGGGATGTCGTCACTCTAGCGATAGTCTCCTCCAGCCCTTATCTTTCCTAGTCTTCTTGCTTCCCCAGAAAAAAGAACCGCGTCGGATTGGAGGTTGGCAGGCGGCTTGCCTCTTTAAAGAGTATCGAGACAACCGCAGCCATGGAGACCGCTCCTCTCACCTTGGTAAGTCTTCGTTTGCACGGCCTGCTGGCAGCCTCCTGCGTTGTAATCCCGGCCTGACAAACCCCTTCGGAAAGGCTCATACCCACGCTCGCAATGCAGTTCTCGAGACTCGCAAATCGAACCCCGTAGCTGCCAGCGAGGAACATGACTTAGCTGCAGGCGAGTTTGCGACTGCAGCCCAGAACAGCTCTGATCGAGAGGTATGTTCCTGACGCGTTCCTGGTTCTACAGCCACCGGAGGCTGACACATTTCCTGGGCTGCACAGGCCTTGCGGACCCTTCAATTGCTCGAACAGCACCACAAGAAGCTCGCCCAGATCCTACGCTTTCAGCATGAGAATCCTCCAAGTACGGCGGGTGCCAATGCGAATGCTCAACTACTGGCAACGGAATCCGGGACGAGAACGTCCGCATCTGCTGGAGATCCACAACAGCCCCCGCGACTATCAGGACATCCTCGTCTACCATCAAGGGAGTCCTCCTCGATTGCCAGCAATCTTGCTTCAGCACGGGGCATCCCATCGCAGCCACGCCGCGCCTCTCCGGCATCTCCGACAATCACTCCTCAGCAGGCCGGTGCAAAGATGACAGAGGGTCCGACAAAGGTCCGGACGAGCGAGTCGCGACTGCGGGGTGCTCAAATGCAAGGGACGAAGGAGCGCCTGAACCGTATCTCGGTATCGAAACAATCCTGGACCCCGCCAGCACCAAGCCCTACCGATATCACGTCGCAGCAATTCGCACCTCCAGAGCCCTCGGAGCCCGTGCGCCCGAAGTCTCGAGCCCCGCACACAGAGGACCAGCCATTCCAAAAGTTCTATTCCACCTTCGAAGGCCTGATCTCGAAGATCTCTGCGCCGTTGGCATTTGCGGGTCTCCCTCTAGGCATCGAATCTTCCGATTCCACTAGCCGCAAATCTGCCCCGGACACCAAGACCGACCGGTACAATGCCACATCTGATCGGCCATCTCTGTCCGCCGAACCGGATCTCAACAAGATGTTCTCACGAGCAGCCCTACAAGCGATCAAAGACACAACCGGCGGCGGAACAGGAAGTACAGCAGAATCCTTCTACGTCGTTCCCACGACCGGCGGAACAGTCTCATACGCGGGGATCCTAACAAGAGCCGAAAAAGAAGCCCGAAGAAGCAGCTTCGAAGACGGCGACGAGGACTTCGTAGACGCACGCGAGACCCCCCCATCTCCAGAACTGCGCCAAAGCCTCTCCAGCGCCCAAGGCAAAGCAGCCCGAAGCGGCGACAAGTTCAACAGTCTCCACAACCCCAAAACCATGGAAGAACTGCAAATGGAAAACCAAGCCCTGAGACACCTATCCGACACGCTCTCCAAGCGCCTCCACATGTGGGAAGTCAACGCCCAATCATCCTCCATGGCCCTACAACAATCCCTCAAAGCAATGCACCATCAAAACATCCCATCCCTTGACCATCCACCCCCTCTCCCATCCATCGCCGCATCATCCGTCACAACCGGCGGCCTCTCATCCCCACCCATCACAGACCACGACCAACGAATCAAAGAACTCGAAGACATGGTCCGACGCGGCGAAAAGGAACTCAACAAAGTCGGTCGCGAGAACGACAAGCTCCGCGACGTCCTCGGCCGCTACCGCGAACGATGGGAAAAACTCAAAGAGGGCGCCAAAACCCGTCGAGCAACAGCAACCGCAGCTGCAGGGGCAGGTAGCTCGGCGGCCACGTCGTCTGCTGCTGCTGCCGCCGCTGCTGCTCAACCTATCCGACGGCCCAGCATCCAGGCAGATACAGATGATACGCATTCGAGAACAGGGGGTGAGACGGAAACAGCGGAGAATTCGAATAATGAACGAGAGGGATCGGATCAGTGATTGTGATTAGGATTAGCGCGGCGGGTGTTATATTAATATGTCCTATCCGTGGCTTTGTTGTGGCTCGGTTGTCGTACCTGGCTGTTATTTATTTTCTAGTTCGGTTCTTATTTTTACTCGGCGGCGTAATTATTCGATTTTTATGTTGTTACTCTACGAAAGCAAGCACACGAACTGAATTGAACTAAACTGGACATTATCTGTCAGAATTATGCATATCCTTATCCTCCATCAAGTACCCTTCCACCTAAACATCAACCTACTCAACATAAAACACCGCACTCCCCCTAATATCCAACGAACTACTACCCACCAGTACCCCAAACGCGCCCTTCTCCACCACATACTTTATGGACACATTCCAAAGACCCAAATCCTCAACCTTAATATCTACCTTGACATTCGTCGTCTCCCCCGCGGGAATAACCACCTTCTCGAACCCCTTCAGCAACCGATTCGCCACCACCACCGACGCAATCTCATCCACCACATACACCTGCACCACCTCAGTGGCCTCGCGAGTCTCATCCAGATTCTTGACGTCCACGCTAACAGTCACGGTGTCTGCGACGGTCACGTTAGTCTTGCTGAGTTGGAGGTTCGAGTATTCGAAGGTGGAGTAGCTTTTTCCGTAGCCGAAGGCGTACACGGCGTGCGGGTCGCCGAGGACGTATTGGTGGCCGAAGTCGAGGGTGCCGTTGGCGTAGGCGTGGCCGGCGTCGCCGATGTTGCGGGCGGAGTTCAGGTAGTCGTAGTAGATGGGCAGGTCGCCGACGAAATGCGGGAAGGAGACGGAGAGTTTGCCCGACGGGTTGTAGTCGCCGAAGAGGACGTCCGCGAGTGCGTTCCCGCCTTGTTCGGAGGGGTAGAAGTGTTGGAGGAGGGCGGAGGTGCTGTTCGCGATCCAAGTTACGTCCGTTAGGGGCTTGCCGCTGGATAGGACTACGATGGTGGGGACGCCGGTGTCGCGGATGGCGCGGATGAGGGGGCCTTGGGCGCCCACGAGGGAGAGGTCGTCGAGGTCGACGTGTTCGCCGGTTCTGTTTGGGAGGGTTGGTTAGCTGGGTTGACTTGGGGGAGGTAGGAAGAGGAAGGGAATGTACGTGGCGTTGTAGTTCTCCCAGAGTTCGGTCTGGTCCCGAGACCAGGTGCCTACCACTACGATGGCGACATCGGATTTCTTCGCTGCAGCAATGGCTTCATCGAAGCCGGATTCGTCGTTGCTCCACCGCTCGCAGCCTTGGGCGTAGTTGATGGTGGCGGAGTCGCCGACGGCTGCCTTGATGCCGTCGAGAGGAGTGACACCGCGCCATTGGCTTCCGTAGATAACGTAGTCGCCGTACTGGGTGGGTTAGCAGATGATTTGTATGGGAGGGGATTATTCGTGGAGGAGAGTAGGGGCGTCTCACGTTCATGTATCCATGCGCCATCGGTCCAATCACGGCAATGTTGCCGCTCTTCTTCAGCGGAAGGGTGGTGTTGTGGTTCTCCAGCAACACGATGGATTCCTTGTCCAGGGTTCGCGCGAGCTCGATTGCCTCCGGGGTATGGATCAGGTTGTTCCATTGTGATTGAGGCGCAGCAGGGTACGGGTTCTCGAAGAGACCCATCTCGAACTTGGCCCGCAGCACTCTAGAGACGGCGGTGTTGACGATATCGATGTCCAGCTGGCCTGACTCTACGAGCTCGGGGATCTTCTGGAAGTTACTGCGAACATGTTAGCTGCATCGACACTGCTACTCTTCATCGGACTCACTATGAACCTCCACCCATCTCAACGTCGTTTCCAGCGGGTAGTGCCATCATAGTCACGGCCTCCATGTCGATGGGAGAGCTTCTGCAGAGCTTGAAAGCTGTGCACAGTCTGTCGGTGGCACCAGAATCACTGAAGACCCAGTATTTGTAGCCCCATTCTTCTCTGAGGATCTTTGTCAGAGTGTACCAGTCGGCTACGGCAGGGATGCCATCGTATCTAGAGTCCAATGTGAGCAGATGTGATTTCCATCAACGGCAGGCACTCACGCGTGGTAGGCACTCATGATGCTCCATGCGCCGGCATCCACGATGGCTCTCTTGAAGGACGGCAGCCAGCTACTTCGAGTTAGACATTGACCTTCGAAATCGAAAAGTGCACACGTACGTAGAGCGCAGATATCTCTCTCCTCCTTGGACGGGCGCAGTGTTCAATCCCTGCTCGGGCAGACTATATCCCACAAAGTGTTTGACGGTAGCAGACACGTTGAGACTCTGCAGGCCCGTGATGTAGCTATAGGCCATTTCACCAGCGAGGTATGAATCCTCCGAGAACGTTTCCTCAACCTGAGGTGAGACTTTGTTAGACTAACTCTTATTGCACTGCGTGATTCATCCTTACCCGACCATATCGGAGCTCGCGGGCCAGATCAGCTAGCGGCGCAAACAGTTGGGTGACACCGATAGCACGAGCTTCCTGCGCAATGAGTTTGCCCATTTTCTCGACCAGCTGTGATATCATGCATCAGTTTATAATCTAGGGGTCGTGCAAGATGAAATCTCAAGTTTACCTCTTTATTGAAAGAGCATGCGTATCCAATCGGGGAGTTATAGATGGTCGCATTCTCGAGCAGGAAGCCATGGATACCTAGCGATAGCGATTATCCGTCAGTAAAGTAGCTAGCGATGAAAAGTGAGGCTAGACGTACCCTCCGTCTGAACAAGCGCTGGGATACCAAGAGTTGTGTTCTGAAGAAGATAGTCTTGTGCTCTCTTGATGTTGGTCGCAAGCCAGTCCCAGGGGACAGCATATCCCACTAAAGTCATTAACCGTTTAGCCCAGGTGAAAGTTACAGGAATCCCATACCATAGAACATTCCCGCCTTCATGTCCATGTTCTCCACCAGACCTGTGTAGTTGAATGCTCCGGTCGTAGTGTCCATCCAGTTGCTGATATCTCCTGTTGTGCAGGTATTATGAGTCAATGCAATTGCACGTAGGCCAAGGCAAACGATGCCCTCCTCAGGACAAAGTCTGCACCGCGGAAGAATACGTACCCTGTATCAATTGGGCCATCTTATCCTGGAGAGTCATCCGACCCAGCAGATCAGAAACTCGCGCCTCCACCGGCGCATTGGGGTTCTTGTAGAGCGGCCTGGAGGCATTCTGCGCTGCCAGCACCCCAGATCCAAGCTGGAGGAGCAAAAGCCCCTTTGTAAGGAGACCGGCCACCATGGTGATTGAGCTAGGAGCTGAATAGCTGCTATCCGAGCCCTTTGGTGACGAAGCAGCCTAGCCAAGTAGGTACTGGAGAAAGACGAGGAGAGCTCGAGGGAGGCGTTCCCTCGGTATTTAACGTCATTCCAAGCACCATAATTTCCACTGGGCTATCAAGCGGAGCTAGAGATAAAATGAAAAAAAAAAAAAAGAATGACAAAAAAGCAAAATAGCTCCTTCGGCAGCAACGGACAAGAAACCGGTCTAATTTAGGCTGCTCATGCGATCAGCTCGGAGATGAGCCCAGCATCCAAGGCATCCGGTGATAATGGAGCGTCGAAGGAGCAACGAATGAGGGACCCTGGCAGCACCAGGGAGCTGAAGCCGGGCATCCTGAGTGGTCACCTCGAGAGACCCGCGGTACTTTGTAGATTGGAGTCGATGGAGCAATTTCCCGGGCAGGATGGGCAGACGGCTAAAGTCAGGAGTGGCGGAAGTAGAAATGGAGGGGTAGCAATCTCGCGGAGGCCCGAAGGTGATCCATGCAGCAGACCAGGCCAGGGCGCAGGGGATCCGGTGCGGACCTCCCGGCTGCATGATGCCCTTTCTCCACCTATCGTCGCCTTTCCGCGGGTGCAGGACTCTGGCAAGGATGCCGCTAAGGCCCGTCCCGATATTAACCCATAGTGGCCCAGCTGAAGAAGAAGACGGTGTCCTGGTGTGAGACCGACGGTTACATAGTCGCTGGGTCAGGCTCCACCTCTTTCCTCGTTTTCTCTCTCACCTCATACGCACTGGAACCGGATTCAGGTTGCTGAAAACACATCCTATCTTTCAAATTCTATTAAACAGCTATATAGTGGAAGAACGCTAATGCTTTGGTAGTATCAGACAGCCCCCACCGTGAATTATCTATAGGAAAACAAAGGTATGTACTAACAAGAAGTGGGAGCCGGTCACCCTCAGAGCTCAATTTACGCCCGCGTATCTGCGTCGGTATCCTGCCCTTCTTGGTTACTCGGAGAGTCCATGCTATGTTCATATTCATTCTCTCGGATGCTCGTCGGATTCCCCGACCCTCTGTTCGCACCAGGCTTGTGGAGAACGCCACCGAGCCACGCTAGACCTCCGCTCCATGAGTCACTTAGGCTCCGAAGCCGCGAGATTGAGGTGGTATCATTCGTGCGCTGATCGCTAGGTCCGTCCTCAGAATCAGCAGCCGGAGTCAATATTCCGGTACTCAATGGAGCGGTGGCAAGGTCACCACGAGTTCGAAGGCGACCGATAGGTCCGGGGAATCGAAGGTCGTGACCATCTTCAGCATTCTCATCCGACTCGTACCCCGGATCTGTCGCCTCCCGGCCCCTAGTGCGAGGAAATCCTTCCAAAACCGTCGTACTTAGCTGCTTTCGCCGGTTCATCCGATGTTGCAGTTTCCGGCCTTTGTTAGGACTGATCTCGCCGCGGCGAAGTGTCTCGGCCACTACTGCACTGAACCCAGCTGATATTGTCGGAAGAAGGGGTCCAGGAGAGAACTTCGAGATGGACTTGCGTAGATGTCGGGCTGGCGGAGTCTGCGGCACGACGGCTTTTCGGACATTCGATTGTGTCCGTCCGTGTCCTGATGTTGGGCCTTCCAGATCACCGTCCTCAGCGCCAGGCGCAGGGGGGAAGCGGAGAAGAAACGGTGACTCGTGAGCGGCAGGGGCCGACTGCGTGGGAGGTGTGGCAGGACGATGGATAATGGCAGGCTCGGTATTTGGGGTTTGAATGGCTGATTCCAGAGAGTCGGCCCATGGATTTGTCAGGAGCGAACGAGCATGCAGGGGAGACGACGGCTCGGAAGACGGCTGTTCGAGAGATTCGGCGGTCAACGAGCCGCCTGGGGAAGATGGTGCAGCTGACAAGACGCCCCTGGGGGTCCCCTGGTTGTCATCCACATCTTCAATACCGTGGCTAAGGAGTGACCCTGAAGGAGACTGTAGACGATCATCCGGGGCAGTGCGGGGCTTTCGCCCTGTCTTAAGGGCTTTTCCTTGAGGACCAGGAGGAGACATGTCCACGCTATCACGATAACGTTCTCCTGACAGCAAGCCGATAGCCTCTTCTTCGTCATCGACGGAGAAAGTTGATTCGGTGTCCGCGCGTACTCGACCACTGGTGATGAAGTAAACCCCCAAGAACGTCAAAAGACAGCCACCCACAAATTTGCTTCCACGCTCGGCGGTGAATGACTCGAAGTCCCGATACAACACGGCACTTCCGATGATCACGGAGAGCGTGAAAAGTACAAACTGGGTTGGGATAACTTGAGTGGAATCAAATCGTTGCAGGGCTCGGTTGATGTACCGAATCTGCATAAGCGCGCTGAATATAAGGACAAAGACCAGTAGATAGGTCACCGGGAATGTGATGACATGCCACAGCGTAAAGGATAATAATGACGAGACACCTTTTGTCGACAAAGCAGTATAACCACCTGGTAATAATAAGCATTCAATCCCCAAAGCAGGGGATATGTCAACATAGGAACATATTGAGACATACCGAACAATGCCACCAATCCAACGTCGATTAGGATCGTTCGTGATCCATACTTGGCGCTTGTGTACATCAACCCAACAATCAATCCAGCAGAGACGCCCATATACAGCTCAAATTCCCAGCGTGTGATCATCTCCCAGATGTCATGGGGACCGATCTTCTCTTCTGATGACTTTGCGCTGAGAACAACCACCACCGCTCCCGCGATGGCGATAAGAACTCCCCACAAGTCGCGCTGTCTGAATTTCTCCTTGAGCATGAAAGGCGCAATGACGCAGTTCGAAATGAGAGCGACAACGCCTAGTGGTGACACGATAGATGCCGGGGCGAATCCATAGGCCATAAAATTTCCGACCTCACCAAGAGACATGAGCACAATTCCTACCCACCAGTACGGCGAACGGAGATATGACTTGCGGCGCAAACGATCACTGCCTGGCCTTGCAGTCCGGTCGGACATCATGGAATCTTGCATATGATCTTGTGAGTCCGCGTCGTCGTCTCTGTAGCGGCCATTCCGTCCAGAGTGGCCGCGGGGTTCTTCATAATGATCGGGCTCAGAACTTGGGGATTCGTCTCGGTAACGACCCTGTTGAGACGCATGGTTCCTTCCTCGCCTCACTTCTCCGTCGATGTCACTGTCATCGACAGTCCCATATGCACCCGTGCTGCCATGGCCATGGCTTGCCCGTTTCCAATCCAGCTCCTGCTTTAACTTATCTTGCTCCCACTCCTTATCAATGCGGATATGAGCGTAACGCTGGATGTTGAGAGCTAAGGAAATCAACACATTGCCAGCCAGCGCAGTCACGATACCAATCAGGGAAGACCATTCATGCATTCCTCCACCGCTTCCGCCTCCGCCATCGTCAGATCCGGGGCTCGGTGTGAACGTAGGAGAAGGTTGGGACGAGGATGGAAAGTGATACGGTGTGGGGGTCGGCGTGGGAAGAGCGGAGGCGAGCGCGGTGAGCAGACCTGCTGCCAGGGGCACCTCTTGTAAGTAAGCCATCCGCGATGAGGGGTTTGTTCACGGAAAATCCGGGCGCAGGGTAGGCCTAATTAAAAGGCAGGCGCAAGAGGAAAAGGAGGTGCCGAACGGTCCGCCGCTATCGATGAAATCCTGACCGTAGGATCCGGAAAGCCTCCGGGCGTCGACAAATCGGCACGGATCGTCGAAAAGACCGACTTTAAGGTGAGACCCTAAGAACCTTCACAGTATATATTCCTTCAAATTGTGGGCATCGGTTTTGGGGCAGGGTTCATGCTGCTGTGAGCCACCGCATTCTGTATCCCCTGGCGGTAAGATGCAAGCTCGGGAGTCTTCGTTTATCAGCAAAGACAAGAGACTCCAGCAGAGCCACAAAGGCGGCAGTTACGGGATACCCGTCGACGACGAGCGAGATCCGATCGTTCTGTCGTGCACGGATGAGGAGGAGAGTTGGGGACGGAGATTTGGGACGGGGGGGAAGAGGGAGATGCCGAGAGAACCGGCGAGACAACTAGGCGCAGCTCCTAACTCGGGCCTAAAATCGCTTGGATACGGCCAGTCGCACGTGCAAGCCTGCTCAAGTTGGGGGGAGAGGAAAAACCAAGGCTAAGCGCAGCATTGTGCGAGGTTTGGCGCGAAGCAAAAGCCAGAGAGGCTGCAAGCCATCAAAGTGCCATGCGCAGTCGTGGGATCATTGGCTTGCTGGCCTCGTAGGGACAAGCCAGAGGGGGCGATCCGAAGAATGGTCGACTTATCATCCTGGCCCACCCAGCAGCCCCTTCAACGTCATCGAGCAGGCGCCCATTCAAACCACTACATTTTTCAATCTGCACGATGTGATGATGGCTACAATGCTAAATTCCTCCCGTAGACTCTCTGTTTTGTTTGTTGACTACGGTTTGAGACGGTTGATTATTAACACACTTTATCGGCCTTGAAGGAGAAGATACGCTCAACGCCGCCCTTGCTCAAAATATACATGTATACTTGTCCCAGATTGCTGTATCCTGGCCGCATTAACTATCTACTCCCAATTCGTCGCGACATCATCTCTTTGCCCTCTTTTTATCCGGGCCCTGTTCGCCCTCATCATCACTGATATCCCGGTAGATGGGCGTAGGCTGCGTCTCTTGCCACGCCTTAGTGAAAATTGGGTCTTTTTGGGCCTTGTCTGCATATTTCAGCAACGCTTCTCGAGGATCTTCATCCCTCATGGAGCTAAGAGGAATATTCTCCCGGATGTGTTTCTCATCTGGCTGCGACTTTGCGAAAGGTGTCTGGGCTGGCAGGTGAGGTCTTCGTGGATCCCTCGAACGACCCGACGCCGTTAGTCCAACGGTCGGATGGCGAGCAGACCAGGTGGCTGAGCTGTAATGGGGCACACCGTTGGACCCGACAACCACAGAATCCCCCGAGATGCCCTGGGTAAGGTCCATGGTCAGGCTCGGGTCATCATCGATGTGCCGGCGTTTCGGGGCCTTGGACATCACTAGGGCGGCACCCTTGGTCGACGTATTGGGGTTGTAGAGAACATGCGTCTCGGCGTTTGCTGAGCCGGTAATAATCTGGTTCATCTTCTCATGCCATAGAACGCTGATCACTGGGGATCCTGGCGTCACGGGCGTGACCAATTCGGGCTTCAGGGTAGCTGGGTTCAATATGTGCAGGTGTCCAGTCTCCGATCCTGTGAGGACATTGGCCGACGTAGGTGAGAATATGATATTTGACGATGTATACCGAGTGCTTGAAGGATGGGAAACCGTCGTGATAGGTTGCTTGAACTTCCTAGTATCCCAAAGTTTGATCGTGTCATCTCCACCCTTAGTGATAACGAGTCTGCCATCCGAGCTAATGTCAATTCCACTCGTCCAAGTATCCTTGGTATGGGCATCCCTAATCTCTGCACTTGGCCGAGTATGCGGCCCATTTCCACCCCACATCACCAAGCTACCATCGAGCGCAGCCGCAACCAGAACATTAGGGCCACCCTGCTTGGGTGAGCCCCATGCAACAGCGGTCATCTTGCTCCGACCAGCGGAGCCCGCCATCTTTGACTTGTGTACGATCACCTCCTTCTGTGACCGGCCAACATTGGCATCCCATATGCGTACCGTACTGTCTGTTCCTGCCGTGACACACAAGTTCTCATCGGTTGGACACCACGCTCCACTGGTCACCTCCGAGATGTGACCCTTGGTGTTGTGAAGATCTCTCAAATACATATCACCCTTCACAAACTCGGTAATCGTATCTCCATCGCGACTCAAAATCCTCGGTTGCGGGGTGGCGGAAACAACCATGACGTAGCTAGGGGACAAGGGGTTGAACGCAGCATAATGCACGGCATGCGCCTCCTGGGCAGCCGACTGCTTTTTGGCTGAAGGATCGACGGATTTGAAGGCGCGTATAGTCGAAGGTGTCATAGACGCAAAGTCATGTAGCTTTATGGTACAATCGGTCGAGCCGGTAATCAGTCGCGATCCCGCGGGATCCACGGTCAAGGTAGTCACTGCGCGGTCGTGTGTCTTGAGAGTGAGTTCATGGGACACAGGAAACTCGTCTTCATCATCTTCGGAATCATCATCAGAATCGTCGCTTCCATCGTCGCTATTCGAGTCATTCTTCCGATTCTCTTCCCCGGCCTCGGGGTTCACTTCAGGACCCGCCTCTTGAATCAAGGCGGCCTTTTCGTCGTCGCCATCAGGCTTAACAGACACTTCTGCGCGCTTGGTGCGATCGATCTGCGCGTTCACATCGGCTTTCTTCTCTTGTCGGCCAAAGCTGGTCGGAAAGAACTTCTTGAAAGCCTCCTCGTCAAATCCTTCCATAATGGCACTGGGTCTTTCAGATGGATGGAGTCTGGAAGGAAATGAATTCAGATGGCATCAACGATGTTCGTGCTGTTTGTTAAGTTTGGGGGCTTTGCAATGTTTGTTTATTCACGTGATGATAAGATAATGCTGCTCGATAAGCACTCGGCCTCGCGACGTCACCACAATGCAGCTTAATGAAAAGAAAGTCTTAGTATTCTCCACTATTCACTTGGCCTGAAGCTATGGTAATTGATAGTTCTATTGAAAGGTTCCATTAGCTATACTACACAGCACGCACATACATCAGCTCCCACAATGATGTTAAGATCATTACAACTCGGTGATTGATCCAAGCCGCAGTGTTATCGGCTATGTCATTGGTTGAATTATTTATATAACTTGACTTGGGTCGATTATGCTTGACCTACGCCAGTTGCAGGAACCCTTGCTGTAGTGATTGCATGCTATGGCATGGGATCCTGCAACTGCATTTGCATCACTGCCTGGCCAAGAGGCCCATAATTGCTGGTAGCATAAGAATACACTAGAATAGATTCTTGACCTAATCTCACCGTACTACATAGGCTGACCTAGGAGAGATCTAAGTGCACCGTCGATACCTGCACGTCTACAAGTACAGACCCTCCACTGGGCCTCCATCCTGCTTTGTCTTCATGATCCGCTCTCTGGCCGCACGGAAGTCGTCCATCTGCACCCGCATCCGGCGCTCTCTCAAAGCCATCAAACCAGCCTCAGTACAGATAGCGCGAATATCGGCACCGGAGAGATCATCCTTCTGGTTGATGAACTCATCCAGATCGACGTCATCACCGAGGGACATCTTGGAGGTGTGCAGAGTGAAGATCTTCTTCTTGGTGTTTTCTGGGTGTCGTTAGCAAAATGGCATAAAAGTATGGACCAAACAAAGACTTACGGTCTGGGTTTTCGAAAAGGATCTTTCTGTCAATACGACCCGGACGGATCAGAGCAGGATCCAAAGTTTCGATCTTATTCGTAGCCATGATGACCTTGACATCACCCCGGTCATCGAATCCATCCAGTTGGTTAAGAAGCTCAAGCATGGTACGCTGAATCTCTCGCTCACCACCCGATGTGGAATCATAACGCTTTGTACCGATCGCATCGATTTCATCAATGAAAACAATGGAAGGGGCATGTTCGGCTGCAACTTGGAAGATCTGTCGAACCAGACGAGGACCATCACCAAGGTACTTCTGGATCAACTCACTACCAACAATACGAAGGAAAGTGGCGCTGGTTTGGTTCGCGACGGCCTTGGCCAATAGCGTTTTTCCAGTACCGGGAGCACCGTAAAGGATGACACCCTTTGGTGGCTTGATACCCATCTCCTCATATAGCTCCGGGTGGAGCAACGGAAGCTCGACAGACTCTCGGACTTCCTGGATCTGGGTCTCCAAGCCACCAATATCGGCATATGACTCCGTAGGAGCTTTGTCGAGCTTCATCACCGAAACGAGGGGGTCAGACTCTTCAGTGAGCACACCGACGACCGAGACCGACTTGTGATGCAGAAGGATGCTAGCACCCGGCTCGAGCAGGTCTTTATCCACAAACGACATGATAGACACGTAGTATTCCGGTCCAGTCGCGCTCGAGACGATCGCATGGTCATCGTCGATCAATTCTTCCAGGTTTCCGACACCCATAGGACTGCCTCTCATGTCATCAACCCGGCTGCGCTCGTCCGCATTTCTGTCCATGATATCAAGGTCACCACGACTCGTAGAATCCAGTGCAGCCTGGGCCTTGGTCTTGCGCAGGCGTTCCATATTCTCCACGTACTCCTCCTCCAGCAACAAGTGGTCGTGGACCCGTTGCATCCGGAGATATCTTAATTTGCATCGTGACGTCGGGAAGATTTCCGGAAGCTTGGAAGCAGTACTCGGGCCTGCAGCCTTGCGCTTCTTACGGCCGACGCGGGTCGTAGGCGGCGGAGGGGGTTCATATCTGGGCTTATCCTTCTGCGCGGAAACATACCGTAAGCCGACCGCATCCATCGCGGAGTGTATGGGCAGCAAACCTTCTTGTCTTTCTCATCTCTTCCATCGCCGCCGGAACCTCCGCCGATGTTGGACTGCTGATTACCCTGTTGTATAGACCGGTTAGATAAGTGACATCAGGCGCCAACAAGAGCTGTCGACAAGGGCGAGGGCTCGTCACCAACCATAGTCCCAGAATGTGAAATGTGAAAGACTCGCTTGTGACAAACTATTCAAATATATAGTGGATGACACTGAAGAGCCACGATGTTCGTGTAGACACTGAGCAGATGGGTGACGGATGAGGGAGGATGGGGGCGTGAAGCTGATGAGTTGAGCAACTGGGAAGCTGTTGTCGCCATCCGCTCGGGCCTTGGCGCCCGTCCAGCGCATGGGCCGGCACGTGATGTGAGTCGGCATCATTTGCTGCCTGAGAGCCTGGGTGCCTGGACAAATAGTCGCCGATCACTTTTGAGGCATCTGGGCCTCCTCGACCAATGGACCCAGGCGGCTAGTAGCTCCCTAAGGCAGTTCTGCTCCATCAAGCCAAGGTAAGGCGACGGGTCATTTTCCCTTGGCTACTTACTTGCTGTAGCTCTTCTTCCTGGCTCCGATGAGTCTTCGTACTTACCGTGCCATTTATATGTAGACCGGCCTGGTTGATCCCGCCTTGATATCCTACTGTAATGTCTTGAACGACTCTGTGCCTTCATTCCGATTGTTTAGCGCTCTATCACTGCACGAGCGCTTACGCCCCGCCGAGAGCATTGATCCCCTCACCTTCCACCTCCTCCAGTCACCCCACCAGATTAGGTGAGGCTGTTACAGATCGGTCGTTGGTCACCAACTTCCGTATTTTCTTTTTCCTTTCCCTTTCCTCGTCTGTTTCCCTCTTGTCCCGGTTTCCTCTGCCAAACATCGTGCGTTGTAATCCATAGTCCTCCAATAGCCACCGCAGGCTGACGAAGCTTACAGTCCGCTTATACTTCGCAGACTCTTTACATCCTTATACTTTCCCGTCCTTATTGACAGGTACATCCAAGAAACAGGCACCTCATCCCCCAACGTTGATTTAGCTCAACCCAGTTCTTCTCGCATCATGGCCTCCAATCGAGCTAGGCGTATCGCAAAGGAGATCGCCGACATTCATGCCGATACACAGTCGCAGATCACTGCGGAGCCGCTGGGTAGTGAGGAAGATATCTCACATCTTCGGGGCTCCTTCCCAGGGCCTCCCGGCACCCCCTATGAAGGCGGTCATTACACCGTCGATATCAAAATTCCCAATGAATATCCATTTCGGCCTCCTGTAATGAAGTTTGTTACCAAGATCTGGCACCCTAATATTAGCAGTCAAACAGTAAGTCTCATCAGTTTTCGCCTGGACAACCTAGCCTGTCTTTGGCTGATTCTCTAATGACATCTCTTTAGGGCGCTATCTGTCTGGATACCCTTTCAACAGCGTGGTCGCCGGTCTTGACGATCAAATCCGCTCTCCTGTCACTGCAATCGCTACTCAGCACCCCAGAACCCAAGGACCCTCAAGATGCAGAGGTAGCCACGATGCTGCTTCGCAGGCCGCAGGAATTTGCGCGTGTTGCTCAGGAGTGGGCTGTTGTGTATGCAGGAGCCCCTAGAAAATACGCAGGCGAAGGCAGTGGCGGGGTGACAGATGAAACCCTTCGGCTGCAGGAGCTCAAATCGAAGGAAGAACAAGAGCAGGAGGATTTATCTAAGTAGGTGCATAGTTATCTAGGGCATCTGCTTTTTGCTAATCCGTTATGTACAGGTATGATGGATATAACAAAGATTTGATCGACCGATTCTGCAGTATGGGCTTTGACATCGACCGCGTGGTATCTGCATTTGTTCACTTTGGCATTGACCGGATGGATGGAGAAGACTATGAGCTGGAAGAAGCGTATATGGGGGACATTACTGCACGGCTTTTGGGCGAGCCGTAGTGGATGACCAAGTTGGAATGGTTTAGATTTTGCAATAGCGACGGTGCCGGGCGACCTCGTCGAGTTTGTTCTCTACATTTCTAAGGACTGTTGTTCCTGCGAACCAAGACTTGATTTTCCACGCTCTTACGCTGTGATGACCAATGTCTATGTGACTATTCGCTTCCTGCATTTTTCGATACAGCCTATCCAGGATTATGCTTTGATTTTATCATTTTTCTGCTCCGAAGTCATTGGAAGCAAACCCCTGTAAAATAAGTATTCAAGTCTTTGTGGATGCAAGCAGTCTTCAAGAATTGAGGCGGAGGTCATTGGTGGGTGAAGGAAGGCGCCTATCGATAAGCACGTGGATTTGCGGCGGCCTCAACTTCTCCGATGCAGATCAGCTTTGACACTCACTCCGGAGACACCTACCCTGCACCTACTGACCAGCCCCTTCCACCATGATCGAAGACGACGTTTATCGATCATCCTCCCAGTTCCGACTGTGGTCCTTCACTGAAGCATCTTTGAAGTCATTACGAGCAACTACCAACACCGTCGCGAGCGACCGGGTGCGAGCAGCTCTGCGGCGAGCTCAAGATGCCCGACGATCAGCCAACTCCTCCGCAACAGGGACGCCAGCACCCGGGAGCGATGCAGAGAGCAAGGCAACGGAGGAGAAACCGATTGACTGCCTGACACCAGAGGAAGAGCAGCAGGTCGTGGACTACTACTCCGAACAGATCATACAACTCGGCGAGAACTACAAGCCACCGCTTCCCACCATAGTGAGAGTACGTCAATCCTCCTTCCTTTACCCTCACTCCTTAACAGGCCCTAACTCTCTTCTCCAAGGCCACAGCAATTCAATATCTCCGCCGCTTCTACCTAACCAACTCGCCGATGACCTACCACCCGAAACAAATCATGCCGTGCGCTCTCTTCCTCGCCACCAAAACCGACAATTACTACCTCTCCCTCCGGCAATTCACCGAAGGCGTCCCCGGCCAGCCCGCTGCAGAAGACATCATCGCGCCCGAGTTCCTCGTCATGCAAAGCCTCCGCTTCACCTTCGACGTGCGCCACCCCTTCCGCGGCCTCGAAGGCGGAGTCATGGAGCTCCGCGCCATATCCCAAGGCCAAGGCCAACCGGCACCACACCTCCTAGCGCAAACCCCCGAAGACCTACGTCGGGGTCTATTCTCCCTCTCCCCATCCTCAGCATCAGCAGCCGCAATGAACGACCGCATCTCCCGCGCCCACCACGCCACTCGCGAGATCCTCAAAACCGCCGCGCAAATCACAGACGCCTACTTCCTCTACACGCCATCCCAGATCTGGCTCTCCGCATTACTCCTCGCCGACCGTCCCTTAGCCGAATTCTACCTCGACACAAAACTAGGCGGTCCCATCACCACCCAACAAGAAGGAAACCCCCTCTACGCCCTACGAACCAAACTCCTCCTCACCCTCAACAATTGCGCCACCATCCTGCAGGCCTACAAACCCCTTGCATCCGATGACGTCCGCATGAAAACCCTCAAACGCATCATCGGAAAGAAACTTTACCACTGCCAAAACCCAGAAAAAGCCAACCTGGCCGGCCAGAAACGCATCCCCGCCGCAGCAGCCGCCGCCGCGGCCGGCGAATCCGGAACATCAGAGAGCGAAATGGAACGTCTCGCCAAGAAGAGGAAACTAGAGCACGGAAACGAACCTAAAGATCTTTTTGGTGGAGATTTGGTCATGCAACGTACCAAGGAGAAGCAATTGGATGGTTGAAGACAATATTCACAATTGTAGTAACTTTGTAGGTATACAGTAGCTTTTTCCTTTTCCTTCTTTTTTATCTCTACTTTTGATTTTCATTTTGAATGGGGATGGAAGTGGATTGCCGATTTGAGCGTGCAGGTAGGCAGGCGCATCAGATGGAAAAGCATTGATTGTGTTGTTTTTTTGGGTTTGGCTTGCGCGGATGTACCTTTTATAGTTACTGTTCAATAGAGGTTTAGTCAACGGGTTAGCATTACGCTAGTATCAATCAAGAAACAAGATTACTTTAATAATAGTTCAAATCTCCCTTAGGGAGAACCCGAAAAAATCAAAGGTAGACAGACAACTACATGGTATAGAGATAAGAAAAGGGAATGATATCAAATTGAACCCTCAAACGCTCAAGTCTAGTAGGGGATGAGGTATGAAACAGACCATCTAAAACAAGCACCCAAATAATGAGCAAGATATCTCCAGGTATTTAAAGACGAAAAACGGACAACCCCCCAATGTCATTCAGGATGGTTCATCTCTCCTGTAAGAAACTTTTCCCCCTACAGCCTTTTATTTGCATGTGTCGTCTCTAACATTCCAATCATAAACAAGAAGACAAAAAGCAACGCTGCTTTAGCTTCTTAGACAGCACCCTCGGAAATCATCTTCTTGCGGAGATGGTTCTTGTACTCGCCGATGGTACCGTTCCAGCGGGTGACGGTCTTGTTCTCACAGACCATGATGTCCTTGGCGATCTTGTCGAGCAGACGGAAGTCGTGGGACACGACGACAACACCACCACTGTAGGCGTTGATGGCATCAGCCAAACTGTCGATAGTGGGGATATCGAGACCGTTGGTAGGCTCGTCCAGCAGGATCATGTTGGGGGACTCAATGGCCAACAGAGCAAAAACGATACGACTCTTCTGACCTTCGGACAGAGTACCCATGAGGGCAGTCTGGGCTTCACCGCTGAGACCGTAACGGCCCAGCTGCTGGCGCCAGTACTGGTAGTCCTGACTCTTCTCGGGGAACTTGTCACGGACAAACTCCAGGGAAGACTTGGTGAGATCCAGCTGTTCGGCGGAGTGCTGAGAGTACATGCCCAGCTTCAAGTGAGTGTGACGGCTGACACGGCCACCAATGGGGCTCAGCTTGCCCGTCATGATACGCAGCAGGGTAGACTTTCCGACACCGTTAGGTCCGACAAGGGCCGTGCGGGAGTCCATGTCGACACCGAAGTCCAGGTGCTCGTAGAGGGTGTCCTCCCACTTTCCAGAGTAGGAGAAAGAAACGTCGTCAAAAGACAGGACGGGGGGAGGAAGCTTCTCGACATCGGCGAAACGGAAGCTGAAGACACGGTCGGGAATGACGGGCTGGATGAAACCGTCGGCCTCCATCTTGTCCAGAATCTTCTGACGGGACTTGGCCTGTCTGACCAAGTTGGCGTAAGTACCGGCGGAAGCGATGAACTTCTTGATGTGGGCGATTTCCTCCTGCTGCTTGGTGTAGGCCTTCATCTGGTTGGTCTCCTGTTCGGCGCGGGTCTTGTGGTAAGAGTCGTAATTACCACCGTAGTAGAGGAGCTGCTTCATGCGCATGTCGATCATGTTCGTGCAGACACCGTTCAAGAAATCCATAGAGTGGGAAACGAGGATCAGGGTACGCTCCCACTTCTTCAGGTATTCTTCCAACCACACACAGGCTTCGAGATCCAAGTGAGCAGTGGGGTCGTCCAGCAGGAGCAGGGAAGGCTTGACGAAGAGGGCCTTGGCAAGGGCCACACGCATACGCCAACCACCGGACATGTCCTTGGTCTTCTTGTGAATGGTAGTCTTGTTGAAACCCAGACCCGTCAAGATCAGGGAGGCACGAGTGTGGAAGGTCGAGGGATCCATCTTGTCCATGCGCTAGAAAAAGGGTTAGAAAGGTAATGGGTGAAAGATAGCGAGAAACTCACGTCGTACAGGTCCTCAAGGATAGGGCTGTCAGGGCCCTCCCTCTCGAGGATCTCTTCAGCCTGCTTCTCCATGCGGTCAAGCTGGTTCTGGGCCTCAGTGACAACCCACTCAAGGGCACCGAGGTCACTGGGAGGAGCACCCTCGTTGAGAAGGTAGATGTCAATGTGGTCGGGGATGGGGAACTCGCGGGTGGCGATGGACTTGAGCAGAGTAGACTTTCCGCAGCCGTTCTCACCGAGGAGACCGTAACGACGGCTGAAGTTGAGTTCGAGAGTCGAGTCGGTGATGAGGACCTTGCCGTGGAACACCAGGGAGGCGGAGGTGACCTTGACGTCGCGGGAGGCGGGCAGAGAAGCAAGAACACCGGTCGTGACACGATCGGAGAGACCGTGCTTGTCCATTTGGGCAGTCAACTTCTCGACCTCCTTCATCTTCTCATCGGTGGTGGCAGGCTGCTCATCGGCGGGAAGGGGGTTGCCATCGCCGTCGAGCATGGGGGTCTCGTCAGCGGGGGCATCCTTCTTCGACTTGGAAGTCTTCTTCTTGTCGCCATCAGCGGCACGCTTGGCCAGACGAGCGGCTTTGGAAGCGGACACCATTTTGTCGGATAACGGTGGTTGATGAGAGGGAGAGAGGGGAGGGAGGGGAGAGTGGGAAGGCGGAAAGGAAGAAGACGGTCAGAAGCCAAAAGCTGTCCGTGAAGGCGAGAAAAGGGAAAAAAAGAACTCGAGCGAAGGTGGACCAGTAATAATAGCGGGGTGGGAGGGGGGCGACCGAAAGTCTTCTGAGTTGGGGGAGGTTCCTTGGATAGCCCTTATCGATAGGTGGCTTCGTTCAGATTGGACTCAGGTTTGGCGGACGATAGACAAGAGAAAAAGAAGGAGAACCCGTGAAGAAGAAAGCAGTGATTTGATATATACGAGACCCAAAGAACTCAACTCCCTATCTGAACCAGTCCGATAACAATGTGTGGAAGGAGGCAAGAGAGATGGAGGATCAATGGGTGTTTTGCTTCGAAAATTCCTTCAGTGGGCGGCCGAGACCCGCTGTGATTGGCTCCACGACGTCACAGCACGGGACGTGGCGCACGCTTGCCGCATTGGGCATCCACCATCACGTGAAGTGAAGCCTTACGCCCAAGGCAGGGGCAGCTAATGGTCAGCAACGAGCAAACCGAACAAAGACGACGCCGGACTCCACCAACACTATGGAGCCGATACTAGGCGGAGGTTGGAAGATGTGGGCTATCTTGGACACCTCTGACAAAGAGGATGTTTTCCGTATACAAAACCATAGCACTTGTCAATAAGCAAAAACCTCACTAAGCCAACGGCAGCCATTATAAAACTTCCCTTCCTGGTTAGCTCGGTGATTGGCTGGGATTTGTCGTGCAGCGTTGCAACGACCAACCTGCTCCCAACCTCATCTACGATTCCAGGCCCATCTGTGACGCACTACACCAGTATTTTCGCGGAAACACAACCTAATTGGGATAAAATTTAGATAGTTTTAGGTATGGTCATTTATTGAATGACTATATTCGCTCGCTAATCCTCCGCAAGGCCAGCATCTCCTGTTCAGTGACCGTGAAATTATCCGGCAGCATGACGCTACCACGCTCGATCACGATCTGCATGGGGGCGCCCGGAAATGTGTCGTTGGAAGAAATAGAAGCATTTCCTTCTTTCACTTGCCTGGCGCTTTCGGGGTCCTCGGGTTTGGGCCGCTCCAAAGACTGCGGCGTCCACCAATAGATCGGAAAGCGGCGTTGAATATTGTTGATGAACAAGGCGACCGCTTGCATGAGCACACATCCCAGAAACATGATGAGGATCAAGTACCAGCCCACATCATAGGACTGCGTGACAGCAAGAAGGGCCGTCGCACCAGCAGGAGGGTGGATCGTGTTCGTTAATGTCATGATCGCAGTGGTGATAGCACACGCGAGAGCCCCTCCGACTTGCGGCATGGAGTGAGCATTCTCGTTGAGCGCGAAGAGCTTGCCGATGCCGACCCCAATGACACTAGCAATAAGCTGGCTGAGAACGGCATTCCGTGGCTGGGCGAAGGGCGATTCGATGGCGGAGAATTCCAAGACAGCCGCAGCACCCTACAAAAATGTTAGTTCGTCGAGCAAGACTTGGTGTCTGGGTTAATACATACAAAACTGGCCACGATGACCGGGGCATGGTGGGCTTGAAAGGATGGGACATGCTCAGACACTTCCGCTACGATGAGCACACCACAGAAGACACCGATCAAGGCCCAGAAGGCAACGACGAGATTCCCCAAGGGTTTCGGAGGGAGAGTCTCTCTGTATCCGAAAAAGCGGGAGACGGGCCGGGGCAGCCGACGCCACGGTGGAGGCGGGAGATATGGGTTGATATAGGCATCGATGTCCACATGTAGTCGCGAAAAGTCGATGCGCTGAAGCATGGACTTCGGCTGAGCAGGTTGTGTACTCATGGCTTCAGCACTGCCGGTAACCAGCCCGGGCAGTTCTACGGCTCACAGTACAAATTGCAAGCCTGGTGAATGCAACAGTCAGACACAGCCATCAAATGACAACGAAGAGCTCTCCAAATGACATTGAAAATCAACACAACCACGAATCAACGGGCAGTTGAGCGCACATGTTTGAGGAGAAATGACAGCAGCAGAATTTGGCCTCTGGCCCCGGATTGAAACAGACCATCAGGCAGGCATCCATTTGATTAAGAGGAGACCCGACGGGTCCATCATGTCAGGGGGGGTGAGAATAAAAACTTGCCTGGACTACGTGATTGACAGGAGAGAGAGAGGAGAAACTAAATATAACGGAGCAATCCCATTGGAAGTCTGAAACCGACGATGCGCAAGCGGACAGGGCCATTATGGGGTTGCTGGAGATTAAAATACTAACATGGGGCCATGGTCGAGCGCTGAGGAGTCCTGGAAGAATCGGCACAAGAAAGGAACGTCTCCAACATCGCAACGGACAGGATCTCCGCGGAGCAGAGGAGCGAAGCAGCAAGAATGCAATGATGAGCTGGGAAGGCATTGACGCATGGGAACCGAGTTTCCCAGGGACCCTTTGGTTGTCGGGTGCAAGTGAACAGGACCTGCCACTCACGATATTCGAGTTGGGTAATGGAAACTCCGCGTCCGGTTTAGCGTCGGGGGCAGGTTGCGATGAGTTGCGATGAGGTCACTGGACCGTATCATTACGCCGACTGTTACCCGACCCCGGGGTCCTTTTCCCACCATTCCTACCAATCTCTCGGTATTCTCGGCCTCGTTTCCGTACTGGTACCGCGTAATCCAGGGCGAACCTCATTCATGCCGAGACTGAGCAATCGTCGATCAATCTGGGGTCTCCAACAAAAAGGCGCGAGCCTTCTTGGATCTCGCCCGACGCGCCCGGGTCAGTGGAAGAGGTACTCCGTACTCCGTACTCTGTACTGTGTTCACCGTGTTCACCGTGTTCGCTTACACAATACACAGACACCTGCGGAGTACGACGGTGCAACTTTTCGCCCACAGGAGGTGGAGCACACTAATGTTTAGCATCGTTAAGCATTTCTGCTGTATCATGTCACCCTGAGACAGAACATACATTCCTCTACGTACAATTCTAGCATCATTCAATCATCATTCAATCATCATTCAATCATCATATTATGGCTCACGTTACTTAAATATCGCACAACTTTATACATCCACGGTCTTGCCAAGCTTCGAACTCTCCTGGGCCAGCTCAATCAGCCGGATGATTTCACGAGCTTCGGCTCCGCTGGCAGGGAGGTCACCCTCTCCAGCAAGAGCCCGCGCCAGCTTCCTGTAGTATTCCGTCCAGGTCGGTGGCTCCACCGTGGGCAACACTTCCTTGACAAACTTGCCATCCTGAACGGTGGTGAGTGTACCTGTCGAACTGTCAGCATATTACACTACTTGAGAAAGAGCTGACATACCGTATCTCTCTGAAGGCTCTCTGCCGTATCCGCTGTCACCAGGCTTCACTCCAGCTCTGAGTTGTTCCTCCTGGATATCAAAGTGGTACTATTCGAACATTCTCATCAGCACACGGTTGCCAGATATACTCGATGGTGGGGTCGCCTCACCTTCTTGAAGCTGCCCTTGTCTCCCCGAACCCAGAAGCGCAGCTGTTCGCTATCCGGGCTGACGACACCAGCCTTGATTGTGGCGAGAACGCCCTTCGGGTAGTGGAGCAAAACGGTGAAAGAGTCCTCGAACCCGGAAGTGTTCACCTCTCTTTGGGAGCCAATGAACGCAGTAACGCGGTCCGGCTTGCCAAGGAGGTAGACGGCCTGGTCCAAAAGGTGGGATCCCAGGTCGTAAATGGAACTGCCACCAGGGATAACCTTGTTCTTCCACTTCGAAGCATCCGCGGCAGGCTCTTCGGGGCGATGGCGGTCAATGTGAGACTCGAACTCCACCACACGGCCAAGGGAGCCATTCTTCACCAGCTTCGACAGGGTTACAAAATCGGCATCCCACCGGCGATCTATCCGATAATATCGTTAAACCAGCCCTTTCGGATCGACTGTGGGATTGAAACAACGTACTTTGGTATACGGCCAGGAGCTTGTTCTGCTTGCTGGCGAGGGCGTTGAGCTCATCGGCCTCTTGGGAGGTGGGAGTGAACGGCTTCTCGCAGACGACTGTGATGGAAAGCCAAGTCAATAACCGCCAAGTCAATAACCGTGCAAGGGAGTGACGTCGACTGGCTGCTTACCGTGCTTTCCATTCTCCAGAGCCAACTTGACCAAGTCATAGTGCGAATCGGGGGCGGTGGTGATGACGACCACGTGGACACCCTCGTCCTTGATCATCTCCTCGGCGCTTCTGTAGACCTTGACCCCGGGATGGTCCTTCTCGGCATCATCCTCAAGCTTGGGGGTTCGCTGCACGATGGCGTAGATCTTGAACTGGGAGACTTCCTGGATGAAGGGAATGTGGAAGGTCTTGGCACTGAGGCCGTATCCCACAATTCCGACGTTCCAGGTCTTAGAGGCCATGTTGAGTTGATAGTTCTGTACTGGGGTGGGGGGAACTTTTGGAGGGGCAATGGAAACGGAGCGAAAGCTCGGCATTATATACGTGCTGGATATCATTAATCTAACTGCTTACAAACAAGCCCCTCTCTTCCTTCCCCTTCTCTTTGCCCCCAGAGAGTGTGGGGGAAGGTCCTGGCGACGCGACGGCACGTCGGAAACCTTCCACTTTGGGTCCGGCGGGGCAGCGGGCGGCAAAAGCCGATGCGTCACTTTCGGAATTCATTCTGCGCTCTGCCGATGACGCTGTCCTCGTAGCATAAGCCATAACATGCCCCTCTAATATCATCTATTCTTGAATCATCACACATCGGGTCACCTCGATTGCGTCCTACAGAGGTAGCGCATCAGCGCATGTCCACTCATAGTCTGGGAAAGCCAACTTACTCGCGTGGTCTCGGGCTTGACGAGCTTGCTCTCATACACTAGGTTCGGGTTGCCGATGATGTCGAAGACGGGGGTTGCATCGGCAGGCATGAAGGAATTGACTGACCTCTGAGGCAGGTTGGTCGTATCATAGGCCCGAACCGGCCCATCTTTGGCAGCTTCGCGCTTTTGCTCCACTGTGCTGCGGACATACTCCAGATACGGCGGGTTGCCCGGGTAGAGCACGTTGTCCGCTACCACGACCGAGACATCGGGAACGATCTTGCCAAGCTGCTCGCAGAGCTTCAGGTCGGTGATATACGCAGGCTTATAATGATCAATGAGCATCACCTCCACCTGCTTGACATCGCCACTGGCAAAGAGCTTGTCGAGGGACACGTCACTCCGTCCGACAAGGATCTTCACAAAGTCGCGCAAGCCCGCCAGTTCCAGCAGCATGTTTGCGATGGCTGCAAATTCGGGGTTCAGCTCCAGACTATAGTAGCGCTTTCCGCCGGCCCGGCGCACGGCATCTCCGAAGAGAATCGCCGAATAGCCAACATAGCCGCCGAGCTCGATCATGGTCTCGGGCTTCTTTTCGGTGATGATGTCGATGATGAACTTTCCCTTGGCCCGACCGATGTTCATGAAGTGGTATGTTTTGCCAAACTCTTCGATCAGATCCAGGACCTTTTCGGGGTTGCCTTGGATCTCATCGCGGTTCGGCTGGTTATAGATGAAGTGAAGCAGCTTCAGCTCTCGGCCTTCCTCCCGCTATGGATGGCATCGGATGTTAGTCTGGACCACCAATGAGATACGGCAGACTCACTGAGCGTTCTACTACAGGCTGAGGGGCCTCGGGGGTAGCGCTGTCACCCATGGTCGACAATAGCCGGGATGTGGAGGCCGAAGGATACCGATGATGGACAGGTGCAGTAAGGGACGAGGGTGGGCTCTGAGGCCACGTTCGAGGAACCACAGGGTATTTAACAGCAGAGAAAAACGTGCGAGCCAGTCCAGTCGGCGCAAAGGTGGACAGCAGTGGCTGATAAAGCCGAAGATGTCGCCATCTGACTGTGGACCACCTCATGACGATCGCATTGTGATTCCTTGGGTTGAAATCAATGAGCAATGGCATCAAGCCTTGGTGGCGCGCTGGTTCACGGCATTGACAAGCTCCGGGCAGTCGGAGATGGTTACCAGATTGGTATGCCTGGTGGTCCCGATCCCGTGTCGCCCCGTTTCTTTGTCTGACCTGATAAACTTTCTTCCTCATCTGGCTTATCTAGTGCAGTGAGAGACTGCGGGGCATGCCTTGCTACTTGCTAGTTGCTAGTTGCTACTTCGTAGTTGCTACAGGACTGTGGATAGGATGAATAGGCCGAGGTGGGGCGATCTTAGCAACCAGGCTTATCGCAGACCATCGCTTGAGGCTATTCCGGAGATTAAGAGAAACAATATCATCATGACAACTATCGAGATCATGTGTAACATCTGCTGGGTCTAGTCTGGGCTCCCATGGCTGTCAGAATCAGATATCCTTGATCGAATCCGCTCCGTATTCGTACTACTGATACTCTAATCTATCTGACTGAAAGAGAGAAAGAATACTAAGCAAATACCGAACAAATCTGCCATCCTGCATGCACGTATCAATCTCCGCATGCATCGGCCATCAAAATCCGAGACTCGGAAATGCATGTCCCATCGCCGCTTTCAGCTCCTGCCCCTCCCACCATCTTCATTCCCACCGACGATAGATCCAGACTTGGCCAAACCCATACGAAGTTAGTACTTGGCTAGTAAATGCCAAATTGCAATTAATTCAGAGGAGAAATGTCCCTGGAAGGGTAGATCAGATCATCTTATTTTATTCCTCTTTCATCTGCATGCACATGCACGCACGCACGCACGTTTACATTTGAACCAGAATACGGAGTACTAGGTACTAGTACTACTATGTAAACTTGATTTAAATAATGAGACTAGTGATGTCAATCCGTAACTTGGACCAATCTTTGTTTCCTACTTTATCGGCTGAAACAACAACGTAGCATACAGCACGCCATGTGTTGTCCTTGTCGCAGGCTTATCCTTATCTGCCTTCCTTTGTACGGAATGTGTTGAATTGGGTTGTGCCGGGCTGGGCTGGGTTGGGTATTCATCCGGGCCTTTCTTTTCTTCTGCCCATTTTGGTTCAACCTATCTATCTATCTACTAAATAGTACAGAGTACTAGTACCTAGATAAGGACCAGCCAGACAAGCAATGTGAATCTGAAACCGGAATGTCAAACTAACCCCAAAACCCTCCGAGGCACGTTCCCAAACTCCCAATTCCATACGGAGTACTACTCCACTTCATACCCGGGGGCCGGAGAATACCAACACCCAACCAAGTACCTAAATCCATTATCCAACGCACTCCAACTACATATTTTACTTTCCCTTTGTGCACCTAAAACTCAATTGAATCCTGAAACTTACCACCTACCTGTGCCAAACAAACAAAGCAAAAGACAGGCAAGGTAGTAGGGTATGTAAGTAAGTAAGGCAAGGTAAGGCGGCCTTCAGCCCAGCCACCTCATCACAGCACACCACACAACACAGCACCCCTCATCACATATGCGGGCTGACGTGGTCGGCGTGGTGCATTCTTTCCGTGGGTTTGGTTTTGGGTGTATTTAATATAGGGGATTTTTCCGCTGAGGGATCTATTCCTTCTATAAATTATATTTTTCTTGGTTTTGGGTGTTTATTGTTTGTTATAATTGATCTAATCTTACTTTGACTTCAGTTGAGCTACGGTTCTAGTATTCCAGCATACTTACCTACCAACGACCAACCCACGAACACTGAAACGAGGTATACTACGAGAAAAAAATATGGCCGTTCACACTGTCCGGCTCCGAAGAGCACTCAGCTCCGCATCAGCGACCAAGAACCGCTCGATACAAATCACCCGCAACATACTGCACCTGCAAGTGCTGGTTCACTTGTTCCGCGTCGCGATTTCTCTCGCTCTGCTACCGCTCGACAATACCATTCTGCTCGGGGCGTACGCGGCACGATGTCTTCCTGTCGGATTACTATCGGATAGTAAGACGGGGACGCGACGACGGCAAGCGGCGCTGCGGGATAAGTCATTCCAACCGAAGACGGTGCTGGTGACGGGGATTGATACGCCGTATGGACTGGCGGTTGCGCGGGGGTGGTATTATGAGGGGCATCGGGTGGTTGGGGCGGAGGTGGTGGGGGAGGAGGGGGGAAGTGGGGTGCCGTGCGGGGAGAGTATGTCGAGGGCGTTGGGGAAGTATTATCGGTTGACCAGGAAGGGGTATGTGGTGCAGGTGTTGGATGTGGTGGTCAAGGAGAAGGTGGATGTGTGGGTGCCGTGTTGTGAGGGGATGGAAGGGGAGGAGGGGGATGCGGCGGCGAAGGGGGTGGTGGAGGCGCGGACAGAGTGCAAGTGTGTGACGTTGGATCGGGGGATGGTGGAGTTGATTGCGGATCGGGAGGCGTTTATGAGGTTTTTGGTGGAGAAGGGGTTGCCGGTGGTGGAGAGACATGAGGTGTTGTCGAGAGATGCGGTGCATAAGATCTTGCATCGGTCGCCGACGAAGGTGTGGAATATGCGGAGGGACGGGGATCGGGAGGTGGTGTTGCCGAAGCGGACGCTCAGTTTGACGTATTCGGAGGTCAGTGAGATTCGCATCTCCAGGGAGCGGCCGTGGACGTTGCAGCAGCAGACGAGGTTGGGGAGTTTCTTTGCGGAGATGGTCGTGGTGGCGGGGCATGTCAAGGCCTCGAAGATCTATCCTGCGGATGAGCAGGGTGGTTGGGGCCAGTCACCGATGGATCGCGGGTTGGCGACGGCGATTCAGGCGCTGATGGATCGGTTTGCGACGCAGGTTGGACCCCGGCTGACCGGCCACATGCGACTGAAGTTGTTGGTCGATGAGGAGATGGCCGCGAGCTATCTGCGATATGTGATCCATATTGATAGCTGTGTGCATGGCGCATCGGCTGTCAAGTATCTCCTCCTGGAGGAGGCGCCGGGGTCGTTGGTGGCTGGGTATCTCGGGGTGCTGACGCCGCAGACCAATGGCGTGGCCGAGGTGAATGTGACCGGGGAGATGTCTTTGAAGGCGGACATCTCCACGCCGCCGCGCAAGGGGTTCAGCCTGTATCGGGCTGTGAAGAAGTGCAATGTGAAGAGGATGGTTCCGATGTTCAAAGGGGTTGATCGTGCTCTCTCCGAGGGGAGCAAGTTGCTGTTCTTCTGGAAGAACCAGAAATTCTCACAGCTTGACCCGATGCCATGGTGGTGGCACGCTCATATCTACCAGCCGTTGAGGGAGTTGGAGATGATTGTGAAACCGAAGAGAGCATGAGGCTTGTATTCATTCATTTGTTTCCTTTGTTGCAGTCAGCGTGGAGGTATATGGAACCACAGGACACGATGTTACGATTAGCTAGGAGCATCAGGTGGCGCCTTGGGATTAATACTGCGGATGATGGAATTTTAATGGATGTTTGAGTCAGATACCATAGGGAATAGGAACATAGATCGGACAAGCGATTGCTTAGGATCTGCAGTGGAGCATGGCTAGACTCGGCGGTGCATGCCAGGAATCGACCATGGAAGCTGTTTCCATGAGAACAGCGCCTTGGCGCTACCATGAAACCGCTAGCACGCCGGTACTTGTTACATGCCATGACTGGCACCATCCTACTGTATCTTACCAAGTTATCTGGGGTCATTCTATGATGGCAACACACGGACTCTGGGGAATGGTAAAGTTCAAATAGACATTATTGTCAACCACGTGCAGCTGCCTTCACCGAACGTAATGAAGAAATGGCAAGATGTCAGGACATCATGTAGCTGGAATATGTCAAGACCAACGTAGGCCAAAAGGAATATATTTCCTTCTTAGCCACGGGCGTAGAAGGTAGAAACAACATGGCTCAACAGTAAATGCTAAATGCTGGAATTTGTCTACGATCAAGTGACTCTGATATTCTAAGAGTCACCTATACTTGTCATGATACCGAGTATATTTACCCGTGGCTAATCAGAGCCCAAAGATGTTGGGTAAACTTCGGAAGTAGTGCACCTGAAGGAACCACGTCATTATACTAGAAGCATATAAGATAGATATGTATGTATAGTAGATATAAAAAGTGAATACTGTTGGTTTTTGTTGCCTATTCTTCATAAGTTGAATAGTACGCTAACGTTTAATATCTTGCTTTGTATCCATCCAGCCGGACAAGACGAGATTTCTTGTATACTATCCATAGAGGACGAAATACTGTCTGGCAACTGCCACTTGGCGATATATTCAGCTGCCTAGAAGCCCCATGACCTCTCTGATGAACTGGTCAGGCTGCATTCGTCAGCCTCGAGGAATCCCCACCGTGATTCCGATTGGCCCATAAAAACTTTATATGGAGGGCCTCGGTATCAGGGCCCCGCAAGGAATGTCAGCAACCGAGCCTGGAGGAAGCCAGGAAGGCCTCATCTTACGAGGAAGCAGATAGTATGCCGTAGAAACCGAATCTCATTAAATTCAAAGTAAACCGTGCATCGTCATGGCAAATGTCAGCTGCACATGTGAGTTTAGTTGCTGCTATTTCTGTCGGCACCTCCGCCTAGGCTATATTTAGGCAAGTGGTAAGATCGCTCGGGTTACGGTACCGTACCAAAGGCTGAAGCTGAAGATGCTGCGGATGCCAATGTCCTCAGCCACAATCTCTTGTTCAGTTCAATCTTCTTGCCCCTTTCTTTCTCATCTACTCCGTACTCTGGATTTCTTGTAAGTCACAAGGGATTGATTCTGTCTCGTTGCCTGACGTTGCGTTGGCCGGGTTCCCTCACCCTGCCACTTGAAACCGCCCACTTTAGCGTCCGCGCGGCATTGATCGGGTTGCCCCGTTCACCTGGTCGTGGGTTTTTCGATCGCTATCGGCATAAACAAATCATTCCACTCTCCATTCACGCCGTCCACGATCTTCTATGATTGCGCTGTTCTGAATACAGGCACCTAATAAGAATATCAGCAATCGACTCAACGAGACAAGTGTCAGGTCGCTGTCGCCCCCCGTTTCGCTTCCGTGTAGGAAGCGCCCTTTGTCGTCAGGCACCGCTCCCCTCGTCTCCCCTCCAACATGAGAATCTCTCGACCTTCCTTCAATCCCGGGCGGACAAAAAACATCATCCATGGCTTTCAGGCCTTCATAATCTTTCTGGCGTGGGTCTTGACCATCGCTGTGTTCACAAAGGGCGATGGCATTGATGGGCGCGAGGCCTGGTACTGGGCTTTGGTACGTGCGATCATGGTCGTTTATCAAGTCGCTTGATCTTATACTGACATGTCGTAATAGTGCTGGTTTAGCATCCCCGGTCTGATCTACCTTGTGGCAGTGCCCATGTGGCCGCGCGCACGACGCTTCGGAAACGTATATGCCTTTGCAACCGTCGACTGTCTGTACGCTATTCTATGGTTCACTGCGTGGGTTTGCGTGGCCAGCTATGTGGCGGAAGGAAAGAGCAAGGGTAAATCGGATTCCAGCTCTAGTACCTCGACTAGGAGAGATACCAGCACCAGCACTACTACCAGTACCAGTAGCACCACCACCAGCGCCAAAAGTGGATGCGATAACTGGGCTTATGGCAGCGCAAGTAAATGCAAGATCAGCACCGCCACGGTGATCATGGGCGTTGTTATCTTGTAAGTGCTCTCGCGAGTATCCTGGCATGTGCTAATAGATTCCACAGCTTGCTTTTCATCGTAACCGCCTTCATGTCTTTCCGCAATGTTGCGCATTTCCGCCGAACCGGCACCTTGCCCGACGCCGTTTCCGACCCTACCTTTGCTGCCCAGACGAAGGCCGCCTTCAACCCCGCACATGACTTTGAGGAGGAAGAAGATGATTTCCGCTCCCGCGCTGGGATCGGCTCTTCTGTCCGTGGCGACAGAGACGAGGACTATGCTCTGTTGCAGCAGAGCGAGGTGGATGAGTATGGAAACTCACAAGCGCGCTCTGCGCTGTCGGGCACATACGATCCGACGGTTTCCGGGGGAAGCGTCCTCCACGACTACAACACCAGCTATGGTGGCGCACACGGACAACATTATGGAACACCGTCGGAATTTGGAACCACCGTAAGTGGCTATGGGCGCTGAGCGTGGTAACTAGCGTTTGCGTTTGTCTCTTCGAAACGACCATGGAGCGGTGTTCGCGGCGCATTTCGTGCTGTATTCTGTATTTCTTGCGTGCGTGAGTTCTTTGGCTGCACCTGTCTGCTTCTGGTGACGATTGTTGTATTTGGACTTGCCGTCCGCACGGCCTTATGTCTGCATGGCTATTGATGATCTGGATGAAACTGTACTGGACTTGATAGATAGCATTAACTGTAAATGTATTATGTCATTGCCAATCGAAGTCCATGGATTGGAAAGTAATCGCTGACCGCTACTGCATTGTGCCGGCAATTCTGCCACCGCCCTGGACTTATCGGAGGACTTGACAGCTTGCGTCCACCTTGCTTCTTCCTACTTCTTCATCTCACGTGTATATCAATCAATCCAAGACCGCGTGCTTCCCCAGGTTTTCACGTTGGTCGTCAAAGTGAGTTAATCCACCACAACCGTCACGACACTATAAACGAAACCACTAACACGCCGCACAGACCACTCCACAAACTGCTACGCCTGGAGCCTACCTCAGCAGTCAAGCACATTACCTACCACCAACAAACAACCATACACACCCACGACTAAACACCCACCAAAATGACCAGCCTCGACCTTTTCAACCAATACCCCCTGCACCTCGACCCAACCTCCAAATCCATCTCCCTCCTCCCTCCAACCAACACGAATACATCCCTCCCCGCCTCCCCAGCAACCATCACCACCGAACTAACCCACCTAAACGCCCTCCACCGATCCCTCATCTCCCTCGACCCGCCCAACATCCCCCCTCCCCCACTCCCCATCAACCCCAAGCGCAGCGCCCAAATCACCAAGCTCCGCGACAGCGCCAACGCCGCATTCCGCAAATCGAACCACGCCGAGGCGGCCCGGCTGTACACCTACGCTATTGATATGGCGGTTGGACGGCCGGGATGGGAGCCCGTCACCCTTGCTAGGGAGGAGTTGGCGGGGTTGTATTCGAATCGGGCGCAGGCGTGGATGAGTCAGAGGAAGTGGCCGGAGGGGTTGGTGGATGCGAGGTGTAGTGTTGAGAGTAAGCCGGTGGGGAATGTGAAGGCTTGGTGGAGGGGAGGGAAGTGTTTGGTAGAGATGGGGAGGTGGGAGGAGGCCAGGGGGTTGGTGGAAAAGGGACTGGAGATTGAGGGGAGGGCGAGTGAGGGGGGGAAGGAACTTTTGGGGTTGTTGGCCGAGGTGGAGGAGGGGGAGAAGAGGGCGAGTGCGAGTGCTTAGATGGATGAGATGTGTGAAGGAATGGTGTGATGTGGGTTGTTACCGAGCTGCTGAGAGCTATCGGCTGGGATTCGATTGCGGATTGAACCGACTGAATCGGACTGACTGAGTGGATGGATAGATGGACGGATTTCCTAACGGCGTTACGGTTGTATGAATATGAATATCATGCTTGATTGTTTATCTCAAAAAATGTTTTCAATGTCAATCCCACCTTACCTACTTGTCTCTCAAAACCACAAACCATAAAACACAAAAAGTACTCCGTACCGACAGAAAGCTTCGCCAATCCCACCCCAAAACAGCCTAGCCCTACAACAAGGCTGACTTGACTGACAGATACCAGCCCAGCAACACAGCAAAAAACATGAAACAAAGACACCCTCGGTACCATACAAATCCCCCCCACCAAAAATTAATCAATAGTAATGAATAAGTGATGGTTGATTGGCCAATCCAATCACCAAGAGATAAAACAAAGCAAAGCATAGCTGAGAAGAAAGAAGGGGAAGAAAAGGAAAAAAAGAATCTCCGATGCGGGGAATCGAACCCCGAGCTGCTGTGTGAGAGACAGCGATGTTAGCCATTACACCACATCGGACTTTGTTGGTAGTTTGGTTTGGGGTTTGGCTTGTATTGGTTGATGGGTAGGGGTTTGGTGGGGTGGGTTCTGGGTTGTGGGTGGGGATGTTACGTCATAGGTTGTAACTATTTGTTCTTTGGACTACGGAGTATGGAGGTTAGGGTAGGTTTGGATTTGGTAGAGCCTAGCAGGATAATAAGGGTGATATATTTCTGGGGTTGATTAAGGTAGGGAAGGAGGTTTGTATTTGTTTCGTAGTGGTTATGTCTAAAGGATGGAGATGGATAATAAGATCTCTACTAGATACTATATATCTATGTACGAAAGCAAGACACTATTTCCATTTCCCATTATTCATAGGAGTAATCTGTGAGCATAAGGATGATTATTTGTATAAGGTAATTTCATGCATGTGAGCTCTGGGCTATCGGCTATCTCGGCCATAGCCACTTGTATCGGACGATGGAAGGATTGTTCGAAACCAACTCATTGCCAGGCTTTCGAGATACCCTTCCAAGGTAGGATTGGAGATGAAGGTAAAAAGACATCAACACCCATATCACAAGCCGAATCCTCCACACCTGTCCATGTCAACCCGGACACAAATCGATTTTTCCGACCTGCCGCGGACAATCTCAATACATGCACGCATGCAGGACCTCTGTGACCACGTCCTTGGATAGCAGAGGATAAGTCAAACACAAAAAAGTAGAGCCAGAACCGTGAGGTGTGAATAGTAGACCCGATCACCAAGTCTCGAAGCTCGGTGGTGCAATATTTGCCAGGTGAACTCCGCATTGCGATGATTCGGTAGTGTATTTGGAGGGGCTTAGAGATTCCATGGTATTGGACGCTTGAGGGAAGAGCCCAGAGCCACTGAGCCAGCGGGAGATATTAGAGATAGCGATGCCCTTGGACATTTCATCGCCCCCGGTTATTCCCTATTGGGACCTCTAGAGGCAGGCTCATTATGGCTTTCCTGGCATTGGACTCTAAGTGAAGAGCCCTGAGCAACTGAACCAGCAAGACGAATTTTCGATAGGGATATCATTGGCCATTTTATCGACCCCAATTATTCCCTATTGGGGTCTTTGGGGACAGGCTCATAGCATTGTACTCCACGTGCGAGGAGCCCGGAGCCTCTGAAAAACCCCAAAATATGAGAAATAGGGATGCCCTCCCGCATTTTATCGGCCCCAATTATTCCCTATTGGGGTCTTTGGCCACAGATTTATGCGGCCGACATGTTGGAGTGTTTGAGAGCTGTCCAGAATGTGGCGAGGCTGTCTTATAATGAGAGATCGACACAGCCCGGACGGTACCATGATCATATGAAAGGATGGTTATCTTCGACAGTAGTATCCGTATTCGTTCTGGACATGGTCCATATCCATGATCGAGCCGTTCTGATCTTTCCATGAGATCAACCGTAAACATGAACAGCATCAGAGGATACATAGTAGTCTTGTTTGATAGGTATGACCGTTTGGGCTAATTTCCGCTTGAGCAGGGAAATATGCATGCTTTAGAAAGGTGTGGTGCGTAGAACAAGTGTCTTCTATCTATTAACTGGACTCAATTGCAACGCGAAGTAGTCGACGCAGCATTAGGTGCCTCAGATGGGGGTGACTGCATCGTGTAGACAATTGGAGTGTAGCCAAGGAATATGGTGACAGAAGAGTAGCCATAATACATCCCAGAGCAAGCACTGGTTTGGGATACCCTTGTCGGTGGAAGGACGAACCTTGAGACACCAGATGTGTGAACTCTGGTGCTTACAAAATGGAAGTGTTGTCATTTGCACGAAATTGTAGTTTGCCGTTGACCAACGCCAACATCCTGGAAGTGCCCACATAAAATGGTCCATCGTCGTTGAACCACTCGCCTTATGGTGCAACGGGTGTCAATCATAGGAGGGATTTGACTAGTCCGAATTGAGGATTTCAGGGATGTCAACAGGCCCGAGCATGTCGACTCATGATGAGGACAACCCGGTGGTAAGAGTCGAACAGCCACCTACTAATAGGCTTGAGCGTATCGCCTTCATGACGCGGATGTCTAAGGACCAAATGCCCGAGAGGATACAATTTGTTGTATCTCGAAGCCGTGCAGAATGTGGACTGCGTTGCTTTCTCAATCCGGTGAAGAAAGTTTGCAGAGTAAGGTAGTCTTCTCGAGAGTATCGAGTGTTTAAATGCCACCAATATGAGTTGATCATGTCGTTGTTTGACTATATCGTTTTATGACGGCCGTGAAATATGGTACCAGAGCAAGAGACCAGCCTGGCTGACGACATGGAGAGTCTTCCAACATCGGCGTCCCTTTTGGCCATGTCTCACCATGGAGGCACTGCGTTTCCGATTTTCCAAAATATCCTTGTGGACACACTTAAGATAGTAGGTAGAATTGGTTTCCAAATAACCGAAACAAGCGCAATGGAAGCAATAAGAACCGGTTATCTGCTCTAATGCCGGAGCCATCTGTCGACGAGCTCGAGTCGTTCGAATTGATATTGGGTGATGTTTGGGTTGAACAGATTGTTCTTATGGACCAGGCCCTTGTGTAGGGGTGACACCGCCCAACCGTGTAGGAGATGAAGCTCCGTGCAACTAGGTCTGAGCGCATCGATAATATGCGAATGAATCCACTGTAGTAGTGGGATGAGACCGAGGAACTGTGTATGCTTAGGTGAGGAGCAGACAAGAATATGGTATTATCAACATATGCTGTGCCATGGAAGATCATCGATGAATTGCTTCAAACCGTCGCGTCTTTGCCATATCAGCCAAACCACAAGTGTAAGATCGTGGAGGCGACCAAATCAACTCTCCCATGGCGCGCGTTCCTCTCGAACGCAGGATCGCAAGGCTTGAAAGTAGCCATTCTTTGTGGCGACGACCAACGACATATAAGGTCGTAGAGAGTATCTATGCTGGTATGTCGGAGAAGGTTTCGCATGCCCGTTGACCCATGTTCCATCGAAGAGCCGAAGATGATCCCATGATGAGACACCCCGTTACTCGAACGTAGATAAGGTGTGAACGAAGGCAAGCCGTTCGTCTGTTTTTGTACCCGGCTAGGATGGCGTGTCCAGAGATCTGTATATGACACATGAGGTGTGGTCTCCATTAAATATAGAATGCACCTCATCCTCGCCGTATGCAACATCAACAGCACATATAAACGGATTAAGATGCCTCTTGGCCGCAATGGCCCTGCTAATTCGATCACTGGGTTGGCGTAGGTTCTCATTTTCACGCCGCGTTTTCTCACGATGGCTATGGAATATCAAGCGAGGCAAGGGTCCACTGGACCCAAGCGGAACACTTGACGAGCGGAGCATTCAAGACGCCAATAAATATGCGCATCATATCTATCGCCTTGGCTCCAGAAGCGGGAGACTGAGTCTGCGAAGACTTGGCGCCTCCTCTACTTGCAACATAATCATGGAGGAGAATGAGTGTCATATCGAACAAGCCCCTTTACATTGTGAGAATGCGCTCGCAAGTACAGGCCCGTAGCCAGTTTCTCGTAGTGGTTGTTGTATATGAACTAGAGGATGGAGAAGAACGTCCCGCAGCTCCACGCGCCGAATATAGACAATACAAGAAGTCGTAATTGCCGCTTCAAGTTTGTGAGGTGAGTTTGAGAGGTCGCTCCAGACATTTGTCGATTTGAGAATTGTTGGGCAAGCCTCATCGAACAACACAATGGAAGTGTCCTTCATGGGCTGTTGTCCAAAATAAGCAATTCGGCTTCTCATACTTTTTTATGAGGAAGAGAGGAATAAAGACGGTGCCAAGTTGGACAACTATACAGTAAGACATCTTTCGTTCTCCAAAGTCACCCAAAGGCCTTGAGAAGGGCCAAAAGGTACTATTGTTGGAAAGATCAAAATGGAATCCTGAAACGATTGACAGGTCGAGCCATATTGAATCGAAGATTGCGTACTCCAATATAAGTATTAGCACCGACCACCCGTCTTGTTGCATAATAGCCCCGAGGACAGTGAAAGATTGGTTCAACTGTGCCTCGATGCATGGCGGTTAATTCCGTGGCTATTGCCATCGCTGGTAAGTTTGCCAAGAGTAGGCAAAGCCTCAAGACAGCCAATTCTGCTGCGAGAAGTGCCGTTATTAACTTGAATCACCGACGTTGAATTGTTTAGGTAATATAGTATCCCTACAGCGTAGCGACTGCCAGAAGCCACTGAGGTTATGGGTCGGAGGGTTCAGTGTCATGAAAAAACATCTGGAATATCCTCTTGGAATCCCGATAACTGAAATTGACTTGAAGGAGGTGATATGACACTTCAACCCCCTTCCGGCCACATTATTTGACGATATCTTGCGTATCTTTCATCAAAGCCAGTGCGGTCCCCAGTTGCACCAAAGCGAGACCAGCGGATTCTTTAAGGCGAATATCCGTATTTATTTTGGCGAAAGTCTTGTGAAGGCCGTAAGCAGGTAAACAGCGTAGGAAGACAGATGCTATGTGTGGTTCGCGTATGGATGACAGCAATCTTCAGAACGTGAAGCAACAGAGCCAATGATCTTCAGCTCGTCACGGCTCTTCGATGCGAGTCGGATGCTCCGCGTTTTAAGCGACCCACATGAGTCTTCGAACTGAGGGAGTACTCTGCAGCAATCCTATCTCCGGCAGCGTCAGAACAGGCACGCTTTAGGCTCTAGCGACATGAAGCCGGTGTAGTTGGCCCTTGATTGGAGCTCAAATCGAGGAGACACTTGCAAAAACTGCTTGGGAACCGATATCCTGACCGGCATCGCATTATACATCCACAGCGGGTGTTCTAAGCATGGCTGCTAAGGCATCCGTTACGAGAAAGCCATGTTGTGTCGAATGAGATCGATTTCATGATGTTCCATTGCGTAATGGAAAAGACAGTGTGCTGTGAATCGTCTCTCCTGACTTTAAAGCTTGCTTCAAGTGTTCCTGACCCTTGGAACTGCGCTAGATACTGATAAGGCTCATAGCCGGAGACCCAGGAGAGGGAACCAGTGATCTGACAGAAATTCCTGCGCAGAGTCTTCGAAGTTGCCTGTGAAGACCTGGGACATTCTCAAGTCATGCTTCTCCCTACATATCGCAGGCAAAAAAAGGCCGAAACCACGAAGGAGGTAGATGCTTGTAAGATAACTTGTCGCCTCGATTGGGGGTTTCTGTGTCATGAAGGTACTGGATACATGCCACACTCGGGAGAAGACAAGAAACGACCCACTGATGCGTCAAGCACGGGAGAAGCCCTCTAAGAACGAGTTGGAGATCGTCGAGGCATCATGCGGCGGGTTAAGAAGTGATTTCATCAGACCTCACAACCTGAGGCCAAGATAGGAGATTCGTAATTAGCCTGACGAGATACTTTAGGACATTGCCAAGGATTAAGAATATTCCGAGGCCATTGGGCGTAGCATGTTGCGCTTGACCAAGCATGTTTGCTGATAATTGGCTGCGATATTGGAAATGCTGACCGTATATCCAGTTTGAGCAAAATAAGCAACAGTGATGTGCATGAAGCAAAAAATGCTTGGATAAACTCTTGCGAAAGCAACTCGAGGGTCTGAACATTTCTCCGGGCTGTAGCAGAGGCATCAGAAGTCTCTTGAAGTCAGGCTCAGCAAGCCCAGTCATGAATCTTCCCGCCGGTGCCCTGCATATCTCAGTATACCCGAAAAAATACCGAGTTATTGCATATAGACAAGGGTCTGAGTGATTTGAACAGCCGTTCTTCCTATCGCTTCTGGACGAAACATTAGGTGGGCGGCGTGAATCTTCGAATGACCTCGTTAAATGCTTGGCGCGAAGCCGACAGATGACGCTGCTCGATGCAGCTTTCAGACATTTTAGCCAAATGACGATAACATCCCAAAGCATCCGCTGTTCGGTAAGCTTGTAGACCGGATGATTCAGGTGTTGATGGCAGAGAAGCGAGAACCGTAACCTGGGGACGGACGAATCCTACCCAGGTTCATCTTGAGCCGAAATGAACCGCAGACAGCAAATTTAGGTCTCCGTCAACGGTCATACCAATAATTTGTGCTTGGCTCTTGACCTTAGTTGCCCTCATTCCGGTGAGGGGTGTTATGCAAGTCCATGGTCATAAAGATTTTGTGACCTGTGTTCGCCGAGTACGCAACCAAGGCTCACAGTAGAGGTAGACTTGGGTACAAAAGAGTCCCTGCACCAGCCAAACCTGACAAGGAAATGCATGCATGAGCAGATGCTGGAAGGGATTCGAGATGGAGAGATGTGCATATCAAATGCATCTCTCACCAGCATCATAGATTCCGATGCAAAATCCAAAAATAGATGGTTTGGAAAACATATCCGGGGAGAGTGTAGAGCCAGAAATGGAACTCAGAAGCTCCCACCACTTGAAAAGGTCTGACATGGCGAATCACGCCATTTGAGTAAGCTTTGAGTAAAGATCAAGGCTTATCGACCGGATAGGCTCCGACGTCCATTGAAGAAAACATGAAAAAGAGACAGAAGAACCACGTGTGCATGGAAGTGGTGGGGAAAGACACATGACGTATCTTTCCCCAGCATAGTATCGAGCCAGGGGTTGAATCAACGCCCTGTTGTTGGAGAACTTCTGGGACCATCACCAGTGGTGTCTGAAAGAAGAAAGGGTGAGACATGACACCATTCAGTTTTTTCAGGTACATGATGTACCGTCAGGAGGCTATACAGTAGAGAAACACTCGAGAGCCTCAGAGCGGATGTACTGAAGAGGTGCTTTGACGACCATCCGACAACGTTGTGCTAATATGACAACATCTGAGCCAAACGATCAAAACCGAGAAGTGAGTGTTGTCCGGTTGGTAATTGCGTTTCGCCGGCATATAGATTGTTTCAGGGTCGGGGGGAACTTAGTCCTTGCTTGTTGCTTGTCAGCTGTGATGCGTTTAGCATCACGAAACCGCTGAACGCTGCTCATGAGCCTGGTAGCTCCATATTGTCGAGAGCCTTTAGGTCCAGGTATTTGACAGGATCAATACATCCGCAACGGACGGACATCGATACACGATGTCAATTTTCAATCAACGATATCATCTCCGAGTAGACCTGATCGAGTTGCTCTAGGCGGGATAGGCGAAACTGCATGAAGGGACTCCTTCTGTCATCCACTATTTATTTGCCATGGATAATGTAACCATCGATGGTTGTTGGAATCCAGGATTTAGCTCATGGTGCTTGGTATCGCCAGGGATGTTGAAGTTGACGATACGACTCGGTGCTTGAGACAAGTCGCTCGAGGTATCATAGCACGATTTCTGGCTGTTTGGAGCCAGAAAGGATTATGGCACGATGCAGAGAGCATGTCGGTGCTTCATGTTCTTATGAAGATGTCGTCGAGAATCGTTTATCCTCACCGCTTCTCCGAAGGATGGGCGGGACGTCGAAGATGGTTGATTGTTGAGCGCAGGGGCGCTAACATTAACAGTGATGACCATCTAAAGTATAAAGGTAATAAGGTCAGTTCTGTTGGAAGAAGAGAGAAAATATTCTTACACATAGCCCAGTTATTCATAGTGGCCTTGATTATATACATAATCAAGGCAAATGCCAAGCGAGCTGTATGCTGCAAATGGCGTGCAACGGATTCAAGCCAGTCCAGCAGTAGGATCTGATCCGGCATACTGTAGGTAGAAGTGAAAAGACCGAAGTCGAATACTGTATATAAGAAAGTACTATTACGAGATCTTTAAAGTGATAGAAGAAAGCTTATGGAAGAAGGTCGTCTGAGTATATGCCAGCTTCATATCGATGAAGCACAAAGGTGGTAGCCATGATAGGAGGAAGGTAAGAGAGGCCTGAAGAGGAGGAGTGTTAGAACTGAGTGAGAGGAAAGCGAGAGGCGAGAAGGTAGAGAGGACGCTTTTATAATTGTTTAGATCAGCTGATTTAGACTATTAACGCACATTAGTGTGATGCGGCTGGTGAAGACCCGCTTTCATCAGGCTGTACGTGCATAGATATTGCGAAGCGTGAAGATGCAGATCTGAATTCACGTTGTTCTGTATGCTTCTAGAATTGTGCGAAGCCTATCGGAATTCCCAGTAAGAGATGGAAGAGGCCAGTGAGGCACAGACAAAAACCGATATATCAAGCAGCCGGGAAGAGGGAATGAAGGTAAAAGTGAAAAATCGAGCCTACACGGCAGATAGTCGCTACAAGTAGAGGTTGCGAAGTCTTGTCATAATTCTTCCAGTGAACGTGAATTTGACACGGAGTGCGTTAATATACTGAGCTTTAACTGTCTGCTTCTTGGCCCTTTGTTGGAAGGCTTCAAGTGATTGACCGGTGGTCTTGGGGATTACGTGGGCAGTTAGTACCAATATGAAAGCGTGCCGTTAAGCTCGGAAAAGGTCTTCCCGTATTGGATGAATGAGCACATATCAGATAGGCTAGTGTGGCTGTCTTATAGTTTGTTAGGAAGGCCAATAGAGGGCCGACAAGTCAATATCTACATAGCTTTACATCCAAGGATCTACCACACTCTGTTCTGCAATGACTTCAGTATTGGAAAGCTAACCGACATGGTATTTAAACAAAAAGACATCATGATAATCATTCAAGACCCCCAAGACAGGTAAAATAGAAAAGAAATTAGACCAGAACGCTAGAGCCATCGCTCTTCTTGCAAGAAGAGCACGATCCAGCGCCAGCTGCTACCTGAGATGGCGTCCGAGCAAAGCTGGGAGGAACGTCCAAGGCAGGGTTCCGAGCGAAGAAATGTCTGGGACGGAGAAGCAGAGTCATTGGCTCTGCAGGCATGATAGGATAGTCCTCAGGGGCAGGGAAGTGCGTCAAGCCGAACGTGTGCCATAGAACAACGTCCGTGTTGTCGATGGAGGAATTCGCACCAGCCGCTTCAATCCAAGCCGGCAGACCCTGGGAAGGCTCACCCGACGTCTGTGGTACGTGGCGTCCAGCAGGGTGAATCTGGTCATCGGAGTCTTGGAAGAGTTAGTTGATTCACAAACAGAACGTCACTGTATACGGATAAGAACTCACATTTAGTGACATGCACGGCATGTCTTGCGAAGCCAGCCCGCTTCCAGACCAAGCTACCTTCCTTGGGAAGCAAGGGGGGAACTTCACGGCTGACTAGCTTGTAGCAGACAGGCTTCTTACTGTAGGGGTGCAGCTTGTTGGTGTTGGCGATTTCCCAGGTTCTTCCAGTGTTGCCGTCATAGTCGGACATCGCTTCCAGAGGGGTGGTAAACTTGGTTTTCTTTGCGTAGAATGCGTTTCCGTACTTGTTTTCGGCGCTTCCGACCTCTCCCTCGCCACGAGTCGCATCGACTTGGAAAATGGTGTTGTTGGGTCCGTCGACATTGGCGTCCACACGCAGACAGAACAAGTGCTGGTGGTTGTGTGCGTTGACGCCAGGGTAGACTTCCGTACCCCAGCCCTTGGTGTCCTCGCCCGGGTTCATAGCATAGGTGTTTAGGATGCCAGTCAGCTTGATGTCAAGCTGGATCGTACCATCCTGGTGGAAGATCCAGTAGACACAGTACTCGTAGTTGGCGGCAGTGAAAATGTGGGAAATGACCAACTTCCGAGCACGAGTCACAACCACAGACTCGTCACGGAAGTCAGTGTGCTTGAAGAGAATGCCCGCATCTTCTTCGTGAATACATATGGCATTCTTGACAATTGTACTGGCGCCTGCACGGTTGACAAAAGCGGCATCCATGTAGTGGATAGCGCCCTTGCAGTCACAGCCAAGAGACAGGCTGTTGGTCATGTAGCCACCACCGTACTCGCCCAAGTCGAAAGCGTGCTTGCGCTGGTGAGGATGCTCCGGGTTTCCGTACGGAACGACCATCTCTGCGAGCGAGAGACGGTAGAAAATAGGACGAACATTGCCGTTATCGTTGAAAGTGATATTGTTCAAGACGATACCTTCGCGGTAGTTGAAACCAACGTGAATGTTCCACTTCTGCCAGTCGATAGAGCGTCCATTGACACTGAAAGAAACACCCTCAGGCTGAGTGATATGGATGGGCTTCACATCTGTCCTGTAACCGCCTTCCTTCTCAATCGACGCGGGGTGGTAGTTGTTGGGAGGAGCCTTGCTGATTGGCCTCCGTACCGGGGGAATATCGATGTGGATAACCTGCTTCGTTTCTGCGTTGAAAATGGGACAGAAGTCCAAAGGATATGTGTATTGGGAATCGTCGATATGCGGACGGTAGTACATGAGCGCCTGCTGTAGACGAACGTCTGTACCGAAACGCTCATCGTAGCCAATTGTCCAAGCTGCGATTGATTAGCACTGTCCAAATCAAGCCAAACCGTAGCACAACAACTTACGATCGCAGTAAACCTTGTCCATATCCTCCTTGGGGATGCCGATGATCTCGCACTGTTCAATGACCTTGGGGTCTTTGCGAACAATGGACTCGACCTCCTGCAAGTCCTCCATGGTGATCAAGGGCTGAACGCCAGGTGTGTGCTCCCATCTCACGATCTTCTTCTCATCGAGATTGACAACTCCATCATAGACTTTGCCACCAGGTGCAATAGCAACAACGTCGGCCGCGCGCGTCGGGCGAGGGACCTTCTGAGGATTTTCCAGCCATGCCATCATCTCTGCCTTGCGGGGCTCATAGAGAGTGACCGCATTGAAGTTGACCTTGCCATATTCCTTGCGGATAAGGGCGACAGCGGTATCGATCTCCACGGTTGAGAGGGGATCTAGAGGATGGGGAGGAGGCGATGTAGCCTTGACCTGGTGGGTCAGCTGCTGAAGGCGCTCGAGAACCATGATGGGAGGAGCGGTGTATGAAGGGTGGGTGTCTAAGGCTCGTGTTCTCTCGGTGTGATAAAGGTATCGGCTGTGGTATATGTTTCCGAGTGAGGAAAATGAACCGGCGACTTGGCCGGGTTGGGTAGGACGAGAGTTCCAGAGAGACAAGAAGAAAAGTGATGTTACCACCCTGACTGTGAAACAATGGCTGGGGATGGAGGACAGACGCTTTATAAAGGAACGCGAGGATGGCTGCACGAGCGCATGATTGTACAGAAGCAGCTCTCCAGCTGCACGAGCGATAAGATACGCCCGATAAGACGCCCGGATTCCTTGCCCCAAAGCGGTCTAGAGTAGTTGACGTCCCCGCCGGGACTCAAAGCGGTAATGGAAACCCTGTCGGGTCCCTAGATCGAGTAGTCCCCGCCCTGACACCCCCCCGGACTCGCTCACTTGACCCGAGCGCTGGCCTGGAAGGGCCGATGTAGGCGTCGGATGTGGTTCCCTATCAAGAGCCCCGGAGGGGTCTTGTCGCCTTCCGATTAGAACCTCGGTGCATTGATTTGCAGGCTCATCGCGGACGGGGTAATACAACGCGATCTGGATCAGTCGTGCCCGGGAATCATGAGCCAGGCCAGCCAAGTGGGGCAGGTTAGCAAATGGTGTTTGATAATGCTAACCAACGCGTCTATCGTATAGATCAAGTAAATCCAACCGGCTCTGCCTACGTGTAAAAGATAAGATCGGAGTGGCAGGCTCCGGACGCTCAAAGAAATAATGCTTGATGTAGATCACATTCCAGCCAGAGATGAACACCATACACCCGTTGCAAACACCCACCCCCAAAGCAATACGAAGGCATTTCAGGCGATGAACTCCATGAACGGACCGAGAATTAACAACAAGACAATGCACCAAGAAAACACAACCGATGCCACATGCTATTTACATCCATCACATCGTATAGATTCCTTGCCTTCCCCACCGAAAGCAACATGAGTAAAAGAAACAACCAGAACCGCCGGCTAAGGTTCAATGAGGAAGATAGACCATGAATCCGGGCACCCCCCCGAAGCTGTGCATTGGGTTGCCAGATCCCGCAGGTCAAGGGAGCAGGGGCCTATACAAGCAGGAAGAGAAGAGTCAGGGTAAATGTAAATAAAAGTACGCAATATCACGAACACCCCGAACCTGATCTAACACCAATGGTAAAAAAGGGATGAGTACCAACAGCCAGACAAGCCGACGAGCCTCATGACTTGGCAAGCTGGAATTGACCCAGGACGCCCCCAGTGGCACCGGGAGTCATTGTATGGGGTGTTTGGCTGCCACCAATGTGTCCAGCGTTGGGGGTGCTCGGCGTGCCGGTAGCCGAGTAGATTGTGGCGCCATTGAGGTTGGGGGTTTGATGTGGTTGCATGTGGTACAGCAAAGACGGCATATGCCCATTCAAGCCCCAGATCTGTCCAGAGTACTTCGACTCATCAATGCTGCCATTGAAGACAAGCTGACGCATTTTCCAGTAGATCTCGCCGGTCACGAGTGAGTCCGATCCCGCCTGATGAGCGATGCCAACGCGCTTGACACCGAGCTCATCGGCAATGTCTTGAAGTCCCGACTTCTGTCCAAGATTAGTGAGAATCTGAGCAGCGGCCGGCGTTAACGGAGAGTCGTTTACAGCCTGGTTGCGTCCAGCATGTTTCATCAGGTATTTGATGTCATACAGCGACGGGAAAAAGATTTTGAGAAGTTTGTGAAATTCCTCTTCGTTCTCGGGAAGGGGTTTGCAAAGCATGATCTTCATCAGGTATCCGAAGTCATAGCCGGAGTGGAACGATACCCAGTGGACGTCTTCCAACAGAACGAGCCCCGAGCTGATCAGCAGAGCACCGAACTCAAACGGGTCGATACCGTTCTTCTCGTGCATGGAGAAATCGATACCCGCCTTGGCAAGCATAGCCGTCGACTCCTGCGCATACATATCTTCCTCCAAAGAAAACCGGAAATTGAATTGCCATGTGCAGGGAGCCGGAACCAGGCTGTTTCCAAGAGGTTGTCCATTCGCATCCGTAGCATTGGGCGGGGGTACCTCGCCTTCGTTGGAGAAGAGTGTAATACCAAGCTGGATCATTTTCAGGAGGTCGACGTTACACCGGAGAGTTTGATAGTGGTAATCTGCTTTGTTCGTAAACGATCCCATGGGGCGTGCGACGATGCCGGGGAACTCGGTGTCCTAACCATTGTTAGCGTTATTCATTCCTCCCCAGCATAAGCAGGCATCCAGCTTAGCTCTCCAGCTTCACCATGGGCTAGCTCGATCTTACCATGCTGATATAAGGGTACTTCTCGACGAACTGTCGGAGGATAGCCATCTCTTGAGCCAGGTTGTGGCTCCATACGTCACGTATCCGTGTCTTCACTGCACCAGCTTTTGTCTCCAGCGCCAACCGACCATCGTGAGCCTGATGTAATTGCTGTTGCTGCATCTGCGCTCCTCGTGCGAAGCCCATCTGGGCGGCATGGCTGGCGAGCCCGGTCCCGCCTCCATCCCCGGCACCCCCGAACCCTGCGACGGACATGCCGTTTGCGATGCCGGTGCCGGACAACGTAAAAGGATTGATATTAGTGTTCGGGTTCCCGGCTGCAAACCCGGGGTGGCCACCTATGGAGGGAGGCGGGAGAGCTGTGTTGGCCGACTGAGCATGGGCCGGGTGGTGTTGGGCTTGCTGTTGTTGTTGGAGATGGGCTTGTTGGAGGTGGGTATAGGAAGCGTTTAGGCCAGTAGGCCCGTATCTGCCGACAGGAGGGGGCATAGCGTAGGCAGCGAAGCTGATAAGCCGTCACGCATCTGAAACTGGGATGAAAGATGGAGAAAGCGGAGGGAGGGGGGAGTGGGATTCGGTCGGCTCTTTTCGCGCTGGGCTCTGGGACGGACGGGCTCATCCTCGCCGCGAAGAAGGCGGACAGCTGCGGTTGCTTGATTCGGCCTAGCGCGCCAAGCCCCCAGTCCTCGCTCCCTCGTTTCCCGTACAGCTTCAACTTCCTCTCGTTCCCGCCTGTCCACATCCTCGCGCTTTCTCCCCGCTTGCCCGTCCATTGTCTATCCGGACCCTGCGGATCTCGGAGTCAATACTCTCACTGCTCGACCCGCCATTCCACTCATCCCCGACTCACCCCTTATCCGTCGCCAATCCGCTCACCATGGCTCCCCACCCCACCGGATTTGACATCAACGAATTCAAGAGGGCCGCCCACCCCCGGTCGTCTTGGGCCAAGAAGGACCCCTGGGCTCGCTAGTACGACTTCCGCCGCTGCCGGACTCACAATTGCGCATGTACTAACCGTTTCATCAGTGAGACTTGGAGATACACCGGTCCCTTCAGCCGCTTCAACCGCTTCAAGCGCATCTTCCCTGGCTTCGGCATTGCCAGTGTTGCGTTCGCCGGCTACTGCACCTACGAGCACTTCTTCCTGAAGGATGACCACCACCACCATGGCGAGGGCCACCACTAAGTCACGATCGGGGGATACGGGTAGCAGGCGCGGAGTAGCAGGAAGCTGATATACGGTGGAAAAGTTGAAGGATACCCCGGATTGCCTAGACTGATGGCATCCGTACGTGCTAGAAGGGTCACAACATGTGGTGTATGGGCCGGGAAGGCTTGTTTCGATCGAGATAGATCATGAATGACCCCCGCTCTCTACAGACGGCGCTTGGGTTGTTTCATTTGTCGGGTGTACATAGTAACTGTTATTTATCACAAGTGCATGCTTTGTTTAACAAGCCAGGTGCGATTATTGGTTTTTGCGCTTAGGATTCTTTTAGGATTACTAATGGGGTGGTAAGACTGTCCAGTAATTGGAAACAAACATGATCATCAGATTCACATAATAAGTCGGACTTTGCATCTATACAGGTATTTTGTCTATTCATCAAACATTTACTCCTCAAATACCAGGGAGATACCGTCATCACCGGCAGTAACAACCCTCTTGCCATCCGAGCTCTGGACAAAGGCCATGATACCACCGGATTGCTCTCCCTCGGAGTTCTCGATAAGACCCAGGTGACCCTTCCATTCCTTCAACAGACCCTGGGCAGCAGCGGCAGTTCCTCCACGTGCATCCCAGCGTCTAACAATGCCATCCATACCCACGGAGGTGAGCAGCCACGGTTGGCCTTGGCCGGCAGTGGCAGACGCAAGCGGGCTGGGACGAGGCAAGGGGTTGGCGGGCGCACGGCTCTGCAAGAACTCGAGCTTGACCACTGCTCCCTCGTGGGCCTCTTTGATGTGGCGGCGGACGGCAAAGCGATGAGCAGTGTCAAAGAGCGCGATCGAGCCGTCCACGGAGCCAGCCGCAAGAAGGTTCATGGGAGCGGAAGAGAAAGACAGAGTCTCAACACCGTCACCCTGGGCCTGAAGAGAGGCGAGGAGAGTGCCTGCAGCAGAGGCACTCGTCTGCGAAGGAGCTCCCCGGCCCTTCGCCTTAGAACCCGCAGCACCGCCGGAGGGCGCCAGACGGGGAAGACCAACCACCTTGATGTGGCCTTCAGCACCACCAACAGCAGCAATGGTGCCAGACGGGGCGATGGCGACAGAGTACAGTCCTCCCTCAACAGCAAAGCGCTGGTCATCTGCGGTCAGACCGACGACGGCGCTAGTACCAGCGGAGTAGGCGATGCCAGCAGCAGAAGCGGCGCCAAAGACATCGTAAACGTAGAAGCTGCCATCCTCCGAAACAGTCGCCAAAAGCTTTCCGTCGGGGGTCCAGGCACCGGCAGTGCAAGATCCGGTGTGCTGGAAGAACGACTGAATGATGGAGATGGGCTCCGCAGAGTCCTTGTGGTCGATACGGAACACCCATGCACTGCCATCGTTGGCTCCCAGAGCAATGACATTGCTCTTTTCCTCATCACCCTTCTCAGAAGGGCAGACAGCGACCCAGTTGATCTCCTCCACTTCCTGGACCTCCGCGAGATATTGCCATGCGAGCCCGGTTCCCTGCGGAGTGGTATCGCGCCAAGCACGCAGCTTGCCGTCCATTCCTGCCGTAATAACATACTCGCCCTTGGGCTCTGTAAATGCGACTCCATTCACAGTGTCTGAGTGGCCGTCCAGCTTCAGGAGGGGCTTCAGGGAGTCGCGCTCCCGCCTCGGTTGCGGATCCGATTCGTAGCTCTGGGGAAGGAGAGGGCGCTCATTGTTCGGTGTCGAATCGAAGAGATAAGCGGTGTCGTCACCGGAACCAGTAATAACGATGGAGTTGTGAACCGGATGCTGAGCAATGCAAAAGACGGAGTCCGTGTGGCTATCGAAGTGGGCGGCAGAGTCGTTCTCCAAGGTGATTTCTTGTTCTTCGTAAGTCATAGGCTGATCATCGTCTTCGGGGTCGGACTCCATAGGATGGTCCTCATCGCGGTTGAAGACCTCCTCTGCTTCATCGGCTTCAATGTAAGCGTCCTCGTCGGCGCGGGGAGGATCTTGAGAGGATGACATGATGTATTTGGAGCGGGTTTTGTGAGAGCTGCGGGGATTGCGCAGAAGGGGGAAATTGATGTCTAGGAAGTTGAAAGGGAAGCGACAGTTGTACGGTAAGCTCCCAAATCCCTGATTTAATATTCAAGCAAATGTGCAGGGAGGACAACAGGGCGCAGTCCGAGAATGACTTTTTTTCTTTGCTGATCAATCTTCCCGATCAACCCCCGCTTAGAAATTCGATTCTTCCCCGCGGCGGGTGCAAACACAGCAAACAGTCATGCCGCTTGCATCCCGCCGATCGAGTAGCCATTCATGAACTCTCTATAGTACACTCATATTGTTATCGTATCTATGAATTCGCCATGCGTATATCTGAATCATAAATCGTGATGGAACAAATGCCTTGTGCATGACTTAATCCACCAGACTGACCGTCTACAGCTTCGAGCCGGCCTGTCTCCTTGCTTCCTTCTCTTGGTCTCGAAGCAGCCGGCGCAGGATCTTGCCGCTGGGGCTCTTGGGAACAACGTCAATGAACCGAACCCCACCCTTGAGCCACTTATGCCGGGCTTTGTGGTCTGAGACGTGCTTCTTGATCGACTCAATAATCTCCTCGTCATTGCCGCTAGCAGAAGGAGACTTGACGACGATGGCTTTGGGGATTTCTCCGGCTGCTTCATCCGGAATGGCGATGACGGCACAATCAGCCACAGCTGGGTGTGTGAGAAGGTGTGCCTCCAGTTCAGCTGGAGCTACCTGCAATCCCTAATGATTTGACTATTAGCTCGAGACTTAAATCAAGGGACCCTAGTGGGCATACTTTGACTTTGATGAGCTCCTTGATACGGTCAACAATGAAGACATGTTCCGTGTTCTTTGGGCTCAGGCGGACCACGGCTTCATCACCGGTTCTCATCCACCCGTTTTCGAACGTCTCCTTGTTCGCCTTTTCGTTGTTTAGGTATCCGAGAACGACACTTGGGCTGCGGACTACCAGTTCACCCGGCGTGTCATAGCTTGTGATCTCCTTTCCCTCGGGAGTGACAATACGCATTTCAACACCAGCAAGGAGACAGCCTGACGACCCGAGGAATATGTCAGTGGGATGAGTCGAGCACACCACAGTGGAAGTCTCAGTCAGGCCTGAAGACAGTCAGTATGAATCGTATAATATTCAAATGAGTGCTTACCGTATCCTTGTCGAAGAATGACGTTTGGATACAGCTTCTGAAACTCCGCCGCTGTTTCCATACCTAGGGGCGCGGCGCCGGTAAAGAGTGTGCTGATCGAGCTAAGGTCGTATTTGGAGCATGTTTCATGGTTCCGAAGCATGTTAATAATAATTGGAGGAACCTAAAGATCCGTCAGTGAGTCTGTCATAATGGCGTCTTCATGCGGAGTGAGGGGTTACTGACCAGAAACAAACCCGAGATCTTGAAATTTTGGATCGACGCCAAATACGAGTTCAAGTCAAACTTGGGCAACACAACAGCTTGATCGCCTCTGTATGGACTCGCATGGCAGATGACTACTAGGCAATAGATATGGCTTTGGGGAAGCAGACACAGCGATACCTCAGTGTGGTTGGACTGGCTTCCCGGAACCTTGAGGGACTCGCGCCAAGAAGCCTCGAATTCCCCAATCTGGAGCACATTTGCGATTACATTGCGATGAGAGATCATGACACCTTTCTGGAGTGAAATGGTTAGGCAAAATCTCCGGTTTCTCTCTGAAATGCTTTGACTTACCGGTAAGCCCGATGTTCCACTGGAATAGCATAGGAATGCAGTGCGACGGCCACCCTCTCCGGCGCCCCAGTTCAACTTCTCCAATTTCGGAAGCGCCTTACCCTCTTCGATGAATTGTGAGACGGTCTTGTATTGTGCCGGGGCCTTAATTCCGGGTGTGAGTTGTGGTGGGACTTCTAACAAGTATATACGCTCCTTTGGCAACCCAACCAGGGACGCGGCCTCGAGGGCGGTCTTCAGTAGGGGGAGACAGGTGAATAGTGCTTTGGCCTTGGAATCGAGCAGCTGATGTCTCAGCTCAGCTGCCGAGTAGGATGCGTTCGCTGGGGTCACAAGTCCGCCCAGCTGATGGACGGCCCATGATAGAGGTAGGGTATCGATCTAGGCAGAAAAACGATGAGCTGGGTCCGAGTATCGATTGCACAAGGGAGACTCACTGTGTTCAAGCTAAAAATCGCAAGGGTCTTATCCCATTCGGTCCCCGTGTTAGGCCTCCAGTTGAGTTCCTTGGCCAAGGCGCGAGAGAGATAATCGACGCGGTCCACCACTTCCAAAGACGAGTAGCTTTTCCCGGTGATACCGCAGGTGAAAGGATCTTTTGAATACCCCAGGGGATTACGCCCGTGAAGATCCGTCAACATGAATTCGCTCAGCGGAATATTGTCCGGGATTGGCGGCAGGGTGCCTGCCGATTTCGCAGGAAGGAAAACCATATTGTAGTCGGTGTGCGAGGGTTTCAGCTATCTACAGATATTCCCAGGCTTCACGGTGATATCGCGCGGAAAAAACACGGGCAAGAGATGAGAAAAAGAAATGATGGGGGGTGGGATCCGCGGGGGCAGCTATATAAGTAGCCGGCCCAGCCGCCCTTGCGATGTGCGGGGAAAGCTTCCATTATTCTGGAATGAGCCGAGGCTGTACTCCAGACCGGTACATCTTAGGTGTAATTCCGATCGCTGGAGGTGCGCTTGGCTTGCATTATAAACAGTCTCGAACCTGTCAATAAACCTCAAACTTGATAATCCTCTAAAAAGAACTCGCCAGCTAATTGACAACAGGCACAGTGAGAATTTCTTCTGGGATTGTGCAACGAAACGCCCCTTACCTACCACTCGGACAAGTAATAACCGAGGGCCGACTGGGGGCGACTAACGTCGACGCCCCAGAAATAGGACGGGGCGATCGGCAGCCCCATTAATGCCAAGCGCGGTGGCTAATGCTCCCAACGCTGCATGGTATTCCAACAAGGTTCTATATTTCATCCCTGCATTTGCCAAAAAGAAGTCAATTCCGGTAGAGATGCCGTACCGAGTATTATCTCGGGAGAATGACATCAATCATGCGGGTGCGGAAATCGTGGAGTGGCCAGTAGCTACCACCCTGTCTTAAAATCCCGAGACGGGCACCCCCACACTGGTTGCGGATCGGCATCATCGGCCTTCACCCGGCGCAAAGATGGTAACACTGCAGCACAGGACATTCATTCCCCGCTATCGCATCGTCGGGTCAAGAATGTGCCAGTGAATCCGTAATCAAGATCTTTAGTATCAGAACAAAGGACCTTCTCGATATCATTCAATGGTCGAGGGGTAAACGGCCAGTTATATATCTCGTCAAGGCCAAGCCAGACCTAATACCACCTGTGGAAGTCGAATCATCTACCTGCTAAGATATCACTACCACCGCAAGAAAGCCATCGCAAATCATCAAAGAAATAAACACATATTCATACCTTAGAAGAAAAAACGATGGATCCCTGCGCAAACTGCAATTCGCAAACCCATCAAACCTCCGAATGCCCCATTCCGCGCTGCTGGACATGCTATAAACTCGCGCATACGGCGCGGACTTGTCCCGAGCAGATCTGTCGGAGATGTTATCATCGAGGGCATGATGCGAGGGATTGCCCTGAGACTGAGAAGAAGAGAGATACGGAGACGTCTGAGGTAAGATAACTGATAAGTTGTTTGGCTTGCGGGGTGGAGAGTTTATGCTGACTGGGTGGGTGCAGGGGAAGTGATTTATTGGCTTGGGTTTATTTGGCGTGAATCGGGGAGTGGGACTTGAGTTTGGGGTCAGTGGGGAAGGAGCATTTGCCATGAGGGGGGGTTTTGGTTTGTATGGGATGTTTTATGGGGGTTACAAGGCGTGAAAGGAGGGGTCAGGAAGGTGGGTTGTTATCACATATCGGCTTGATGCGGGATCGTCATTAGTTGATTTGGCTCAATCAATTGGCTCCAATGAGCTTCATAAGTCAAGGTCTTTTTTAGTACCTAGTTGAGAACCCTTGATAAGCAGACTGACACAGCGATTTGCAGCATCCCGACAGACAACTTGTATATAGCTGCAAGGCACAGTCTTTGCCTGCATGGATCTAAGAGCTCAGGGGTGCGAGGATCGTCTTGCTAGGAGAGATGATGGGGACAATTGCTGAAAGAGGAAGGTATGTAATGATGGAGGAAGGGATGATACCTCAACGATTCAAGAACCAACTCAACGTTCGCAACACCTACAGTCATCGACACGCAGTTGACGAAATTATTGCCTTAGAGCCAATGATTGGAGGTGCAATGTCCAGGAACATATATAAAGTCATATTTCGGAGACGATGGTGTCTCAATCTACCGGTCTCTAATGATGCCAATGACCGCTTGGCCGGGGTCGCCATTGAGATGAAGGCCGGGCAGTATTACGGACAGCGAACAGCGGGTGAATTCCAAAGTCGCAAGCCAATATTTGCTACAGTCACTAGGGCATGATGAAGAGGTGCTTTGAAGAATCTGACGGATGTGGTTCGGAATGCCTCTGAAGTGTTGACTCCAGTGATGTTGATCATTGGTGCTGCGGTGCAGTGATGCCCAACAATGCTCCTGCATGGATCGGCCGAGGACTTATTACCCCACCACACTTCGACCTGTATGATTGAACCTGCCACTCACAAAAGCTGACCCAAACATCTCAGATCCAGCACAATATGCGTCTCATCAACGTGAGCGGAGTCGATACCGACGATGGTCTCAAAATCGAAGAATTCCAGAATGACAATATCCCGTCATACGCGATTCTATCCCATACGTGGGGTGAGGAGGAGGTTACCTTGCAGGAGATGGAAGAGACATACGCAATAAAAAAGGGATTACTTGGAAAGATGTCCAAGGTTCACTATGGGGAAGATAACGCGGCGAAAAAAAAAGGATACGCGAAAATTGCCATGACATGTACAACCGCCAAGAGACATGGCTGGAAGTACGCCTGGGTCGATACCTGCTGTATCGATAAAACCAGCAGTGCAGAGCTGTCCGAAGCAATCAACTCGATGTACCGATGGTATCAGAAAGCGCAAGTGTGTTATGTCTTTCTGGCGGATGTCGTGTCTTTGGATGATTTCGCAAGTAGCAGATGGTTCACCAGAGGATGGACACTTCAGGAGTTGATTGCTCCGACGGAGATACTTTTCTATAACAAGTACTGGAAGATACTAGGGACGAAACAGGGTCTATGGCAAAGAATCGAGGACAGGACTCAGATATCGCCTCTGGTCCTACTAGGCCCAGAGGGCTTGGAGGAGATCACTATTGCCCAGAGAATGTCGTGGGCGGCAAATCGGAGCACAACTAGATCTGAGGATCGAGCATACTCCTTGTTGGGGCTTTTTGACATAAACATGCCGTTACTTTACGGAGAGGGAGAAAAAGCTTTCATCAGACTCCAAGAAGAGCTGATGAAAGCATACGATGATCCTTCCATTCTCGTCTGGGCGTCTAAAACAGAAGATCATGGTGGGCTGCTTGCTACCTCCCCAGATGCATTTGAAGGCATGGCGGGTATTTCTATGCGCATATTCCCCAACAGCCTCAGAAAGACTTCCTGGACCCTGGACAACAAAGGAATTCATTTGAACATGCCTCTTCTACCAGTCGGACATTCAGGGCTCGTGCTTGGCATACTTGGTGGCGTTTACGTCAACCAGCTTGATGATCCAGCAGTGATTTCACACAGGAGTTTTGGTATTTACTTGCAGGAAATTTCATATGAAGGAATTATGTTCAGACGGGTATGGAGTGACAGACTCGAATTGACCGACGACTATGATTACCTCCATGCCAACCTTGTAGTGAAAGAGGTATGCGTTCCACAGCGGCGCCGAGCAGCCGCAGTCAGGATAGCACGGCAACAAAGGGCCCCGGAGGTATTTGACCCTCTAATGAGTGATTTCGAAAGTTTATTCAGGGGACCGTGGAAGCCCACGCCATACGCCAGACGCAGATTACCGGTCTCGTCATCAGGATGGGGAGTCATGGAACGATTCTTGTGTGCCGCGAAGATTGGGGATGAAGAGTCTGTCAGAGAGCTTGCCATCGTTGACCCAAGAGTTGTACAGTGCTCAGATGATCACCAGAGGACAGGGCTGTCATACGCAGCAGAAGGCGGCCATGTGAAAGTTGCCTGGATGATACTGGTGAGACTCATGTGGCTTGGAAAAAAGCCGAGCGATGAGTGTTTTCAAGGAAGAACACCGCTTTCGTATGCAGCTGGACGCGGTCATATCGAAGTACTCTGGCTGTTATGTAATTGGCCTGGAATCTATCTAGATTCAGCCGACAAGAAAGGATGGACCGCGTGGGCCTATGCTGTTAGGGAGGGGCAGGTGGAGGTGATCCGGTTTCTTCTCTCACAGGCCCAGGTTAACAAATTCATGGTAGACGCCAGTGGACGGACACTATTGTCACATGCGGCAGAGTGTGGGAGAAGGGATATAGTCGAATTGCTGCTGAAAAAGACCAGTCATTCCTACACCCATCTGAATGATCGCAACGGACTTTCAGCAATCGATTGGGCCCAGAGAAACGGGAGTGAGTCGGTGTTACAGTACTTTGCACCCTACTCCCTACGTTAATAATATGGTGAAGGTGCCCTTCTCATTTCTAACCAGTTGTAAGTGCCTGCCACTTACATAGCTTCATTCCATCAAGCGTATTCTGCCTTTGGCTATAGAAATCCCTTTTCAAACGACTCCCTCACGACCCAAAAAGAAACCTTTCCTCCAGCCCCCCCATCAACCAAATCCTCAACACCTGCCACGCATCCAAATCATTCACCTGCACCACCATCTCCACCCGCGGATCATGCCACTGATGCGTCCTCTTCGTCTCCGTGCCCTTTAACGACTCCCCAATCCTCCGACAACTATCAAAATCAATAATCACCGGCCCCCCATCCTCATCGAACATGATATTCGCCGGATTGATATCGTTATGCACAAACCCAAGGGAATGAAGATGTCTAATCCCGTCCAGTATCCCATCTAAACAACTCCGAATGGCCTCACCAACATGCTCGCGTCCACTCAGACGAAATTCCTCTTTGTTTAAATGCCCTGGATTGGCCTTTTCGAGTAAAGTGCATGTATACCGTTTGAAACACAGCCCGGACACTCGACCGTTTGTCTCCTGGCACCCGTAGTAGGTTGCTAGATTTGGGTGTGGGTTGTTCCGCAGAATCTCACACACAGTCACTTCCCGGAGAATCTGTTGTTCCAAATCAGACCCATCCACATACGACAGAAGACTCGGTGTCTTGATGTAGATTGTTGACCAGGTGGGTTGGATGAGTGGGCCTCTGTCGTTAGTTTGGATTTGCTGCACTTCCTCGAGTTGGTCCAGAGTGGAGGGAGGATGGTATCGATTTTTCCACTTGCCGTAGTAGAGCACACCATCTCGCTGCACGAAGTATTTGACGTAGGAGAATTGCAGCTCGTCGTTGATTCTTTCGAAGGCTTCGTTGGATTTTAGGATCTTCATATCTGCAGTTTGTCTGAAAGGGATGGAGTATATGCGTCTGAGTGAATAAGTTGGATTGGTAATGTCTAGCGCCAGGTGGAATACTGAGAGTAGTGGAAGGTATCGTTCATCGAGGGTGGGGTGTATAGGAATTAAGAGAAACGTGGAAGGGGTCCGCCGCTGATTCAAATAAGATAGTGAGGAAAGTCCCGAGAGATGATCGATCTGCTTGCCTGCTGGAGAAGAGGTGAGAGTTGACGGTGGATTGGTACCCCGTCTAGAGGCAAAAGTTGGAACGAAACAGCCTCTCACGAATATTTCAAAGGCTGGGAGTATCGTACTACAGCCTCAGGCCAGACTATTCGAAATAGCATCCGTGTGTAACTGGTCTCTATTATCGAGGAGCTTAGGGAGGGGGTCACTCACAGACTCGAGCTATATTTCACTGTATGATCAGTCATCGAGCAGGTCATACTTCAGCCGGTGATACCTAGCAAGTCAGCAGAGAAGAATATTTCTACATGAATGAAGGTTTCGGATGAGTGGGTATGGTAATGCTTACCTTTTCTAAAACACTGATATCACTAAAGATGATGTTTGAGGTGAACTGCGTTAAAGTTGGTAAAGAGGGTATGTATTTCATTGGCTCATCCTATTAGGGTTCTTTACGTTGTTACATGCTGGGCTATTTGGATAGTTGGATTTAACTGCTGAAGCTTGATTGAAATGATGGGAAAGCCACAGAGATGAAGTGTACCGGTAGGTTATAGCGCTTTTGAGAATGGAATCTCATGGGCAATCTCCTCATACTTGACTGGAAGTCGGCTCTGTAGATATAGCATTATTTGATATGCTTAGCATACATATATACTAAAATTAAAGGATAGAGCGACTGAAGCTATGGTAGTAGACAGCCTCGAACCAAACATGGTATCCCATAATTTGTTGCCCCGGCACGATTAAGGCCCCATGGAAGCACCCCCAATGTTCATTTCAGACCCGGAACAGCCTTGCGAGGAACATTCTTCCCAGCCGTCTACCAAATCCAGACAGGCGATGAACTGTCAAACCCAACAGGCCTATCTCTATCCACTTCCATAACCACCCGTGAAACAGGACCCCTACGTCGGCCATGTTCACTGTACGGAGTATGTGCAGTCTCCATGGCGCATGTCGAAGGTCCCGACACCGACCCATACTAGTCCCAAAGAACCACACAGAATACCGTGTCTGTCGTCTCATAGCCAGCGCCTCCCTTCGAACACACTTTCCGATCTGCCAAGTCCCACACCTTGGCCTTTTTCTCTGCAATTCACCCCCTTCACTACTAAACCACCCATGAAAGCCACTGAACCCGCACCTTTTGGAGGGTGTTGTGTCATCCCTAACGATGCCTCGGATCCCTGCTCCCAATTTATCCGGACCATGTCACAAACCATTGAGTAGAGCAAAAGAGCGGAGTACATGATGAAACAGTCATCAGCCCCATCCTCTCAAAGGACCGCTTAGAACCTATATTGATGCACTAGGACCGTCCACCAATTTGCAGTCGAGGAGGACGGCATGTGAGGGCGGCGAGTATGTTATCCTACTCAACGTTCTCTTGGATCGCTTGTGCAGATCTCTTGGACCATTTGATTGTCCAGTAAGAGAAGGCATGAAGACAAGGAGGGGATGGAGAGGGAGCTGAGACGGTTTCTGTTTCTTGTAAGGACCGGTTGCTATAGATAGCCGGCGGGAGTGGACATCCTCATGAAAAAGGTTGGTCCGGATCATATCTCCAACCCGGCATTGGATCGCTCGAGACAGATTTTTCCGTGCGAGCAATAGAATGGGAAGCAAGAGGAGGAGAGGGAGTGACGAGGCGGCTAGTTTAGTCCTATATCTTTTTGGAACAATTTATATATCGGTTTCTGACAGGAAAGGTAGACCAGTAATTAGGCGAGTGACGCAGATGTAGAGCAGTGAGTGGAGGCAGTCGAGTCAGCGACATTTTCCTTCGTAGGGCAATTTGGGGTATCGGTTCGCGACGAGGATGAATGCTAAGATTGAAAAGCTCCATGATATCGTGTGCGCATCGCATGAATCAATCTCCGATGCAGCGTGTTCATGTTGCAGGGATAATTGAGGAGGCGCAAGACCACAGCAAGTGGAGTTGTAGTTAGCAGAAGCTCAGACACATTTCTCTCGCGGGGGCATTGGCATAAAAATGCTGGACACAGAGAGTGGGCCATCGCAGGCAAATGAGACAATATAGGAGAAGCGAGTGGAGCGGTGGTTGGTTCAGCCATAATTTTGAAGCCATTTGGTGGCCGATATCCGACGAGGGTAGGACGTCCCCTATGCCCTTTTAGTATCCCTCCAACGGGACTTCGACCCAACATGCACCCAAAGATGAAGGTGAGAATCACTGAACCGGCCGAGGGGCTCAGAAGAAAAAGCAGAACCCAACCATTTGTCACCGAAACGGTCATATACCGGGAAAATGTGAGGGCCAGTTTTCCCTTTCAGGTCATCTCGGCTCTGCCTTCGTCAAGATGGGTCAGATCCAACATGGATTTGAACGTAGAGATGGATCAAGTTCCCAGCTAGCAATACACACCTATCTTGGCTCGCGTGTCTGGGTTCCTGATGTCCGAACCAGCCTACCTGCCCATGTCCGCGGCAAGGAGCCTTGAAATGCAGATACATAGAGACAGAGCTTCACTTGGATATTGACGGATTGATTCAACAGAGGGTGCATAATCAGTGATAGTATTGCGAGAGGGGAACGGCGTAAGATGTGACGCATTGATACAGCAGACACCGTTGTTCCGTAGATAAGAGGATCCCAGCTGTTGGAGAGCTTGGGTAGTCTCGAGATGATGAGATGGATCTAGATCAGGGTGGTAGAGCCAAATCCCCGGGACCAGAGGCAATGATAGCTTGCAGCTAGGTCGAGGCTAGGAAAGCTGAAAGCAGGAGATAATGTAGATATCGACCTGATTATTCCCACGCGTTCTATTGTTATTCCAAGGAAGCTTCGGCTCCACATGGAAGGAAGCGCTTGTAGATATACCAAAGTCTCCAGGATGATCCTTGCGATAATTTGCAGCAAGTTGTCTATCAGGGAAATGAATGTCAAGTATTTGAAAGCCAACACTGAAAGCTTCCTGTTGGACAAACCCCATCGTTCAATCTCTGCTTCTCAGGATTTTCATGAAGTAGCCGGAGATTGGCATAGTGCTGTCAAGTATATCTTCAGTTTCCGAAGAATAGGGAGGTGGTATCGAGGATCATGATCTGAGCTGTGGAACTGCTCCACCACACATGCCTGTGCATGTTGAAGTCACCCATCGTGTGTTTAAAACACTTGGGAATTGAGATCCACCGTGAGAGGACCCTAGGATCTGTCGCCAACGTGTCGAGCTAACACAGAAGATCGCGTTCTGAAGTGCTGTAATGGAACGGCCAAGGACCTGTTTATTAGAGTGTTCGGGATGCGCCATGCACCATCAGTTTATGTCCAATTATTCGATTATAGATGATAGTAGAGCACCCCGGAGAGTTGATCGAGCAGCTTCTCAAGCTCCTTCGCCAGCGAGCACTGACTGCACCCACTAACGTACCTTGTTAAGAGTCAAGCCGAAAGTCAGATAGAGGACTCCACAAAGTCATGTCTGAGTACCTAGATGAATACCATCTCTGGAATATGCCAAGTGATAAAAGTCCTACATGATTCCTCAAATTATCCCGAGGAGAACTTTGATCCCATGTGATCAAGAAGCCGATGATGCGATGTGAGATCGGAAAGATAGATACGCAGTCAGTTCAGTGAAAACAGTTTGACTGGAATATATATGGAGTCCTGCGCAGGTAGTCGAACAGTCTCATCCCTCAAGCGGAGCAAGACGTAGCCCGGACTTCTCCTAGCGAGTTAATCGTTTGATGAGGCGATGGAGCTGGTGGCTGTAGCACGACTGTGTCATGTGCTATATAGTTGGAGGATGGTCATCCCAAAATCAAAATCTAGTGTCTGCTGGGTATTATCAGCCGCTGAAGGGGATTGTTCCTGGAAGTTCGCGTTGGTAGACGGTTGGTATAAATAAGAAATGGGAGTCCTTCGTTATGCCGCCAATGTCATGAATGTCGACAGGAGAGAGAAAAAGGGCTAGAAGGGGCTTCGAGCCATGCTTCTTGTCCGTGTATGAGGATGATAGAGAATGATCTTGTTGTATACCCTGGTGGAACGATCTGCGAGGAAGAGTCGGTGTTCTTGGAATTGCTGCCTTCGAGACCAGCAGTGGCCGACGTGCATCACCAGAAAGGGAACAGAACTGGAAGGAGGAGCCGCCAGTGCAGATGTGGAGAGACCAGGAGGCTATATATAGGGAGAGGATAGGTCGTGAGCAAAGTCAAGTATAAGAAAGATGGATCCTGATTGACTGCCTGGAGAGGGAAGAGAAAAAGAAAAAAGAATGGGGAGGAGGGGCTTCTTATATGTGTTTGTTATTGTTTCGTGCAATGATCAGGGGAGATTGCCTCTGATAGGCAGCAAGATTCCAAGGCAATCACCTGCAATCTCCACTCGATATTAGGAAACTTAACGGAGAATTGAAGCCAGGATCATATCGGTTACTTAGCATGAGAGTAGGTATAATATACTAATACACCAAGGGTCACCATACAGTAGCAGACTAGCAACGATGACAAACCAAGAAATGAAACCAGTACACCTAGAAATAATACCTTTATCACATCTGAGTGGGAAGTACGAGCTAGGCTATCAATAGGCCATGATTATTTACGTCTAATGCATATATCTCAGTACAGATAATCAAAACAAAACCCTACAAAGAACAATGATTCCATAAGCAAACAGTGACATGAGGCCGTGAAGTCAACGCACGTACCTCGGAGTCTGCCATCACCTTTCACAAACAGAAGGTTTTTATATTCACATTTACCCAAAGCCATCACATGGCTGATCCTTAGGCAGCGACGACGCAGAAACATCATAAAACATCTAATTCCTACCATCGTACTTGTCCACCACTCACATTCTCAATTACAAAGTAAGCTAGCCCTCTGGAGCTTGGATGATTAGCGTAAATGGAATTGAAATTGTAATTGCAAGGGTGTTGGTGTAGGCGAGTAGTAGTCTAAAGAAAGTGATGGTATGAAACTAGAGTAGTTTATTCGAAGAATGAAAGTGTCGTTAGTGGATAAAGAGGCTCGGGATCATGAAGAAGAAAGTCACACACGATCCTTGCTAACAATAAGAGAGGACAGATACAGCTACTAAAACCAATTTAATACCTCCACAAAGACTTGTTATGTGACATGATGTCACATATGAGAGATTCATTAAGATATGCTCCTTTGACCACAACGGTCACACCTCTGAGGTGCTTCGGGATACCAAGCGTGTGTTATATTGAAGAGAAGGGGGACGTCATAGGCCTACGAATAACTTTAGTTCAGGCTGAACATTGCACATCATACTCTATTAAGAGAAAACATGTAAGAAACAAGTACCAAAAACTTCCATCAGCGTGGCAGGTTATCTCATCACAAAGGCCATCAAGGCAATTTAGTGGATTTATCAAAACACTCTGCACGCCAATCACAAAAAAAAAAAAAAAAAAAGAAACGGTAAGTTATCACTCGATGCAAACGCAGTATCGGGAGTCGTTCAAGAAAGAACATTATGCTCTTCAGGAGATAGCTCAAGTAGGTGGAAATCATCAAGCGAACCCTCGACTTCGTTGTGTATAGAATCAAGTGCCGCGTCGAGCTTCTCTCGCTGGCCAGGACGCCCGATGTTTAGTTTGAAAGAACCCTCGGGTAATTCCAACCATAAATGGTCGTCCTGGATGTAACAAATCACACCCTCCTTAAAGGACCACTCGAAAAGTATTCTGAGCCAAAACACCCAATATTCTGTATCCAACTTCTCTAGAATGGGATAGAACTTGGGGCACCTTCGAATCGAATACGCACAGTCCACCTCTAATTCTGTCGTCATACGTATACCAGAGGACGAAAGTGAGCGCTGACGACTTGCTGGAAGGTTCAGTAAATCAGAGAGGTCATTGCTGGAGACAGGATATTTGCGGAAAGCATGTGAAATCAGGCTCTTGAGAATATCATCAGGGACAACTGGATACTTGTTCAATGTCTCAAGAAGATCATAACTCAAGAGCCCTTCCATGTGGGGCTTAATGGCTGGCAGGAATTGTGAGGGTGGGATGTGCTGCGCTGAAATTACCTTCAATACCTCTCTCATATACATGCTGGGATATTTAAGTGCAAGGCACAATCTATCCAGGATCTCACACGGCAAGTTGGGATTCATGGTCAGAGCATCCACTGCGAGGTGTCCATACTCACCAGATAGTAACAGGGAGACGCAGTGATTGAGAATTTCCTCTGGTGGGTCTTCCTGCCTTTGAAACATGGACTGTGTTATGGCAGCAGACATGCCATCTCGATTTCTTGCTCTATTAAACATTGCGAGGAGATCTTCATCTGAAGGTGCCGAATGCTTTTGTATGACAGGCCAGAGAAAGGTGGGATATGCACGATCACAGGCCAAAATCTTGATTCGGTCAAGTATCTCCTTTGGAAGGACATCCTGCCTTTCAAGAGGATGGGCCGAGTACCAATAGCGGTCAATGTCGCCTTCTAGCCGAGACATGAGAGCCTGGATGCAGGATGGGGGTAACTTGGTATCCCTAGCCAGAAGTAGCGTCGATGTTACTGCCACATAGGAATTCTCATCGCCGAGAAGGGCAGCAACTGACTCCAAAGCGCCCTTGCCGAGTTGCGGTTGTACTTTTAGTGTTGGTGGCCAACAGTACTGAAGCGCGAAACTTGAATAGTGAAGTTCAGACACAATGCTATCAATAGTATCAAGCAGTGAGTCCGATTGATTTTTGATAATCTCCCTATAGCCATCCAATCTGTCAACTCTGTATTGGGATAGCACAGCGAAAAGGATATCCCGTTTCAACTTAGGAGCCTCTCTCAGGCCAGCTGATACCATGTTTCGAATCAGTGTGGTTTCACTCTGTATTGCTTTGGTTATGATCTCAGGCGAGTGGTGTAGATTTTTTCCGAGTATGAAAGCGGCCTCTGCTTTTATTTCATCACAGTCGTTTCCGTCGAGTGTAGATCTTGCCTGCTCAAATATAGTCGAGGAAACCTGAGGGCGCCTGGCCAGTACCTTTAATGCAATCTGCCTATGCTTGTCTTTTCCCCTTTCTAGCATTGTCTGCAGAATCCACTCTGGAAATTCCAATGAGGTACCCAGTGATGGCCCCTTGCTGTATGCACGCCTAGCCTTTAGTAGTGATCTAGGCTCTATACGGTTGGCTTGAGCCTCAAACAGCAGAAGCCGCATCAATTGATGAGCGGTACGAACCAAAAAGCTTTGCAGGTCGGTTTCGAGACTGAGCGACGTTATCTCAGCAAGACAGTGCATAAGCAGTCGGGCATGCGCTAGACCTAATAGGTCACGTGGTTCGTCAAGCGTTTTGATGAAGCGAGCAAGCCCTTTTTGGTCCTGGAGCTCTAAAAGCCCCGTAATGAACCGCCACATAACGTCGAATCGTCCATTGTACTTTTCACGAGCGATAAATCTGTCCATTTCTTCATATTTCGTGCTGCCTCCCAGGGTGATACAGATGAGGTCCTTTCCTTCGGACAAACAGCTTACGAAGTACCGTGCTGCGAACAACTCCTGGAAGGTCAAGTGAATGAAGTAATATTCCGTTTCCCGCGGTCTCGCGGAATCAAGGGCGCGTAGGAATGATAAACTCTCCAAAATCCTGTCATCTACGTTGGTAGACGGCAGCCGCTCGTATATTTGATCCCGATGACATGGGCTGAATTCAGCCATATCATTGTACAGACCGGTAAAGGCTAGGAGTCCCAGGAACTCACATTCTTCTTTGACGTGGGTCTCTAGCTTTCTCCAAATACGTATATTCTCGAGCTTGGCAGCGGATATACCATGACGGATGCGCGGGATGTCCTTCAACCATAATTTGTGCTCGATGGCTGTGTAGAGCGTTGTCATGCTCCTGACTGTTTGGCTCAGCTCCCCCTCGCCGCCCCAGATAAAAGAGAACGCATCTAACTGAATGGGGATTTGCATCGGTCCCTGAATGAGCCAGTGTCGTTGGATGAATTGCTCCATTCGTTCTACCTCGCTCGGATCAGCCGCAACCATGGAAAGATAAGCCTTGACCTGGGCTGGGCGGAAACCGACTATTCCCATCTCGAGGTCAAACTTATGTAGCCCTGGCAGATTAATGCCGTATGGGCGAGATGTAACGAGGACATTGGATTGGTTTAGAAGTCGTTCGATCTGAGTGGGAAGACCAACGCCACGCTCGGTCCGATCCCTCGTGAGCTCATCAAGACCATCCAATAGTAACAAAGTCCTGTTTGATCTCACCTGCTCCCAGATGATATCGTCCAAGGCGCGGGAAAAAACGTCTTGTCTGGTTGCTCAGACAGGAATTCCTTGTAAATGAAGATTTCCGGGTCGGGCTGTGTCCGGAGATGCCGAAGGGGTATCCACAAGATTCGATCAAATTGCTTTGTCCAGATCTTCCCATTGATGAAACAATGAATAATCTTTTTGCAAAGCGTCGTTTTCCCGACCCCAGCACGACCCCGAATCAAAATACGTCGCGGGACGATCGTCTGTTTCTCCAGCTGCCGTTCATCAAATAGTCCCGGTAAGTCTATTGCTTCTGCGCCGACATTCTCAATCTTCAATCTCCTAGCTATCGAGAATTCTGAAACCGATTGCCTCCTGAGATGAGACCTCGAACCTCCCACATTTACTGTTATTGAAGACTCAACGATTGTAAGGTTCACGTAGCATTTATCCATCGGTAACAGGTCCCGAGACAGGCGGACAATATCTAATCGGCCCGGTTCCCTGTAGTACTTGTCGATGACAATATCGGCGTAGAACAGTTTGGCTTTCTGGCAACTCCCCCATGCATCATCTCATAGATGTCTGGGTGTCTCGTTGATCAATAGGTTCCGGCTGAATATATCGAGTTGAACGCCCAACATTTCTTTGGTTCGATGCAGGTTGAATCTGAGAAGTCTGGATTCCTTTTGCTCGATTTTCCACTCCCACTTTCCCATTGTCGCCGCAAGAATGTTGATCCACTTCGACGTTTGTTTGTGGCGTTGTGATGTTGAGAGGGTCGACTGGATCAGGCTTTCGATACCACGCCTGGCATGCTCGTCTCCGCACCAGGCCTGTTCGAGCTGGGCATAAAGCCCACAAAAAAATGGCTCCTCCTCGACACAAAGACCTCGGCATAGCAGGGACGTTAGCATGTTGAATGCACGGGCTTTGATCAGCATGCCCGTGTAACGCAGAACTGCATACTACCCTTGGCTCTTAGAGATCGAGTTCATCCCTTCCAACAATGCCTCTTTGCCCTCTTTTGAGAGACTTTACAGTTAATTTGCCATGTTGCCAATCTTCTTGAGGAAGTTAAGTACGGGTCTGTGATCAGCCGTAGCTTCCAGAAATACACCTAGATCGATGAGGGACGTAGTACTGGCCACCTTTGTGGTCGCATTGATGATAGTCCAGCTATAGCGACAAAATGCACCCGACGGACTTTCATTATCAGGCACTTTGAGCAGAGCCTGATGTGCATATCTTGCTGCCTGTGACGTTCGAGGCTCATCGCTCTTTCCCAGGGCATGAAGGTTATCCAACAGTGGCTTGTGTAGCTCTTCCCGGTCAATCCCCGAAAACTTCATGTCCACCATTGCGTCCAAAACATTGCCAATCGTGCAGAGAAGATTGTAACGATCTTGAGGCTGGCCGCTATTGGTTGTGATTGTCAGCTGCTTGCTCAGACTCCGGAGTAGTGACGCAAACTGCGCGATCTCTTTGGGAATTTTGAACTTCATATGACCGAGGCAAGAAGCGAATGACATCAGTAGCGTTGCATTGACCACATTCCCATCTGCCGTCCCAGTAATGATCGCTCGAGAGAAGGCGTAGACGAGATCGTGGCAGTCCTGCTTGGAGGCAACATCGGAAATCACGGATGCTTCGATGATGAATGAATCTTTCTGATGATCTTTGAATAATTCAACCATGCGCGATACCAAGGCCTCCAACGCCTCCCTTTCTTTCGTACTTGGCGTTTTTTTCAAGCGATCAACAAGATCATCTGTCGTCGTAGGTCTTGACGGATGGTAAGGCTCCGGCATATTGAACTGATAGTCTTAGTGGATGTGAGTCTGTTGATTGCTCTGCGGATGGAGTGAAATGCTTCAGAAGTCAGGAGGAAGATCTCAGGTGGGAAAAATGATTCCCATCTAGCCTTGCCAGCTGAGCTGAAGGCGGGCATCTAGTAGCACCCATTGATAGAATCAATCGGCCCATTTGCAAAGATATTTGATTTATGTGCAACATAGGAGATGGCAACACCAGACGAGATTGGAATAATTGGTGCTCAGACTCGCCGATTACGCTGGCGAATAGGCCATGGCACTTTTTGGTGACATCTCCGATACCTCGCCCGTGATTTCACATAGGACGCTGATGTAGAAGATAGGAAGGGAAATAGCATGTTGGATGTTTGGAGTAATATCGCTGTGGAATATAGATGGATGGTAATAGATGATGCTGATGATTGAGGATGGTGGTTCATGCCAGCGTGAGAACTCACGGGCGCAATTCCCTGTCGCGGCCTGACGCAAGGAGGCAACCACCACCCCGCACTCCCCGACGAAATGGGGATTTTACCCCCTCACTTTCTATGGTGTTGAACATATCATCCTGCATCTCCTCCAATTTATGAGGATGTGTGGGAACTTCTGTTGGTTCTTGCCGGTCCTATTGGACATCGCCGCCTCATGTAATGTGTGCCTTCAACAAAACATGGAGCAGATGAAACATTATTCTAGATGAGGGTTTGTTCAGAATCCCTTTGAGCAAGACTATAGAGAGTGTGGTAATTCTGTATAAAAGCAAGTCTCGAAGTGTTCTCAACGAGTAATCGCCACGCAAGGTAAAGATGCGACAGTATAAGCTGTAGGTCCATCCTGTAGCAATAAAGTCGACGGGTGTAAAGCTCCCAGGTTGCATTCGATAATCGATGACAACAAGCAATTTGACGGCTAAAGGCCGTAAGTCAATTTTTGAGAATGACAATTCTCTGTCCCTCCTTCGGGCTGGGCGTAGAGTACCTTCGACGCATTATCGAATTGCCTGAGGTTGATTAATTGGCCGGCAGACTCCAGTAGTGGAAATACACTTACTCCCTGGTGGCTTTCGTACGGAGAGAGACTTGAAAGAGAGATTGATGATTGAGGAGGATACGTTTGCATCACTCGCACGCTCGGATTCCATTTAATGTGATACCCAAATGGTAGATTTCTGAAAGACTCATCGCTCCGCCTGGCACGTCGGATCAGGATGTTTCTCATACTCGTCCCCTCCGCAAATTTTGGTGCGACGCGTCGCAGCTTACACCACAGTGGCCGCAATATTCGTCGTCCATAGACTCATGCGCCCACGTACATGCAGTGTTAGAGACCAGTGGGATAGCGATGTATCGCACTTCGCGAAGTACCTTTCGCATTGTCCCACAACTGAGGATTCCGTACGCGATAGTGTTGTAGCACCGATCAACGACCACAGGAAGATGTAAAAGCAGGCTTTTTTGGGCCATGGAGAAAGTGGTTTCTTTGAATGGTCGAATCGGAATCTGGACAATGTCTCCACAACAGCGAAAAAATCCAGGGTGACTTGCCAGGATTGGTGCCATTATTGGCTGCTCTGATGAGGTTTCGGCAGTGATCTCCAAGTCGCCACCGGTGATATAGAACTCATCATAGCCAGAGTGGCTAGCAAGACCCCAGCAGAGCAGGGATGTGTCATTTGTAACGTTCATAACCTCCTCCTGAAACCTTAGGAAGGCTTTATCGCCTTCCCCATATAGTAGAGGCATGGAGATGTCAAACAAACCGAGGAGGCAGTACGCCATGTCCTCTCGTCTAGTGGTCTTTCTCTTAGCTACCCACGGCATTCGTTATGCCACGCTTGCACTTTGGATCCGCTCGTAGCTAGGTGGTACTTTCGTAAAAGCACCGAAACCGTAGAACAGATCTTTGCTAGGGATTCCCGTGATATGCTCGATAAGAGTATACCGGTCGATCTTAGTCCCGATATCCACCCAATATCGATTGAAAAAAGCAAGCTTCTCCGGGGCGAGTAATTCTTACAGGGTCCATCCTCTGGTAAACCACCGGGCATTTTGGACTTCATTGTCCAAAGCACCTTCAACATCGACAAGATACGCGAAGCATATCGTGGAGTCTGCATAGAAGGAAAACATAGAGTTAATAGCCTCTTGAAGTTCAGCACTGCTCAATTTGTCGATGCAGCAGGTGTCGATTCAGATGTAGCGACATCTATAATAATAGAGGGTCCTCTCGCAGGCCTGCTTGATCTTGGCCCATCCGGTAGCTTTAGGGGAAAGCTCTGGTGGTGGGTTATCAATGGTCGGTCCATACCCTCAAATCGCTAATTGAGATTTCCACCTCCTCAGTGCCCCGGGTATGGGATAGAATGGCGTATGGTGGTGCTTGTCGCGCGTCCACAAAGCTTACTAGTTGCATTGTTTCGATGTGAAGAAGTCCCATGATTGTTCGGGCTAACAGATGTGTTGTCGGCGCTAACCAACCCATTCATTCAATCGTCTGCTTCCCCATTCCACGTGACTTATACCTCTTCCCCACAAACTAATCACGGCCTCTCTTGCCTCTCTTGTCCAGAATTGTAGAGGAATCCGGGGGTCATAATAGCTGAGAGGTCGCATAAGGTGTAGCAAAAGTAGTCGTTCCCAGAAACCTTCAAAAGCAGGACAATATCTCTTATCTCCATATCCAGTCCCCCACCTTCCTGTTTGGTCGCTGAATCGGATAGACATACTCTGGTTTTCCTCTGCCGCCGACCCTCTACTTGCTATCACCATGCATGATGCTGGAGGTTTACACAAGATCAAAATATACTGAGTCTTGGCTTCCCAAAGAATTACATTCATACCTATCTATGAGGAGCCGAGATAATCGGCATTATCGAAGGAAGCCGCTTTCAAAACATGAAAGAAACGTTGCGAGTGGTATCGAGACATCTCTCACAGGACCACAACGCCGAGGACCATAGCAAGCGCCCCGAGGACACAAGACTGGGAGCGAATGACAGAAGCAGCACCCGTAAAGACAGGTCCGATGGCGCTGGATGCAGTGGTTGATGCCTGGCTAGTCGCGCTGTGTGTCGGGGTCATGGATGGAGTGATACTGCTGATTGCAGGACTTGTCAAGAATGCGTAGCCAGCTGAGGAGTTGTCGCTACTGGGGGAACCGTAAGTAGCACCGATGGCAGGCGAAGATCCTTCATATCCTGCAGAATCCTTGCCTCCTTTAGATGGTGCGTTGGAGTTGACACTGGGAAGGCCTTCCGTACTGGAGGTGGTTAGGGCAGCTGTTAATACTGGATCAGGTGAACCAGAGTGATTGGATTGGTCATTGGAGCCTGTCGTAGAGGCACCGGAGACACCTGTGTGGGAGTTGGGAAGTGTTTCACTGGTGGTCGATTTAGCATGATTGGAGCCAGAAGCAGTACCAGCAGAGCTAGAGCTAGGGACAGAAGTGGATAAGGTTGAGCTAGCAAGGTTGGGGATTGAGGTGACTGGTTCTAATCCGGACACAGAGGCGGAACTACCGATGGAGGTAGATCCAGATCCAAAGTCAGAGTCAGAGTCAAAGTCAGAGCCAGAGGAGCCAGAGGAGCCAGAGGTAACGGGGCCGAAGTTGGTGCCAGAGCCATAGTCAGAGGCAGACCCAGAATCACTGGAGAAAGCGGAAACGCTAGGAACAGTAGGTCCAGAAACAACAACCCTGGACGCAGAATATCCAGAAACACCAGATTCGATCCCAGAACCACTAACCAAGCCAGAAGATTCAGCGAAGCTGGAAGCGCCGGTGGAGCCGGAACTGTCGATTTCAGAAGAGGCCGAACCTAGCGATCCGGGCTTTTCAGGAGTAACAGTACTCGGGGATGCGGCCACACCCGCACCAAGGAAATTGGCCGCCGTGCTGGAAATTGTTGGAGCTCCCTGACTGCCTGCAGCTTCATTTCCGGTGCCGTGTGGCTTCTTAATCGTCGTGGTGTTAATTGATAAACTGGCATACGGGTTGTAGTTGGTAGGATTGGTTCAGCAGAAATCGTCTGGCCGGTGAATATGACGGTTGTTCCAGCCACCAAGGTCTGCGTGCTGGTATAGGTGGTCTGTGAGCTGGCAGGACAGTTTTCGACGGTAGCTGCGCACGAAGTAACAGTCACGGTTCTAGTCGTAAGGATAGTCGACGTGTAAGACCCATTATGAGTTGCAGTTGCAGTTGCGAGGGCGGTAACGGGGCACACTGTTGTCGAGACTAGAATGGTCTCGGTAGTGAAATATGTTGTCTTCTGAGAGGCGGGACAATCGGGAACGGTAGAAGGGCAAGCGGTGACCGTAGCAGTACTGGTAGCAAATAGTCTAGAGGTAGTCATGTCCGAGCTAACAGAGGGGATCGGACTGCTAGATCCAGATGTTGTAGGCAGAGGATTTGGTGCCAGGGTGGGTGTTCTGGTTTTCTCAGGTTGATCGGGCGTCCCAATACGCGAAGAGGCGGGAATGGACGATGATGGAGACTCTGGAGACACCACAGCGGATGACGACACCGGAACGAAGAACGGGATAGTCACCGGAGTAGTGACTGCGATGCTTGACGAGACTAGGGAGCTGAGCGAAGCAGCAACGCGACTTCGGCTGATAATTGCTGAAGGACTGACAGAGGACATTGGATAAATGGATGAAGACGAAGCGACTCGACTGCGACTCACCGCGACCGAAGACGCTAGCACTGGGGAAGACGCTGGCGATGACGAGGATGGAACAGTCACAGATAAGACTGGGGAGACCGCAGCTGATGAGACTCGGGAAGCTGATGATACCGGGGTGGAACTGGCCACGGCCGTTGAAGATGTTCGCACCGGACAGCTCACGGTCTGGATGTTGAGATGAACATTGGCTATTTCAATGTCTGGCAGATACTCGGTGTCATCCGTACTACACTGTACGCTGATCATAATCGTGAAATCCGAAACAGTAGCATCCCAGGTTCCGTTGACCGTTATCCAACCACTGTCAGCTGAGGAAACCGTAACACCCTGATGCAATATATCCAGCAGGAGGCCTATATCGTCGTTTGATAATCGATAATCGATGCTGCAGGCAACAGAAACATCTGCATCACACACTTCTGTTTTAAGCCGCCAGGAGACAGACGCGCTGTATGTTTGACCGACTTGGGCATTGGCGACTGTTTGGTTGAGCTGATAGAAGTCGTAATCCGAACCGGGAATATACCTAACATAAAGCTCAACATCGGATGTTTATCACTTGATCTTCTAGATGTTACTTACACATTGGCCACCTCCCGGGGCATCATCATCGACCAGGTCGAGATTAGTGGAACGCTCCATATTCAACCACTCCGTACTATCGCCGTCAGTGAAACTCCCGTCTTGAACAAGCTCCCCTGACAGAGTGGTCGTGAAGGCCGCACACTGAGAGGTACAAATGACCTCCGGACCCAGCAATGAAATGCCCGAGATCTGAAGAGTGCTGCTGGATGCTTGCGAGCAGGTGAGGCGAAACTTGAGAGTCACCTCGCTGACTTGGGATCTCCATTGTCCAAGTACTAAATCCCATCCTGTGGCACTGCCATCTGGCGACCAGATACTTCCGTAGGTCACAAACTCCGTCGTCTCGTCGGTTACGGCGTAGACATCCATCGAACAGTAGGGATAGGCTCCGTCTGAATCCGGATCCCCGAACAGATTCCAGTACGAATGAAGTTGATAGTATGGGCCTTTCTGAACTGCGATCGTTTGCTCGAATTCGAAGCCATTTGCGGAGGTGCTATGGGGGATTTCACTGTCGCTGGATCAGATGGAGTGGAGGGAATGAAAAAGGCGTGCTCAACTTACAGCATGCCTCCGTCATTGTATCCACCGCTGGTAGAAATAGAATACTCATCCGAACTTGAAGTCGAGGTCCAGGCGGAGCTGTCGGCGAAATGCCCATTATCAATGAAATCCCGGGTCACTTGGGTGGAGATCTCGATGTCGGCCGCGCGGACAACGGCCCCAATGCCGTGGCTCATTAGCCACGCGAGTGACAGAACGGGGCGAGATACCTTCATGGCAGGCTAAGTACTATAATTAAAAACGAATGTGGAGGGAAATCCGAAAGAATGGATGGCCGCAGGGGCCTAGTTGACATCAATTCTGCGTCGGACGGTTACCACTGCTGCCGGAAGATGGCCTTTATATCTCTAGGCTCGGATCAGGCCAGGCTTCCTGACGGTTTTGGACAGAGATGCGTACTAGTATTCGCATTATTGGTGACTGCAACTTTTAGCGCAATAACGGTTTGCGCCGTAGTGGGATGGGGGATGCGCGTCGTGAAGAATTTTCCGGAGTGCCTGCCCAACACGAACCACGCTCCACTGCGTCGGTAACTTTAGCCCCTCTGGGGCTATTTTCAGCTGACAGAGAGATACATGCGACGCTAGCTTTCTGGGAAGGAGTGGAAGTCCTATCGTATTGGGGGTTACGGAACCAAATCTCAAGCCGTGATGGCTGCATTCAGGGGGGGGCGTTCAGATCGGAGTAATATTTGACGGTCATTATGTTCCTGACATGCCGGCAGTTTCTTAGTTGAACCGAATCTAGTCGCTTTGCTCGAGAATCCGTTTCCAAATCTCTCAGGTTGACCCCCACATCCACTCTGACGACTGTGCTAGGCCATCTTTACCTTGCGGCTCCATAGGGGTTGCCTCCTCCCTGTATCGCGCTCAGTGAGTTTCCACTGAACCTCATTGTGACTGCATAATTGGGGAACCGTCGAAATCCACATTATTCTCAGACTGCCGACAAGGAGAATATGCTGCACATGGTTCATCGTCGACAGTTCGGCTTTTCTTTGTTCAATGATACGAAGTATTGCCCAGTCTGCATCATCAGGCACCACGGTAAAGGTAGTGCTGGCACTCAGGTCATCCTCAATCTCCGTGACGTACGGATCCATGTGTCTTGCCGCTATGGAACGATATCATGGCTTTCAACTGTAGTCAAAGTTGAGGTAGGGACGGGGTAGGTTTCATTGACCTTGGGCGGGTGTTCCATGGCTAGAAAGGATACTTGACAAGGCAAGAATAAAGTTAGCTTAGGCTTGCTGGTAAGGTTTGAACACGGCAGGAAAGTTGGATAGAGAAACTTAGACTACACGAGTACTCGCTTGATTAGACTTTGGGGTAGTATTTTCAGGTATGAAGGTCATTTGTGATGCTCTAAGAATCATGGTGAAGTCAGTGGTGAAGGCCATAGAAATCCCGCGCGGTCCCATGTCCTTTTCGCTCCCGAGCCAACCTTCACCCCATTATCATCACCAACTACACACTTTTCCACCATAGCTTCCATTTGACCACAATGGCCTACACCCTCACTGTTCTCTACCCTAATGAAACCGACGCAAAATACAACCTTGATTACTATATCTCCAACCACATGCCTTTAGTGGAACGACACTGGAAGAAGTACGGCATCCAGAGTTGGTCGGTAACCCGGTACAATCCCGCGGTTGACGGGACTCGGCCTCTTTACACAATCGGATGCATTATCGCCTGGGAAAGCGAGGAAAGCATTCAGGAAGCCTTTAAAGGCCCCGAAGCTGCGGAAGTCCTGTCAGATGTATCCAACTTCAGCAACAAGCAACCGATATTCTTAATTGGAAAGGGGGTAGCCAAGACATAATGGGGTTTGTGATGTGGGAGGTAGGACAGTTCATCCCCCTTGCCTGAGGTCAACAACTTGGATGGGCTCCGTCACAAAGATATGTATCTACGCTCAGTTGGCTATTAGTTCATTCCAATTAGCAGAGAGTCCAGACTAAGATATCAATGCACAAATGTCCGAGTAATTTGAGATGGATCGGAGTCACGCGGTCGGCCGGCGGGAATGGACCCCTCACTGCATCTCCGGCAGTCAGCATCGATCAGCATCCATCACATCATCCCGACCGCAGGAGCGGCTTATCGGCCGTCATCTCACCATTCACCGGCAGTCTTTCATCATCTCCGAGCACTAGCGTGCTGACACCCTGGACATTCTTATTTCTCACGATGCTTTTTGCATTTAATTGAGACCGTGTGAAACCTGGCAGGCTTGTGCGACATGCGCCAGCAGCATCGGTGTCACCCTGCATGATCTGTCTCGCCCAGCATTGACCGCCATCCTCGACACTTCTTGCGCTGAAGGTGATAAAGAACCATACAACTACCGTTGCGTTTTTCTGAAGACATACCGAATGGCCTCGCTTCAGACCAGGCTTGCCATTTGGCTCTGGGGGCCCGACCCTAAGGATCGAGCACTGCTGGCTAAGCTCGACGTGACGCTGCTCCCTTACTTTTCTCTTATTTGGTTCCTCTTCGGCATCACTCGTGCCAGCTACTCCTCTGCCTATATTAGCGGCATGAAGGAGGCGCTTGGATTCGAGGGGAAAGAGTACAACTACATGAACACCGCGTACCTGGTGGTCTATGCGGTGTTTCAGATGCCGGGAACCAGTTTGCTCACAGTTGTGCGGCCCAAATATGTCTTTGTCGCTGCCAATGTTACCTGGAGTATCTTGACCTTGATCACATACAAGATGACCCGCGCCTGGCAGGTGATTCTACTGAATGCGATCGAAGGAGGGTTTTCAGCTGTTGCATAGTGAGCGCAGATTGCAGGACAGATGGAAGCTGTGATTCTAACTATAGATAGTGTCGGTGCACAGTTTATCCTCGGCTCGTGGTACAAAAAGTCCGAGCTCGGCATTCGTGCGGCAGTATTTTGCGTTCTCGGCCAGCTGGGAACCATGTCCGGCAGCTGGATCCAAGCAGGACTGCTGGCCACATTGGCTGGAAAGGGTGGCCTTCCAGCATGGAAATGGATCTTTATCATTGTTTCCGTGATGACAGTTCCAGTCGCACTCTTCGGTGAGTTGAAGCATTCCCCAGAAGACGAATGCTGACAGTGATGTAGGATGGATCTTCATTCCGGACCTCCCATCACACCGCGCAGCCTGGTACCTGACCGAGGAGCAAAAGGAACACGCGGCAACACGATTGGGCAGCCTGTCGAAGAAATCCTGGGATAGGACAGTGTTCAAGCGCGTGTTACTGAGCTGGCAGTTCTGGCTTTTGCCATTTATCTTCATGCGTGAGTGCTACCAACCCTCATCACCGCCTATTCTAATGGCTAGCAGTATATTCCCTCAGCGTACAGATGCTGCAAAACAACGTCATGGCCTACTGGCTAGCTTCGCGGGGATACACCACAATCCAACAAAACAACTACCCGACTGGCATCTACGCCACCGCCATCCTCGGCACCGTCCTGTATGCAGCCATCTCTGACAAGCTACAATCACGCTGGGAGGTATCCATCGCCATTGGCCTCACATTCGTCATCGGCTCCGCCATCCTCGTATCCAGCCCATCCACCGACGCAGGCTACTTCTTTGCCTTTTATCTCCTAGGCACCAGTTTCGCCCCCCAGGCCGTCTGGTACTCATGGATGGCGGATGTCACAGCCCATGACTTCCAACTCCGCGCCATCACCACAGGGTTCATGAACTCGTTCGACTTTGCCTTTGTGACTTGGTGGCCACTGATCTTCTATCCCGCCACGGATGCCCCTAATTTCCAAAAGGGGTACATTGCCAGTCTAGTTACAGGGGCGTTGACACTCCCGTTTATCGGGGTTATCGCCTACCTCGAGAAAAGGGACACGGCGCGGGGAATTATCGGGAGATCACCGACGACTGGTCTCCTCACTGAAGAGCAAGATCCCGCACGAGAGGACGAACTGGGGAAGCCGGGGGATATGCCGGTAAATGTGCACGCAACAGAGGTGGGAGTGTAGGAGCGGACCCATGACCGCCCCTAAGTCTACTTCTTCTCGCAATCCCAGACGTCATCAGACACATATATACTCCGTAGCCAAGCTCCGATTCCACAGCCATGAATGCATGAAACTAGTAATAGCTCATACCTTCCACCCATGAAGTTAACTACATTCTTGTCCGTTGAGGCAAAAAAAAAAAAAGAAAAATCAAACCTTTATTAACCTCCAAGCAGTAGATAAATCTCCCTCCTCTCTTTCCCGTACTTTATTTACCCCAGGTGTTCACACCCCCTTCCCCCAATACCCCAACCCTCATCGCACATCAAAGCTCTTCCCCTTTTACCCATCTAACCCCCTCTATTTCACACTTCTCCCCTCCTTCCCCCAGGCCTCCCTCCCCTCCCATTCCCTAACCACCCTCATCCCCACCAATCCATCTCAAGAACCAAGATCCCTCGAACCCACAACCCCAAGTATCCCCCACCAAACCACCCCCTCTAACCCTCCACCTCCCCCCTCCCCACACCCCTCGGCCTCAAAACCGGCGACTGCATCAAGGGCGTAAAAGCCGGTGTCGGCGGCGGAGTAAACGACTCTCTCCGCTTAGTAGACGGACGTTTATAAGAGTATGAAGGGGAATAGGAGAAGGAGAAATACCGGGGGAAGAAGTCGGGGGGGAGGGTTGTGGGGGTTGGGTTTGTGGGGAGGGTGGAGAGGTTCAATTTTTTAGTTGGGGAGATGGGTGAGGGTGTGGGGGAGGGGATGGGTTTGCTTTTGTTGTTGGGGTGGGTGGCCATTGTGGTTTCGGTGGTGGTGGATGTAGTAGGCATTGTGGTTGTGGTGGTTGGGGGAGAGGAAGGGGAAAGAGAGGAGGTGATGCGGGGCATTGTGGATGTGAAGGTGGTGTGAGGGAGCTTGAGGTGTGTCCGTGATGGGTTGGGAATGTTCGAGTCTGATCTGGAGTTGAAAGGGGAAATATATACTTCGAAGGGGTCTGGGGGTTTAGAGTTGAGGGGAGAGTCGAGATGGGGTTTATGGGTGGGTGATTCCGTTGGTATGGTGTGATATTCCAGTATTATATTGGCAGGTTGTCGGTAGAAGTAAGGTATATGGAATCTATTGAAGCTATTGAGGCGGCATGTTCCGGTTCTGTGAGTCCGCTGCCACTAATTAACGTGATTTGGTCACATCGACTAGATTGGCTGTTCGTGACGAATCTTGGATCAAATCTATAAATGCTACTCAATTTGATGGTAGAATCCCTGTAGGCGGAGTACCACGTAGATAAAGGCTTGCATGCGGCAAAGATATAAGAACACTTCTTTGTGCCGCTCTCAAACATGGTCAAAGACATACCCGCGTGGCCAAATTACTTCCCATTGTGCATGCTCTTTGTTTACAACCGTCATCAGGAGCAAGGTGAAAATAGAAACACAGGCCGTATATAAGTATCAAAAGGCCTGAAACTCCGGGCATCTACTAACGTCAGCTCTCATCCACCAACAGTAATCCCAATGACAGACCCCAGCCAGGAGATCCTATTCCTTCAGGGCCCGTCCCCAGAATGGGTCTCTTACTGCATCGCCAACAAAATCCCCACAGCGCCCGTCATTTTCCCCGATGAAGGGCGTCTCCCGTATCGCACGATTCAGAAAAGAATCAACGATGTCTGGGAAACATCTTCCCGTCATGCGGTAGAGGTCGAGGGTCCGTACTACCCCCAGCAACCCCTCTTCAACGCTAATACCCAATTGTGGTGGCACAGGGCTCAACGTCCTTGTCCAAACCACCGACTATAGCATCCCCAGAGATAGGGACCCCGACAATCCCATCCGCATTCGAGCCTACACCCCCAATAACACCGATCACTGCGGCATTCCCCTCCCCGTCTACGTCCACTTCCACGGCGGCGGCTTCCTATCCGGCAACCTTGACACCGAAGACGCGACATGCGCGCGTCCGGTCGCCCTCCTCGCCGCATGCAAATGCCCCATGGTTGTCATCAGCGTTCAATACCGTGTTACTTCCGAAGCCCCGTACCCCGCTGCCTTCCGCGACGCCTGGGATGTCTACGAGTTCTTGGAAAAAGAGGTGGACGTCCTGTTTGGGGGCGATCCACGCAAAATCATCCTCGGGGGGACGGACTCTGGCGCGGCGCTGGTACTCTGGGTGGCGGTGTTTGCCAACAGTGTCGTGGGAATATCAAAGCCCTGGAAGTTGACGATTACAGGGTTGATGCTGTGTTCGCCGTGGTTGCCGCATATGGATAAGGAGGGGAATGGCGAGCTCTCCAGGGCGCAGAATGTGAATGCGCCCTTGCTTCCTCAAGCGCTGCATGAGATGTTCCGCGATCTGCTTGCTATTGATGCCGTGCATTGTCCGACGTTTGTGCTGAATAGCGATACGAACTTTACCGGCTTGCCGAAGACGTCGGTCCATGTACCGGGGCAGAGCTTGTTGAGGGATCAGGGGATGAAGTTGATCAACCTTTTGGCACAGGCTGGGTAGGTTCTTCCTCTTGTGTTTGGGCCGTGCTGATGATTATAGGGTCGAGTATCGGGCAAGGCTTTATCCTGGGTTGCCGCATGACTTTCGACGCATTGATGGCTTGTGGTCCTCTCGGGAATGGGACCTTTGTATTACTCGGGAGATCTTGTGGTTCCTCGGTGCTCCTGGTATGTAAGGCGGACAGAGTGGTTTTGGATTTTGTTGTATTGATTTAAAGACCTCTCTGTTTATCTGTAGTATGTACTTTGAATATGCAACAGCTGTATATCACTTACGAAGTGCTTGCTCATTCACGTAGGCAAACTCATTCTTCTCCATGTCGTACCGCACACCGTGCTTCATCCATTCCTCGTTATCTGAGTACCGATCCAGATACCAGGTGATATCGCCTCCGGTGAATTCGGCATCCAGGAACCCTGACCCCAGATAGCCAAACCGATTCCCACTCCAATACTCAATATCATAGTCGCTCAGTGTCGGGGTCTTCAGCGCCTCGAAGAATGACAGGCGAGACCCAGGCCAGATGACGACTGGGCCGTCAGTCCGACCTTGTTTGAACCAGCTTGAGCACGGATCCGACCAACAGGTCCGCGGGAGGAATGTCTGCGCGTGTTCGACAAAGTCTCGTATAGCAGACGCCTTTGGGCTCAGTCGTCGGATATGCTCCTTACGCATGCGCTTGACGACCTGGATAAAATAGTGTGTCAAGTGTGTGATGATGGATAGGATGGATCCATGGCCGGCTGGTGCATAAGGGCCTGAGTAGTTGAAATAATTCGGGAATTCATCGACGCCAATTGCTAGATAGCTCGTAGGGACACTGGCCCATTTGTCAGACAGGTTTGTTCCGTTAAGACCGATCAGTGGAAACCGCGGTCGGAATGAGGTGTCGAAGCCTGTGGCGCAGATAATGACATCCACCTCATGCTCGATTCCCGTCGCAGAGTCAATTACGCCTGCAGGTGTAATAGCCTGGATCCGCTCGGTAAATACGGAGGTCTTGTCAGAAGCCAGAGCTTCGAGGTAGCCGTTTCCTGGGGTTGGACGCCGACAGGCGACGTTGAAGTCTTTGGGAATGATCGCGTCCCTGACGTGGGGTTTCGTTGCAAGCTTCTCGGACATGGTTTTGTAAGAGGACTGTGCATTGTCAGTAATACTCGAGGAGCTTGCGTGGCGACTTACCGCATTGGCATCATCGGATTCAGCCGTATTGCGCAGCGCAAGCTTGAAACGCTGGTTCAGCTCGTGCTCGATTGATTTCTTGTATCGGTGGTACTTCTCGCGATCGAGGTCGAACTCGCTCTTTTGCTCCGGGGTGTCTGCTAACGTTATGAGATGTCCCACTATCGCAGAAACAACATACAGTCAAAGTTCTGGCCGTTCTTCCCAGCGAAGCGCTGTCCAAACGCAGCCGTAATCCAGATTGGGCTTCGCACCCAGCTGTACAAGTGCGAAACCTCATCCACGATAGAGGCAACGACTTGGATACCTGAACTGCCTGATCCTATCACCGCCACCCGCTTGCCTTTTAAGTCAAAGCCCTCCGGGTAAGCCGCCGTGTGGAACAGGTCCCCTTTGAAGGAGTGCAGCCCCGGCGTATCAGGCCATTTCCATGCGCTGCCCCGCGTCAGTGGGAGTGGTCATGGAGGGAAGGGGGAACGAACTTGAGGAACCCTGATCCGTTAAGGAACAAATCAAACTCATCCTCCCACTGATCTGTACCCCGTTGCAACTTGATCACCCACTTGCTCTTGGTCTCATCCCATATCGTTGACACCACACGAGTATTCAGTTGGATGTACTTCATCATGTCCTCCTCGATGACAATCTGCTTCAGATATTCCCAAATTTCCTTTGCACTGGAATAGAAGCTCGACCACTTCGGATTCGCACGCCACGGAAAGGAATAAGCGATGCTCGGCACATCGCAAGCACATCCCGGGTACCGATTCTCATACCAGGTACCGCCTATATCGGCGTTTTTCTCGTAGCAGACAATTTCCACGCCCAAGCCTGCAAAGGCGGACGGGGCATGATGAAGGAAATCGATTCCGGCTGCCCCAGCCCCCAGCATGATGATCTTGAAAGGCTTTTCCGGCGGTGGCTCATTGATGAGGTGGTTGGAGACAGTGTATCCGCGATCGGATGGTCTGTCCCACTCAGGACGATGGACGGGTCGAGCTTGGGACGAGGGGTGAGGTCCAGGAGTGTTGCTTCCGAGACGAAGGTGGCCGGATAAGCCGTACTTCTCGAACACTGGATTAGCTGGCGTTGGATCAATAGAGCCCATGTTGGGTGAATTATGATGTCTGGTCTGGCTATGAGGACATTAATAATGAGCTAGGTTACCAGTCCGACGGACGGCGGACCAAATATATAACCGATTTCTAGGCCTGTTATCATCCCTGTCGCTAGCTAGGCTTATCATGTGAAGGCTGTCGTGCTGTAGACTTCACCGAAGACTATTCCCTTTACATCGCATAATCAGTAATCAAACTAGCTGAGACCAAGGGTGGGTCTCGTGGATGCTGCAAATCAGTGGGCGGGGAAGTGAGGGGATCATGGTCCGGTTGGAGACTACTAAGCCGATGGTCGATCGCCCGAGCCAATGCGCATTGGACGGGTGTCGCATTCCCCCCGACAGGGCATCCCCGCTGCACTTATAGCGTGGGAGTCCTCAGCGACGCATGCATACTGCTCGAGTCATTTCCTCTTACCTTATCGAATTAGACAAGACAAGTGCACCTGAAAAATGCTCGAACTCCCCACGTCCGACCGTACCGTCCGGGTGCGCCTAGTCGACACTACCACGTTGATGACTGTGAGGAGCGAGGTTCTTGTACAACCAGTGCAGCCTGGCCATGAAATCCTGAACCTCACGGATGTTGCATTTCTTATTGAGCATGAAGGATCCAATCAAAAGGTCATGTTTGACCTCGGGACGCGAAAGGATTACTGGAACCTCCCCGATGCGGTTCGACTGACCTTCGATCAATTCATGCCATCGGTGAGAATCGACAAGGACGTTAGTGAAATTCTTCGTGAGTGTGGCATTCCACTCAGCGACATCGGTGCGTGCTATGAGTGGGGATCGGCTTAGATTCGCATTGCGCTGACCTCTATAGGGTCAATCGTTTGGTCTCATTACCATTGGGATCATATCGGAAATGTAGCCTTGTTTCCTCCATCAACATCGTTGTATGTTGGTCCAGGGTTCAAAGCCGAGCCGCGTTTGTTGCCAGGTTTCCCAGACGATTCTAACTCTCTTGTTCCGGCGGATGCATTTGCTGGGAGAGACGTCGTTGAGCCCGATTTCGCCGATGGATTAACGATTGGGGGTTTTCGCGCGCATGACTTCTTCGGAGACGGTTCGTTCTATCTGCTTGGTAAGTAAGAGTTGCGCACTTGAAAGGAATGGTGCTAACGTATCAGACACACCCGGACACTGCGTTGGCCATCTATGTGGCCTTGCTCGGACAACAGCAGATACTTTCATTTTCCTCGGTGGTGACATCTGCCACTTTCCCGGGATCATTAGGCCAAACGCCAAATTGCCCTTCCCAGCCCACATTCCGACAGAGGCCCTAGACAAGGACCCATTCTTTCCGACACCATGTCCCTGCAGTCTCTTCGCAGCCCACCACCCCAGAACGAAGGATGAGCCAAGTCGAACGCCCTTCTACGAGGTGTCCAGTTATGACGCAACCGCCTTTACCGACCCAACTGTTGCTCAGGAGTCAGTAACCAAGCTCCAGGAATTCGAGTCCTCTCCAGATGTACTGATATGCATCGCTCATGACACGGAGTTGCTGCGGTATATGCCAACGTTAAATGACTCGCCCTCCTCTGACCTCAACGCGTGGAAGGAAAAGGGTTGGAAGGATAAAATCCGTTGGGGATGGGTCAATGAGCTACCGCGTGGTGGTCGTCCAGGTAGGAAGCCACTGGTCGAAGGCTATTGGCGAGATGGTAAAATCTGGGAAGAGGCAGTGCAGACGCTTCGTCGGAACTGAAATAGAGGCTGCGGTCAGAATCCAGATCACACGCCACATTTAGGAACTCAACAAGTATAAACATGCTTCAGACTTAATCCTATAGAGACGCACATACCGGAAACTTGAACCATGAGCCATTGGAGAATTCCCTTGCTAATCAAGTTGGGGTGAAGGTGGATGCGGTAGCATAATTCAACCACCTCTATCGAGTTAGGAAACCCCCGAGTAGGAAATAGCTGCATGCTGCAAGCTCAGTCATGTCTACAGACCTGGTGAAATGGTAAGGCTAAGTGATAGAACTTGGGCGGACCATTGAAGTGAATACTGCCGGCACATGACTTCGCTCCATTCCTCATCTACAACTGCCGGCCTTTCCTTTTGGGTCGTCGTTCGTATCTGTTTTGCTTTCTATGCCTTATTCGAATTGATCCTTACTCAAGGATAGCAGCAACCTGTCATCAAACAGTCTTCTTCCCTCTCCTCTACATAGCCTCCGTACCTCGCAAAAGTACAGACCTTACAATCGAATGCGATGGGGCCAGGTCTGCGGTGCATAAAGCGATCGTATGTCCCCAATCTCGGGTTCTTTCTGCTGCTTTTAATGATCAGATTGATGTCAGGCCCCCTTTCCCGCTCCATAGTTATAGAGAATTATTACTCAGCTTCCTAGACAGCATCGCATTCTACATTATAAAGCAGGGTACGCTGTTTGACTGGTAGGACTGTATCTCGAGCCTTGCTAACAATCATGCATATTAGAAACAGTGAAGCGAGAACAAAAGAACAACACCACCGCTTCTCTAGTATTCCCGTCATCCACAGCAGAGGTCCTCCTCCCCCATGTCTCCATCAACGCCATTACCTATGAATACGAAATTGTGGAGTCTCTAAGCTTACAAATATCAAGATTCAGCGGCTCTTACAATCTCCCTGGTGCTCAAGGGGTTCGAGGATATAGTCAGGACTGAATATGAAATGACTGGGGACGTAGTCCTCCGTCAGACGATGGCTGGTGCCATCAGTAAACACTTGGACAACTTTTACCAACCAAAGATTCCGGAGGCTCCTTTCCCACATGAGCTGACTAGACATGTCATACAGGCCATGAAGTTGGAATATGAATGGCTGCAGCCACAGCTCATCGTAATGCAAGAATGCCTAGTGTCTGCGGACACTGAAGTTGCCGAGATGAAAGCTGGGAAGAAAGCGATGCAGAACAGATTGGAAGCAATGACTGCCACTGTGGAGCAGGGTCATAAGCTCCTTCATGATACCAGCAAGTGCCGTCATTGTGGAATGCTGTTTCTTGATATTCTCGAGACGAACACAGCCAATGGCTTGAGCTATATTGTTTGTTGCAAAGACTGTCGCACAAAGCGCTCCCAGGTGGTTGGTCCAGGTAAGCGCTTTCATGGTCTCTTTTATACCAATTGCCCACATAATCTGAATCTAGCATCTTGTTCTCAACTTTCGATAGCAACACCAGTCCCCTGGTTTTCCCTTTATCCATTGTAGCAGATCAGTTCTATGCCAGTTGGTGTGCAGCAACCAGTCATGCTACTAGAACTGCTATGGCTGATAAGGCATGGCTTGGTTCATCTGTGTTTAAGATTGCTTGATATTCACGCGACTTCCGTCATAGGGGCCGAGGTTTCTACCGAGTTCTACTGTTGCTTCTGTTTAATTTAAGATCTCTTGAAGTTATAGTATTTGCAATAGTCAATGTATCAGCAGCAAGTGATATCGACTTACTCATATCGTAATAACACCGGGTTAGAGCTCACCTAACCACCTATGGGCAGCTTGATATGCATGTCCTCATTATGGCGATAAAGAGCATTGTTTCGAATGAACAGCTTCCTACAACTATAAGAACCATTTTTAGACTTCTAAGATGAACGTATTAATGACTGAATCAGACTTGTTTCTCTTCGCCAGACTATGGTTGTCTATGCCGTCGACGTGAAGTAGATGAGTCATGCCGCTGTTGTCCGAGACCGCTCCTCAATTCATACACCGGGCGTGTCAACAGAACACTCAACTTCCACATCAACATCATTCTTCACGAAAGTCTCATAAAGTCAGCCCACACCATGGACAAACGCCATGTTGTTGTAATTGGGTTGGTAATACTTCAATCGTGCTGGATAAGCTAATGAGTGTAGTGCCGGTGTCATAGGACTTAGCTGCGCTGTCCAACTGGCCCGTCAAGGCTATCAAGTCACCGTGGTCGCACGAGAGATCCCCGGCGATTACGACATCGACTACGCATCACCATGGGCGGGATCTCACTTCCGGCCCGTCCCAGCGACCAAACCAGAGGATCGTTTCGAACAAGAACTGATGCGAGAAACCTACCGAGAAATGGAGGACTTGGCAGACAGGCACCCCGAGACAGGCATCCAATTCATCCCTGCGATCGAGTACTTTGATACTGCCGACCCTGCATACTGCGATGAGAAGCTCGTTCAAGAAAACGGATATGCCTCTTGGCCAGGTTTCCGGGTACTTCGTTCTTCGGAGCTGCCGGCCCAGTATGAGTCGATCAAGCTTGGAGTCACTTATACGGCATGGGTATTGAACTCTCCTGTTTACCTGAAATGGTTGAAGGACGAGGCTGTGAAATATGGTGTCAGCTTTATACGTGCAAGGCTATCTGCGATCGAGGAGGCTGTCTTCATATGCAAAGAAAGGTTATCGGCTAGTGGGACCGACGAGGTCATTGCGGTCATCAATGCCAGCGGTCGGGGCTTTAATGACCCCAAGTCTTTTCCGTCGCGCGGACAATTTATCGCGGTGTCTAACCCGTGTCAGAGAATGATCAGTCACCATTGGGCTGATGGGTCGACAACTGTCATTATTCCCCGTCCTCTTGGGGGAGGAACAATTATAGGTGGTACCAAAGAGCCAAACAACTGGTAAGCGGTTCAATTCAAATCATGACAGGCTCAAATGCTAATCTGCAGGTCACATTCCATCTCGGATACGGCGACAGTGTCGATTCTCTCAAGGGCCTTCACGCTTTGCCCGGAATTGGTGGGAGACAGTCTTGATAACGGCTCGAGTTATGGCCTCGACATTCGTCAGGTGTATATCGCCAGACGTCCTATGCGGCAGGGTGGGTTGCGGCTAGAACGAGAAGATCTGGCCTTCCAAGACACCTCAGAAGATGGCCTGAGAAATGTGCAAAACTCTATCCCTGTCATTCATTGCTATGGGGCGGGTCCAAGCGGCTACAAACTTAGTTGGGGGATTGCAAAACGTGTCGAGCGATTTGTCTCAGAGATCTAATATCTACCAGTGTTCCCAGTCCCTTGCCTATCAAGCTGGTGAAAGTCTTTTGGAAACGGGTTCAGTATCAACATAGATTATCACTGCTTGCCTGGCATGGAACAAAGTCAATTGTGGTTGATTCACAAGGCATCTTATCAGCAGGGAGGACCGATCACCCCGCACGACGACACTAGATATTAGGTGCTGTTAGTGTCATCCTTCGCCGATAGTGCCGCACAACCCAATGATAAGAGGAAATTGAATTGTTTCTCTCCAGATTTGATTCGATCTCCTCCTGTTTCCCTTTGAGGATAGCTTGTTTAAGTCACGTCCCTTATCGTTGTTATTATTTGTACCCGGCATCCGTGTATGCCTCTTGCCAATCTATGCAGAGTGACTCGCAAAGAACACTTAATCAGGAGTACAATGTTGACACTTTGGTGTGCTGGCATCTTATACATTTTTATTTTCCTTTACCGGCGATTATCGAGTCCCGTTTCCAACCTTCCTGGCCCCCGGTACACCAAGTTGACAAGTTTTGTCGTCAAGTACCATGAGTTTTCAGCCAGTCGCCGTACCTTCATCCATCGACTACACAAAGAATATGGACCTGTCGTCCGTATAGCACCGAATGAAGTATCCTTCGCTACTCTGGATGCTATTCGAGAGATCTACGCATCGGGAGGCAGTGGCTATGATAAGACGGAATTTTATGACCTGTTTCGCCAATTTGGTATCAAGTAGGTGGCATCGCATCGATGTCTGAACTATACTAACTGAATTAGGACAATGTTTTCCACACTTGGCAAGCAAGCTGTTAGTATTATCATTTATCAAATATCACAGCTGACATTTCAAAGCACGGTGAAAGAAAACGGCAGCTAGCCGATCGCTATGCAATGTCAAACATAATGCGAGAGCATCATACGTCGTCCATTCGAGAGAATGCTAGATCATTCGTCTCCAAATGTGCCACGGGCTTGAGTGTGGATGTTTATGTATGTAGCGTCCAAGCTGCAACTTCCCGGCTAATGTGGACAGGTTTACTTACATTGCTATGCGCTTGACTGTGTCACCAACTTTATGTTCAGTCCTGCTGGATTGAAGTCTCTGAGTGATGAGAATGACCTTGATCTGATGAAAGAAATGACATACCATAATAGTTTGCAAAGTATGTCTATATCCACGTAATGTATACTTGCTGACCAGTGCAGAGGTTCTTTTGCATTATTATCTACCAAAGTTGGCGCCGTATTTCCCTTCGTGTCTATTGCCTCGCCGCGCTCCAAAAGCCAACGAGTACGTCCATAAAGTGATCGCTCAAAAGGATCCAGAGGAATACAGCTTGGTTGCTCGTCTCAGAAGAAAAGACACATCTCTTTCTCTATCCCAAGTAGCAGCCGAATGCAAAGATCATATGGCCGCTGGCATTGACACAACCGGAGATGGCCTGTGCTTCTTGATGTGGGAGTTGTCGCAACCGCACAACTTCCGATACCAAAACCGGCTTTATGAAGAGCTACGATCTGCATCTGAGGATACGCCTCTTGATCGACTGCCATACCTGGATGCTGTGATTAAGGAGGCCCTGCGCTGCGCACCGCCGATTCCCATGTCGTTCCCTCGCTATGTTCCCAGCGGAGGCAGAACAATTGATGGGAAGTTCATCCCCGAGGGAACAATTGTTAGCTGTCAACCGTATACCGTGCATCGCCTAAATGAAGAGGTATTCCCGGAGCCGGATCGATTTAATCCTGATAGATGGATGGAGGAAGAAGGCTTCAACGAGCGCAACCGATTATTCTTCGCTTTTAGCACCGGTGGAAGGGGATGTACTGGAAGAAAGTAAGTTGCCAGTCTCCTTCTGCAAGTCATTTCTAACTGCCACAGCCTGGCAATGGTTGAAATGAAGATTCTTCTTCAAGAAGTTTATTCTCGGTTCCAGACCACGGTAGCGCCCGACATGAAAGGTTCTATGGAGATTGACGATCAAATCATCGCTTCTCGGCCCAAGGGACAGACCTGCAAACTGATCTTTACCCCTCGAGTGAAATCATGATGTTCAAGCAGGAAACTTATGCGCCCTGACAGCATGGCGATGCATATCTAGGCAGACTTCGACTGGGAAAACTCCGTCCGGGTGGAGACGTGGTCCACTCCTTCGTGCGGGGTAATAGAGCGGCAGTGAATACAGATGATGATACTCTTTGAACTCCAGCATATGTACAAGCAATATATAAGCAAATCACAACAAACGAGCATATTGTGGTATTCCAGTGGGTGTAGTCAGGCGATGATAATTTCCTTACCTATTGGAATGCCCCCTTGCCCTTCTACTGTCGTGGGCATATCCGTTCGGCAGGCATCATTATTTGAACAAAGTCCGCGCTAGAAGTGACTCGGCCTCAATTACCGGCACTTGGTGTCTAGGATCTGCACTTAAGTGCCTGATGGTCCAAATGTATCCTCTTGTAATCGATACATGATACGACACCTTGCAACCGAGGCTCCACACTTTCTTCAAGATATAATTCCCTCCGAACCTCTAGTTGAAACGACTTACACTACAAATTATCAATCTGATTCCCATTGCTCTATTCAACTTATATCCCAACATGCATATCCCCTACATCTCAAATTGGACCACCCTGGCCCTCCAAACCATTCTCTTCAGTTCCCTCAACATTTCGCTAGCTACCTCCTCTCCCGCTTCCTCTCCCTCTCCCTCTCCCCCAGATCTTACATTCCTATACACCGCCTACGTAGAATGCGAACCAACCCTCATGGACTCCCCCGGACCGCACGGCATCCGACGCACCATCCCAATCGTGGGTGGAAATTTCACCGGCCCTCGTCTCTCCGGTACTCCCCACCTCCTCCTCCATTACTCCCCTACATACAAACACTAAGCCACCTGCACCAAAACAGGCGAAATCCTCCCCGTCGGCGCCGACTGGGGTCTCGTAGACCCGCAAACCGGAATCTTCAGCGCCGACACCCGCTACAATCTCCGCACCAACGACGGAGAAAACATCTTCATCCAGACCTCGGGTCCGAAGTCGCCTAGTGGACAGTTGCATCTGAGATTGGTGTTTGAGACGGGGAGTCGGAAGTATTATTGGTTGAATAATGTTATAGGTATGTTGAATGCCCTCGAGTCGGATGGGAGGAGTAGGTTTGGGGTAAGCTGATGATGGGGCTTAGCGATTGGGGTTCTTACTTCGGTGGAAGAGACGAATAGTTCCAGTTTGTTGAGGATTGATGCTTGGAATGTGAGTTTTGGTCCTGGTTAAGGTGGGGAGGGATTGGGGATGATGTGTAATGGCTAATTTTATGGGTATAGATGGCTTCAGATTGGAATTCGACGAGCTTTGTGGACTCGTCAGCGACTTCTGGTACCGCATGAGGTATCCAATTGGCCTGTCAAGCAGTGGTCAATTCTGAGCCAGTCTAACAGATCAGAGATCTTCGCGAGATGCGTGGCGGACATGGGATCTGCGCATTGTCGCTGTTATAGATATATAGCGGAAAGGCATCAATTACCAGGATATATTTTACCGAAATGCATTATCAATGGTATAAAGCTGAAATTAATTATATGTATGCCAGTATTCTCCGTTCGAAGATGAGACGCCTCAAATACGCTGTACAGCGAGGGCCAAAGGTGGGAGAGCAGCTCGGCCGACGGCGTGCGGGGGTAACCGAGATAGCGTGGACTAGTCAACCCACCAACCAAGTTCCTCTTATCTGTCACCTTTTCCTCCACGGTCCCTCACCACCCCAAGCAACTGCACCTCACATCGCTCCGACAAAAAATGGCTGCCCAGAATCCTCCCTCCCAAAGTCGTCTTTCCACGCGCATCTCCCTGCGCTGGGTGCCAGAACCTGCCTTTGAAAATACCGACACGATAGTCATGTCCGTCGCGGGCTGGTACGTCGACCTTCGCGTGGACAAAGAAACGGGGGGCATCGATTGGGCTATTGCCGGTCAACGTGTTGTTGATAGCAATGACTCTAGTATGGATATCCCCATTCTTTTTGTAGCAAAAGGCTGACATCAGAAGGTCGGGTGGCATTTACCCATGAACTCGACTCTAGAAACTCCTTTGACGCGGTCGATTGTGGCACCTTTTCCTCGCTTCCTAATGGCGATGATCTTGAAGAAGGCGAGATGCCTCGTGCTGATCTCCCTGGCTGTCCGATTGCGCAGTATGAAGAGGTCTGGCGAGAGCTGGAGTTTAGGCAGGGACCGGAGGGCCATAATAAGGGTGTTTCATGGGTCCTTGAGTCCAAGGCACGGTCCTTAGATGAAGGAGAGGAGGCTGAAATCTCGAGGACCTTTATCGGAAGAGTCTGGGGCACGTATCTGGCTCTGCGCCAGGTTCAAGTGCATAGCCGTCCGAAAGGTTCATCTACCACAATCGTCAAAGAGGGGAAGGATGTGAGTGCTCGAAGAGAGGAGTGGGATGCATCTGGATGGCAGGTCAAGCACTGCATAGGTCCAGATTATCTGCCCTCCATGAATGCCATTGAAGATGGTACATGGCAAACTGGCCAGACAGTTAGTATCGCAGGAATTGAATACACAGTGCGAGCATTTGAAAGTCTAAGGTACGTCACTTCGTCTATATACAGGTAATTATTATACATGCTTACAGCTCGTTGCTCAGGACATAGCGGTATCTGGCCTTGCCAGCGTTCATGTCCACAACGGCCTGGTTAGCGTCCTTCATGGGACGCTCCTCGATCCAAGGGCGAACGTTCTTCTCGGCAGCCAGTTCGAGCATCTCGCGGATCTCGTTGGGGCCTCCGATCAGGGAACCTCCGAGCTTGAGACGCTTGGCGATCAAAGAGAAAGCGGGGATGGTAAGGGCGCCGTCCTCGGGGGCACCGACCTGGACGAAGCTACCGTCAAGGTCGAGGAGAGCGGCATAGTCGGACATGGGCATCTACAACTGTTAGCATATTGTGATGTCGCGAGACTGAGGGACACATACCTTGGAAGAGGAGACGGTCGAGACAATCAGATCGAGAGAGCGGGCGTTGTTCTTGGCCCAGTCGGCGTCCTCATCCGTGGCGATGTAGGCATCAGCGCCAAGCTTCAGGGCGTCCTCCCTCTTGTTGGCCTTGCGAGAGATACCAACAACCTTGGCAGCACCAAGGGCCTTGGCGAACATGATACCGAAGTGACCGAGACCACCAACACCGATGATACCGACACGCTTGCCGGGAGCACATCCGTAGTGCTTCAGGGGAGAGTACACGGTGATACCACCGCAAAGCATGGGGGCAGCGTGGGCGGAGGAGATTCCGTCGGGAATCTTGATGACGAAGCGAGAGGGAGAGCGGTGGTAGAGGGAGTAACCGCCATAAGACTTGCCGCCGTTCTGGTAGACACCGTTGTAGGTGCCAACCATGCCGTGGCGGCAGTACTGCTCGAGACCGGAGGCGCACTCCTCGCAGTCACCGTTGCGGCCGCGGCAAGAGTCGCTCTGAGCACCGACACCGACACGATCTCCAACCTTGATGTCACCCTCGGCCTGGGAGCCGACACGGACGGCGACACCGACAATTTCGTGACCGACACAGCAGGGGTAGATGGTGGGGCCCTACGCTTGTTAATACGGAGTACTTGATGTGTCATGAGGGAGACATACCCATCCGCTGCCGAGAGTGTGCAAGTCGGATCCGCAGATACCGCAGTGGGAGACCTTGATATCGACATCGGTTTCCTCCCAAGGCTTGGGCTCGAAGCCTTGCCAGACCATGTTGCCCTTGACGGACGAGGCGTCCAGGCCCATCCAGCCCTCGAACTTGTAATCGGAAGCAGCCATTGTGTTTATTGGTTGGTTATGGGCTGAGTACTCAGTGGTATCGTTGTTTAATGGTCTCGATGCTCCCGGGGTACTCAGGCCTTTATATACGGCATTGCTACCAGGACAACGGGATGCTTAGCAATCGAGAGCCATCGATCCACTTCGAATCATGACTGTGGAGCGTCCGAAACCATTTGAGACTCAATGAGAATTGTGGATCGACCCTGGTTTCGTGCTGTACGCCACGGCTTACAGGGATCCAGCTGCCGATGTACCTGAGGCAAACAGCTTACACTGTGTGCCTGTGGTATGATCAGGGGTTTTCTGCTGAATTTTTCAGGTCCATGGGGAAGCAAGAGCTTGGTTCGCTGGTATCATTGGATCATTTCTCGGGCGAGTTTCCATCTTTCGGATTATGACCCGTGGATGCGGTGCGCTAAGCCGCGGCTTACGACCCGCTCACGGAGTTAAGAATAAGATGCTGACAGCGGCAGCCATACATCGGTAGAGCTTCTTCATCTTAGCAATGATAGCTACGAGGATTCCTGTGAGCAGTGATGCTTGAAAACTCTCGATTCCAACCATATTTGTTATGTGCCCTTCTGAGGAATGAAGAGCGTGACAAGGGGAGTTGCGGACGGAGATATCTCCGGCTGACACGACACGGCCCGGCTTTAACCTGGCGCTTCGTGCCGATCTTTCTCCGGGGCTCGGCTTCCATTGTTCCATGAGCTTCTATCTAGCCGCCGATATCCGTAAGCCGTTCTGCAGGGTTGCCACTGCCGCTACCACGGTGCCACCACGTGTCAATAGTGGCACGTATTGATGAAGTTTAATCAAAGTTTGCAGCCACCGGCATTTTTTCTACTGGTACTCCGTACATAGCGGAGATAGGGTAATCCGAATCCCAACGTGCACAACTATGCGTGTGTTGTAAGCCGTGACGACATCAAATATAGACCCAGTTGTCAATACCCACTCCTGTTACAGGTTATCCTCAACAGGATCTCCACATCCAGGATTTCTCTTCCGCCTCACCGGGGTTTGTCCGGGGTTTACAGCAGTACTCCGTATCGTAATCATTTGCCTAGCTATGATCATATAGTTATGACGTATGTGCACCGCTACTACTGGTCTAGAGTCAACAGGATATCTGGTCAAGTCGAGCAGAATATCGCTCGTCTGGAATGAAATACCGCTTCTAGTAAATGTATGGCCTGCCCGGAACTTCAAGAACATGCTGCCATATGATCTTAAGCGACTAGTAATGGGTAGGGAGAGTGCAGTGCCAAATTCAAGAAAAGTGCATATCGATCTGTATTGCAATATCATCATTATCATGTATAATCCAACGTGCATCTATCTTCTCCCTAATCTTGTATCCCTCCTCCTTCCACCTCCATATTAAACCAACTTATCCACAATACCCTCCAACAAAACCCAACCACGACATAAGTCACATACCAACCCAACCACCCCCATAGTCCCCATAGTCCCCCCAGACCCACAACCCACCAACACCACTCCCTCACAGAGGAACAGCCTCCCTCACCAAAAAATAATGCACCGTCTCCTCCGTCCCCCCAAACCGCGCATAATCCACCGCCACCTCCTCCACCACCTTAAACCCATGGTTCAGATACACCTTCAACCCCGCCGGCTCCGACATCACATACGTCTTGAGCCCGTATTTATCCGCCACGTCGGTCCCGCTTTTCACGAGCATGCTAGCGGCCCCGAGGTGCCAGTATTTGGGGTGGGTTGTTAAATATTCCAATGCTATATGTCAAATACATCATTAGCCATTGTTGTAATTATGCCGAACGAGAAGATACAGCAGGGAGGGAGGAATGGAAAGGGGTCTGAGAAACGAACTGAGAACTTCCTCCCCCTTCACAACCCCATCCACAGAAAGGATTTTTTCCTCGGCCCGCTCTAACGGGGCACTGCGAAATTCTAATAATCCCGTGTCTTTCATCCCAGGGACACGGCCCTTCGCATCGCTAGCGGCGTCGTATGCTTCTTTGTACTTTTGTTTCTCGGACTCGCTGGGGGATGGGACTTGGCCTGAGACCCAGACGGTACCTTCGGGTTGTTGTTGGGCGAGAGAGGGCGGGAGGGTCCAGCGCGCGTAGGCTATTACTTTTTCGTTCTTTTGGTCTTTAGCATCCTTGTTTTCTGGGTCAGATGAGCTGGAGCTGGAGCTGGAGGTGGGGGTAGGGGTAGTGTCGAGGATGATAACTTCATGGCGTCGCGCATCCCGAGCTGTAGTGAGGGTATGTGGGAGTCGATTCCTCGTGGCGGAGATAATGTTCGCTGGGATGGGGTCGATGAAGAGAAAGGACCAGTGTGGGTCGGTCAGGCGCGAGAGGATCATGGTTTCGGCGAGGCTGGGGGCGTGGGTTGGGTGGGCGGGGGAGAGGTGGTATTTGATTTTGGGGGTGGGCATTTTGCTGGTGTGGGGTAAGCTGGTTTGGGGATGTGATTGTTTGGTTCAATGGAGGGATGGTTGTATGGGTTGTATAGGGGTAGAGACTGGGGAAAGTACTTCAGGATAGAGGAGAGGTTATAAGGTTAAGATTGCGTAAAGACAGGTGGTCTCTTGTTGCTTATCCTGGATTGTCGGTCAGATGCTTGGTAGTGCTTATTTTTACGAGGAGTGATAAGAGGTTAGTGGGAATGAATGGTTGGCGATGGGATGAAATGGGATGTGATGGTGATGGATGGTGTAGGGGATTTAGATGTTGTGTCGAGTATCTGTAGACTATGTTTCTTCAAATATCTGACTAGCTTGCAGATGATGGTTAGGCATAGTCCGTCGAGGCTTATCTAGTACAGTCTGATCTGGCTTTGACCAGTCAGGTTAGATTGAATCCTACCGAATGAATGGAGGTTCCCGTGGGCGAAATGCTCCAATGAGATGATAACAGCAAATATTCCGGGAAAGTCATTCTTGCTTCTACTATCCCCTAGTCCCACAGCAATCCCCCATACTCAGCCCGTAGATTCCGGATCTGCAACCGACTGATGCTCAGTCATAGTGTCCATTCGCTATAGCCAGTGGCTTCGAAGATATTCCGTAGATGAAGTCCTGTGACAATATTCCGCCTCGAATCTGCTTACTGCAACATACACCTATCATTAATCTCTGTGGATCTCTAAGCTACCCAAAGATTGATTTCTACACGTGTGAGTCAAATCCAATTTCCGAATGTGCAATGTTTCAAGACCTTACTCTTGAAGCTTGTATGGACAACGACCACCATAACCACGTGTCCACGCGCAACATCCATTGAACGAACATGGAGAACAGCATCGATCCCTCACTCCGAATGACCAACATCTACTTCTAACCCATTTTTATCAAGACATACAAACAATGCGATCTTGTCTGTCGTCCGACTCGGGAAGCAATGAAATGAATTTATAGACCTGAACTGTGTGATCAACTAGTGATTCGGAGAATGCAATTCTTCAGTAAGCAACTTTCCGTGTTCTGATCATTAGGAGGATTAGTTAATTACCGCTGAACCTCTGTATCAGGAGAAGTAGACTACGCCTTATGACTGGGACATAAGAGGGACAAGAATTATGTGGAACTGCCCGACCGAAGTAAAATTTCCCACTAAATCGCTCATGAACCGTCCGTTCCTAAGTCTCAACGCAGCAGCAATGCAAGTGAGAAGGATCCCCGCAGCCGGAGTATTCTCTTATCCCGCCAGGTCATACAGCTCAAAGGCTTGAGAATGAGTGCATCTGGGACAGCAGGTGGGAATACATGGTTTGCGAGAGTTTTATCGCGGCTGATCAAATGAATCCTCCTTCTTCTATAGGACTGACATACATCTAGGATATCTGATAAATATTCACACTGTGTCACTGTCGAGCCCTTGATTCCGTGCATGGCTGCCTATCGGTGGGAGATGATCCGTGCGTCAAAGTCATACGATCGGAAATTTACCACGTGTTTCAACAACTCGTATTAGTATCGCCAGTGGCAACATAATTATTATTAGGCATTAAGAACGTGATAAGGTGAACGAGATAAAGTATATAGATACCATCCATCACAGTTACTCCTCTTTGCGCATTTTCTTCCCCCGAGGTCCAGCAACCGTTCCCATAAGCACTACAAATGGTCAGTTTATGAAGGTTACACCGAGATAGGTCACTCACCATCCCAATGCTTGAAAGAGCTGGAATAATTTCCCCGGAAATACCGGTGGTGATCATCGTGCCAGTCAGATCCTCCCCACAGCGGGAAAATCCGTCGCAGGCTCCAGGGAAAATCGTACCCGGAATGCGCGTCGATCGCCTGGAACTGACGCAGCGCCACCCAAGCCAACACTGTCATCAGATGGACCTCGCCGGTAAAGGATGCGAGTACCAAAGGGGGTCCAATGGTGCCGAGGCCGAGAAGCATGGTTTCCCATGGACTGGCGTACTCGGCCGTCAGACCGAACGGCGCGGCGTACTGATGGTGGACCCGATGGATGGAACGATACAGCGGGCCCCAGTGGAATGCCCGATGCAGCCAATAATGGTATGTATCTTCAACAAAGAAAAAGATCGCGATCTGGATGGCGAGGGTTTTGAGGTCGGGAAACGGGAGGCCATACTTTAAACCGAAGAACTCCATCATCGGGTGAAACAGGACGATCATAGGCAATTCGACGATAAAGTGGATGGCGAGGATGTATTTGACGCAGCTCCATTGTTCCTTCGCAGACGGAGGATCTTTTTTGTCCTGAATTTTGTAGCGGTGAAACAAACCCGGCAGGGCGTCGGCGATGATCCACGGGATGCAGCGAGCGAAATAAAGGATTTCGTGGGCTAGGAAGGTGATGATGCCTGCAAAATTAGTATTTTGTATGTCTAGGAAGGAATATCGTACCAGTAGCGATAATATCGTTATCCCAGTAGGCATAATGTGTCCACCAGGCTTTTTCCAGGAAAGATAGGTTCGGGTTCTGGCTCGCCAGGGCAAAGAGTTCAGAGTATGAGGCCGTGGCCTGCGCCGCGACGGTCGAGTTGAGGTTGAAGTCCATGGCTAGGCACGTTTCGAGTGCAACTCCGGACCGCGCTTGATGGTGATAGTATTGGAGGCTCTTGGCTTACAGTATATGTACTTCTGAGTACGCGGGCGACTGTAGCCAGTGGATATCCGGATGGGCTGATCGGACACACCACCCGGATGCCGGGCAATCGACTGACCAGATCCCGGGCTAATTAATCACCCAACAATTAGATTTCCGCCACGCTGACTGGTTTCCCCGGATTCGGCTAAGCCCTGGTTAGCCATCTGAGACACGCCATTGTTCTCATTCACTAACCGGGATTTGACTAGAGGCAGCCGCCCCTATTACACGGATATGCCACAACACCGCGCCAAGCCACACGGGCTCAGGCCTAGACGATGTCGAACGATGCCGGATGTCTGTGAGCCTTAGTCTGAGATCGGGCACATCGTAGCACCTAGCAAGATCGGCAAAACACTTTCCGGTTGGGTACACTGCAAGCCTCTCGTCTGTTTGGTTACTTTCAGATACTTCATAGGTGGTTTCCTTAGGTATAGTTGACAGAAACCTGCGCTGCCAAATGCAGAAGGTACAGCGCAGGTTGCGTGAGTGCGGATGGCAGCAGCCTCCCTGTCGAGGACTCACAGCGCTAGGCCCAAAGCACTCTAATGGACGATGCCAGCAGGTTCCATGGAGTATCAAGTTGATCCCCCATTCAGCTGTGGCAGTTGGTACAAAATTGCCTCCCACATGGCAGCCAGTTGTCGCCCAAGACCCCAGGGTCCAAGGTTTCTCAACAAATCAACACATCGACTGAGGATGCTGGACTGCAGGGGCTTGGGTCGCACTGACCGAAAGTCATTCATCTCCGCGAGCAGCCTTTCACAGTCGATACCTGCATTTTTGAGTTCGGGGAAGTCGAGGGGCGCTTGATTCGCCTGATCGGATGTCGCACTAAACTGGAGATAGCAGTACCAGACCAATGTAGCTCGGTATAAGACTCGCGGCGCATGAATCGGTGGCACGTTCCCTCTAGGCAAGCTCTCTAAGCAGCGAAGGATCAACGCTGCATGAAGAGCACACCGACAGCCATCTCGTGAATCCGCCCATGTCTGCACAAAAGGCAGTTCCCTTTGTGACTCCAGGTAACCTTCCCGTCCAACTACGACTTCTAGGCGATCAAAATCTACCAAGCAGGTCAAGAATGCAGTATGCCACAAGGCCTTCAGACAGAGGATATCGGGTCCATCCGACGTATGACTCTGGAAGTTGCTATAGTGGAACTCGAGGGCAGCCCGCAATGGTGGCGATGCAGATGCCCAGTTGTCACATGTCCGGGCATCCCGAATAGATGCCGCAATCCGCTCTAGTTCAATATATTCCCTGAATTTGTTTGGCGTGCTTTTCCGGCGCGTACGGGAATCCTGCTGTCGGATAAGGCGACACCAATCTTCTACTGTTGTGGCCATCCACAGTTCATTATCGCAGATCGAGGACATCCATGACCGTCGCCGCATGAATGGCTCTGCCAGGAAAATTTCCGCGAATTCGCTGTCCAAGATAGACAGCCCCGCGACGAGCCTATGCACTGTCAGTCTGGACTGGCAGTCTTTGGCAGACTAACCTGTTTTGCTCTTCTCGTGCAACCCAAGACAACCATGCCTTTTTTGGGTCGCGTGCAATTTCCAGTTCGATCTGATCGGTCGTCTGGTGATTGCGAAGCATACTATTCCTTCTGGCCCACTGTACCTATTAGTAGTGCATAACCCATCGAAAGACCCGCTTACCGTGATTATCGTTCCGTGAAATGTCTGGACCAACAAGAGCTCTCTAGGACGCTTACTAGGTCAGATGCTGGATCGTTCTTGGTGAGATACATACTCCAGTGAGATACGCAAATATTTGGCCAATCATGGATGCCTGGGTCATTGATCGGATCTCGGCCTTTTGTTTCGTCATGTATTTCTCCCACTACCGGCATTAATAGTTTCCTTGGTCCGTACAGCAGCCACTCACCGATGCAAGTGTCGCCTTGTTGAGTGTGTCGAACATCTGGGCACCATGCGAAGCTCCCTGTTTTGACCCCAGGAAAAGACTTCCGATCGAGCAGATTGATAACAACAGCAACGAGTTCTGAGTTGATGGGCGAAAAGTCGGAGCATGCACAACAGGGAAGACTGGATTAAATCTGGCAAAATACATTTGGATGCACATGTTCTAATGCGTCAGTAGGTTACTGGATATTTGGTCCAAACTTACTAAAAAGTCTGTTGATGGCAACGGGTCCGTTGGAATCCGATATTGGACATGCTCGGTCAATTTCTGTCGGTATCGCTCATCCACATACGTCAATTCCAATCTATCGGGAGTGGCATGGCCGGTGTTGGCTTGCTCAAAGTGTGTGAACCAGTGACGGCGGACGAGGTCCTCGAATCGCTCTAGGGGCGGCAATGCATCTTCACATGTCTGTTGGGTGATACTCGCAGGGTCAATAGCTGGGGACAGCGGCTCTGGTGGGTTGGCCGATGCATGAATGGATGCATTGAGCGCGTCAAGGTCAAAATCATCAGTGACCAGCCAGGTTGGAATCTGCGCGGCAAGGTCCAGTGTCCAGCCAGAGCTGTGCTCTTGGAGGATTTTATCTACCTCATTGACCGAGGTGTCTATATGGGTCAGATTATCCGAAATTGGAGACCTCGCACGTGCCTTGTCGGTCATCAATAGAAGGGCGTTGGTCTCGTATGGGGACAGTTCCAGCCTTGGTACATCTGGCCGATCACTTGATGCACCAGATGGCGTATTCAATGTCACGGGTGTCTGCAGTAAATTCGAAGCAATGATACCATGCAAATCGGACCCTGTGCAGTCAATGCTTTGAGCTACAGAGCGTGTGAGCATTGGCTGCTTCATATGACTTTCCCCATGATTACGCGCATGTCGTAGGAGGGAATCACTGGAGAATCAGTCAAGATCAAAATCTAGGGCGCGAGAACTCACTAGCGACTGAATGCTTTGCCACATGCGGAACAGGTAAATGGCTTTTCCTTTGTGTGAGTTCTGATATGTCGAGAAAGGTGATCCTCTTTAGCAAACGACTGAGAGCACCAGGGACAACGTCGTTCCTTTGTGCTGCGATCTCGAGTCGGTGGCATCAGGTTGACAGATCAGCTTTGGATCCGAAGTATCCCGATGCTCGGCGATATTGGCACGGTGTAGGAATGGATACAGTGCGATCCTGCGTGGACACGTTGAGCTGATCGATAGACTGATAGAGATGATTGTTGAGCTGGTTGTTGGTCCCGCCGGTGCCTGGGGTCCCGCGAAGGTGGTCCCGCCGTCCCACCGGCTTCCCCTCTTTTCCTCATCTTCATCTTCCGTTAGATCTAACGACCCTGGACAGGGCAATAGAGAGCATTCGGGCGCTAGATACAGTTTTAGTTTCCTACCATGTTCAAATGCTGCCCTTCGTCCAATCCCGCAGTTTATCGCGCAGCCTACCGCGCAGCTGATGCAAGGGCCTCGTTGGGGTCCCGCCAGTGTCCCACCAGATGGCTTCCTCACTACTCAACGGCCACGCGGCGTTATTTAGCCACGATGGACGCATTTTTCACCCCATCCTAGCTTCAAGGTAAAGCCAGGTCTCAAAATGAGCGTCGACGGGCATTGGGAAACAACAGACGTCGTTATCTGCGGATGCGGCCCGACCGGCGCCCTCTTGTCCGCTTACCTCGGTCGCATGGGCGTTCACAACATTGTCCTGGAGAGAGAACCAGAGATAACGACCGATCCGCGGGGCATTGCTTTGGATGACGATGGAATTCGTTTCTTACAAGGCCTGGGGCTCTATGACTCCGTCTATACCAAAATCGGCACCAGTGAGTTACCTACTTTCGCACTGGGCTGGGACTGACAGCTCAGGCATGGGGAGATTCAATTTCGTCGGCGGGACTACTTGCGATTTACACACAAAACCAATTCTGGAAATGGACTACAACACGGTGGGATTTATCTGTCTACTCTTGTTGTTCGCCAATTGACGGACCAGACCACCGGTGCCACAGGCCATGTCGGCTTCATCGGTCACAAACAACCCGTCCTCGAGAGCCAGATCAGGAGCGCCATGTCTCCTTCCTTCTGCTCTCTGAGATGTAACTCGACCGTCACCCAGCTCGAAGAAGACGAAGAGTGGACGTATTGCACGTATTGCGACGCAGACGGAGAGCACAAGATTCGGGCGCTATTCTTTGTTGGCGCAGACGGAAAGACTGGTTATACGCGAAAGCAATATCTGGAACCGCGGGGAGTCATGTTGGAGAAATTCCATGAGTAAGTATAGCAACTCTCAGATTATTGTGTGGCTAATACCGAGTAGGGCCTTCTACGAAGACACTTGGGTAGCATTGAACTGGAGGATCACCATTCCAACCCCACGGTCGCATCCCAGCTTTCCTTTGTGGAAAGAAGGATACTCCCCTGAGCAAGTGTACGACTTATTTTTTCCTCCGGAATTCCGCTTTCTCTGCAACCCGTACAGGCCAGCAGTCTGCGGGCGCTTTGGCCTGCCAACCGATCGGCTGTGGAGGTTCGAGTATCTTATTCAGAAAGACGAAGATGGACACGCAATGGCCAAGCCTGAGGCAATGCGAAGCATCGTATATCCTTATCTCACACACAGGGGAAGTCGATACAAGTGAGTTTATCCCTCCTTTGCCTTGTGCATAGCTGACCTCACAGCCTTGTCGAGGATGTGCAGTTTCCTGAAGATTGCATCGAAGTGCTCCGTTGTCGCCCCTTCTCATTCTCGTCGCGCATATGTAACATATGGGTAAAGGGTCGAGTAATCTTATGCGGCGATGCAGCACACGTTTTTCCTCCCTGTAAGTTATCCTTTGCATGTCTCCCACATGTGCTTACCAAAACAGTCGGAGGCCAAGGGATAGCCTCGGGTTTTCGGGACGCGATCTCCCTATCCTGGCGTCTAGCCATGCTCTGCCGCTATCAACCGAGGAAGGAAAATCACCATGATGTTTTGAAAGCGTGGTATAAAGAGCGCAAGCAACAGCTCGCGCTATCCTTGGCGACAACCGTTGAAAACGGGCGCATGGTGTGCGAAACACATCCGCTCAAGATATTCATTCGCGACTGGTACATCTGGCTCATCCAGCTCATTCCCAGCTGGAGACGACAACTACAACACGGTCGTCGCAAAGACGCAATCGTCCGATACAAACATTCCGATGGAATGCCCTTCATCCCGGACCTAAACGGCGGTCTCTATCTCCCCCAGGTATACTGTCGTACAATGAAAGGTGAAATCCTCTTCACAGACGACGCCATCTACAGTCCAGACAGCAAGTCCCTGTTCCGCTTATTCGTCTACCTGCAAGACACCTCCGACCTCTCCTCCATCAACGACACCCTCCAAGACATCGAATCCTGGTCGCGCGGCGAATTCAATCCCATCCATATCCCCATCATCGTAGAGAACATCACCACTGATCTATCAAAGCCATCGAACATATTCCAAATCGCCACCGCAGAGGAATTCTCAACCTCACCCCATTGCAACAACCGTCCCAAACCACTAGACCACGATCCTCTTCTCCTGAGAAACAACATCCAGGGAAAGTACGTGATTGTCCGCATGGACAGATTCATCTACGCATCTTGTACGGATGAAAAAGAGCTGAGACGGGCTGTCAAATCTATGTTGGGCTATCTGGATGGGGAGATCAGGGAAAGTCGTTAATTGTGATGAAAATATATCTTTCCTGCGGAACAGCAATGTCGTCCTCTTCGTTTACAAGTCCAGTACAATTTGTTGATCATGAAGATTCTTAGATTACTCTCAAGTCATATATCTGACTCCCAAGGACGATGAAATAGTAGTTACGAGCCAAATGGTATCATGATTTTGGTGCAAGCAGACTCTCAGTGTAGATACTAAACAGCCCGAGGCAAGACACGCGCCAAGTCCGCGACCGTAGAAACACGTAGAATGAAGACCGCAGAGTACTAGTACCCATCGCATACTCCAGACATAGATCGACAATCTACATGACTAACCTGGATATATATCCCAGCTTCTATTGCATCCTCTTATGACATATTTCCGAACTCAAAAGACAAAAACCCTGCATTCATTGAAGCAATCTCATTCTAACTACCGAAATCGACTAGACGGAGTGATTCAAGGAGTGAAATAAAGCAAACGAAGCAAACATAGCAAACACAGCAAAACATCAGGCCACAACAATCAGCGCCAAATCAGACCCACCAACGCAAACTGTCCGTGTCTCCACGCACTCCACCGTGGACGATCACACCACCAGTTCACCACCTCCTATCTTCCTAATTCCGACTTCCTATAGCAATTCTATACCTAACTTGCATTCGCAGCCGCAGTCGCAGTCTCCGGCGCCCCAATCCCATACTTCGCCCTCAACCCCTTCATGGCCAACCCCGCAACACCCGCAACCGTCTTCGCCTGCGCAATCTCCAACACGGAGGTCTCCAAATCCAAACTCCGACGAATCCAATATTTCACCTCCAACCCCATGAGCGAATCAATTGGGAAACTGGCGATCTGTTTCTCGTCCAGGCCCGCCTGAGCCGAAAAGTTACCTACGCGTTTCCCGAGTTCCCGGATGATAGTGCTTTCACATTTCGGGTCGTTGAGGAAGGAGGGGTCATTGGCGATGGATTCGAATAATCGCAGGAGGACGTCATCTTCTTGGTTGTGTTCGGGGCCTTTGGTGGGACGCATGAGGGAGGGGATGTTGAAGCGGACGTCTTGGTCGAAGTGGGTTTTTGTGGTGGAGAGTTCGTCGGGGTTTAGGAAGGAGGTTACGCCGACCATGATGTCGAGGGGGTGGGGGGCTTGAGTGGAGCTAGAGATGGTATGGGGCAGGGCGAGGCGGAAAGAGTCGATTACGTCTTTTTCTGAGAGGGAGAAGCGCGATTGCGCGTGGAAGAGCTCCAGGAGTCGTGTGTTGCGGCTGAAATTGCCGACTTCTTCGACGGCGCCAAGTGTGACCCGTGAGGCTGGGAGGCCTTGGGTCCGGCGGTAGGTCACGAAGGAGTCAACGAAGGTGTTGGCGGCGCCGTAGCTGGATTGGCCGGGGTTGCCGGACGTGCCGACGACGGAGCTGAACAGGACGAAGAAGTCGAGCTGCTTCTCGGAACAGGCATTGTGTAGGTTCCATGCGCCGCGGACTTTTGAGCCTAGGGGGGCGAGCCATTGGGTGTAGGACATGTTGGCGAAGAATTCGTCCTGTGGGAGAGGGTAGGTTAAATAGCTTTCTCGGATTGTTTAAAGGTAAGTTTTCTTACCTGTAGTACTAAGGAGAGGTTGACGACGCCGGCCAGCTCATGCTCGCTGGCGGAGACCGCTTGCTCGACACTACTTGGGTCTTCAACACTGCCATGGACTACCGTAACGGTACAGCCCTGGCTTTCGAGCTCCTTGATGTAATTTTGGTCGGAGTCGGATTGACCTGCCGAGCGTGACATGATCACCAAGTGTCGGGTGCCCTGAGTGACCATCCACGTTGCTAGCAAGCGACCAATACCGCCGAATCCACCTACTAACAGGTACGACCTGGTAGGTGAGAAGACGTATTTTCTTTCAATCGGCTTGTTTTTGAGACTGTGAGGATCTTCCGGCATCTTGACTACTATCTTACCGATGTGCCTACCGGTCTGCATGTGGCGGAAGGCAGCTGCAATGTCGCTGGCCTCGAACATGCGTGGAAACAAACGCGCCTGTAGTCGCCCATCTTGACAGTAGATGAACATCTCATTGATGGAACTGCAGGGCATTAGTATGGGATCCATTTGAGTCGACCGCGAAGTGTAACCTACCCCCGAACAAGCTCCGGGCAGTCCTCGAGCATCTCGCTCAAGTCAACACCGAAGAAGGAGCGATTATTTGCAAAGTGCACCATTTCAAGTTTCCCATGCTCCAGCATGTCGCGTTTGCCGATTTCTATCATCTTGCCCATGGGAGCAACGCAGTCCCAAGACGCGTGCAAGAGCTCGCCCGCTAGCGAATTCAGGACAAGATCTACACCACGTCCGTCTGTCGCATCGAGGACGCCGCCGCGGAACGAGACGCTGCGAGAGTCAAATATTCGCTCCCGTGGGATATTGAATGTCTGTATGAGGAAGCGGATCTTCTCTTCGCTGCTAACAGTAGCGTAAACCTGCGTATAGGTTAGCATCAGCTGTTGCGCGGTTAGAGAGAATTACCTCTGCACCAACCATGCGGCAGATGTCGATCGCCGCCAGACCAACACCACCGCAGGCTGCATGGATAAGAACGGACTAGAAGAGACATCAGTAGACACCACTATGCGAAGCACTGATAGTGATCTTACCTGTCCTTTTTTCAGGTTCCCTAAAGTTAATAAAGAGTAGATGGCCGTTGCGTAAACACAGGGCATCGCGGATGCCTGTTCGAGGGAGATTCCATCTGGGATACGCATGCAATTCAGGTCCCTCGTAACCAACCGTGTCTTGAATGTGCCCTGCTGAATGATGATAACTGCCTCTCCCTCGTGCAGGTCACCCACTGCGGAACCCACTCGTCGGACAACACCGCTGCCTTCTATACCTAGAGGAAGATGGTTTCCCAAGAGTCCCAAGGCGAACATGAGATCCTTGAAGTTCAAGCTCAGATACTTCATGTCAACCTCGACTTCATTCGGCTGAAGGGTCTTTTGTTCTTCCTCTTCTACCCATTGGAGCGTGTCTAGAACACCGCGCGTTTCAGGATGGAGGCGAAGTGGTCCATCGTTACCCGAAACCCCGAGTTGCTCCTCCATTGTTAGGCGACTACATCGCGAGGTATATACCTGACCATCTTCGATGGAGTATTCAAAGTCCTTTCCAGATGGATTGGCCTTCTCATCAAGGCAGTCTCTGCACACGCGCATTAGGACGTCTGCAGTGGTGTCGTTGAACTCGTCCACCTCAACGGTCCTGAAATCGATGCCAGTCTCCGCCCGGATGGTACGGCTGAAGCCGTGTATGAGTCCATATCGAGGGTCCTGGCAGCTCTTTTGGGAGAGCCGCGTAATCCAGAGTGTCTGTCGTCCAATGGATAAATAATTCCGGAGTTGGGAAAATGGCACTTCGGGCAAGTCATAAAGGAACGGCCCATCGAGATCGAGGAGCGAAATGACGAAGCTCTCCTTAGGACATTCCCCGAGCATACACCACTGGATAGTGTAGCCTTGGTCGCAAAGTTTCTTCTCTATCACGCCCGCCCAGGGATGCTGTTGAGTCTCCCGTGTCCCGAGAAGGCTAACGACAGGCACGGGTGGCTTCGTTGGGACGCTTCTTGCTATCATGGTGGCGGACATCTGGAATGGGAAATCTTCATCATAAGCAACATCTTCTATTTCTGTGAAACCGGCCTTGACGAGTTCGTCGTTCCATCTCTCCACTGTGACATATGGCCGACCGAGACGCTGGTCAGCCTCCCCAAGCCACCATCCGGGTAGTGTACCCTGTACAACAGTTAGTTTACTCTGAAGGTACAATACCTCAAACCAATATTGTGCTTAATCATGCCAAGAACAACATACCATCACCCAATCTACATACGGAACCGCTGGCCTAACCGTCAGCAGTCATCTTCAAGGGGGGTAGTTGACATACCAGCCGAAAGCTCATGAAGCATGAGCCAGCCACCCGGCCTCAGCAGCGTCTTCACATTAGACAACGTTTTGTTCAGACTCGGTGTGGCATGTATAACATTGGATGCAATAACCAGGTCAAAGCTGCTGACATCAAACCCCTGGTCTGCAGGCGGGAGTGATATATCGAGAACCGCATACTCGAGCTGACTGCCATGTTGCTCCTGTAGCGGTATCAGGAATCCAGGCGTAATATCCGTGACTACATAGCGAGAGAAGGATCGGTCGCCTCTGTAATCAACAAGAGCTCTCAATGCGCCTGCAGTAGCAGAGCCTGTGCCAGCACCGATTTCCAGGATCCGCAGCTGAGGACTGGAATGACCAAGAAGCTCAAAAAACCGGTGCCAATCAACGATATCGACGGCATAGGCATAGAGGTCTTTCCAGGAGTCCCGCGATGTAAGCAGCTGAGCAGCGGATGATTTCCCCGTCATCAGGGAGTCCATCTCTGATGCCAGGCAGGATCTGGCATCCGCGAAAAAGCCCGAGAGTCGGACATCGGCAACCTTGTCAAGAAGTGTATTCCAAAGGTCCAGTCGCTCACCGGAACTAATCTGCGCCCATTGTCGTGCTTCTCCAATGCCATGATAGTCTGTTGTTCTTATTTGCAGCGCTTCGGACTTAATCCATTGCTGATACTTAACCATATGAGGCACCGTGGGGGTGAGGTCACGCACCAGGATATCGTAATCTAGGATTGCCAAAACAGCAAGTCTGGCCGTTACTTCTAGCCCCGTATCTACAGCAGCCCTTTTGACAGAGCCTTTTGCAGGGTTGAGACGGATATCCGGCTGGCACTTCATGTACGAGCACAGAAAAGGCTCTTGACGCACCTTTCCATCATTTTCCAGGGCAAAGAAACGGGCGTCGCGCATCGACAACGCGATTGTCCCATCACTTCGAATGAGACGTGCATCTCCACCCAAGACATCGGTAATAGCCTTGGAGACAGTAGGACCGACGCCGAGTGACATAGTTTCGCTACTGTGGGTTATGTATACCTCTCCAATATATGAGGGGACGCCCACAACGCCCATTCCCGGTGTGAGGCCACGACATGCCGCCACACAGTGTAATTGTAAGCACTGGTCAATCACAGTGGGATGAATCAGATAACGTCCACCATGTAGCTGCAGGTCATCTTGCACTGTCGCTGCAGCTTCATAAGTCGAAGGACTGGCGGTGATATCTTTCAGGCCTTGGAAGTTCTTCCCATATTTCAACCCCGCCTTCTTTAGCTGCCGATATAGATACGATGAAGAGACGGCTCTAGGGTACACCGGGATCCCTGGGGGTTGCAGCAGGGTGGAGGGGGTGCCGGACTTGACTTGCCCAGCGCAGTGCTTTTTCCACGAGGTACCGTCATACGAATACACCGTGAAGTCGTACCATGATGATTCCACCAGGTCATTAACTGCCACCGGTCGTATGCTAGTCAGAAGCTCATATTCTAGACTGGGTTCCACAATCAAAGCTGTCCGAATCAAGAGATTCCGTAATGTGATACTATCAGATGCCGTGACTTGACGGGCCGCCTCCGTTACCATGGCAATATATCCAGCGCAAGGAAAGACGATCTGGCCAGCAACGCTGTGGTCCCAGATCCATGGAGCCTCATCAAGGCGAAAGACGTTTCTCCAACATGGCTCCATGTCGCTCGACTCCAGTGTACGAGAACCGAGCAGTTCATGGTGTGGGAACTTGCGCAAACGCCATTGCCGTGGGGGTCGCGTTTCGGACCAGCCTAAGTTTTCGTATTGCCAGGGGTAGGGTAATAGATCATTCAAGCAGGATCCAGTTCCATTGACCGCTGTAAAGCGAACCGGGGCACCATGTAGATATGCCTGACCCACTGCATCGAGGAATGTAGAAGTAGAGTCATCTCCTCTCACCACGGTCGGACAATACGAATGCAACTTCTCTATATCCTTGGATATCTGGCGGATAGGCCCTGAAAGAGCCGAGTGCGGCCCAATCTCTAGGACGAGTGGCTGCGGTGTGTCAGCCGCCGACTTTAAGGCTGCGCCCATGGCAGCCGTGAATTGGACTGGTGATTCGAGGTTTGCCCTCCAATATCCTGCATCCAGCTGGCTTGGAGTATGTATCACCTGGCCTGTCATGGTCGAGAACATCCGGGCTAGCATGTTTGGCCTGCAGGTAATATGGGGGCGAATCAATTCTTCATAATGGGCGGCTGCAAACATCATATGGCCTAGCAATATCAGTACTGCTCCGAGGATAGACGACTGTCACTCACTAGAATGATAGGCCACTTGAACAGGTAGCTTCTTCATCAGAGTATCTGGTACATCGGCACGTATTCTAGCTGCCACTTCATCCAGAGAATCGCTATCTCCTGATAGCGTCACACTCTCGGGACTATTGTAGCATGCTACGACAACGCCCCCTGTGATGTATGATCGGACCTGTTTTGGACTCAAGCCCACTGCTAGCATCGCCCCTTTGCCTTCACACTGGGATGATACCTGGCCACGATAATATGCTAGAATAATGGCGGTCTCCATGGAGATGGCACCCGACGCATATGCAGCAGCAATCTCTCCACTCGAGTGACCTATCACCTTAGAGGGGCTGATATTATATGAGGCGAGAATGTTGATGATAGCCAGTTGGATAGCGGTGCATAGCGGCTGGGAGCACTCGGCACGGTCCATTGTATTTTGGTTGCCCTCCATCAAGGTATCTAGTGTCTGTTAATGAGAGCTATTCATAGACAGGTGTAACGTGAATGAATACCATGTAAACTCCACTTTGGCGGCATCGGGAGACCTCGAAGTGTCTCATCCATTGCCTGCACGTCTCTGTAAAATTGGGGGTAGCGTTCGATGAGACCCTTGGCCATCCCAGGCCATTGAGCACCTTGACCTGTGAAAGCGAATATCAACTCTGACCTCTGCGACTCGGGTAAAAATGTTCTTTGGAAGCCTTCTAAAATCCCCGTTTTGCCGTCTGTAATCATAAATGCACGGTGAGCCAGATGATCCCTGCGAGACCCAAGCGTGTAAGCAACATCATTGAAGGATTCAGGGTGTTGGTCGAGATATGACTGAAGCTGTTGAATCTTTTGATCAAGTCCATTTCCGCTCCATGCAGAAACGACCAAGAGTTGGTTTGAACTTCCATCGTGCGACGATATTGGCATCGGGGCACGCCGTTTGAAGGCGTCTAAAATGACCTGACCGTACATTAGAATACATCCAATGCGCAATCTCAGAGCTCGGTGGGCTTACATGCGCATTTGCTCCACCTATTCCAAAGCTGTTAACGCTAACGCGAGCCTCCCTGTCTTCTGGCCATGGTAAAGTGTCTATTGGAACTTCTAACTTGCCCTCCTTGAATGGAACTACATTGATTAGCGGTAGACACAACCTTTCGAATCAACTTACTCTCTGGATTCGGTCTTTCAAAGTATATATTAGGAGGAATCTTTCTATTCTCTAAGGAAAGGACGGCCTTGATGACGCTGGTCAAGCCAGAAGCACCTTCCATGTGGCCAACGTTTGGTTTCACCTTTCCGGGTAAAGTCAGTCAAAGCTATGGGCGATTGAGCCTGTGTGCGACTTACCGCACCAATTAATATCCCCTTCTCTCCAAAGATTCTCGCGACCGCCTCGGTTTCGGTAACATCGCCCATTGTTGTTCCAGTTCCATGGCATTCAAACAGGGCCGTTTGGCAGGGATCACTGATTCCCGCCCGACTATATGCTCTACGGATCAGTATCTCTTGGCTCTGTCGATCTGGCGTGGAGATGTTTGGAGTTTTCCCGTCACTGTTTGTTGCAGTTGAACGTATGATTGCCCTGATTGGATCACCGTCTCGAATGGCAGCGTCTAGCGGTTTAATATAGATGGCATTCACGCCCTCTCCACGTCCGTATCCATCGGCTGAAGCATCGAAAGTTTTGCATCGACCGTCAGGGGCTAACACCAAGCTATCTGACATGGTGATTGACATTGTAGGGGAGAATATAATGCTACTACCGCCGACAATGGCTGATGAACAGTCGCCTGAGTGGATGGCCTGACAGGCTTCATGTAGTGCGACCAGGGAGGACGAGCATGCCGTTTTGTAGGTGATGCTAGGTATAAAATGGTCAGATCACGGCATCAGATAGGTGAGAAGAAAAGTCATCAGCAAGACTGAAAGGAGGCCCTCGAACGCACCTCGGGCCCTTTAGATCGAATTCAAATGAGATCCGGTTGGCAAGCGCAAAATCACCAGTACCCATTGCTCTAAAACGGTCTATAGCCTGAAAGTCTTTGCTGGTGACTTCCAGCCAATCCTCACCGAAGGTCCCTACAAAGCAGCCGATATCGTGACCCCTCCAGTCCGACTGGCCAGCATTCTCCATACATTCCCAGACAACCTCGAGGAGAATCCTTTGTTGGGGATCCAATAGGCCAGCTTCATGGGGTCTTCCAACAAATCCTGGATCAACTTTGCCTAGGTACTCTTCCTGGAGGAAATACCCATGCTTCGTCTTTACCACATGGGGCCTGGAGGGATGATAGAATGAGTCTCCGTGGTACCTGCCCGGAGGAATCTCACCCACAGCGCTTTTTTTCTCCACCAGCAACGACCAGAAGTCCTCTGCAGTTCGGATGTTACCAGGAAACCTCATTCCCATGCCCACGATGGCGATAGCAGGTGGTCGACCGTCTTGTTGTCCATTGTTGTTACCCCATGGCGCGCTGGTTGGCTGCCCCCGGTGAGGTTCCTCCCCAACATTCTCGATGTGGATCGCGGCCTCCACCACGTGCTCGCTTCCATTGTCAATGGCCATGTGACCGGTCTCCGCTCACGCCTTAGGCAGCCAAGGCAGTGAGAACTGCTGAGAAGGGACACACACTTTCCGAAGTGCCGGTATTCTCCCAATGTGCACTGAAGGTAATATAGTATGCTGGTACCGCTGTTGCGCACAAGGAACAGAAATCTCCGGGCGTGCTAATTTCCCGGGCAGAAAGTCGCCGTTTATAAAGCAGGTTATAAGAGGGATCCAGCGTCTTGCATAAGGTTGCAATCGTGTCAAGCGCATGCCTGGCCATTGGTGGGAGTTCATCCCATTCTACAGGAGATCCGCATGGGAGTCATACAATAATTCGACGAGCGGACGCGATATGGATTTCTTCCTATGAATGTGCAACAGTAGCTTGTCCCATGACAGGAATCAGAAATACTCGTAACATCGCTACATGCGAGAGCTCTGGCACAACCCTGCAAGATACTCCAGGGGACTCGGCTGTCATACTGCTGTTTCTTGCTTGCCAGCTTGCGAGACACGGGCCTGGGTATATATACTCCGAATCTGCCAGGCACCCGGACTGAGCCATGAGGAGCGCCTCCTGATTTCACTAAAAGTGTTTTTGATGAACCCCTTTGATGTTCCAGTGTATGATGTCATATTCTGGGTGATACGAACAACAAGCGAAGAGACAGTGATCTGTCACGGCACTGAGGGGAGTCGCTGGTATTTAAACCCCAGGGGGAAGTCATATTCCGAGTATATTCAACAATTCTGCGCCTTTTCTACTGATCCTACTAAGGTGGCCACAAATGGTTAGTTGCCGCGTTTCGCAGTGTACACTTCTAAACCTTGAGCATGTAACCATGTCGGGACTTTTTCTCGGGGTTTTCTCAGCCCCGGCAGATCTTAACATTGTTGGCTTACAGCACTGAAAACAGCTCGGATTCACAGTCAAGCAGGTATATTATCATCTGCACTTTCATACTGCTATCCTTTACAAACATAGGGGATCTCGATTGACTTTCTGTGTCTTGAATCGGTTGTTGCTAAGACCAGGAAAAAGATTTAGCCGGAATGAGACTCCAACGGACCGAAAGTCCACATAGATGAATGTGTCCACCATCCACTCTCGCTACAGCCGCTCTTAATTCCGAATGCTGGTCATCCGTACGATTGATATTTGAACCATCTACCACCTTCCCCGACTGTATAGACCTCATAGGTAGCCAAGCTGAAACGCCCAAGTCCTTGTCTGCCTGCAGTACAATGGCACAGGACTCCATCCTTAGGTAATGCTCGCAATCCTGGTGAAAGCGGCAATACGACTAGGTACGGACTGACCAGTGACCACAATCCACAGTCCACATTCCCAGCCCCACCCCCGCTTTGACCCCACATGAGGGAGGGGAGCGTTCCCGCAGTTGCTGACAGTCGATTAACGATGGTAACCATCTCCAATCTCACCATTGAAACACATCGCACCATTTTTACACACAAACTTCCACAGACTACACAGCACAACATGGGCAGCCAGGCAGCACCGGTAAGACATCATCGTATACACCGATCCCACCACTCCATGGTAACAACCAAGCCACCAGACCCCATCCGGGTGTCACGGAGCCTCCATCCCCGACATCACAGCCATGGGACCAGAACAAGAATCCGTGGCATCCTGGAGAGAGCGATCTGGGATTAACCCCGAGGGTCAGATCCGGTTGGTCAAACTGTCGCATATGCGGTATCAACATCCGGATTTGGAGGAGATTACTACCTTCATGAAAGGTTTTTGCTTTCCTGCGTAGATTGAGAGTGGGCATATGCTAACGGGCGCAGACTTCGGCATGCAGGTCGTCAAGCAGACAGACGAGGAGGTCTGGTATCGCGGCTATGGACCCGATCCGTATGTTTACTATGCGAAAAAGGGGCCAAAGGCGTTTCTTGGGGGGACATTTGAAGTGGAGACGTATGAGGACTTGGAAAGGTTCGTTTCTTCTGTGTTAGAATTCTTGAGAATCGTGGTCTGATTAATGCAGGGCGTTGCAGCTCCCGAACGCGAGCGGGATTAAGGAATTGGTCGATCATCCAGGAGGAGGGCACTTGGTGACTGTGACTGATCCTGAAGGTTATCCCGTGAACTTGATTCATGGCCAAATACCTCAGCAGCCGGGAGAGTATCCAGAACGGCTGATCATCAACTACGAGACAGACAAGACACGGCTAAGAAAGTTCCATCGATTCAACCCCGGTCCTGCACCAGTGCACAAGGTATGCCCTCCACCCCCTCACCGTAGGAGACGCACTCTAATCGAACCAGCTCGGCCACTTCGGCTACTGCGTCACCGACTTCCCGACAATGCTCAACTTCTACACCCATCACTTCAACCTCGTCCCCACCGACTTCCTCTACATCGAAAAAGAGCATCAAAAACAAACCGTAGGCGTATTCGCGCACATCGACCGCGGCAGCACCGGCGTCGACCACCACACTCTCTTCATGAGCGCCAACGACACCTCCCACGTCCACCACTGCTCCTTCGAAGTCCACGACTTCGACACCCAGAAACTAGGCCACTACTGGCTCGCACAAAAGGGATACAAATCCGTCTGGGGCGTCGGACGACATATCCTGGGCTCGCAGATCTTTGATTACTGGTGGGACACGACGGGCAATATGGTGGAACATTATGCGGATGGGGACTTGGTTACAGATCAGACCCCCATTGGGTATATGAGGGCGGGGAATGAGGCGTTGGCGGTTTGGGGGCCGGAGGTGCCGGCGGATTTTATTCATTAGATGAGTGGATGATTTGGAGGGTTATTGGGGGGTAGTTGTGATGTTTAGTATTATTTTGTAGACGAGAAGTGGCCAGTTTTGAGTATTGCTGATGGAAAGTGACATGGCACTACAACGTTAGACATACCTCTCACGAGCGACCAGGCTAGATGTCGGGTCAATTACTGACGCTAACTCCGGCGCGGTGCAGATCGGCCACTTTCGTGAGCCGTGTTGTGTGACGCGCTATGTTCATCCTGTGAATTAAATGGGTTACAGTCAGATCAATGAGGTACAATCTTAGTCAAATAGCTCGCGAGGATTTTGGTAAATTGATGAATGAATAGAGATAAGGAATGGTTTTGCCAGTTCATAGATGAGCTGTGTGGGTGAATGCATGGCGGACGGTGAACATGGGATGGATGCTATTAAGCGTGGTGTTCTGCGGGCGGGGACTTTTTTTTTTTTTTCAGAGGATTCTGTTCAGTGAGGGGAGGGAGGTGTTGCGTGATTGGTTGACGGCCGTTCGTGGTTTGGGATTTCTTTGTACCTTGGTTGGGAATTTAGGTATTTGTGACGTCTATTAGCGATCGATGTTTCTTTTCTTTCTCCATCAATAGAGTATGCTTTTGAAAGTCGAGCTTATGCTGCCTTCTGACAGGAGAAAAGTGCCAGTCTACTCGCCTTCACTTATCGGTTTTCAAGGAATAAGAAGCAGGAGATGCCAATCTACTAGGTAGATATATTAAGGAATTACTATCAGTATGTACAGATCCACACACTATATACGCATCCCCTCGAGTGCTTCACGGGTGATCCGTTTAGACAATGTAGCTGGTGTCAACCCAGTCCTCCCAGTCGGAGCCGAGGATGGTAGAGATGGAGACGGGCTCGTCGATTCTCTCGGAGAAGCTAGCGCGGGTACCCTTGGAGCCAGCACCGGTGTTGCCGTACTCGAGGAAGGTGACATTCTCAGTGTTGGGCTCGGAGGTTGACCATTCGGTCCAGCCGAGGGAGTTGATGACGTTGGTCATGGAGGTCTTCTGGAAGAGGACACGGGCGTACTGGGACCAGGGGCGACCGAGGTAGTAGGTACCCTCGGCAACGTCGTTGCCATCAGCAGCGGCGACGGTGGACTTGTGGATCACGTAGTAAGAGGTGTCGGTCTCGGAAGAGCGACCGTTGGCGGTGATGGAGGCGGAGGTAGGGCCCTCGACGACGCGGATGTCGCAGTCGTGGAACCAGGCACGGGCGTGCTGGCCGAAGATGAAGTCACTGTGAGAATTAGCCTAATTCATTCTCAGACATTTGAAGGAGGAACATACACGGCACCCTGGATGAGGGATCCGGCGTAGACCTGGTAACCAGTCTCAGCCAGGAGAGTGTCTGTCACATCGTTAGCAAAGTCCGAGCGAATACTTGCTTTGGTACGTACCCTGGTAGCCGGTCATCTGGCAGCCGTAGTAACCCTGCTCGGAGGCATAGGCGCTCACGGCCAAGGCCTGGTGGCAGGCCTGACCACAGGTGTTGGCAATGTTGAGGTTGTAGACGGCCGAGTTGGCGGCGTAGTTACGGAAAGTAGCTAATTACTGTCAGCACGTCCAGCAAAATAAGCACGTAAGAATGACTCACCGGTCTCGTCGTCATTGGAGACATCAGCCAAGGCGATGGCGTGGGTGAGGTTGACCAGGTTGCCGGTGTAGGTGGTGGTGCTAGAATCGTCAGAGATCGTCTACACCTGATATGCTTGGAATGAACATACTCCTCAGTCTGACCGTAGATGATCAGCTTGCCCTTGAGAGCGGGAACGTAGACCTGCTCGTCGTAGGTACCCTCCTCGATGAAGATGGTTTGGGTGTCGGTCGAGGTAGTGCTGAGAGCGGCAACAGCAGCGCTGACCTGTTCATCCAGAAACTTTCGTCAGTCATTCTCTCGGCATGCGATCTGCAGTGATCCGTACCGTGTCGTAGTCACCTCCGGACTTGGCAACGACAATGGCACCGGAAGGAGCCGTCATGCGGGTGGCAGCCAGCGCGGTGGCCGCGAAAAAGAGGGAAGAGATGACGGATTTGACCATGATTGCGGTTAAGGATCGACTGATCGGCAAGCTTAAGTTTGCTGTTGATGGAGGAACCAGAGAACTGCGACAAGACCTCGTTCTTATAGGAACCGCATCCTATCCATTTAGAAAGGGCTCTTCTTATCGCGCAGATTAGCAGCGCTCCTCTCATACGGATCAGGACCTCCGGGTGGAGACGCCGGCGGGGTTTCGTCACTACCAGAAGGGGTACTGAATAACTATATCTGAGGTGGCTAGGAAACTTCAGGCAATTCGGCCGGCCGTTGAGCGAGTGGAGGCGTTCGAAGAAGCTTCTTAGGGCAAGTGGACCCGCGTTCTCCGCCAATTGCCGCCCTTGTGGGCGACTTCTTAATCTGCAGGCAATCTCGAGAATCGGAGAATCGAATGACAGCAGACCCTAGCCCTATATCAGATGATGATAATCACCCGCTTAATAAACTCAGGCAATAGTAGTTCATTTAGATGCCCTTGGCAAGAGGAAATGAACGCTGGAGACTGCCAAGCCCAAGCTTTCGCGTCTGAGACAGGGGTTTCTTGGCTGGATGGTTTTCCGCCTGCCAGGGCTGTTCGGAAGCTCCGATAAGATGGACCTTGTGGGGGGCCGATGCGGTCCAGAATCATGTACGTAATTAGGTCTGTCAACCATTGTCGGCTTCTAACCACATCGCCGGCAGTTTAAGGTCGGGAATGGATGCGTGATTCCAGGGGTAATCATGAGCCTGCCGCAGCGGTGTCATCTGCTCATCATTATCTCCCATCCTTGCACACTGCACATGATAGCGGAAGGATCGGATGGTACTCGCGCGGTGTGTTTCTTCGTCGCCCGGATAGGAAAGAGGGTCGCCTATCCATGGAACCTTCCCGTCCGGATGGCCCTTCCTCCCTTCCCATCCAGTTCCCATCTTGCGAGCTCGCAGCAGCCCTCCTCTGTTCCTGAATCACGAGGAGCTTCTCCCCTCCTCCACTTACGTGTCCAGGCGGTGATGATTGGTGGAAATGCATAGTGATGAAGCAACCGTTTCCGGAACAACTTGCCCGTCCCCGACAAACCAAGCTTCGCGGTCGAATCTTAGCACAACCTTCTTGTACGTATGGGGTACATCGGAGAAATTCCTGTGGGCAGAATAGATGAACCGTATTCGGCGTGCGTGTCAGACCATTTTCTCACCCATCTCGGCGAATATCCGGAGACGAGGTTATTGCAACTGGTGCGCTGCCCATTTTTCCCAGAAAGACACTTCGAGACACACTTAATTTGTGATGGATAAATCAGGACTGGTCATGTAGGGTACGCTGTCTATTTCGGAATGTAGTGGAACTTACTCGTGTTGCGAGTTGCGACAGTGGGGATATTGATTCGGCGCCGAAACCTGCCGGATGAGCAATCCCGATCTGAAGCTTAATCCTTTTGCTCACTCGATGTGTTCGGTCGGAATACGAGATCCTCCTTCGAGCCAAACAAGAGTCAACCAAATGCCACGTTTTTCTAGATTGATCCTGACTTACCAGCTTGACTCACCGGCAAGATATATTATTTGATCCCAAACCTTAATTCCACTTCACGGAAGGAGCACTAGAACTTATCATCGCGCCTCATTTGGAGGTTAGCGCGGCATTCAGGGCTCCTCAATAGATTAATGAGCGATTTTTTAGCTCAGGGGGTTGCGAAGGCGTCATGATAAGGGAGTGTGATGACTTGGAGAATGAGGGGAAAGTCGAGAGCGTGCGAAAAGGCCCACGACCACGTGACTTGCGGGATTTCTACCTCAGGCTCCTTTTATCCTAGCTTCTAGATTTCTTTCACTCTCACCGTAGAAAAACAACGCTCCAGTTGAGGTGCTGTCTGTATAGTATCGACTGATATCATGATATAGTATACAACAGTCGCCGTAAAATGGCCTGCTTTAGGGAGCGATACGGTCCGAAGACTCCCAATGCAGAGGTCAGTGGCTGAAAGATTGGGTGAACCGAGACAGGGATCAGGATGAGGCAGCTAGCTTTGCCTGCAGGCCCAAATTCTAACTTGTTGGCTCTTCAGAGTTATTCAGAATTCTTTCCATTTCAATTAGTGTCCAAAGTACCTAAGTTTCCGTCTAATTCGATAACTGGAATTACTCTTTTTGTGTGTATATGTATAGAGTCGTCGAAACGGCGAAGTCGATCTTTGGTTGACTAAATCAGGACTCAGTGGAATTGACCTCGTTCACGATTTAAGATATCAGCTTAATGAAGACAACGTAATACTGTCCGTGTCGTATATCCAAGAAATTAAAGTCCAACTGTTTGTGAAGAAAAACGATCTTTTTCAATAATGCTACTTGGACTCTAGTGATATATATCTTCACAGTAATATTCGACATCTGACGGGGAGTTCTAGGTCCTATTAGTCTCACAGATCCTCGATTCAGACTTGAGTCTTCATGGTCCGTAGACTCCTAGTACTTAAATTCTTGTCAAATATAGACCCGTGGTCTGTCTTTTGAAGGATTATGTTGATGCAGATGATGGTAGAAAGCAAGGCCGGGCGGTCGCCTAGATCACATCTATTGAAGCAATCACACGATGTGCCAAGTAGACAAAACCACAGCTGGATGCCGGCAGTCCTGGTACTCTGGCAAATATATGTAGCTGGCTGACCCAGAAGTATCCCAGCGCTACTCTATTTAGATATGCGGGCCTTGATGATACCATAAGTAGAGCTACGAGAGTTTTGGAACAGCTGTTTGTTTCTGAGAACTTGGTTGACATGTTCTACAAGTCCTTTAGTCGAGCTCAAGACCTATCCAGTGCTCTTCCGGGGTTGGTTCCATTGCGTTGGAAACACCATACACCTTAGTGATCGCATATTCCCTATTTAGTAATGATAACATACAACTGAAATAACCACGCTGACCAAGCCTTTCCAACAGGTTATGCTTCAAGCAACATAATCGGATACATGTCTTCAAACTCCCTGGCTAAGGCACCAGGCACGATAATCTTATCACTATGTGTATGCCAAAATGCTCCAAGATTGTGTCACCTGCTAAGGGACCCTTGCTAGGCCTCTAGTCCCAACATCCAAGTTGTTCCGGGGTAAACGCTGTATTGCATCAAAGAAAACATGTCGTTTCTACAGCATTGTCTCAGGTAAATCCCCACCGTCGTGGCCTTAACCTTCCTGCTTCGAACTAGGAATCTTTCCGGTGGAAATCCACGTCGGGTCCGGGGAGCTTGGCTTCTTCTCTCCCTCATTGTCACACTTGCAGCCATTATACTGTCGATGTCTAGGGCTGTCTCCATAGTGGTATCCCGAAGCACCAGGTGGGCCGTCTCCCGCCGAAATTTTGACTCGTCGGGTTCCCAGTCCAAGACTGTGCCATGCGCATCATAAAATGCGTCCCAGTCGAAGTTCGCACTCGAAGGCGATGGAACTGGGTCAGAGGGCTTGGGTAAGTTACTGTCAACACACCTCTTTTTTGCAGGGCTTTCCTGTCCACCATTCTCTTCCCCCGGTTTGGTATCGGCAGCAGGTCCCCGATCGCTTTCCTGTCGAACACGTTTACCAATCTGTTGAACCATCTGGCCGAATTCGTGCGAAGAAGTTCTCCGTCTACGGACGACGGGTGCGATGCCAAGATGAGATGCCAGGATATCGATAGCTTGCTCTGGGTCTGACTCGATGGCGTCTTGTAGTTGCTGTTCGGTATATTTATAGTGGCTTCCGCCAGAATTGCCATCCGTGGTGTCCATGAACCCGGTATCCTGATCATAGATGACCTGGATTGTTACGGCTTCGAGCTGATAGTACGTGAGTAGTTCTCGAAGCTTTGGCCCTAATAAAGTTAGTCGCAGCTTCGGCGGGGCAAGACGATTACCCACAGTGTCTTTTGTTCTTAAGTGAAACGAGAGTGGACAAGCGTGTGGGGAAGCATTCTGGAATCGGAAGGCGGTTATTAGAATCGTCGAACATGGGAAAGGGTGTGATCTTCTGAGGAAGGTAGGCCAGTTTGGAGTTGGAGAGAGTGGCGTTCATTGCATCCAACCTCGCGTCCACAACTGAAAAGCGATTGTAAACATTTGCAAACTCGCTTTTATTTTCCTTCAGGAATGCTTCCAGTTGCTTCGTGTTCTGCTTGGTCTCGATACGAAGGTCCTTGACATCCGCGTGCAAGATCTGAATCTGTTTCGTGTTCTGCTTTGTTTCATGACGAAGCTCCTTTGTTTCGTTACGGAGGTCTTTGACATCCTTCTGCAGGATTTGAATCTGTTTTGTATTTTGCCTTGTTTCCTCGTGGATGACCTCGACATCCTCCTGCACCGCTCGGAGCTGCTGCTTCGTTTCCTTGAAGCATGCACAAGGTCTGGAGCTGTTGAGTGTTTTGCTTGGTTTCCTTAAGATCCTTAAGATCCTCCCGGAAGACCTGAAGGTCCTCTCTGGTTTCTCGGCGGTAATCCTTCCAATACTGCCGGAATTCTTGGAACTGCCTTTTGGTTTCTCGGTCACGGATAGCGTTCTCGCCGCGAAGACCCTTTAGATCCTTTTCAAAGACATCGAACTTTCTCTTGGTCTCTTTGTCACGGATAGTATTTTCAGTTCGAAAATCTTTGAGCTCCTCCCTGCAGATCTGAAATTGTTCATTGATCTCCTTATCACGACCAACATTCTCGTTATGAAGATCTTTTACAGCTCCCTTGAAGTCCTTGTATTGCTCCTTGACTTCCTTTCGAGTGTCCTCTTGGCAGATTAGGACCTGCTGCGCAATTTGAAATACACCTCGAAGATCGCCCAAACCTTCGCGGATGGCGTCGCTGATGAGGTTTCCAATACTAAGGTCCATTGCAAAAGGGCTGCTGACAGACATGGTTTGGGAGATATTGGAGAGAGCTGGAAGCTATTGAGAGAGATAATGGGAGATATGTATGGAAAGATATGGGGGAAGTTCGAGAAAGGATCTGGGAGAGAAAATGGATGATTAAGTAGATGATGAACAGGGGTTCTAATTATTGGGACACTGGGAGGATAGCTGGGGGCATGTTGTGCAGGAGCAAAAGAGCGACAGACACGTTTGTTGTGCTTTTAAGTCCCGGTGACTAGGGAAAGTGAATCTGGTTGACAGGCTGTGGTTACCACTTCTGCTCTCTGACCAGGTAAATAGCGGAGCGACATTCCCAGAAAAGAGGGTATTAACTGACATCCCATAGGTTGAGTCGACCCCTTCTAGGCATGGAAGGCCTGGCCAACTAGCTCGGATACAAGTGATGCACATTCTGATTCTGTGACTGGGGACAGTTGATTAACAACAGCTATTCATCCCCATAAGCAACCCAGAGATTTTCTCTAGAGGCCCAATCAGCTTCGCTGCTTTTGATTGGGGGGGAAGAGTTTTCATACAGTCTGTGTCCGACGAGGTCGAGGCAAGTTGAGTCCCAGTCACTATCACTGGCCTACATGTGGGGAATGCTACGAATGAATACCCTACAAGTGGAAATAAAATCGTTGGCCCACCTTTAACATTGGCTAGCCAACTTCACTCTCTACAATCCATGGTTGCCTAGTGCATGCGTCCACTGCAAGCCTAATCAATGTGAAGTGCTCAGACCGGACCAGATCGACAGTCAGAGAAAGCATGGTTCTGCAAGTGTAGGCAAGGTGAAAGGAAGCCAGTTAATGTGCGTTGTACCTGTTCCACTGGCACCCTCTATCGAGTCAGAATATTGGCTCTCGAGATACTCGAAGTCAGTCACTAACCGTGTATATAGGGACGTGCTGTCAAGGTAAGCTTTCCCTTCAGTTCGAAACAGGCCACGCTGCAGCCTAGAACTGGCGATGTCTAATATGAAGACCAAACCAACCTAGCTGTGTAGTGGATGCTGTGCTTGCCATGGACTAGAATTGGCCACGCTCTTCACTCTAGCGATTCACACCTGAAGGCGCATCGATGGGCGGTTCCCGGAACCTAGACCATTTGCACAATCGCTCTACTGTGAATATTTCTCCTTGGGAACCTAGGCCACCACTAGTTTATGGACAATGAATCGACTGCTTATTTGTGAGGAACCACAATTTCAGCGACTAGCCCAGACTAATGTTATCCACTGGATTTGAGCGCTGATATCCGATTAACGTAGTATTTTACTCTGTGGGGTATTTATGCACTTGCTTCAAATGAAAGGCAACCGAGCTGGTGGTCTGCTATACATTTCATAATCGATTTATCCTACCCTCGATTCTCCAGTGCGCCTCAACCTTAGCATAGCATCATCAGCAAGATTTTGAACGCCGGTCTCATCATCAGAACTAGGCAATAAGCAAAAGGTGCAAGGTGAGGTAAACAACCAACCCCACTGTGTCAGACAGAACTAGATACCATACGCCCAGCGCCTGTGTTAGTCAATAACAACTCGAGTGCTCCATGTCAAACAGCACAGTTCTAGACCTGACACTTCCAAGTCTACAAACCCATTAATTCTCAATCCGTCACCACCACCATCACGTAGAAAAAGCATCCGTGACATACCAAACCCAACCATTATACAAAAGCTTCTATTCATGCCTGTCGTAGATTAGTCCTCGCCTTAGTCTGTGGCGGTGCACCATATCCGTGCAACCTAGATTACTTCCACGCCCAGATATCTACCTTCCCACCCCGCCCAACCAACTCTATCCCGTACTTCCACCCCGGTACACGTACTTTACCCCGTCCTCAAAAGTCCCAAAAAGAAGCAAAAGATAAAGCTTAGCTTTACCTCATGCAGGGCTATTTCCACGCCGTATTCTTCATTACCCTGGTTGTACATTAAATACCATACAGCTTTCTGGTATTGTAATGAAATACTGATGGAGGCGATGAAAAAAGCAAGAAATAACTAGTTAGTTAAGCTTATCTTCCTTCCGCTTAGTCAGAGGCATCCCCACAGAGGGCCTCATGTCGGGCTAAGATGGATCCTGCAGTGTCGTATGGATAATCTTATTACGAAGAAATGAAGCAGTCCAGGAAAGTAGTGCCTGCTCGGTAATAAGGCTGGGGAGGTTGTATTGTGTCCGATCCCGGGCCTTCCCGTGAATAACCTGGAACGGATATTGTGGAAGACGGTAAGAACCCCGCAGAGGGTTCGGTTAGGATGCGGAGACTAAACTGTTCGTGGTATGGATGGACGGGGAGGGGAGGGAGATGCCGGGTGAAGATGGGGATGGTGAGGATCTCGGAGATAAATACTTGGTTTGGTTGGGTTGGATTTTTGTGTGGGGTGTACGGTTGTTGTGGTTGTGGTGTTACTCCATAGGATGCTGGAGAATAATGTGTATTCTATTTCCATCTATGAAGGCAATGAGAATCTCTATTTGGCTCATGGATGGGGAGATACGGGGGTGGTTGTAACTAGATTATCAAGGATAATGGGGAAGAATAGATGGAGACGGCGATGAAAGGGGCTTCATTTGAGGGATTAGTCCTATCTATTCGCAGACAAACATATGTGTACGCGTACAGCACGGCTATTATACACAGGATGCATGATTACAAGAACCGACCCTCCTTGCTCAACCACTCCGCCATAAAGTTGTACGCAGTGTACAGCGTGTTGCCAAACTCCCCCGGGTACGACTCGCACTCGGTGCAAGTGACAATCGTGTGCTGAGCGCCCTCCACAAACGCAATCGCGGCATCCTTGCTGCCCGCTGCCAAGTGGAGCTTCTCGGCGTTGAGATACTCGTAGTGGCCCGTCATGCCCATGTTGAGTAAGGGAACGGTCACACCTCCGATGTTACCCAGCGGAGCGGTCTGGCTGGAGTTCCAGACGATACCCTCGAAGCCGTCGACCTTGTACTCGAAGTCGTCCGTGACGCGGACGGCCAGGGTGGAGAGGTAGCGCTTGATAGTAGTCTTGATGGCGCCACCCTCGAAGTTGTCGGCAAAGTTCTCAAAGTTGGCGGGCACGCGGACCGACGGCACGATCTGCTTGGTGATGGAGCCGTTGCGGTGCAGCAGGGGCCAGGGCTGGGTGGTGTGGTGGATCCAGCGGGTGTCCTGGGCGAAGAACTTGTTGTTGAAGCCAACGTACATCGAGTCGACGATGTAGAAGGGCTCGTCGTCGCTGAAGATGCCGGTGCCGTTGTTGATGGCGGCCAGGCGGGATTCAGCGTGCGCGAGGATGCGGTTGTTACGAGCCACGACACCGCTCTGGAAGGCCTTCTTGAAGGATGCGGTGTAGTTGGCGCCGCTCTCGGAGAAGCCGTTGGCCGGGTTGTACAGGTTCAGGGACTGGTCGATCTTGGAGCCCGAGTGTTCGTCCACGATGGCCGGGTTGAGACTCAGCAGGGACATGGTGGAGAGACCGTAGTTGGCGTCGATGAGCATGAGGCCGTCGGCAGCGGGGAGGCCGGCCATGGCGTCGGAGCAGGGGTAGATGCGCTCGGGGCCGTTGCAGGCACTGACGCCGTTCTCAGCAATGTTCTGGTACGCGGCCATCATGGCGCCGCCACCGCTGTGGCCGAAGATGACGACCTTGTCGATCTCGGTCAAGTTGCGCAGGTAGCTCATGCCCTGGGCGACGTTGGTCATCATCTCCTCAAAGTCGAGGTCGGTCATGTAGCCACTCTTGCTGGCATCGTTGTTGGCGCAGAAGGTGGTGAAGCCGCGCTTGGGGAGCTCGTGGCAGGCCGAGAAGTTGAGGTAGTCCTGCTCGGCGTGCATCACGTAGACACCGATGCGAGAGAGCGGACTAGCAGCATTGGGACGGTAGAGGCCGCCCACCACTCCGTCATCATCAAAGTCGACGAGGATGGGGTCGGGCAGTCCGTAGGAACTGAGGGCCGTGACTCCTGAGAGAGCACCGAGGGCCACGAGGCCGAAGGCTGCGGTTTTGACCATCTTGACGGTGATGCTGATGAGACTGATGGTTGAAGGTGGTGCGGACGGGTTTATATAGGTTTTGTAGAGTATATGAGATGACTGCAGCGGTACCTGCGTGTCAGTATAGTGGGACTGATGACGAGTGCTGCAGTAGATCGTTGCTTGAAGCTACCCATCATGTTCCACCGGCAATCCAGTGACGGTGGTAGTATGGGTCTACTTGAGTAGACGATGGTACGATACACGGCCGAGCCAACCTAAGCGAGAGGTTGAGTTAGCAGAATAGACAGGTAGCCGGTTACTTGGCAATGCAAGGTACTCGAGCAGTTTGAGTGAATGCTGTCCTTCAACCAATCCGATGTCGGCGGACTCGCACATGTGCAGCCTTCAGCCAAGACATCATTCGTCATGAAGGCATACTACTGCATGGGTGCATGCTGCTCGGCTGCAGACATCTGCAGGCACGTTCGACTGCCTGGGGTGCTGTCTATCTCCGACTTCATCCGGAAAGAGTAATTACCGCCGAGCGATCTCCAATCCGAACCGGCAGGGTTGATGATATCCCACAAGGCATTCAGCGGGGACGGTAATATACTTCCCGGTATTGTCTGGTTTAGGCTCTCGGATATCCACTGATCGTCGGATGATCCTTATCATTCCGATCAGTTGAAACCGCCACCGGTTCTACCATGGAGCGCCGTTATCAAAGAGGTGGATGCGGTTACCAGGCGTGGTCGACAGACGGCACAAACAGTCGTTAATGCCGCAGCCTGGTCTCCATCAGTGTGGTGCCATTGTATACGCGGATAGTTTAGTTTTTCACCTCACATTGAACATGTTGTGACGGAGACTAGACCTATTGCAGTATCACTGCGATTCAACTCGCCCGAAAAACAGGCAGCTACATTCCAGCTCTCTACTTGATACTTACAAACATTTTCAAGGATATAGTCAACATGAGAGAAACTCTGAAGTGTCCAGCCGGTCCGGGAATGGAGATACTAACAACTTCTGCCTAAGAGAAGATATACGCCCTCATGCGCAGGCCGTATTGCAACAGGTAATAACCCGCGAAGAGTACCTATCCGAGAAGAAGAAATCAACCGACCTTGGTTCATGTGTTATGGGAACAACGACATTGGTTCGACCTTACGACTATCAAGTCATAAGAATACTCGTGGAGTAAGTAACAAAAGGGAGTCGGTGATTATGCGTGAAGAACCGATTAAGATATGGTTATCAAAATGCGTTGGTCCCCTCGATGATGGACTCGATGGACATATTTTCTTACTGATAAGAAGACATCATTCAATGAACCCACGACGCCAATCGGCGGAAAGTAGAACTGACAAAGCCTTTTCCCCAGAAGTAGGATAAATGGTTCTTCGTTTTGTTCAACCTTTTTGGTGGCCGCTGGGACCTACAGTCCATAGCCGAGGCAAGCCGAACCCCAGACCAGACCCCACAGAGTGTATCTGATCCATCTCTTATCGATGCCTCGGATCGGATCCCGATAAGACTATCTATCAGACTTCACCGACGTTTCCCACCTCGTCGCCCCTGAGCCTCCACATCGCAGGGAGACTCTCTGTCCTCCAAAAACCGTCAGGTCCTGAAAGACTGGTGTAAAAGGAGGGCGATGGAAATCAGACCACGATTCAGTGACTGTCGCTAGACCCCTCGCAGTCGCATTTGCCCAACTTGATGTCTGAAGTGCCGATTAAACTCCACCTCGGCCTTCATCTTCAATTCCAGCTTGAGTTTGGCGCGCAAGGCCCGCTGTCCGGTTAGGTCGCCAGGCATGTCTGGATGATTGTGCCTGGAAGCAGCTAATGAGCAGTTGGTTATCCTAACCAAGAGGATAATGACTGCTGAGGGAGCTGCTGCTCTTGCAGTTGGAGTGATAGGTGACCTTGCAGTACTTACCTACAGCTTACGAGGTCTGGTCCGTGTTCCAGTCTTGGAGATCTATGTATGAGGTAGTCTGTCGGGATCTACCTATGATTCCACTCACTCCTGTACCCCGGAATATGCCCCATGGTCTCTGTGGGGTCTTCGGACCTATTATAAACATTTGAATAATCGGCTCTAGTTGTATCTATACCAGTTCCCACGCTAACTACCGACCAAACCCTTCCTATACAGCCACTCACCTCACCAAGAACATCCCAGCTAGGACCTAAGACCACAACACCCATACTAACTAAACACAACATTCAACTGCTGTTTTGCCTCACACATACTATGCGCCTCATGATGATGAAATACCTCGCAAGGAGCATAGCCACACACAATACTGGAGAGGTCTGCGTCGGATGTGCTGGGGAGGGTATCTTTACTACGGATTTAAGCAGGGGCAGCTTACCATGTTGAGGTTATGGTGCGACAGGATTAGGATTAGGGAGGGTGTTTTGTGGAAATGATATGTTGGACTCGATAGGTGGTAAAGGAATAAGAGTTCAAGGAGTTTGAAAGTATTCGATTTACTGATCGTAAGGATAAGGTCTAGTTTGTTTTCAGTAGATCTTTTACTTTCCTTTTTTTCTCCTTTTTTTTTCTCTTTTTGGAAAAGCGGAGGATACCGTACTCATTGCCAGTTTTTAAACCCATGTAGAGACGTATGCATTTGATGACCAAACAAGGGCTCACTTTCCGTGAATTCCCATAACATCACACTCCTACAACCATCTTCCGAAATGAAGACTGAAACAGTGTATCTAGAGTCACCTCACCAGGAATAGATATCATATACGGAGAAACCAACCCCCCTCCCCCACTCGTCTTCAGACTTCGCAGTTACCGTAATCGGCCACGGTGACCCGGATATCGGAATCAGCCTTGATTGTATATCCCACTCTACCCCGATGGATCAGTAGCCCTGTGTCTTGATGCTTCTGGACGGCTGCATTGCCGGAAATGCTGGCGCTGGTGGTGAAGATAGGTTTTCATTGGAGGGTTTGTTCCCTGTTGGGAAGTTGAGTGTGTTGTTGTATTTTGTCGGTTATGTTCATGTATCGCGAATGGCGCGGTTGAAGAGGGTTGGGTTGGCTGGGGATTGGTGTGCTGGATTATCAGTTGTCTGTGTGGTCCTCTGGGAGGATTGATGGTAGTTCTAGGTGGATTCAGGGATAGATGTGTCTTGGTAGGTGATGCCCAGATATAGCTCTGCAATTAGCGGGCGCTGGACTTGGAGGTTGGGGGGTGAGGCAGCTGACAATTGGATATTATTGCTGCCGTAGAAGAATTAGATTAGATACCTGAGATGTTTGTGTCCTCTGGATATGTAGCCCTCTTCGCGTACCTCGATGATGATACGGTTGACTTTTCTGCTAGTAGAACAGATTAGGGCTCCTCGGATTAGTCTGATTTTCATGTTGAAATAAGAAAGAAATAAGAATGAGTGAGTGGGATGAACGAATGACGATGCAGCACTTTGCTTCGCTGTATTGCTCCACTATACTCGACATGTCACAAGCATTGCTTCAACAGCTGCCAAGCTCAGTGTTGTTCGAAGTGACTTGGCAGCAAGCAGACTGATCCTTCTAGACATCACCGTTGCGGTGCGTAGGAGATGAGTGAGACAGTGGACATCGCTTGCAATGGATGCCATCCGAGCGCTGGTGGAGATCCGGATAAAACTATACACCCAGCCAAGCATTTGACAATCACGAAGCTGCCAAGAGACGAGAACGAGGATCGTGAAGGGATAATGTTATATCCTGTACACCCTCGCTTACCATGATCCAACAATCCGAACACTCAGCACAAACATGACACAAACAAATGCTAACATTCCAGCATACTCATAATATACACGCTCAAACCATACATATCCAAGACATACAAATCATACGTCATCCAACGCCATAACACACAAAATCATGTCTATATCCATCACAGTATGAATATGCTGAATCCATCTACATATTCTCCCTCCGACGGCGCTCAATAGCTGCCTCAAACGATCGGATCGTGTCCAATGGTCGCTCGAATCGGTAGCGGGTAGGGTTCGATAGGTCAGGTTCAGCTGCTGCTTGTTAGTATGGTCGCATTCTTCTTGGATGGGGAGGCACGTACTGATTATCTTGCCTTCGCGGTCACGATGTTGGATCGAGCGCAGGGAGAATCCGGTGGAACCGACGCTGTAGACTGTGCTGTATGTTAGTGGGAGTCTGTGGCCAGCTGCAACGGTACGTACCGGCTTCTTCGCCTCTCAGGGCTTGGTTCGGGTCCGATTTGCTGGATAGAGAGCTCTTTCCAGCCGAGTGGCCCGTTTCGGGACGATCGTGGGCAACGTCAGGAGCAGACATGATGGTATGTAGTGGAGAGTAAAGTAGGGTAGGGTAGTGAAGTGTGGTATGGGTGAGAGGTAAGAATCTTGGCCGACAGGAACCACGGTAGATATAAATGCGACCGGAAGACAGCGGGCTATAAATGGACACCTGCAGGAGTCAGCACAATTGACTTTTCATTCTGTGGCCGAGCTGCAGCATCACGCAAGACGGGCCAATGAAGGCCATGCGATGAGGAGCCTTGTTGCCTTGAGCCGGTTTCTGTGACGCGGCCGTCCGGGGGGGTCCGTGACGTTTGCCGGCCCTCTTTTTGAGGAGACGAGGCCGTCGCCATTGGCCGAGTGGTTGCCAAGCTTCCGCTACTGCACAAAACTTCAAGGCTTATCCGGGGTTGCAACCAATGGGATGGCGTGGCCCCTGGCCGCAAAAAAGATGGGCCGCGCAATGCATGGGGCTGAGGCCGTGGCAATTGCTGGTCTAGGCAACCATGATTCCATTGGTAGGTATTTTTATCGTGACGGACGCTTTGGGCGAATCGGCAGGGCGGTCGATTTGGTCAGGCCGTCAGGGTCTGATCAGAATGGTCTGGATCCGCCGGTCATATACCAACCTCGGAATAGGTTTCATCAGATGTTAGAATGTGTCGCTCCACTTCCCTATCCGTCTGGTTATCGTTCCCTAAATGAGACATCAGACCGTGGGATTCCTCATAGCCACCCGTCATGGTGACATCTGAAACGCGGTCGCGTGCTGATCCAGTGGTGATCCTCTGCCGTCCACCACACCACGAACGACAGGGTCACTGAGGCAGTGCTCCGCTATGGCCCGTGTCGGTAGAAATAGTAACCGTTGCAGTGTTTCATGACGAATTGATATCGTCAGCATTGATATTCGCTGATCTGACTCACCCTTCACTGTTTCAGGATGGATGGAGGATTCGGCCGTCGCAAATTGTTGGTGAGGACTGGGGTATAGAATATTCCGTTAAATCCACAGTAGGCAGCACCTAAAAATAATATGTCTGGCGTATTCGTATTCAGCTACGCCTACCAGTTGGTTTGTGGGGGGGCAGTGTCTTAGACATTTCACGAGGGAAGAATACGTCCGTGCTCCATATGCAGGGGAATTATGCAAGAGTGTCGATCACAAGAGATTATGAATGGCGGTGCCCTGCATGAGTGCCAACCACTCGCACTGATGAACCTTGAGAAAGAGATCACGATTTTGACAGAGATACTAAGACTGCGGTCTGATTCCACAGTCTACACAGTCCACGTCACGAGCCAGGCGTTCAACGTATTAGCATGCTTAGTGGGCCCGCTTGAAGAGCCATCGGGTTAAGTCTGTCGGCATGGTCGGAACTAATTTCCACATTGAGGAGGAGCCTGGCATGATTTTAATCTAGAAGATATAAATTTGATATCGATAAGGGTTAATATAATGTTGCAATGGATTGTGTCGTGGTACGTAATCTGAATGGCGTTGCAGTTGCATCAAGGCGTTGGAGAGTAGGTTGATGCTGGTTTCATTCTCTTGAGTAGATGCTGCAAATGATTACGTGTGAGCATGGAGACTGTCCATGGTACGTTGTTTATGCTTAAATAATTTTGTTTAAGCTTACAATTGAGCCAGGGCTCGAGCTACATTCAGGAAAAGGATATGTTGTAGGCGCCATGTACGCGACCTTTTCCAATCAATTTGACGCGAAAGAGTCATGTTAGCACTCCGTTTTGGTGTATTATGAACATCCTTCTCATGTAGTCTCTCCGATTCGAATGGAGTACTGAATTTTGCGCATAGATATTCTCACGATCGACCTAATAGTCATACTGTGGTTGATGATTATGTTTATCACCCGAGAACTCGGTTATGGAGAAACATACTGATGTCGGACATATCTACCCAAACGAGAACATTCCAAGACCCAATACACATTTCTCTCCCTCGGAGATACACATCAAAAGGTGGTCAATCGAGGCTGATCGAGTAAAATTATGCTCCTATTAAAGGCTCTACAATCGGCTATCCCCTTGTTGCAAGATATATTTCCGAAAAGACGGTGTAGGCACTTTACCCTAAGTCGATGCCTGGAGGTAGCCATACTAGTATACTGTGTAGACTGTGAGGCGGTTCATGGATCGGTCATGTTGGGATTAGGCAACATTAATGAATGAACGGACATTTAATTCGAATGATTGTCCGAGGTATATATGTGTACTGTCCATGTTGATGTTGCAATAAATTCTATGTCAGAGGAAGTTGTGAGATCTTATGGAATGTGAACTTGCTCCTTTGGAAGGTGGGATGTGGTATTGTTTGATTGCTATGGAGGTTTGCGAGCTGGCAATGCGTGCTGAACCTGGTCGACAATGAATTCTGGCTACTCTGTGCTGAGGAGAAGTAGTGAGGTTGATATGAATGATTCAGACTATGATGGACATATGTCTGTTGTCAGTACCGCTGAATCCAGCCGAGCGACCGACCTGTTTTAAGGATCGTCAGTTGTGGTGGTCTTGTTTTGCGCTTGGGGAACATTGTCTCTACGAAGTGTACGAGTGATGCTGGAGGGGGTTCAATAAGCCGCCCCTTGGTGAGGGCCGTTATCCGCACCTGTGAAAAATGACGACGTCGCAATGAAGATTGGAGCGTCTGTGAATGAAACGAGTGGGTGTCGATAGATGTACTGTGGTAGGCAATGACGACGACATCACTCCTTACCCTTTGCATGCCTGAGAGATTGTTGTATTTCGCCAATAGACCTTGAGTTTTGAGGCTGTTTCACGCCGAGCTTGTCTATCTCGGACTTCCCACTAGGGTGTAAGTCGCTGCTTGAGCAGTCTGACCGTAGCCATACTCCATAGGAAGCTAATTGCACCGCCCAAGCATATTTATTGTGCCATTGTAGTCCGTAACTCAGGGTAGATCGCCCCAGCTGGACGAAGAACAGGGTTCCGAGAAGTCAAGTGGCCTAGTGCGTCCAACAAGCGATGAAGGCGTCGGCTTGGGGCAGAGCAGACAGGAATATCGCCAACTCAGCCGAGTACTTGTATGTACCAGTTCATCACACCATTGTCTCGTTCAGAGCCGCACTGTTTGGATTCTTAGTACGTCACAGCCGCGCATACTTGCAGCGGAGTGTCCATTGTGCCCATTGTGTTGAAGCGCTGTAGACCCAGGAGCAGGTATCCTCGCGTCACGAGCCCGAGTATATGCCATCTCATCGCCCAAGTGCACGAATAGACCGCTCAGTCATGGCATACTAAAACTCTCCACGTGGCCAAGTCCTGGAGTCTCCTAAGCTTGTCCCTGAACCGTGTGTCTCTGGCCTGATACGGCCAACCTAGGATGGCGCGGTCAGTCGATAACGCAGCATATAAGCCTATCCGTTGCGACTATCTGCGGCAGAACTTCGACTCTGGTATGCGGACAATCCATCAATCGGTCGCTAAGGTGCACGGTCACGCTTGGTCTGACTATGAGCGATGTCTCGTTAGAAACCGTCGTAAGAAAGTGATTGAATGAATCATACTCATCTGCTTACCAACCAGGCACGAAGGCTACTGCCCTGAACTAATTGCCTTCTCAAGAGGGTCACCAAGGACGGTGACTTGTCTGTTGTGCTCGGATTCCGGGGTGACTTGTCGCCAAGCGATACCCCGCGCGGGTGGACAACTGCCAACTGAGCATCCCGTGACTAACCACCATTTGTTCCCGCATTGGGTAATTCTTTGTCAGGACTCCTGAGTCAGGATATGTAGCGCACAGACGATGCAGCGTAGCCTCACAGTGTCCTTGACTCCGTTGACACTCCATTTACCTAACTACTGCCTTTCTAGGAAGGCAGCATGAGCTCCACCCACGGGAACTGTCCGAGCCCATCTACCTCTAGATACCCCAGGTCGACGTATCACTCTTGGCCTTCCCTACGGAGTACTCCAGCACAAGCCGTTCAGCTGCACATCTGACCGTAATAAGCCGAACACATATAGCCTGTCAGCAGGGATTCACACGGCAGACAAAAGTCCACGGAATCCTTCCATGGAGACCATTTGCCGCTTTTGGCAGGAGGGACGTTTAGACGGTGTAGATTGTACTGGATATGGAGTAGTGAGGGAAAGCGGGATGGGCAGACGGCACGTCAGCTTATGGGCCCACAGTTGTCAACCACATGGATTGGTTCTTGCAGGGCGCGGCACAATGGTGTGGCATGTTGAGGGATTCGAGGTCATGCTACCGAGTAGGTACTAGTTTGTTGGGTCGAAAGTACCGAGCTGTTCTCGGTAGGTTTCACAAGGACGGCCGCGGTTGGTCGGGTGATGTGTTTGCATTGGAATTGCCATGATACCGATGTGGAATCTTCTGCCCAGCCGACTTATAGAGTACTGACTCTGATTAAAACGGTGCGTTGCTATGTATACCGCAAAGTAAGGAAAATATTTTATCCACAGCATTAGTGGTGTAGCGGTAACATTCAACCCTTCCATTCGGTTGTGAGGTTGGGCTCTGGGTTCGACTCCCAGCTAATGCATCTTCATCATTTGTTTTTCGCCAATCTTTCTGTGCGGGAGTATTTTTGCTTCCTCAACAAAATACCACAGACGACTCTGTACGAAGTACAACTTAACCAGCTTTCCTGCCCTGTCCCCTAGCAATTTTGCTAAGGATCAATCGGAACTGAGCCGGGCGTGTCCAGCTGTACCCTGTGCTATGTTTGCAATTGGTGAGGTGCGGCTACGGTGATCGTCGCGCAACCGGGCAGCCCCTTGGTACTTCTCACATTCCCCTTGGTCATTCTATGTTTGACGGCAACACCTGCAATGTCATTAAAGTCCCTCTTTTGCCTAGGCCAGCGTCTCACAGGCAGAGCTGGTACCTATCGAATTACACAGCAGGTTTCCGAGTTTGTATATCTTGCAGCGTTCGTTACTGTCACCGGTCCGACTACACCATACTAAGAGGCCTAGAGATCAACGCGACAGTCGCGTCGTCGTTAAAAGCGTTGAAGGACATTGGCGTCTTCATAATGAGAGGGATATCCTCAAGCGCTTTCAGCTTCGCGCCCCTACTCTGCGCCCCCTCTTGGACGAGATTCAAGAGCCGGTGGAACCCCCGGCTATAATCCTCAAGTACCTTGACGATGATGTGACAAGGGCATCGAAGAAACAGAGACTCACCCGGCAAGAGATCAAATCTGTGGCCAAGAATGTGCTGGAAGCTTTGCAGGTGCTTCACGAAAATGGCCATGTTCATACCGGTACATACCCATGTCCTCACAGCTTCTTTCTCTGATAGCGTAGACATCAAACCGAGCAACATCCTAGTAAACTACGGCAGTGGAGAGCGTCGATTCTCCGAAATACAATTAGCGGACTGCGGAGGAGCTGTCTCGGTCGATTCGGAGTTCGCCAAGGATGGCGTCCTGACTGGAACGAGTGTGTTTCGCGCTCCCGAGGTGCATCTGGAGATGCGATGGGGCACGGCCGCCGACATTTGGAGTTTCGGCGTGACGGCGAGTATTCTCACTTCCTGAATAGTTGGCAGCGCTAATACTAAGTAGTTGATCAACCTCATCTGGGGGTACAACTTCCACCTGTTCGAGCCGGATGTACCAGAAGGGCACGAGTTGTACGACGTCAAGATTCTGGTGCTGCACCATCAGTGGTTTGGGCCCTTTCCCATCTCGTACAAGGAGATTGCCGACCAGGAGACACAAGAGAATATCATGCGCATCATGTCGGTTATCCCACCCGAGAAGCTTAAGCCATTTCGGTATCTGCGTGAACGGGAGATTTGCGATGCGGACAAAAGGTTTGTTCTCAAAATCATGCAGCTTGACCCAAGGGATCGTCCTACTGCCAGGGAGCTTCTGGAGGATGAGTGGTTCACCGAGCGATCAGACAGGACGGTGGGGTGGTATTCCAAGCAGGAGTGGATGCAGATGAAGCATGGTAGCAAATAAAGAGTATGAAAGTGGACAGCCTACCACGCCGTAGGTAAAGTTGTTATGCTGGCACTCTGGCGGTCGGAGCGGTCGGCGGCAGTCATGGGCGGTACTTTGCCACGACTCTGTTTCAACGTCTCGCTGACGGTGCCTGGTGAGAAATAGGCGAGTGGCTAGCCGGTGGAGTCGGCTGTAGCTGGCAAAGTCAACCACGACAGGTGTATGTCTAGAGAGTTTTTCAGTGATCAAGTTGTCCTCCGGATGTCTGTCCGCTTGTAATTTCCAGAGTACTCGCAATTAAATGCCAGCTAATCCGACATGCATCAGGCTGGCCCAAACACAGTGGTATGATCAAGTCCCATTCAGAGCAGATACCGACCGGTGCCACTGCTGTGTTGTGGTTGATGACGGAGACGGGCCCGCGGCATGGGACGATCCGGACCCATTTGCTAACACTGAAGAATGACGGGGCACCAGTTTCATCCCTTATTGGCGAAAACTTCTAGGGGTGGAGGCATGGGGTTACCCACCCTTGCCGATAGCCAGCAGGGTTTTCTTCATTCTCGTTCAGCTTTCACGTAGATGGGCTCGTTTCCCGACAGAAAAGGGGAAGACCAGCCAGGCAGGGAAGAGGATTAGCCACGCAGGGTAAAAACAGGGAACAGGATGGCTGCCAATGCCCAGGGGTTGACCTGGATAGTTATATCAAATAGTTTCCTGCTAGTTCCCCCATGTGTGTGATGTGCCAGTGCTATCGATTTCCTCCATTCGACCGATATCCCCACTACTCCGTAGTCAGCTGAAAATGAATGCAAGGGTTGATGCCCGTGTTCGTGGAGGGCTGCCACTGGCAGGGAGTAGTATCCGGCGGTCTCCAGGAGAAACTTGGGTCCGACGTGCAGTTCTTCAGGATGAGGCCAAGGCACATGGCGGATTAGACTCTGGGCAATGACACTGGATCCGCCGAGGTGCAGAAGCTAGATAAAGCGAGAAAGGCCAGCGTCGATCAACTGCGCAGGCGTTGCCTTCTTCGGGGATAGACAGTGTGGATGGCCATGTGTCATCCTCATGGTTGCTTTCTTCAATTCTTCAGCAGTCGTGGATCGAGGTGCACGGGGGCACTAAACTTTGATCCCGGTCAGTCACAGTTGGGGGGAAAGCTGGGGAGGCAGCAACTGGCAAGCCCGCCAGCAAGACTAGTACTGCGGCTGGCCCCGATAGGCTGTAACCAGCAGAGACCTCGTAGCGAGCAGACCAACCGTATTGGCGCAATTCCCCCGGCCAGCGATCCTGCTGCATCCCCAGCGACCGCCACTTAGCCTGTGCTACCGTGCTGGACCCCGGTGATCCATCCTCCAAGACGTGAAGCCCGACTGACTCGGGCACTACGGTTGGCGAATGGTGGGAGCAAAACGGTCATCCCGCATGGGTCCAACTTGACCTCTTTCATCGGAAGGGTGGCTCATGGCTGCAGGCACCATCCATCCATTCACCTTGACTCCCCGGTCGGTACTTTGGTCACCGGTACTAATCTCGAGCCGATCGCACTTGTGGGATAGCCGCCGCCTTTCTAGCTCATCTTTGGCTTTATTTTTATCGTCATCCTTTTGTCGTCACCCCTTCCTCGTTTTCTTTTTTTTATCTGGCCCCTTTTTGTTCTGGAACGTCGCATCTTGCCTGGGGTCGACAGCGGAGTGGGGATCGGATTACTGCTCGGCCGCACCGCACTTCTTCTCCCGCCATCCATCGTCCCGCCCGTCCTTTTTCACCACCATGTGTTCCGACCGCTCTCCTCCCCAGGACTCCAGCTTCATCGAGGCCGATGTTCGTCCCATTCTCCTCCTATTCTTGCAGCTTTGGACTAATCCTCGCAGAGCTTCAGCGACAATGACTCCACCTATCCCGGCTCGTAAGTTCCTACCCGCGACCTACCCGACGCGGTTCCACGGTGCTGACCGCGATCAGCCTGGGCGATGCCAGCTACACCACCAGCATCACTTCTAGTGCCATGAATTATGCGTACGTTTCTCCGCCTGCTGCGATGCCATTACTGACCCTGGCAGATATGAGGTACACAGAATCCGACCCCCGATGAGCCTCGGCTAAGTTCGCAGAACGGTCGCAGATACCATTCCTACCACGAGGGCGAATACATCCTGGTACGCCATCCGACCTGATAACAATTCCCTTGCTGATCTCACAGCCCAACGATGAACAAGAACAAGACCGTCTCGACCTGGTTAGTCGCATTGGATACAGCAGGGGACAGGGTTGACGGGAGCAGAGCCACCACATTTATCGCATGCTCTTCAAGGGAGAGCTGTGTCGAGCGCCAATCCAGAACCCCGCCCGCGTCTTGGACATTGGAACCGGAACGGGCATCTGGGCCATTGACTTTGCTGAGTGAGCGATGCGATACCTGATCCCTGATGATGGCAAGCACTAATGCGTTTAGCGAACACCCCGAGTCCGAAGTGATCGGTAAGAGGATTGCCGCGATGTCGGAATGATCACTGACGAGACAGGCAACGACCTCAGTCCCATTCAACCATCATGGTAGGTGTTCCCGCTGGATAGTGGGCTTGACTGACCGCGCAGGATCCCGCCGAATTGCCGATTCGAGGTCGATGATTTCGAGCAACCGTGGTCCTACAGCAAGCCGTTCGATTATATTCACGGTCGGGAATTGGAGGGATGCATTCGCGACGTCGACAACCTCTTCCGCCAGGCGTTGGAGAACCTGAAGCCTAAGGGATGGATGGAGATTGCGTCAATGGAGGTCAACACATACTCGGACGATGACACACACTTGAAGGCGAAGACGCTGCTGGAGGGCATTGTATATATGCACGACTCCGCCCGGGAGTATGGGAAGGACCTGGCCAGCGTGCACTCATGGAAGGATAAGATGGAAAAGGCGGGTTTCGTCAATGTCCGAGAGGAAATCTTCAAGGTGGGTTTCCCGTGCCGTTTGAGGATCAGCATTGACGGTCGCAGCTCCCACAAAGTCCTTGGCCGAAGGATCCTAAGATGAAAGACCTTGGTCGGTACCACCAGGTTAACATGTTCGAGGCATTGGGACCATACTGCTATGCGCTGTTCACACGGGTGATGGGCTGGCAACGACCGGAGATTGAGGTGTTTGTGGCAGGCATGAAGCAGGAGCTGCGCGATTTGAATTTGCATTTGTATACCAAGGTGCATATAGTGTACGGGCAGAAGCCAGAATAACGTCAGCACTGGCTTTCAGTCATGTGATGATTGCTGTTATGCCTAATAATGTTATGATGAACATGTGCTGCTCCAGACTTGCCACCAATATTGGGTGGTCTGAATCCATCCCTCTCATTCTCCAGTACTAATCCTAGCAACCAAGTGCGCTAAGAAGTACATTCCGTAGTCTACACGACGAAGGTCAAATACATACAATCCATACATCTTTTCCAGAAGTATACAATCCGCAATGTACTCTGAACCCTTCTTTCCAAACATCTCCACAACCCCAACAAAATAAACCCAAATTGCGACCCTGCAAGATCTCCTGCTAACGCTCATTCCACAAACAGCAACAGCGAAACTTCGATCCAGCACCTGTTCCGTTAATTATAACCCACAGTCGTTAAAAAGGTGGCTTACACCCCGCTATGCCAACGACTCAACGCCATCCCATCATCCAACCCGATGTCTCCGAAGTATGCCTTATCTAGCCGGCTAGAAGACTAGATCCGACCATGAAAATAATTCCTATTCCTCGCATAATTAGTTTGAACCCAGCTGTATTTATGCTGATTGGGGCACTTACCATGATGCCAACCAAACCTAATGGACTGGTGGCCTGGTCATCGATCTGTTTCACGTTGGCTGTGATTCCAGGCAGTGTAGTGTACCCTGCGAAGTTGGAGTTCACTAGTAAGACAGCTATGAATCACTCGCCCTCGGCCGAAGGAATAGTCCCAGCCAGATTATTTCAAGGAGTGGGTGATCTAACAGGCTAAACTGCGAATTGTTAACATCCGCTGAAGGGCACTGATGGTATCGCCTATGGAATAGTTCCGGGTTTAGGTTTCAGATCGACTTGCATAACAAAGGACTCGAAGAACCAAAAAAAAAAAAAAAAAAAGATGCCGAGGAGTATCGGGTGGGGAAGCTCGTACCTCCCATCATGGGAGATCAAAGTCACTCGTCCACTGCCAGGAAGTAGGTGGCCACAGGCCGTCGAGAAATTCAGAAACGTCTTAATGGTGTACACATTCTCAGTGTCTATTAGGACCAGAGAAAGATCAAAGTAGCCAAACTCCTGGTAGATGGGTTAATACAGCATCATGATATTACTATAATAATTAATATCACCAGATAAGAAATTAAGACGGTAACAAAGACTCGAAAAATGTTAGAAAATATTCATCCAAATCATACAACTCTGGACTCTCTCAGCTTCATTCCGGAAGAAACCTAGAGTAAAGAGCAGAATATAGGAGACCTCAAGCTCTCCAGTAAGAGGACCGGTAAGATTATTCTTATCACAGATACCAGTAATAGCACAATAACCTCCATTACAATTGAGACATTCTGTTCATAGGTAACTTTGTTGGCGCGATGCTGATTCCACATCCAACGAAGCGAGATCGTCGACCGAATCACCAAAACCAAATCCCAACCAGCACCGACGATATCTGAGCATCGATGAGCGTCTGCTCCTCAGAGGCAACAGAATAACGGTAAGTAATCAAGAACCCTCATTTACAGTTCGCACAGCTACTACCCAGTGTTTTGAGGGTCGTATGGTGTGTTCGTGAGATGTAGCTTCGTATAAGACTAAGACTGCGTTGAGGTCTAGTTTTGGTTCTTGTCTAAGCGTTGCAGGATATATGCACATATCCATGATGGATCCATGCAAAGATGGTGACGAGCGAGATAATGATGTTTTCACCCTGAGGCTCTCTCTCTCATTGACGATTTTCCTTTCGCCGTGTTAGGGAAAATAGATGGATCATCTTCGGGCAGGGTAATAAGTTCGTTGGTCGTCGTTATGACAGACTGATATACCCAGGTACGGGGATCTCTATGGTGACCGATCAAAGTATCGTTGCAATTACCTCTTCATCTTGTTGGTAGCAGTGGGATATTAATCGATGGCTGTGTCACATGTGTCACATGTTGGATGTAGGGAACTAAGACGTATAACTTCCCGTTGCAGATCATTTGATGCATACTCTCAATGCTATCCAGCTTATGATATTCACACACCGTGGCATTTATCGTCAAAGATATAACTTGGTCTTGTTTCCACTTCGGTTATGTTTGAGGTAGTTGAATGGAACATGCCAATCTCGACATCAGCTTCATCCGATCCAAGAGCAGCGCAGAGTACGATCCTCTTATTATGTTAATGGATATGTCCATATAACCACCACACAGCCATCGGCTGCCAAGACTTTAACACTGCGGAAGACATCATTCCTGGTAGATGCTGCATGCTCATGAAAAGCCCCATCATAGGTGAAACTCACTGTTGTTATCTGGATAATCGCCCATGTGCTTGCCGGGCATGTATATTCCCATGGACTCGGATACACCAGCTTCTATCCAGTGTTCTTGATTTGGAACACACCTTCGGTGCTGCGTATCATCTAGTTATCACCAAAAGCATAAGGAATGGCCTGATATCTGAAACGAGATGAATCAGCTAACCCGTCGTTAGCAGCTTGTTTGTTGAATCGTCCTGTTCAGCAGACATTCGCGCAAGTCTGACCGCACTTTGACACCATTGTGGAACGAGGAATGATTGTGTCTGGTAAATGGTATGGTATATATGTGTGTTCTTGCAGAGTTATACGATACGCTTCTTCTCGGTGGCTTTGTTGAATATGCCCCACGAGAAAATATCCACACATGCGACCTTAAATCTACAGAGCGTATTGTAGATTTCCTTCGGACTCGTTCTTGAGCCGCAGCGTTGTTGGATGCGTATGCTCCAAGCTATTTCCATACCTCCTTTGCCGAGTCAATAAAAAGGGTGATATATCTCGCTCATCCCCTAGCCTCATTGAGACCACCATAACCGGATGCAGACCTTCGATCACGCTGTTTCCATGTCGACGTCGTGATGATACATTTATGCTGGAGTTGGGCGAACGCCAGTCTGAACCTGGTTCGGTACTGATGGACGGCTTGGGGTTCGAGATACTGTCGTTATTTCTTGGACTAAGGATTGGCTGTTGTAGTGTGGGCTAATCGGTGAGGAAGATGTCGTTGGTTCGGTACAAGCGCTAAGTTAAGCGAAGTAATGTCGGATGCGATGGTGATTGATCCTGAGAACGACTTTGGTATTGTCCGGATTTGGTTCATCCTTTTCGTTGGACAAATTGGTAGGTTATAGATCTCCGGCTGTACTAATTCGATATATTTGCGGTTGACGGTATAAGACAAGGCCCGTATTTTGAAGATTCCATAGACGCCATGAATACAGTACCAGTGATATCTGGAGAACACCATACTCCTTTCTAGGCGAAGAAAAGCTGTCACAGAGATGAAGAGTTCACCAGACCCTGTAAAGTAGAGTATATACCTTCCCGGATGATTCGAGGTATATCCCTGCAGCGATAGAGACCACATAAGGACACCTCAAGCGAGCGAGCGAGCGTGGTTATGGCAGAGCGGGGGTGTGTAGCACCGATTCGATACGCTTTGGGTGGGATGATTGGAGTTTAATCTGGTCCACGCGGGATTATCTACGCGAAGACAATGGAGTATATAAGATCCGTCGGATGAATATGGTTGAGGGGTGGCACGAAAAATGGATGAATTAAAGGCGGAGGTGTCGATATTTACCACGGCCTTGTTGTGGTGGATATAGATGTGGGATGTTTATATGGCGAGATAAGGAGTGCCTCGATAGGCTCTATATTGATGCTTTCGTAACGGATGGGGATTAGGAAGTGGAGTGGACGATTAGAAGGTATATATATGAGGAATAAATAGGGTGGTTCCTGTAAGCAATTTCTTCTGTCGGCATCGTCCAACATATGAGTGGATATGATGTTGCCTAGGCTTTTTCGGGGTGTTTCGTTTCGGTAGGAAGAGGAAGAGGATGATTGAGGGTGTATAATTAGAACTCTGATTTTTATATGAGGGTGGGGCAATTGAATTACATCGAGTCATATGGAATGATGGAGTCAGTGTAGGGTTGAATGGGGGTAGTGATGCTGTTCAGATCTATCCGTCACATATAGGTAGTGATTAGGGTGTATTCCACACTAGCTGGCTATGAATAGGTCGGCTTCTTGAAAACTATTCATCTGACTAGCAGGAATGACACTGTATTCAATACGCTGATATTCATCCCGAAATCCAGTCTTTTTGATAGTGCCAAGAGATACTTTCAATTACCAAGAGAGAAATTTGAATATTCCAGCTGTATTCATAATCACCATGCATTCACGCTGCATTAGAATACACCCTCCGTAACTGCACACTCTCCGTCGACCCAACCTTATGCTCCTTACCTACCGAACCCAACACCTTAGACGGATGCAGCACACTCATAACCACCATAGCAAAGAACATCAACATCGCATCAAAAATATAACTGAACGCCTCGTGACTCATAATATACCCATCATTACCCCCCGCATACTCAATCATGCGAAACACCGACCGGATCAGAATGAGTATACTGGCGATATACAACCCCACCATCGTTGTCTCCCAATTCGCGGTGCGCCAGCCCATACGCGCAATGCTCGTGGATCGGGATATTTGGGTAGGGTTTCGGTGAATCCTATAATGGAATAGAGTGGCCACTACCACGAAGACGCTGAAGAAGATGAGCTGGATGGCTAATCCGCCCATGATGACGTTTTCGCCGGTGGTCATTCCGCTCGCGGTTCCGGTGGACATGAGGCCGCCGCCTGAGAGGTTAGTGTGGTTAGGAGAAATATGGATGGATCGTACCGGCGCCCTGCATGAGGAAGGATAAGACGTCGCCCGTGACGAAGATCATAGTCAGCCAGCGGATCGGGACCAGGCTGAGACTTTCGGCGTCCACGTAGGCGATGAGTCGGCCGAGGGTCATGTAGATTGTTGCGGCGTATAGAGGCGGTGCGAGCAGGATGAGAATCGCTTGGATGGCGTAGATCGATACACTTTGGGTGTTGCTGTGTGCCACTGCCCGGGCGATGTACCCAATGATTTGAACTATCTGGGGTCAGCATAAATCATAGTAGTACCCTGAGGCACCCTACAGATCCCGCCTAGTATGAAACAGGTAAAATACCAGGCCCTCGCTTGGACCATTTGGTAGACATGGTAGGCTGTGATGAGGATAAACAAGATGATGAAGAGAATGGCAGCGGCCAGCGATGGGGTGTACCGGTAGAGCTCGTATGAGGTACTCATCGTGGCGTACACCGTCGATCGCCCATTTGCCTACTAATGTTCTCGGTCCATGATCTGGGGATGCCTCGCATTTATTGCATTGATCTCCTGAGCATGGTTAATCTTAGATCACAGTTGATCTGATCGGAGCCTAAGCTACGCCGCGTCAACCGTTTCGTTCTCGCATTCGCTTTTTCACTGGCCATTGGCTGTGCCTGATGCCCGGATGGTGGAGACGATCGGACCTCAGACACCGCAACTCCGATGTGAAGTTGCTGCGCAAGATACGGAGTACGGAATAGATATATGAGATACGATTAATGAATTGCACCGGCAGAGGCAATGCCGACTGCCGACGCTATATTTGGGCCTGCGGAGACTAGGCTTTAGCGGCTCCACTCGATCCTTTGCTCGGACGCGTCGCTTCTCTTCTTGTCGTCGTCGTCTCTCGTTCTCGTTTTCGTCCTCGTTCTCGTCCTCGTTCCCGCTCTCGCGTATCGTATATCTCGCACTCGAAGTATCTGTGAAATTGTGCACCTCATCTCCGCACCAGAATGCCTCCTCGACGTGCTCATACGAAATCTCGGAACGGATGCGACCAATGCAAATCCCGTCGAGTCAAGGTGCGTCCCGGGCCTAGAAGGTGAAGAATCCGGCTCACCCCACAGTGCGACGAGGCCTGTCCTTGTGCCAACTGCGTCAAACGACACCTGACCTGCACCTTTGAACGTCGTCCCAAACCCGGCCCGAGTCCCCTCAGTCTGTCCGATCGCTCGTCCGACTCGCCAGCCCTGTCACTGCGGACCGACAATGCCATCGGTTCCTTTCAGCATCAGGTGGCAGATGCGTCTGCCTTTCTCCGCGAGTGGGGCGCACAGGACCCCGAGCTGATGCACCACTACTGCATCTATACCGCCAAAACCATGTCGGATCGGGAGGCGATCCGCGATGTCTGGCAGATCGAGGTGCCCAAGATCGCCTATGCGTATGAGTTCCTCATGCACGGCATCCTGTCGCTGTCCGCGCTGCACCTGGCCTACACGCGGCCCGAGAAATATAGCCACTATCTCAACACCTCCAACTTTCACATGGCCCTCGGGCTGCAGACTTTTCGCATCATCCTGCAGACGCCAACCGAAGAAAATTGTCGCGCTCTGTTCTGCTTCTCCAGTTTGATTATGGTGTGGACCTGCGGCGCACCGACCGACCTGGGTGATAGTCGTCCTCTAGAGAGCGTCATCCGGCTGTTTAACCTATGCCGGGGCATCATGACGCTTCGACCATTCATGCCGCATGTGGAAAACAGTACCCTGGCCCCTTTGTTCCTGCGCGATTTCCGATTCGAGGCCCGTCCGCCCCAGTAAGCCCCCCCGCCTATACGGTTCCACCCATGCTAATGGCGACAGGGACCATGACCAACCTATTCTATTCCCCGGGATCGACAATCAGCTGGAAGGCATCCGACGGCTGATCGCGTCCGAACCTTTGAGCGAGCAAACGAGACTCGTCTATCAGCACGCAATCGAAGGTCTCGAGAAATCCTTCTGGCGGCTGCAGACTTGTGAGAAGCCCGCACAATGCGGGATGATCTTCTTCTGGCCGATTAGCGTGCGCGATGAGTTTGTCGGATTCCTGGTGGACAAAGACCCCATTGGACTGGTGCTGCTGGCGCAGTATTGTGCACAGTTGTACCTGTTTCGGGGGTACTGGTTTGTGGAGGACAGTGCGCAGGAGCTGCTCGGTGGGGTGGCCGCGGCCCTGCCATCGAGACTGACTCCTTGGCTGCAATGGCCAAGACAATATTGCTCGAGTGGTCGCCTGCCTGTGTGACTTGGCAGGTGTCCCTCTGTCCCTTTTTTGTTGGTAGCGACCATCGCGGAGGGCTCGGGCCTTGGCGGTGCCTAGCCTGAATTGGTAAACCCACCACCTCAGGCCATCATCCCAGGCATCCAGCATCCAGCACCCCTTTCCTGGTCATCACCATGAGGATCCATCTCATCTCAGTTGTCCTGGCCGCCATCGGCTTGTCTCTTTTGGGTGGGGGTGAGTGTTCCTTGCTATCTCCGACCGTCTGCTAACGGATCCAGCTGCGCTGCTCTATCCTTGGAAAGCCCCGGGTGGCAATCTAGCCTTCTGCGCGGATTGCCTGGCCTATGTGAGAGATGTTGAGGCCATGTTTCGCGAAAATAACAGAGCGTGGGCCAATCAGCAGTTCTTCCGATACGCTCTGGACAAGTCCTGCCACGGACAGCTCCTAATCAGCGGCCACTGCCCCCAATATCGGCGGAGATTGCTGGAACAGCCCGGGCGGTACATGTCGCAGCTGGATCATCCCTATGAGGCCTGTCAAGCCATTCAAGCCTGTAAATAAAATGGCGTTGTGCTTCTCTTGATACCTGCTACGATGATAGTCATCACCTGTGATATACTTGCTTGAACATAGCAAGCCTCAACTGTGACATGTGAATCCAAAATCTGGCCTACTGGATCAAATCCCAGAATGCATTCTCTTTCACCGGTGATACCCAAGCCATGCTGTGGCGTTCTGGAGTGATGTATCTGAGATGAATTTCTATCGCGAATCCAACGGCACGGACCGCCCGAGTGACGCCCTTCAGTGACGAGCCTATACTTCTCGAACAGTGAGGCCATTTGAAGACTCCTGCCTATCGATTCACGAAGAGTTCAGTCACGGACGGTCATTCAAGTCTCCATGGCTGGTTATAAATACTACCTATTCCCCTGATCCTCCCCTCACTTTTTTCTCACACAGTTTATCCATCACCCAGCCAGATGTTCCTCTTTTCTACTACTATCCCGCCAAGCGAAGAACAATCCTAGCAACCGTGAAATTTAGAAGGATCATGGTCTTTCATAGCTTGGTGTCTATATTTTATGTTTTACTATAGTTTTTCACTTTCGGCTTGAAGCCAGCTTACTGGGTGATTTATCTCATGTTGTTCTGTCTCCAGTGTACCCAGAGCGGACACGCTATTGTAGCAAAATGTGCTACACAATCGACACCACTGGGGTGGTTGTCACGGCGATTGCATTGTCTATTCTATCGGTGTTACCTTTTTCACCTTTCTTTTCCTATTGTTCGTGTTGTTGACATCCTCTGTGGTATTGTTTGCTTATATTCCTTCGACTGCAATCTACCTGGTGGCTGCTATGAAAGAGGCACTTATATGTCTGTCATACTCTACGACAGACCCTCGACGGGATCTGTTTCGGCACATGCATCTGCTTTATGCCGCGGTCTATCGGTCTGTTGTACCTCCTTGAAGCCAGTTCAAAGGTTTACAAAGTTTTCTTTGAAGTACGCGTTCCGTCGGGCGATTTACCATGCCGCTGACCAATGACGCCTTGGATTCTTGTGCCCATGACCTTCTGCACCCCTGTATAGATCGCAGCGACTGGGGGAAGCAAAATGGACCACTTGGTCTTGCCTTCCAGTCGACCGTGCTGGATTATTGTCTGCAATCACCAATAAACCGACACATTGTCTTCTAGCCTGTAGCACATAGCACTGCAGAAAGACACGGTATCGAAAGTCATGCCGTTTTGGGGATCAAGGGGCACCTTGGATATGAATTCAGATGCCTACGGTGTCTGTGGAAATTGTCTGTTCTTTTCCCTGCGAAATTACGACCAACAATTTGTCGCAGACCCATTAATTACCGCGTTCGATGGACGACAAAAGGGTGATATCTCACCGTGGGTGGAACTTCGACATTTCGAGAAACCAAGCCTGTCATACCTGTGATCTGGGTTGTATGGTATCAGCTGAACGGATGACCTTTTCTACTGGCTGTGTCTGTTGCTGTCGGTTCTGGAACTATTCCTTGTGGGCGTGGACATCAGATGATGCGCTCCGTTGGGCAATATTTCGCTCTCTTCTTCTACTTGACGCGGTTGATGCACATGCTCTAAGGCTGCTTGCTGGGCGTCCTCGCTCATTGCGCGACTGGGACGGATCGACGTCTACGCAATGACACATGAAGACCTATATATGCGCTGGAAAGACTTCAAAGAATGGTCTGTTGGATTCCAGACTGCCGTCTCAAAGTGTCGCTGTCTCTCGGGCATCGGTTCCGTGTTGGAGATGTCTCACAACAGGATCACTGTCTGCTCCTCAGGCTAGCTTCCGCAAGGATAATGGACGACAGCATAAACGTGGAAGTGATCGCGGTTAACGGCCGCGTCTCGAGTCCCGAACGACAATGTCGACGCCGTCTTAGGTGGACTCTAATCTACTGGGGCATATTTTCTTGCTCAGATATGACCTCAAATCAATTAACGTCTGATTTAATCCTCCTATGAATTGGGAATGCCTGCTCCGGCATCTACTTCCGACCTCGACGCTTCGCTCGGGATGAACGAAGTCGACAGACGGGCATCGCAAACGGCAGTCCGTCATAGCTCAGGCTGTTGCAACGACAACCTCTTCGCAACTCTCATGAACTCTGACAGATCTTCGACGGAATGGTGGGTCTTTGTGATGCCTGCAATCGGTTCAGCTGGCTGCTGCCAACGGAAAGCCTCCTTCCAACCCTGCATACTGGCTTTCTGCCGGTTTCACTGCCATCTACCGCTTCAACGACGAGGAAGAGTGGCCTTCCATCATGCTGCTATCCCGGCACATTCGGGGTCTTCCAGGATCCTGGCTGCTGTGCCTCCTTCGGCCCTATCTATCGCTGTTATAAGCCACTGGGGGCTCATGTCTATGTTACGCCAGAGTCTACTGGTAATTGAGGCTTTGGGGATTGCTTGAAGCATCACCGAAGAAGCTCTCTACACTCTACCAGGGTAAACGGTTACCGAGCATGCCGATTGAACGACAAAGACATCTGTCGGGCGCGTCGAATGTCCCTAATACAGTGTTGGCGCCAGTTCTCAGCTGTCAGCGCTGGATGAATACGGTTAAACAGCAAGCAGTCACCCCACCAATACCCTGTCGAGCACGATGTGTTTATGGCCCATCATACAGCATTGTTCACGTGTCTAGTCCAAACAGGGTTCTACCATTCCCTGCTCTGAGGCAGAGCAAAGTTATTCGATTTATATGGCGATGTGCAACCGACAGCGGAAGATCATGCGGCCACTCACAGCTGGGAAAGAAAGCGGGAGACAACCTCGTACCGGGGATGTTTCAGCTACAACTGCACCCATAGATTCCCGAAAATCTCCTCAAAGTATCAGTCTTGAACAAATGGTTTCATTGTGGCTGTCGGTAGCGGTGCTGCCATACATGCCTTGTTCTAATCTGCAATCCGAAAGCATGTTGGCGGAGTGCTCATGAGCTAAAATGGGTCATCTCAGTGATATCATTCGTTTCACCTCATTTGGTGACTCCTCTTTCTTTCTTCATCCGCCGAGTCGTCTCAGGGGACTGGCAGACTCGTGACTCGCTGATGGTTAACTCTGAGAGACCTCTGGGCCACTACCGACTTTATGCAGCATTAAGCACATCTCGTCGACGCCTGGGACCTTATTGCGCTTGGGATTCTGGTGATTGGACAGCTCCTGGCACTGGTGTGATGTCTCGGAGACTGTTCAGTTTCGCAATGGCCGACCAATCGTTTTCTGGCTACTTCTTGGCTCAAGACTGGCCCAATATTAGGAGGGCACTCATAGCAAACCGTTGGTATTAGGCAGGCACGTGAAGGAGCACATGGTTGACAAGCACAGAATGTGGTCGACTATTCCAACTCGGATACAGAAGCAACAAGATCTGAAAATCAATGGCCTCTACGATCTTCCGGCCTCGATCATCCTCTCACTACAAGAGCATCAAGCTATATACAGCACCTAGAAGGTATCCCAACCGTCCTTTGCTGACATTTTACATCATGGCCTCTCATCGAGGTTCTCCATCAAATGTATTGCGTCGAACCGCGTACGAAAATGAGGCTGTGCCTCTGCATCACCCATATAAGACACAACACAGGCGATCCATCCATATGTCCAGCCTCAGGCAAAATGCACGCATATTCCACACACCGTCTGGTTCCCGACCGACTTTGTCACAGAGGATGAATCCATCGCGGTACGTCTGGTTCCAGTTCTGATGCAGTGGACAAGAAACAAACAATGTCGCCCCGTGATGGTTGATCTCGAACATCTGCTTTTATATATTTGAGTATCATCGCTGTGTTCATGGCAGTCATACAGAGAAGAGACGAGACTGCAGTGGTCGTTTGGTCGATAATCCCGCTTAGGGATTCCACAAGGGCACAGCCCAATGCCACATACCGAAAGCATTGTGGCGATCAATAAGCGACACAAGAGATGCAGCGCATATGGCAGACGGCAAAATGCTGACTGCCCGGTGGAAGGCCACAATGCACACTTTCTGTGTCCGCCGTGGGACGAATCAACTGGGGCAATGGCATCCGGGATCTATTCGTCTAGTTTCCTGGCGGAATCCTAGACGGTTGGGCCTTTCTGATCGCCCTTGGACTCATGGGCCTATTCGACAAGCCTCCACAGGATTGTCGTCCACTCTGTCTATCCAGCATCAGGATGACATCTACAAGTCATGAACAACGCGAGATTGTTGCCGATGGCTGGCTGTATTATCGCCGGTCTGGATAAGCCTCTACGCAAAAATGTCGAAAAGGATGTTCTGCTCGATCAGGCCTGTATATCTGCTCGCTATCCACGCAGCTGAACTGGAGGAAGAACACCCAAGCCGTCGGCTATCTTACTCGTTTCATGAGTGAATGGGAAAGAGTAAAACAAATTGCAATACCTAAACACCTCAAAGATGATGCCTATAGCGTTTGTTCTCTATTTTCCCTTTCTTGTAAGGTATCTACTAATTGGATGGCAGTATATCAGGAATGAGCTTACTACAAAGTACGGATTGAGCGCCAAACATAGAGAGAAATACCCTGTGACACGGGTAGACCTTAATATTCTGATTCAACATCTTTACACAAGTGATACGCATGATTATGTGCATGAACGCGGTCGTTTTCAACAAGCCTTTGGCCTGTCACTATTTTCCTCTTCCGGGGCCCGAGCAGGCGCTATTGTTGAATCTAGTGCCTACCGGGACACCAATGAGGCTCTTTATTATCAGGTAAATTAAACCAACTGCTTAATGCCTCTATGGCACCTCTCCTGGAACATGAGGTGGGATGCTGGAGAGAATGTCAAATATTGGGTTACGATCAGGCCAGAGTTTCTAAAGGGTCATCGTTATGACGATGAAACCATTCTGTACGGGTTTTGCAGGGATGTTTGCTCTACATTTGATCACTACTAACAGAACATAGGCCTAAGAATTGGATCGGAGAGCAAAAGATTCTTGGAAGGAATTTTGTTTACTGGCTGATGGTATATGGTATTGCCGACAACGCCTTTAGGGGCATTCAATCTTTAGATGAGTTGCTTGCAAAGAAACCTCCTAAAGGTCGAGATTCGTGGACTCTATAGGTGCCTGTTTCTGGAACGAAGAGGCAGACTATGAATCGCATGCTACGGAGCAAAGTATGGCCCATCACCGCGATACTAACTCTCCTTGCAAGGTGGATGCTGCTGCCGTTGCTGAAATAGAGACGGATTCTGAGATGCTTGGAATCTACCAGAAGATTGATGAGCTTACCAGAAGGATTGCTGGTCGACCTCATGAGAATTCACTTCCGGCCGCTGAACGAGCTGTATGGTACAATAAAGCAGCTAAAAAGCGCCGTGCGAAGAAGCAAGATTTTATCAAGACCTGGTGGACGACATCGTACGATGAATATGTTGCGGGAAATAGTTTTGATGAGAGAGATACCACAAACCTTTTCGACATATATCGCAAGTACATGCCAGAAAGGGACCGGCTGAGCAAGAATCTTTTCACGTGTTTTGGGGAGAGGAATTTGGGGTTACCAGGGTTACAAGGCCACAGGCCTAGTCTTCCCAAGGGGCGAGCTCAGCCCGTAACATTTTTAACCCGTGGGTTAACAAGTCTAGCTGCTAATGTTCTGTTGCTGAGTTGGTGGTTGAAATGGATCGCCAGGTGGTGCTGATCGTCAGGTGATCACCCACTGTACGGTGAATTGCCGAGGGCGGTGGGAGCTGAGGTCATGACCCAAGTTTACGGTTCCAAATTCCAAACCGTTACCGCCCCCGAGGCCTACCTGTTCTGTAGAGACTATAGTCTAAGGTGCCTGCCAAGGGAAACCCCGGCCTAGTATTTATCTGTGTAGCAAAGCATTCTGTCATGTCTCGAGTGGAACCTACTCGAAAGCGGGTTTCATTAGCTTGCACCGTGTGCCGGAAGAAGCGAATACGAGTAAGTGCTCCACGTCGTCACAGCTGCAACCTTGCTAAAAACTCACTAGTGTGATGGTGCAAAGCCCGTCTGTGGTCGATGTGCCAGTGAAGAGGAGCAGTGTGAATATCGTTATGACGAAGAAAGACGCAAGTAAGTCCCGAAACTTCGAGGGAGTCGCACGCTATCGCCATCTAACCGCTGGGCTTGCCCAGACCGCCAAGTAAACAGCAGGTGCAGGCATTAGAGGCTCGGGTCCAGGCTTTGGAAGCCCAACTTCTTGAATATCAGGGGCGAGATAGACAGTTCCAGAATGACAGCTCTCGATCTCTACACCAGAAGAAGTATGCCATGCAGTCAGAGCCGGGTTGGCCTCCACATCTCAAGGAGGCTAGTATCAAGGATGACCTGGTTGACTTGATGGGAGGACTCAGTCTGGGAGAGGGCAATCAACTCCGTTATTTTGGATCTCGCAGTCATCTGAGTCTGGTCGAGCAGCAGGTAGACACTCCCGAAGATCCATCGTCCATCCATCTAGCAGTTTCAGATATAAAGCTCTCCGACATCTGGGGCACCCTTCTGCCCAATACTCAGGACAAGCTGCTGACAGCCTTCTGGAGGTGGCAAAATCAATGGCAATACCTCATTCACAAGGAGGCTTTCACCAGGAGTCTCGCCAGGGACGGAGAGGATGGGTATTGTACTCCACTCCTGTTGTCCAGCATCCTTGCTTTGGCATCCAGGTATGTTGACGTGCCTGAGACCCGTGTCGATGGCAGTGATCCGAGGACCGCTGGCGATGCCTTTGCACGGCAAGCCAAAGCGCTCCTCTTTCAAGAGATCGAGGCTCCTCGCGTGTCAACTGTGATTGCGGCGGCGCTTATCTCCCTTATGGAAATGGCAGTGGACAAGGAACCAGCAGGCTGGACCTATTTAGGTAAGTTGGCTATATGAGTTTCCGTTTCCGCTTTCTGAACCGACTTAAAACCCCCATTCACCCAGGCATTGCCATACGCATGGCGTATAATCTTGGTCTGCATATCGATCCCAGTCAGTGGGTCAATTCCGGATCTTTGACTGGCGAGGAGGCTGAACTACGATCCATTGCGTGGTGGGGATGCTATATGATTGAAAAGTACGTGCAGAAGTCCGCCCGAGACTGGATTTTTCTCCTGGCCAGGAAACTGACGAAATCACTAGATTATTTACCGTGGGAATCGGCCGGCCGAGTATCATTCTCGATCGAGATATCCAGGTTCCGCTTCCGCCTATCCGTGCAGCGATCGATTATCAGCCATGGGATGACAACGGCGAGTTCTTCCCTGATTCCCAACCATTCCTATCCTATTCTACAACAACCTTCCATTATGCGTGTCGAATTCTTCAGATGGTCGTGCAGCCACTGGACGACATGTAAGTCCCTCTCATATTGCAGAGCTACCCCCGTATCTAACACTGCCAGATATACTCCTAATAATTCCACATCCTCAGGCGAAAAGAAAAATATCATGACCAAAGCAACCGTCGAATTAACGTCCTTTTACAGCAATTTCCCAAGCATTCTTCGTCTTCCATCCGCTATAACGAAGCAGCCTGTTCCGCCCCATCTTTATTGTTTACAGTAAGTTGATGAAAGCCAAGTACTCGTGCACCTTAATAAGAATCGTCTTAGTATTCACTACTATACTTTAATCATCCTCCTTCATCGTCCGTTTATCGGTGTCCCAGACAGCTTCAACCTGTTGGATGGCCTTCTAAATAAGGCCTTGGTGTCTTACCATGAGACATGCAGCAAATCGGCTGAACAGATCACGCATCTGCTCCAGGTTTATTCCAAGTTTTACTCTTTGGTAAGTTCTCTTTGCCATCATTCTCCCAACCTAGTCATCGATTGATGGTGATGATAGCTAATGATCCCTTAGAGGAACATTTCCATTTCAGTCATCGACTCAGCCCGAACAGCTGCCATGATCCATCTTTTCAACATGACATCTCACGACCAGTTGATGCAAGACAAGTCCGAACGGCTCTTCATGCAAACACTCCATCTTCTCCAGGAAATGAAGACAGCATGGGGATGGGCAGAACGATCAGTCAGAACGCTAGTGTTGATCTCACGCAAATGGGGTGTCCACGAAGGATTACATAGGATGTTCCCGGGAGGCGAAAGGCAATCACTGTCCTCTCTTGATCCACCGTCGGCTTTAAAAGACCTCGATCCCTATGGTTTCATGGAGTGGCAGGATTTGACTTCTTGGGCCGAGCAAGATACTATTAACCCCGAGTTGTTGGCCATGCCTCCTGGGGATCAGCCCTGGCCGTTGGGAATATGATTTGGAGCATTGATCCACTTGTATAACCATCATTCTCTTTCTAGTGTAAGAAATACATAACTTCTTTGATTTTCGTTAACACTGGCTGCATTGGCAGTCCCACTGCCCGATTGAATGGTCTCTGCCCAACCGAATCTACTTGCGTACTTAGGACGGCTGCACCTCATACTTCTATCTCGAGATCGGCTCTTATATATTGCGAAATTGTATCTACAAGAATTCCTCCCATATGTGTCATAACTTTATTCACAAACCGCACTCTGAAAGCTGACTTTCGACGAACTTCATGCAAAGAATTTATAAGTATTGTAACTCCCCTTGTGTGGGACGATGGGCGGCCTCATCTTGTGTTAATTGGCAGAGAAGGAAGATACCGAGATCGAAGATACCGGTTAGAGGGTGATAACAACAAGACCTCCAGGTAGATAGTTTCCTTCTCCTTCTCCTTAGTCTTGATACCTTCGTTGAATGCACAGGATTGTCTCGATTTCCTTCTGGCTGTAACATTGCCGCCATTCTCGATAATGCAACATTTCTCTCGAGGAAACACTTTTCAAGAATTGACCCAAGTTCAGGCCTTCGTCAAGGCATTCGTATCCAAGAGAGCCCGGACAAAGGTCGTAATAGCGCGAACAGCAATAGTGGCTATCTTGTCACCATCACCGGCGTTGGGATCGAAGGAGCAGACAGTGAGCGACTGCGGGCTGGTGTCCATCCGGGGAACCATGTCCATACAGGCGATCAGGTCCTCCTCCATCATACCACCGGGCGAAGGGTAGTCGTTAACCTTGCCGTAAGACTCATCCAGAACATCTAAATCAAGATGAACCAGAGCTGGCCCGTACGAGCGGGCGGAAAGTTCTTGCTTCATTTGAGCGGCGAAGTCAACCTTGATGTCGGAGCGTCCCCAGACAGAGGTCATGCCGGCGTCGATGACACGCTGACGCTGCAGGGGGGACTGGTCACGCAGACCACAGTAGAGGAAGCGGCGGTAGGTCCGGGGCGAGTAGCCGGGGACAGTGTTCATGAGGGTCTTCCAGCTCTCTCCGCGGAGCATGGAGAGACCCATAGCGTCCAAATACCCGTTCTCGTTGACATCAGGCGAGTCTAGGTCATCATGGGCATCGAAGTAAACAAAGCCGAGATCATTGATCGGCAGACCACAGGCGGCAGCAGCGCTGGCCATGCAGTTCCCGGACAGAATGAGGGGAAAGCTGTTTGATGCCACAGCTTGGGAAACGGCGGTGGAAATGCGGCGGAGGAGTTCAAAGCTGCGACCAATTTCACCCTCGAAGCTGTCGACGTGGGGGATCTCGTTGAAGTTGATGGTCACGCCCAGCTTCTCGAGGGCCTCGACAACGCCCAGCGAGCGAATCCGGTGCGGGCCGTTACCAACACGGTGGTCACGGAATCCCACATGGTAGGGAGAAAAGATAATGGTGATCGAGGAAGCAGGCATTTTACTGAGAATGAAGAGAATGGTATGAGGGAAAGAAAGAAGCGCGACTCTGCAGTTGAATACCCGAAGTTTTGATTTTCCTTTTAACTGGGGCATAGCATTGAAATCGATGATTTACATCGGATGTGGGGCTGTATTGTCGTATTCGACCAACTTACTCGGCATGAGATGCACATACTGTGTAATTCCGAGTAAATTCAAGTAACCATACCGGATAACTGTAAATTACCAGACGTAACAAGCCTTGCCTAGGTGAAACCGCAGGCGACAGTCCCGCCCGGAATAGCATTATCCAGAGCTTTTCAAGATCCTGATTCCCCAATCTGTGGGTAGGGCATGATTTCACTTACTGTGCGGAGAATCTTGTTATCTCGTTACTAAGTTATGGGGAACGATTGGACTAAAACCCCCATCTCGGAGAACTTGGCTGGTGAAGTCACAGTTGGTCGTCTAGACACAGCCTTGATCCTTTTCTGTAGATGTTCTTGGACTGTGGGTACAGTAACTTATTTTGGGGACACGATGTAATAAAGTTTGTAGCGTGTCAGTCGACTGGCCCTTCGTGAATGGACTACATCAAAGCATTCGTACTTGCACGCTGACACCCACTAACATGAAGTGGCGGCTATGTGGGTGTAGAGTAGCAGATCATCCGGATAAGGTGGCGGATTTCAATAGCTATCTGAGAAGCACTGTTATTGAGGCCATTGTCAGGCTAGACTTGATCCGACAAATTAGCTTTTGAGATGAAAAAAAAAAAAAAAAAAAAGTTGATATGCAACTGGTCCACGTAATCCTTGCTGAGTCTCAGTCTTCCCCTTTGAAGCAAGTTAAGTAGTAAGGGTATGAATCCTTGTCTTACCTCATAGTCCTTAACCCCAGTCTCCACGTACTTATCACCCCAAAATTCCACAATTACTACTTCGGTCTCTTACCGTAAAGCGGCCTCACCCTATGCTCACCCGGGTGAAAAGGGCTAGGCCCTTTCAGCCATCCGGAATCGGAATATCTATGTTCCGACCCGTCTGGCCCTGGACCTTAATCCGATGACACCCGTAGAAAGGATGGGAATCTCCAGAGCAGCAAAGGAGCTTACCAAAGTCGTAAAGGAAACCCCCCAGAAAGAGTTGTCTATAAGAAAACCCAACCTGTCCGCAGATTAGATAGTTCTTTCTCCAGCGAATTCAATTCCTTTACAGACTATCATACTTCACGTAGTCCACCCGGCTTCTTAGCCCGTCACACCGGGTGGCACCCACCCGACTTTTGGCCACGCTTAAGCCACAAGCCGGGAGGTTAGTAGTTGAATGGGTGACCACCAGCGAATCCCTTCTGTTGTAAGTTGTGTTTTTCTTTTTATTCTTTGTCTAATTGAAGTTTTTGACAGGTCGCCCGGTACTCCAGTCTCTGATTCGGAGACAGACCAACCGAACTAACGGTCCCGCAATCACGGCCATGAGCCGCCTCGTACTTCTCCCTCGTCACGTTTGCCAACATATTTAATTCGTTTTTACGAGCTCTACTTTGAACGCAGCGTAGACCGTTGGTTCTACCTGCTTGATCGATAGCCGGGAAATCAACTATGTTGACACCACACATAATCTCTCGACGCAATTCCCTCAGCTGATGATCCATAACTCGTCAAGCCATGCACCTAAGCGGGCAACTTCAGTGGCTTTTGCAAAGGAACCCATCATACCTACCATATGATTCATCCTGTGCTGCCTGGGCATCCATCTTCCCCGCCGTGTGACTTGACTGAGCTGGGATCGGGTCTGCAAACACATTCGATCGATAACAACATCTCTGTTCGATGGGACTTAGCACCCTTGAGTGGCCTGGTTCGCAAGGCGCAACGACGACTATGACGAGTATAATTTGCGGTCCACTGATAATCCGACGAGACACCCGATTATGTGTTGGCACATTACAAACAGGCTGAAACGACCTCGCATCGCATCAGACCATCCGAGCGATATCGATACATACCACGGCCGTCTCAACGAGAGCTGCGTTTGATTTCAATGAAGCGGGGTTAATGATGCAAACACATTGGTCCCGTTCATGACCTTCCGAGGCATGTGCGCCGCTGACCTTGGTCCTGAGATGAGCAAGATCATCTGTCGAGGCTGGCCAGCTTCCAGCGAGGCTTAAGTTGCTAAGATACAGCGCAGATGACTCGGGCTCTAGACCGGGTGAATGAACGAACACACCGACGGAGCCATTGGACATCAGCGTGGTATTTCCATTCCCGGTTTATCTCGGCGCTCTCCCTACAAAATCAACCTGATGAGCCATGGGCAACCATCGCGTCCTGCAGATGCTTGTGTTCTTGCATCAATAGAGCGGATAGTATCACTACGCCGAATGAATTGTCGCTGGGTGACTCTGCGAAGACAACCGTTGCTACAAACTGGACACATTACTCGCTGGGACATTTATCCACTAGATCGACATACAATCTGGTAATTTCTAAAACGAAGCCGCAAATTACCAACTTTCTTATATCAGTTGATGGCTTATGTATCACCTTGTATGAAACAAGTGGAGATTTCATTCTCCAGGTCCTTCTGCACGGGCCCTAATCGATTTCTTGGGGCAGAAACGGCTGACGTTCACCTGAAGACAGCCTTCACTACGAGAAACCTAGTTCAGACTTCGGCGAGGGGAAGCAATCTTCAAATAAGATAGCAAGGTCCCCCCTGATGGGCTCGCGGCAGCCCATCAAGGAATCACGACGCAACTACAAGGAGTGCATTCCTTGGTCTACATGACCACCTGATCCTCAGAAAATCTGCTCGCCAAGATGAGTTCGTCCAACTTGGCGACATCGAAGGCTTATTTGCCTCAACATGCTCCCTATACATTAGTGATCTCAATCTGCAAACTCGGGGATTCACACATTGCTTTCTACATTATACAAAATTGTCAAATCGCGGTCGGTCCACTGCTTCTCGAGGCGCTTGTTCTTCCAGGATTAAGAGCAAATCCACGTGGGCACCAACATGCCTCTTGCCTCTGCTGCAACAGACACTGCCAATGCCTGTGGATATCCCAGCGACTAGGCAATCCCAGCCAGCGAAGCAAGATAAAAGACCGCATATCTGCAATAAAGACTATTTCATGAGTGTCCGCGCCAACTCGGCGATCACAACTTGATGCCAAACGAGTAAAGTTGGGCAAAGATGGTGGTACCAAGTACCATGTAATGGTGCTGTGGTGGCTCATGGCAGGCCTGAAAACAGTTTTCGGCTTCTAGCCAATGCGTCATGAGCTGGTCACATCGTTGCCACCGATTCAGATGCCACAACAGCTGTGGTTCTGTCTGCTGGACACGACGCTGAGTAAGGCGTTGTTCCAGGTGCTGCATGGTCGTTGGGCCTGATCAACTTGAGCTGTGCGCTTGTTGCACTCGAGGGTGTTACCTACGAAGCCGATCAGCATCATCCTTGTCGATCCTCATGGGTGCGCAGTACTGAGACACGGTCGAATTTCTGCTTTCTGCTATACGCTTTGCTCCTACTATCGGCGAGATATTCACGTCTACTGGGTGAACTGATAGCACCTTCTGTGGAGTTCAACCATGGCATTTTGGAGTGGTATATATCATACACATCCTATCAAAGAAATTTGTGCAACGGGGCAGAGTTCACTGTCTCCAACTTCATTCAGCCGTGACCTTCACGGCATAATCATTGAGTTGATGCAAGGCAATACTGAACTTCGTCTACCATCCTCTCCAGTTGACTTGATTCCATGCACAAGTGGTCCGAAGACTCATCGACAACATTAGCAGGGTGGGGGGGCCTCACATCTGGCTGCCCTCAGACGGTATGGCCATGTGACGACGCTATTAAGGCTGGCTGCACGGTGGTGCATTTAGGCCCACGGCAGACACAGCAAGACTCCAGATGCCAGATACGATTCATTACGGTGTTCACTCCAGAACCACAGGACGAATCAACTATTCGCTCATCAACCAGTAGTAAGATCCGCATGGCCGACCCGTTCTGCGATCCTATATAGGTTCTCTTCCACCCGCCGGAGGGATTACACGAATGGTCACCAGAGCTACCGCTGATGGCTGCATCAAGCACAGCTGCACAAGTCGAGGCTCATGCTCTCACCTCGGCCTTGACATTGTTTACGCATTTTGATATATGATACGCAAAATCACCATGGTTATCATGGTGTAGCTCGCGTCAAAGTTGCGAGTTCTTCTATCACAAGGCCCTTACAGTGGGTGGCGGTCTCGAGCTTCAAGCATACTGAGCCTTCTACCATATCGCCAGCCGACCGGGGACATGTCTGACTGTATTGCGTATCTGCCTTATACGAATACTCAGTCACCAAGTATGACCACATCAGGGCTCTGGATTAGCCTTCATAACGGCAGGATATCATGCTCATCAAGGTTCCTCTATTGACCGGGTCAATATGGACTACACCATGAAGTTGCGGTAGCATGCTGCATCGCTCATGTATGGCTTCTACGCCAACTATGATGCAACTACATACTCCGCTTGCTACAGGATACAGCAACCCGCCTCACGGATGAAGCATCGGGCGGTTCTATTCTCGAGACGGAACGAGATACACGATGTGAGGTATCATTGCATGCTTGATGAAGCAGTGATTGAGCAGAGCTGGAGGAATACCGCATGTTTGCGGTCCACGGTGACTGAAACCTGGTTTTCGAAGCGTGGTAGCGCTGAGAAACACTAGTATGGTCTACGTCTTGATACCACTACCCTGGCTACGCATGTGTGAAGTAATAGTGTGCGCCAACAACCAGTGAGCATGCATATCCTGGACGACATAACTCTGCATTTACCATGTCACCTGAGACTGTGAGCATTTAATAAAAACAGTCAAAACATCAGCTTCATGCTCAATCCACATGCGACTAGATCAGCCTGCTCAAGGACTCCTATATACTCCGTCGATGATACCGATGAGATGTATCTGTTGGTATTTTTACCCACTGGACATGTCTCTTGGTCTACTTCCGAATACACAGCAGAGGACTTCGGTATCTTCAGCAGGCTTTCGACAAGCTTGCACCTTATACTCTGCGTGTCCAACACGACATGGTCACTCCCACTGGTGGTGCGTTATGACTCGTTGACTGAGGGTTCAAATCGAAGAAGCGATTATTCCCGGCAACCTACGTGCTTCCTGAGAAGCACAGACACGACGAATACTTATTGTCGCTGATACGCACTCGTCTTTACACTGGGCTTGAGACGGTCATCTCAATGTGCTGTTAGTGAAGCTATACCGAACCCAGCATTGTCGCGGGTAGTCTGCTATTTATCGGCGGAAGTGAACGAACAGACGAATGAAAGAAGAAATTGAAGGTTCCAGACGAACACAAGGGTCTGTTGAGGCATCTCACAAGAAACTCTCCACCGGATTGACACGGCCTTGATGGAATATTCAAGGGACCGTGTCTTGTTACTCGCCATGGAGCATTCCTGGTCGCGTATTTAACAACAACGGACTATGATCCTGGGTATCAGCACGCCTCGCGGTTTTCATTGTCTGGGTATCGATCTGTGATTAAAAGGAAGTCTGATGTCACCCTCCCATATGTGTGCCATGTACACTTCCCAGCGAGAAATCGGAACACCCATCACCGAGCTGGAAGACTTATAACATGCCGGAGCGAGACTTTGATCTTATCTGGCCTCTACTTCCAACCTCCAGCTCGCTCTATGGAGTTCAGATACATGTGCGAATACTCATCACAGAGACCGACCAATCGGAATCATCTCTACACAATCGATCCGAGGTCTTATATGTGGAAGAAAGTCCGATTCAATCAACTCACCAATCACACTCTACCTTCAGGTACTACCATCAGAGTGGACCGCAGGTCCAGTTGTCGGGTCCTATCGAACGACCTACCCCTAGGCCCCCCTGACCACTCAATGAAAACAACCCATACAGTACGCAGAATATTCAAGATCCCAAAGCCATGAAGTCTATATCAGCCCTGCAAACTCGTATGGATCGCAAACGAGACAGGGCGGTCTTCTCACGCTCAAGTATTATCATGGATCTTCTGAACGCTGGCCTCTCTCAACACCGACTCAACTCATCACCCACCCAGGAAGGCTATACCTTGTGCTTCACTTGCTGCCAATTCCCTGCCCGATTCATAGCCATATTCATGTGCGGATATTCCTAGGATGAAAATCTATTCTAGAGAATCTTATCTTGACTGGTACATCATCCGCTGCGCTGAATGTCAGATTATGCCACGAAAGTATAGATCAAGCTATTCAGGACACTTATGCAATTCGCTCGACTTGGCTCCGCTGAACCCTGACAATATCTACCTTTCTTTATTGATATCATCCACAATTGATACTATTATCAACACCCATCCCCACATGAACAAAGTCTGCATGGCACAGACCTGCGCGACATAACCAACCATGCCCGAAGGCTATTTGCCATTTACTTTACTTCCAACTCCCTATCGGAATATCAACATAACGGCCGATCGGTAGATGTCATATACCTCGCAGCCCAGCTGCGTTCCATCGATCCAGGGCTACGGAACCAAGTTTCTATATTCCTGCGGGGATGGGGTGCTGGTGCTGGATGTTTAGATCCATATCCATCTGAATCAAAGTCCTTGACTCAATCAGAGCTCTACAATGGATATGTTATCAAAGACAGCCGGGGAAATGGAGGTGGTTACAAAAAATCGACACCGCTACGGATGAGTCTGAGGTCTATTATCTGAACCTACCATTCTTCTTGTGTTGTCTCGTTATACATCGCATCTCAGTCCCACTGATCGAGGAAACCCTGATACAGAAAGGAAACAAAACAAACAACCACACAAAATAATACTGACTCACCACAATACCCAACATCAAAGACTACCCCATCAGGTGGAAACTATACCCTCCATTCCGCTCGCACGTCTACTAAAAAAGACCCAAACAGACAAAAATTAACCCAAGAAAGTTGAGAAGAAATGGCGCTACCAGCTTGAAGGTCGTGATTCTTTTCAGACAGTAGCTTTCTCAACATTTTTTATAAGAGGGTTATGCGATTAGCGAGGTACAAATTACCCAAGGGTCCGTTTTGTACCGGGTATTGAATCCGCATGTGGAAAACGGATCGGTAAGAAAGGAGGGGTTCAAAGAAGGAGGTTGTTAATGGTGCTGTTGGGGAACTTTGATGGATGAAAATTCCGGGGAAGAGGAGGATGCGAAAGGAATAGATCGTGCTGGCTGGTGGAGGTGTTGGTGAAGAGTGATGGTGAGAATAGAATGATGGAGACTCCGAGGGAAGATGAATTTATATTGAAGATATTTCATAATTCCTCCCTGCGGTTGGTGTGGTCTGATTGTTTGGATTATGGATGGGGGTTGGTTGAATGGATGATACAAAGGCTATTTACCACACTGCAAATGCGACATCGAGTCGAATGGGCCGGTTATATTGATTGAGGGCGGTGGCAGTCTGTGGGTTGTCGGGGCATGCTATGGTTGAGAGGGTCTGCTGCGGTGCAAATATCATGTATTATATAGCGACGGTTTCATTACACTGGTGGATACCTCAGGCAGCACGAGCGACCTGGTGGTAGTAGCAGTGGTGGCATAGAAGGCCTCGGTGGGGAAAGTCAGATCTCTTTTGATGGGTGAAGTGCTGGAAGGGGGGTGAAAAGGAGAGCGAAGAGGAGGAAAGCAGGGGGGATACATTCATTACAAGAGTATCGCAGGCTCCTTGCTAGGGCCTCTCACTGACATGGGGATGGACATGGATAGAGAGTGATGAGAACAGCATGAAGCGATATTCTCAATTGAACCGTTCTGTCAATCGATTCAGTGCCGGGAGGCTATCTTATCATGCATTGAATAAATACGCAGAAAAGAACTACCCCTCGAGTGACCGATGAGACTAAGTACCTCCCCCCGAGTTAAAACCAAGAGAGTCAAAGAAGTTGTATTGTTCCAAGTTTGATATGAACCCCTGTCAGGGCACAGTTTCTTGCGTCATCAATGTCGTGATACCGGGTTGGAGTGTTGAGGACTTTGGTATGCATGTGAGGGCTAATGATGTTTGTCATGGTCTGAAGGAGATAGGTGCTGGATGTATTTGAAAGTGAAATTCTCGTGGAATGAATCTTACTACAGTTCAAGACTCAAGAATGAAGTTCATCATCGTACAGATATCATGTAGGAAGATATTATATACATTGTATCATTTTCCACCATCTTCAATCATAAATACTCAACTCCCCCACAGCAGACGAATTCCCACACATGGCCCCAAAGTCCCCATACCTCTGTTCCCTCTCTTGAACAAACTGCCCAAACTGATCTCCACTGCAGCTCTCCCCCGGCCCATCTCTGCACCCAGGCACCGGCTTCACAGCCTCATTAACCAGCACCCGGTAATACACACCCTCCGTATATCCACTCCGACCATCACATTCCATCCTCTCGATTCCAATATTCCCCAAAAACGGCAAGATGTTACTGCTCTTCCACGCCCGGTTATAGTTCACTTCATCTGTTGGCATAGTTTCATTGATGTTATCCGCGCCCGAGTACGCGCTGTTATTGAATAGTCCGAGGGCTGTGGCAACCGTAGGAGGGACTTCGCGGTGCGTGAACGAGACGTAGATGTCTTGGTCGGTGGTGTTGGCGGACAACAGAGAGTAACTGGCGTTGACCCAGGGGAAGCCTAATACTGGGGACAAGGGGCGGCCGTAGCCCGTGTTGTGAAAGTACATGATGTCGTTGGCGTATTCGAAGGACAGCCATTCGGAGCTGCTGAACAGGGTGGACGAGCAGAAAGGCGAGCTGCCTCGGATGACGGTCTCGTAGCCGCAGAGCTCGAACATGGCGGTGATGTCGTCGGAGGTGAAGTTGAAGGTTGGGGCGAGGAGGTTGAGGCGGGCCGTTATGGCAGCGGTGTAGTGGTTTATGAAGGTCTGGACAAAGTTAGTGAGGTTGGGAGAGGGTTGTGAACTGGTATGTACCTCTTCGTAGGAGCTGCCATAGCTGGAACTGTATGCTGGGCAGGATTTGTATGGGGTGAGAGAGTCGGCACCAGTGGTATCGCTCTCTGCCACGCTGACGAGGTCCAGGTGGGTTTGGTTGTGTGTGTAGCCAGTGATAAAGCCCTGTGCAGATTTGGTGGTTCGTTCAGCGGTCGAGGCCCAGACTTTGTCAGTGTGTAGGTCTGGGTATCGCTGGCGGAATTGGGCCCCTAGGGTTGTTGCTTCTTGCAGGCCGACTCGGGTGAGCTTTTCGAGGTGGTCATCGGTAATAGGCGCGGTCCAGTTGGTCAGAAAGGAAAGCGACCCGGTGCCAGCCCAATTCTGCGTCGTGTTACGCAGCTTGTCAACGAAAGGCTCGATGTACGTCTCATAGTCAAAGTCGTTGGCGTAAATAGCAGCATGGCGGACTAGGTAGGCTGCCCGGGTGACGTTGCAGCCGGCCGGGGGACTTGGGTTGATGGGGGGATCATGGGGAGTGAAGTAGGGAGCAATGCCGGCGAGGTGGTGAAGAGGATTGAACTGGTATGCAGTTGCTGCAGAGAGAGTTGTGAAGAGAGTGAGGGTCTTCATGGTGATGTGCCCTGCAGTTGGGATGGTGAAGCAGACATGCCAGGAACACTAGCAGAATATATATATCTTGCAGTTGCGACATCGTCGGGTATATTTAGAAACCTTCAAACTTGGCGGCTGGTGTAGAATTACATCACCGATGAGGCCCGGGTCTTGGCTGCATAAAAGCTGTGCTGAATGCTGTGAGCTGTTCATGAAGCTGTCCAGTACGTCATTGATCGGCACGGTGGTGGGGTCGCGGGTAGCAGGACAGCAGAGGTCAGTCAGCTTCAGTTGGCCATGCGCGTATGGTCTCAAGGATGATATCTCATGCTATTTACATAGTACCATATACATAGTAGTACTATGTATGTATAAGACATGATTGGAGAGAAATGGACATGCTGGGATCTCCGAGATCATTGCGATGCGTGCATCCTTACGTCGGATGAGATTGCACCGAGATCGATCGACGTCCGGCTTCCCAAACAGTCAAGGATCATCGCGCTAAAGCTGCAGGGTCGGTTATCTTGTGCCTGGAAGAATGAGACTGTCGATGCTGTCATCAGTCCTTCGGACGGAGCATCCCATACAAGCTCGTCATTCCGGACAATGCACGGACATATTGCAGCGGATTGTAGACATGCTGGAAATATCACCACTACAATCAGGTTGGTTGGATTGAGTCAAACATCATTTGAGTGTCGGGCAGCTTGGCATGAATACCCTGATGAAATTTAATGTGTTGTAGTGCGATCGATCGAAACTTCGGGTAGTTGGGTGTAGAGAAAGGAAGTGAAGCAATGGCCGATCGTGGCTTATTCCTCGGTTTTTGGTTCCAAAAGGGTATGTTTTTTCTATTGATTATCTGCCTATCACAACAACAGGTTGTGTAGTGTAGGGGTTATCACTCCGGATTTTGAGCAATCGAAAGTTTCCGGCAACCCCGGTTCGATCCCGGGCACGACCTTTCTTTTTTCTGCCGTCCTCCTACCTTCGGCACTTTTTGTTTACGCTTTCAGGCCACCCACCCACCTCTTCCATTTTGCGTTTCCACATATCCTTTTTTTTTTTTTTTTTTTTTTTTGAGTTCTCTGGTTCCGATGTCCACGTTGACAGTTGTACCTCTGGATGGCATCACCTGCCATCCTGCGTCGCTGAGCCTACTTCACCCGTTCCGTGGCTCGGCTCCTACGTCTGCGACAATTGTCACCAGCCTGGGATTCTCCTGGATCTCCAAGCGATGGTGTCGCAGTCTTGAGCCGAGGACGCCACCAAATTAAGCATCCAAACCTGCTTCTCTAAACCTAGTTGACAGTCTAACTTCCAGATAAGCATGATCTTATTCAGTCACGAGGCAGTAACCACTGCGGAGGATGTTGTCCGGCCTGTCTAGACCGACCGACTAAGTTTGACCTCTAGTCTAAGATATATACATAGTTACTGAGATGCTCGGCTTCACTCAACCAGCATTCTGCATCTATCTCAACATGATTCCCACTGACACAGCCAAATATGACTGGATCTTAGCCCTGGCGTCTATCGCCTTTGTCTTTTGCGCCTTTGGCAACGGAGCCAACGATGTAGCCAATTCCTATGCTACTTCGGTCGCGGCGCAGACCCTCAACTATGGCATGTCGGGATCCTCGCTGCCATTACCGAGTCCATCGGGGCTGTGGCCCTCGGTGCCCCGGTGACCGAAACCATCAAGAATAGTATCATTGACGTGGATCGATATAGCGAGCATCCCGGTGCATATATGCTGGCCATGGGTTGCGCCGAGGTCGGGGCAGCAATCTGGCTCATGTTCGCAACCAGCCGTGGCTGGCCAGTGTCAACCACGCAGACCATGGTCGCGTCCCTCGTGGCTGTGGGACTCGCATCACAGGCTCACATTGACTGGGCTTGGAGCCATGGCAGTGTCTCTCAGATTGTGGCCACGTGGGGTGTCTCCCCGCTTGTTTCTTGCGTCCTGTCGGCTCTGATCTTTGGTACCATCAAAGGCACAGTTCTTGGACGCGCGGACCCTTTCAAGTGGCCCATGCGTCTGTTTCCAGTGTACCTGGCGTTCACTGGGGCTCTTCTTGCCCTGTTTATCGTGATTTCGGCATCCACTGCTTCATCCCTGGAGGCGTTTGGGGCAGGCAAGGCCGCTGGGATCGTCCTGGGAGTGTTTGCTGGCTGTCTGATCTTTGCGACCGTCTTCTTCGTCCCGTACTTCCATCGTATTCTCGTCAAGGGGGATGCCAGGCTTCGATTCTATCATCTGCCGCTGGGACCATGGCTACTCAAAGATGACTGTCCGCTGTACTGGCCAGCGGTGCCCAGTTCCCATGAAAGCGAACCTCGAGAGAAAGTCAACACCATAGCACACACCGAGTCGCAGGGGTCAAGTGATCTCGAAAGCGCCCAAGACCATATACCGTCAATCTGCAAACAGTCACCCATCCCTAGAGACCACTTCCTCACGCCAACCCAGCACCTCACCTGGCTGCATCCTCGAAAATACTGGTCTTGGCTGGAATTCCTCCTCCAAGGCGTTGCCCGCGACGTTCTCACCCCCTCGGACCACCTCCGGTCCATTCATGCGAGGGCACACCGATACGACGATCGCGTCGAGCATCTATGGCGATACTGCCTGGTTCTCGCAGCGATGCTCATGTCCATCGCTCATGGCTCCAACGACGTCGCGAATGCCGTCGCGCCTTGGGGCCGGCATCTACGCCACCAATCGTGCAGCGGCTGTGGATACGCAGACTCATACTCCGGTATGGTTCCTGGTAATTGCCGGCATACTGATCGGAGCGGGGTTCTGGGTGTATGGATACCATGTGGTGCGGACGCTGGGAAATGGCATCACGCAGATGACCCCAACACGAGGGTTTGCGGTGGAGCTTGGAGTTGCAGTGACGGTGCTGGTAGCTTCAAGGCTGGGATTGCCAGTGTCAACGACGCAGTGTCTAACGGCCGCAGCGACGGGGGTTGGCGTTGATGAACTATGATGTTGGGGCTGTTAATTGGCGGCAACTGGGAGGGATACTTTTGGCGTGGTCGCGATGCCATGTGCGGGGATTATAGCTGGGGTGTTGTGCTTGATGGGGTTGAATGCGCCACATCTGTAATTGCTGTGATGCTGCTATCAGAATGAGATCTGTCAACTAGAGGCACAACCTTAGCTGGGTGATGGTCATTCCTTGATGCATTGTTATGGTATTGTCTTCTAGTTTGCATGATCAAACAATACAAACAATGATGCAATTTCTTGCATGGATCCTATTACCCACTGCACATCTGCACAGCTGACTAACATCCCACATATGCATCCCTATGCACTATCGATAACGCATCCTCACTCCCCTCACCACCACCATCCCCCAATTCCAAAATCAATTCACAATGAACCCCTTCACCACCCCCCTAATAACCCCCACCGAATACCACAATGCCACCCTCACCCCTCAGTCCCGACGAATCATCCCGCTAGCAGCCTACCGCCCCACCCTCCACGCCTCCTTCGAATCCTACCATCTCCCAGGCTCAAAGTACCCCCATCCCTCCCCAACCTCCTCCACCTCCCCATACTATCCATCCAAAACACAGCTAACAAGAAACACCGGATAGATTCTTCCCTCTCGACCAAATAACCACCCCCTCCCCCTACCCAACCATGCTCCCCACCCCCTCGCACTTCGCCGCCGGAATGTCCGCCCTCGGGATCCAGAAATCCGATATCCTGGTCATCTACGACGCAGAGGAAATAGGCACGTATCATGCCCCCCGGTTGGCGTTTATGTGTGAGTTGTTTGGGCATAGGCATGTGCATGTTTTGAATAATTTGAGGGCGTATGTGCGGTTAGGTTTGCCGGTTGGTGATGGGGAGGTTGTGGTGGGGGATGTTGGGCGGGGTGAGGGTGGTGGTGAAGGTGGGGGGTATATTGTGGATGAAGGAGAGGTTGATACTCAGCGGGTGATTGAGTTCGAGGAGGTTAGGGATGTTGTTTTACGGGGCAGGGAGCAGGATGGGAAAAGGGCTAGGATTCTGGATGCGAGGATACCGGGGCGGTTTCGCGGCGTGCAGGCGGAGATGGATCCGGCTTTGAGGTCGGGTCATATGCCTGGGGCGGTTAATGTGCCGTTGGCGAGGTTGTTGAACGAACAGGAGGGGTCAATTTTGTCGCCTGGGGAGTTGAAGAGGGTTTTGGTGGATGCCGGGGCGTTGGAGGATGGCGATGGGAAGGTGGAATATATCCTGACGTGTAATTCTGGGGTTACGGCGGCGGCGCTGGACCTGGCGTTGCGGTTGGTTGGGGCCAAAGGGACGAGGAGGGTATATGATGGGAGTTGGATGGAATGGACGCGCAGGGTCGGGGATGAGCTGATTGAGGTTTCGTAGCTGTATAGACTGTAGGTATAGACGAGCTGGACTCTATTAGAGGCAATAGATGAAATCAGGCTGTATTTTACCGCCCGAGTCGTATATTCTCGTGGCGCGTGGCTGCGTCGTGTATCGCAGGTAACATAACAAACATTATTTACAGTCATCGTGTACAGACCGGCTCCCCCCATCTATCATCATCTCTCTTCTCCTATCCATCCGTACTCAACTGATCGAAAGCTCGAATCAGCTTCTCTAGTTTCTCCCCCTGAAAGTTATTCCCCTGGTCCAGTGCCAGCGTCCGTTTCGGATGATGGTAGACCACATAGTCAGCTGCCAGTGAGTTGACCTCGTTCTGGTTCCACACCTTTTCGCCGAATTCTTTCAGAATTGACACTGCTTCGGCTGGAATCAACGTCTGATCTGCACTCTGCAGCACCAGCTGGACCGTCCGCAGAAATGCCCGGGAGACGCGCCACACCAGACCCATGTGCCACAGTCCAGACACGCAGCTGACCAGCACCTCGCGCCATTTCGACGACTCCAGATGCGAGGCTGCGTGCACTCCTGCGACCACAAAATAGTGCATCATCACCAGTGGGATCGACTTCCATCCGTGACACACTCGATAGAGCAATATCAGCGTGGCGATTGCGTCCATCGCGTCGCCCAGCAGCTTTTGAGGATCGAAATTCGTGGCTTGGATCAGGACATCTGTCGGGGTCGTGCTGTCGCGGGATACGAAGAGTCCGCAGAGACTCACGACCGTCATGTGGTAGTACATGCTACTCTGGTTAGTACCCTTAGCAATTCCCACGCACAAGCCATGGCAACTTACTGAAAACAGAGATTATGGGGCGTCCGATTCCGTTGGACCCCCAGCACAGCTGGAAGATCCCGCTCGAAATGTAATAGTCTCTGGTACAAGACAGCCCCCTGCTGCCATCCCTGCATATCAAACCGACCACCGAGTTGACGGAACAGATGCCCCACGTCATTGACGATGATGAACAGTTCTCGTCTGGCGGAGAGCCCCGTGTATAGAAATGATTTGTGGGCTGGATGAGTGAATGGATATGGCGCCCATTGCTGGTTCCGATCTGCTGCAGCCGCTTCTTCCTCTGATAAGAACAGCTCTGGTGGCCCGGGCCAGACCGATGGGATCCTGGCTAGTTGCAAAGTCAGACTGTTGGATTAGTACGTGCTACGTATACGTCTGTTAATAACTCACGTTTGCACGTCGTGGACCGCACTAGCGATGGCCTTGTACGCCCACTTGTTCCGAGCTTTTACTGAATCGTTCGGGATATGCGGCGCGGCGGTATGCAGACCCAGATGCAACGCCATCCGGGCCCCGTATTGGATATACTCCACACCTATCTTGTCTTTCCCGGATGCACAAAAGAACAGCCCCAGAATCAGGCTGGATTGCACAGTGGGAATGCATACGGTCTGCTTGTCGCGCTGCCACAGCCGTTCTACCTCCCGCAGAAGCCGTTTGGCGGTGGACATTTCCACACGCCGGTCCCACGGTTTCTCCAGATCATATGAGAAGTGCTGTTCCGTCAGCCCGGCCAACATATGGGTAGGATACGTACACATGCATAGAAGAGAATCGTATGGACCAACAACGACGAGCAGAACTGCGTGGACCCACTGTGAAAATCTTCCAGGAACGAGACGGGGTCAATGAGGAGCCATGTTGGATTATCCCAGACGAAGAATAGCGAGAAGAGATGCGACGCAGCCGCATTGTCAACGATCGACGTCCAGCGTTCTCCGGCATTCACGTTGTACGAGGGATGTCGGTTGACCAACTCGGGCTTCCCCGACATCCGTGTCAGCCACACCCTCTGCATCCTCTCCAGACTGATTCCCGAGCTTTGCGACGACATCTGCCGTGTCAGCTGAGTGGCAGCCTCATGCACCGAGACACTCCTACGGATGGTGTCCACCACGGTGGGCAACACTGCAACATCGCAATCATGCACAGTCTGATAAATACTATGCAACTCTCTGAGCTGGATGTGAAGCAGCTCTATGGTGCGATCCAGACTCTCCGGCAGCGCTTGTTGAATGGCCAATTGTTGGCTCGGTGGAGCAACCTACACAGGTTAGTGCTGTCAGATGCATCGTCGGGTTAGCTACCGTTGGATGTCCTGCGGAGACTGCATCCGTCGAGCGGGACGACATGAGCTGCAGCATCCGCTCATGCCGCTTGATGGCAGCCCGCAACATGTCCAGCTCCTTTTTCTCCTGGGTGCGCTTCTGCTCCGTGTACAAGCATTCAATCCCGAGCCTCTCACACTGACTGCATATCGGCCTCCCGCCATTGCACTTGGCCTTGCGGTGACGACAGGGATCGCAAGCTCGAGCGGTCCGGATCTGGGAGTTCGCCAGCATCCTCGATCGAACCCGGGGAATCAGAACCTTCCCAGTGGTTAGCCCGGCGGCCTCGGATTGTGGGCCGGGACTGCCGGGCTGGCTGGGCGGGGAGACCTTCCGTGCACGCATCTCGGGACGGTGGATGAAGGACGCGGACTTCCGCGGACTAGGAATTTGACATGATTTTCTGCCGGGTTATTGGTTGCGAGGGTGGCAAACTGAAGGCGGAGGGTCTAAAGGACGGCAGGAAATTAATTCCAAACTTAATGTGAATGGAGCCGACGTGGTGGGGCGCTATCATGACGCTGACAGCAACGGCGGGCAGACACCTAATACAAGAAATTGCTTATTATGCAGCTGTGGTGATCTGTGGTTGTGACAATGTGTTGTGTCGTCCCAACGACCTCGCCCAGCATGTCGCTGAAGCGGTGGGACTTATCATATATATAGCCTCGAACAGGCGGGGCTGCCACGATTCTCAGCCGGGTCATTACAATTGACCATTTGCGATGCTTTCTATGATACCCGTTCCCCTTTGCTTGCAATTTTCCGAATTTGCTTGCCCAATTGGCGCTTCCAATCTGCCATTAATGCCCAACACCTGCTTGTCGCGTGCTCTGGATGATGTCAACGGTTTCAACACTGACTACAACAAGGGCCACATGCAGCCACCAACCCAGTTATTAAGCCCCTGACACCTTCAATCAGTATATGCAAGGTGTCATGCAAGGGCGATCCTCTCACCGCTAGTGAGGGTCGCCCCAACGCCTAGTTACCTCATTGCAGCTGCGTGGATCATATGTCGCGCCAATAATTGATCAGACCCCTCGTTGACTATCACCTTCTGAGTCGTCCAAATTCAGCCAAGATCATTGCAGACTTCAAGGCACTGTGCAAGGATCACCAGATTGACCATACATCAGTCTCAGCGCACCGCAGATCATCCACCGATTAACCTTCTAAATGCCAGCAGACGTAACATGTCTCACTTTAATTCGGTCGTCAACCTGTCCGTCCCTTTGCTTGACCACACAGCGGAGGTTCAAAACAATGGAATTAAGTTTTGAAAGCAGACGTAGCAAATCATAATATGAATCAAATAATTCTATCGAACATCAACGGCAGCCAGCGCCACCCACATTCCTCAGCCCCTTGCATGGCCCTCAGCCACAGACACACCTGCATCAATCAAAACTCACAGCATCCCATGGCTTCAGCCTAAGCCGTCAGAACTTCGTGGCTTCATTAATCGACTGCCATCGACATGACCCCTGGGAAACCATCCAAGCAACACCATGAAGGCCGAACAGTATGTCGCGAACGACATCCAACCGGTCTCAACCTCAGTCACATCAATGAGAAAAAGCTGCTGCGGAAGATGGACCTCCACCTTATGCCTATGCTGACCCTGCTATACCTCTTTTCATTCCTCGATCGAGGGAACATCGGCAACGCCAGGATTGAAGGCATGGAGGATGATCTGCACCTAGGAGGGACACAATATAACTGGGCGCGTAGGTAGTCCCGCCTGTTATCGAGTCATTCTAATGGTTCAGTCATGGTCTTTTTCTTCACCTACACTGTTTTCGAATTGCCATCAAACCTTATTCTGCAAAAAGTGCGCCCGTCCATATGGATTCCGTCGCTGATGGTGGCGTGGGGGATTGTGATGGTGGGTTCTCGCCCGTCAGCCAAGACGACGCTAATTGTAGACTCTGATGGGGATTGTCACCAATTACAAGGGGCTTCTTATTGCGAGGGCGTTCCTGGGGGCTGCAGGTATTATTACCTTCATTGGATGGTATCATGCTAACGGCATGCAGAAGCCGGCATCTACCCGGGCGTGACTTACTACATCACCATGTGGTACTCGCGACATGAAGCTCAGTTCCGCCAAGCCTTGTGCTTCAGCGCTGCTAGTATTGCGGGGGCTTTTTCAGGATTACTTGCGTTTGCGATCGGAGTGAGTCATGATCTACCTCTATGTTGGCTGTGCTAACAGAGTAGAAAATGAACGGCATCGGTGGATTTTCTGGCTGGCGCTGGATCTTTATCATCGAAGGATTGGCGACGGTGCTTGTGGCTGTAATGGCCTATTTTGTACTGTACGACTATCCCGATACTGCATCCTTCCTGACCCGGGACGAACGAGCCTGGGTTCTGCGCCGTTTGCGACTGCAATTCTCCAATAACGGCAACGTGGTGCCAGAGACAGTGGTGTTCAAATGGAAGTATGTCTGGGATGCAGCCAAGGATTGGCAAGTGTATATGGCGATTCTAAGTATGTGCCCGTGGTGTTGGTGGCCCCGCTGACAGTTGCAGTATACTTTTCCGCCGTCTGTCCGCTATACGGCATCTCATTCTTCCTGCCTACCATCATCCGCGATCTGGGATATACATCCTCCACCGCGCAGCTGCTTACAGTATGTCTCAAACATCTACAGCGTATGCTTGCTGACGACCAGGTTCCCCCATACATCACCGCCGCAATCGCTGCCATCCTCGCCGCCTGGTTCGCCGACCGCAACGGCGAGCGCTCTCCTCTGCTACTATTCCACATCGGATGCATCGTCGCGGGATTCTTCGTCTGCCTGGCTGGATCACAGCGATGGGTTCCCGGCCTTGTATACTTTGGCGTTTTTCTAGCAATCCTAGGTCCTCCCCCATCTCGTCTCAACAAGACAATTGAACTAACCAAGACTAGGAATCTACCCCGCCATTCCCGCCCTCATCACCTGGCTCAGCAGTAATCTCGCCGCGGAACATAAACGTGCCGCCGGAATGGCCATTCACATCGGCCTGGGGAACTTTGCAGGCGGTTCGTCTTACCCCTCCCTCCTTCTTGCTGAGGATAGTATACTAATGATAATAGCAATGGCCTCCCACTTCTACCGCACCCGCGACGCCCCGCAATACGTGCTCGGCCATGCCTTGGAACTCGCATTCGGGATTATGGGTGTGGTGGCGATTGTGATTACCCGGTTCACATACGTGCATATTAATCGTGAACGGGTGGATAAGTTGGTGGAGTTGCGACCGCAGTATTCGCTGGAGGAGTTGGGGGAGATGGGGGATAAGTCGCCGACGTTTCGGTATATGTTGTAGGGATGCATGTAAGGTGGTCATGGATGGTAGAGGGATTCGATCGTGATATTTGGTGTTGTAACTGTCAATTGACTTCGGTAAGATATACTTGGTAATGTTCTATATATTGATGAGGTATCTATGTACAGTAATCGCAGATAAACATGCAACGAACGAAACACACCCGACAAGGCTGCAGGGACATCCGACCCACTAAAGATAATACCCTCCTTAAATATATTTTCCTATTCAAAGTGCTAACCCAACTCTACCAGCGCAGGAGAATAAACCAGCTATATTAATATCAAATAAAACCCAGCTGTAGTCTCTAGCACTCTTCCAGGCCCCACATGACATATCATACTCATATCCCCATCCATTCCTTATCTAGATAGATACTACGTACAAAGAACCTCAAATACCGAGTCCTGCAGAATTTAACCCAGGAAATTCCATACCTGGTACCATATGGAGTACATTCAATTACTGTGCTCCAGATTGTCCTCCCCCATCCAAAAAAAAAAAAGAAAAAGGATCTATGATAATGCTTAAACAAGCTAGAGAAACTCCAGAATCGAGATACCCTCCTTTCACATAGCACTTACTGTGTAGATAAGTACCTAGTAGTAAGAATTACTTACGAAATAGTACTTGTAGTGAGTCTCTACTCCGTACCTACCCATCGAAACCAGAATTGACCCACTCTCATGCCATTCACCCCATTCCCCCATCCGAACCCCGCCCAGACCAGACCAGTCGACTAATCGAAACCGACTCAGTAGCAAAGCGGAGGATAATTTATCCATGCCTACATGATTGGCCCGATGAAAATTAGACCCACTTTTCATATCCTGTCACATGGGGGCCGACAGACTACAGAGGGGGGGCAGGGGGGTAGAGTATGATTCCACTATTACATTGTCGTACTTTCTTTGCTGAGCTTAGCTCGTCTTCAAATTCTCCTTTTATGTGTGTAGAGGGTGTGTGTGTGTGTGTGTGTGTGTGTGTGTGCGGAAATTGTTCCATGTGATTAATTTAATCCCTATGGATAAATACCATCTAGCTAAATATGTGGTATACCACGCACGGCGAATAAATATCCCCAGAGTTATAATGCAGGGATATTCGTTTATTTTACCTATTCCGGGGATGAATTAAACTAGCTACTTACCGTAGTAACTTCCAGATGCAGGTACTTTTATCCTTGTCGAGTGGGGGATGGTGATTGGGTGGTTGGTTTGTGAAATGCAAGGGCTTAGATTGAGTGTACGGAGTACTCCGTAGGTGATAGATCGAGTCTATTTTCTTAGGTGAAGCCTGAGTGAGTGGTGAGGGGTTGGTTCTTTGTTCCAATTTTAAGAGGCTTGGTTGAATTGTGATTTTGATCTATTTTTTTTAATTATTTGGTTTATATCTAATGGTAGCTATGTCAGTGCGATGTGATATGCGCTAATAGACAAATTCCGACCAAGATATTACACCGAAAGGAAACGTTTCACTAATCTATCAAACAAAACACCTCCAAACCATCAACCGAGAACAATTACAGTAAAACATCTACCACGACGTCCTTGGCTCCCCCTCCCCCTCTACATCCCCCCTCCTCTCATACTCCACCGTCACATTATCCGTCCTCCGAATCGCCCCCAGCGGATGACTTTCCTCCACCACCAGCCCTCCTCGCCCCCTCTCCTCCTCCCGCAGAATACTCTCCTGACTGCCCACCGTTGTGGTCTCGTAATCGGGCTTCCGGGGCTTGGATAACTTGCTGTGATCGTAGGAGGTATCGGGGAGTTGGGAACTGCCTTTGTATCGGTTGCGACTGTTGTTGTAGGAGCTTGTGGTGCGGCGGCCGAGGATGAGTTCGAGGACGGGTTGGAGGGTCGGGATGCAGGAGGCGATTATGACGACGTTGGATTCGATGCTGAGCGGTGTCAATAGGATTTTTGGAGTAGGGATGGGAGGGAGTACTTGGTCCACATGACGAGGTCGGCGGTTCCGTCTGGTTTCCAGTTGTTAGTTAGTGTTGTATTCAGGGTGGTGGGGGTGGGGCGTACAAGTATAGTCTGTTTTATCGGCGAGTCCCTTCAGCTGGGTACATTTGATGATGGCCATTGCGGATGCACTGCGATGTTAGTTGGGATCAATCAGAAGGGATAGACATACACTGAACCCAGGCCTAACGCTGCACATAAAGCTAGGCGTTTTCGTAGTGACATGTGAAGTTTCATTAGGACTGTGCTGGGGTAGATGGCCAGCGTGAGATCGACGAATGCGGAGAGGGCTGGATTGTTAGCTAAACCTCAAAAGATAGATATATAACGTTACCTCCAGTGAAGATTGCATAGTCGATGAGAATCCACACGTCCTTGCAGGTCGCCTTCCCCTCTGTCACCAGATGCGACTGCCATAGTGCCTTGGGCGGATCGCACATGGTGAATAAAATGATGATGCAGATGCCGGAAACCACAGCTGCCAGGCTGGTCAAAGACCATAGATACACGCGCTGGACGAGATTCGGGTTGAGGATCCGGTTCAGCATGGCCGTCACTGCCAGCTTGGGTATCGTGAAGGAAATGATACCAAAGAGGAAGCTCAGACAATTGAGAAAAGTAGCCTTTTCCACTGTCCGCTCGCTGAGCAACCAGGCGTGCTTCCCGTATCCCATTTCCACATTGGCAGTCGTGATTCCGCAGTAGATGAGGCCCATCGTCTGCTGGCGTTAGAGTGACACTCCACGAAGGTATCTACATACCAACGATGCGGCGATCAGCCAGTCGTCTGCCCCGAGGTTATGTAGCAGACTCGTTCGGATGTACATGCGCGCTATGACAAGCACGGTCGTGAGGCCTGTCAATGCCCAGAGCACTGCCAGGATCATCGGCCCCTTGTCATCGCTGGCGTTGCCATGTTCTGTGGTCGTCATCTTTGCACCGACTTCACGCACGATTGCGACGGACGTGATCAGAATATGAATGTCGACATGAGATATCTGCAACAAGGGGCAGAGCAGGACATTGTCAAGGATTGGAGGATTGACGATCAAGTCGGTACATCAAGTGATTTTGACAGAAGTCCGTCAGACGAACGCCGCTCGCGACTGGTCATTTTCGGCCTGTTTCATGTTATTGGTGCGGTGGCAAGCGAGCAGCCAGGCAACAACTAGCGGATACGGTGCTGACACGACCAGGATGGCTGCACGGCTGTCCGTTTTGGTAACGTTGCAGGAGATCCATGCAGCCGAGCAAAACTCCTGTTGGCGGGTCTCAATCCGTCCGAGGGTGACAGCCGGGTTGTGGGGCCGTCAGCCGCCACGGCCGTTAAAGGCTAAAGCTTAGTACGCTTATTATTCCGATCGTTGCCTGGTCGGGGTCTGCCAGTGGTGGCATCCGGGATGTTTAATGAAGGTACTTTGTTTGGAGTCCAGCGAGCCCGGATAGGTCCAAGCAAACAGCTCAATTCTAAGGGATTACAATTTAGGCAACCAGATGGCAAATCGCAACCACGGTAATTGGCAACCAGGAGAGCAACTGGGCCCGAAGGATCATTAGCTCGGTGTCAAGACCTGTCACTTCCTGATCAGGCATGTCAGGAAGGAAGCCGACCCATCCGGTTAATACCACCGCGGGCCAACGGCGTGCTAACGGTGCTATGCTGACTCCTGAACATCCTGCCAGGTACGCATATGGATGTCATGCTATGCCAGATGTTCATGCGTTATCTACTTATTGCACCTGCAGGGGGCCCGAGAGTCGCCAAGTAAATTAATTCAGGCATGCACTTTGTAGCTGGCTAGCTGCAGGCAGCAGCACCGACCAACGGCTCATCGATGGGCGGCCAGACCGACATGGCCCATACGCGTCCAATGCTGATCGATCCTGTCGGCATTCCGCCACGTTCTAACGGTCACCCAGCCCAGATAGGCAACCGACTGCCGGCTTACCCCTCTGGGTAGGCCCACTTCCACTGCATCAGCTGCCATGCCGTTATCGTAGCGTCGGCCACTCGCCGGCCATGTTCAGGGGAACCTGACAGTACCCTGCAGTATAACATGCCGTCTCCATCGCCCAACCTTTCTCCATCCGTTCAAAGTGATCTATCACAATGACTGTCGCAGTAGCAGCAAACAACGGCCCCGCCGAGAGCCATGCGAATGGACACGTCGAACCGCCTGTCCAGGCTTTTGTCGATGGCAATGTTGCGATTTCTCCTAACGCCCCTGAGGAGGTGCCCACTCTGCTGAAGCGGCTCGCCCTGCATGGTGAGGCATACCTCACGGAGAGCGATGAGAATGAGCGCACGAAAATCCTCGACACCGCGCGATCATTGGTGTATGCGCTGGAGACTCCTCGCGAGGCAATCATCCGACACTGCTGGTCTCAGGTACTGCCATAGATGCGATGGACTTCTCATACTAATACTCGCAGAGCACGCTGTATGCGGCGATCGAAACCGGCGTTGACCTGGGTCTGTTCACGGTTCTCTCGCAGGATGATAGACCCAAGTCGGCCACCGAGCTGGCTGCAGCAACGCATGCCGACCCCACAATGCTCGGTAGGTTCAGTAGTCCTTGGCATCCACAAAGCTAATTGACAGCCCGAATCTTGAAACACCTCGCCGCCATGGGCGTCATCATCGAAACCGGGCCTGATGAGTACCGTCGAACCGGGTTCTCCATCTCGATGGGCTCGCCCCGATACAGCGACGCCTATCCGTGCATGTAAGCCCCCATACCTGCCCCCTACGATCGATATTAACAGGGCAGGACCGGCTGCATCACCGACGGCGTCCTCGCACTCCCCGCCCAACTCAAGAAAACCAACTACCGCAACCCCAGCGATGGCACAAACTGCGCCTTCCAACGGGGTTTCAAGACCCCACTGCACTTCTTCGACTTCCTCCGCGAGAACCCTGCCCATGCGGTACAATTCAACAACCACATGTCCGCATACCATCAAGGCCGACCCAGCTGGATGGACGTGGGTTTCTACCCCGTTCCCTCGCTGGTAACAGACACCAGGATCAACGAGCTGGAAGTATTGCTGGTCGACATGGGCGGCAGCATGGGACATGATCTGTCCGAGTTCCATCGCAAATGGCCTCAAGTGCCAGGACGGTTGATCCTACAGGACTTACCCAAGGTCGTGGAACAAGCGAGAACAATGAATCTGGATCCAGCGATCGAACTCATGGACCATGACTTTTTCACGGAGCAGCCAATCAAGGGTGCGTTAGATACAGCATACAACCAGTGATGAGCACCACTGACCCGTGATCAGGCGCGCGCGCATACTACATGCACTCCGTCCTGCACGACTGGACAGACGCCGACTGCCGTCGCATCCTAGCCAATGTCATCCCCGCCATGAAGCCCGGCTACAGCAAGTTGCTCCTGAACGAAAACGTCATCCCCAGCACGAACGCGTACTGGGAAACCACCAGTCTGGACATCATCATGATGGCGGACTTTGCGTCGACGGAGCGCACGGAGACGCAGTGGCGGGCGCTGGTCAAGTCGGCTGGACTGAGGATTACCAAGATCTGGACGGTTCGGCGAGGTGTGGAGAGTTTGATTGAATGTGAATTGGCTTGATGTATTATGATATGGGTAATGTTGATTATTTACGAGTGCCTGGGTTATCCGGTTTGTCAGCGGACGGATATCTGCAGTAACATGTGAACTTAATGTAAACTCAACTGACTGCATAGGACTTCGGGCAGGCGACCAAGAGGGATATGTAAGTCAACTGATGTAGATACCCGCTTCTGCGGAATAAGTATCCATCCTTCACCACGTGCCTGTCCCCTTATCATCACATTCACTTCTTCGCATCACAATGACAGGTACATACCCCGTTTATCAGATTCACCCCTACGAATCTGGGTCTTGACAAAGCAGGACACCCCTCCCTTTCCAGACCCTAGACTACCGACTCCTGCAACAAATCTGTCAATTTTAGTATTCCCCGCAGAGGAACCTTCCACAATGTATCCACCCTTACCCCGCTCCGTATTCATGTTGTTTACTCTTGGGAAGATATCGCAATTACTGTGTGAAATAGAATTGCATCGTTCAAATGGCTTAATTATATGGTGATTGCTGTCTCCAGATTCCAATCTGTTTATCCAACTCTATGAAATTAGGTTCCGCCCTAAGACAAGTCCAAATACGGATACTATCTCCGCCGCTCGATACATCCGAGCGGTGCGGGATAAATCTGTGCAATAATCTACCCCGCTAACACACCTGACTGCAAGACTCGTCAATCTAACAACCCATCTATCCCAATATCACTCCTTATCATTATCCAGAACCCAACATTCCCCTACTTATATCACCCCCACCACCCAAACAAACTCCCTACCCATCCTAATGAGCCACTTACACCAAGCCAAGAAAAACCCCACCGCCAAGACACGCCAAGAAAACAAGCAATCATATTTCAAAAATGTAGATAACTCCATCTATATTCTTATTCTAGTATACACATACACTTATATACATCTATTTACATGCCAGTACTAGGACTGGCTAAAGAAGGGTTTACTCGCCCCGAGGATCCTTCCACATCGGATCGACAAAATATACGAGTCCGTGCACGGCGGCTGCGGCGAGGGGTCCGATCTGGTTTTGTTAGTTATTACTCCATTTTGTGACATTGGGGAGGGGAGGGGGATGGAAACCCACCCAATGAATCCAATGATAAGTGGGGAATTCACTCGCCACGTACGCGCCGAGACATCGTGCTGGATTGACGCCTATTTCGTTAGATATATCTCATGGTAGGGAGGGTATGGAACTGAGGTTTTCTTAGGAAGGGATGAATACTCACTCGCACCGATATAACCTTCCCGCGTAAAAGCCGTCCCCCAGGTAACAATCCCCAAAACCACACCCACAAGCCACGGGGATACAGCCGGGCCAAAGACCTTAGCTTGTCTGGGATCCAGGGCCACGCCAAAGGCAAGGAAAATCAGGATCAAGCAGGCGAAGAATTCAATGATGAGGCCGTCCGAGGCGGAGACCATGGTGGTGTCGATGTGGCAGCCACCGACGGTGAAGGCGCGCGTGCCGTAGGCGCTGTGGAGAGCGAAGCCTGCTAAGGCGCCGCCGAGGGTTTGGCCGGCGAGGTAGAGGACCATGCGCGGGAAGGAGATGATGCGGGCGAAGAAGGTGGCGAGGGTGATGGTTGGGCTGATGTGGCCGCCGCTAGACGGGGAGAAGGTGTAGATGAGGAGCGGGGTGAGGAGGAGGTTGGTGAGGCCGCCGAAGGTGGGGGAGAAGAAGGTGACGGTGGCGTAGACGCCGGCTTGGGTTTGGGGGGCGGTGGTGGCGGATAAGGGGTGGGTAGTGACCCAGCTGGTGATGAAGACGTTCATCATGCTGGCTGGTATAAGTTAGTATGGAGGGGTTGAGGTGAAGATGGTCGGCGTACCGATGCATTCGAGAACGGCGAATTTCCATAAATCCACGCTGAGGAATCCCCGCAGATCGAAAATCTCCGCCAGGGTCATGCAGGGCGCCGCATCAGGGAGCTTTTCGAGCACCTTGGAGTTCTTGGGATCGCTGCGATCAATGACAAAGTCCTGGTTTCCGCCGACGCGGCCGGCGAAGGGCGGGATGGCGGGCTCGAGGCCGTGATGCGACGGGTGTGGCGTCTCGTCGCTTTCATATTCGGGGAGATAGGTGACGACCATTTTCTGGGGTGATGGCGATTGGGTCGGGGGTGGTCCTGCAGGATCGAGATAAGTGATGGACTGCATGGTGATCAAGATAAGAAGAATGGTGGGAGGTCGCGTGCAGACGGTGTGCAGTCGGAAATGGCCGGTCAGGGCTGCTCGGGATTGATCGGGACGTGAACGGCTCCGATGGTCTGGTCGGCTCGGCAAAATGGGGGCCCCAGATTGTGGGGCATTTAGCCGAGATACAGAAGGCTTCTGGAAAGCATTTGCAAAAGATTTGTGTCGGATGGAATGAAGCAGCCAGCCAGAGAAGAGAACGGGCAGATAAGGTATGGCCGACGACGGTCCGGGATGGGGCATCATCCGGTGAGATGTCAGCTGTAGTGTAGCTAACTAGTGGACGATAGCCCCGGATCGGATAAGATGTTATATGGGGGTGGATCGAGCTTCGATCCCGCTATCCAAGTTTCTGCATGTATTGATCCCACGGAGACAGATTCTCGTATGACGGGTAGGACAGTCAGCCTCTCACGTCTAAGATGTTGATAGTGAGTTGACGAGTATGTGTTCAGCATGGCAGACTGCAACCGCACCGGGCCCGCTGAAACGTGGGTCTGATGGCATCATGGTGCAAAACAGGATTTCATCAATGAGACTTTGGAGTGGGCATGATGCCGCGAATCTCCCTGGGCATCCGTGAATCTCCCTGGGAATCCGATGAAGTACTTGTAGATTCGAGAGATGAGAAAATGGGATGAATGAGATGAGATGATTGGGACGGACTGAGCTGAGCAAGACAAACCGGATAAATAATCTCCCGGGAAAAATTCACAGACACGTGATTACATGCCTAGATCTCGATCCTGATTTGCCAGCTGTTGAAACCGAACAAAGAACCGGGCGGTGGTCAGGTCTGTAGATACTGTCATTAGTCCCAGCAAGACTAGACAAAGAAAGATATACCGCTACCAGAGTTCAAGGGTAATGAAGATAAAGAAGCTGTCTGGTAACCAAAGATTCAGATCGATACCTGTGACACCACTAATAGATGGAACTTACCAGCATCTTGCCAGACCCTGTTAGCACGGTGAAATAACCTACAGTGTAAATTACAGTAATTACATACATCCCTTTGAACAGGGCCAGAACCCTAAAAGAGCATACAGAGCTACAAATTCTCAGGCAGAGGGCCCATTGCAGGACAAGGTACTATCTAGAATGGTGTATGGTGCTGAAACAAGACGACTGCGAGAGCTGGGGTTCGAGGTGACCAACATGATATCCTGTTCATCATGCTTGTTTCTACCATGCCATGGCTAACAATTCGACCGCCTATAGGATATTACCTCCTACACGGTACTGGGTGTTTATAATGGCTGTAGGTACTAATTACTAGGGGCTAAGAGTATCGTGTACATTTTCCGGCATGTTTCCCTTCTAAAATAACCTAGACTAGGCCGGCAAATCAGTGTCAGTAATATCAACTGCAGCTCCACGCTCTTTCAACCTCGCAATGCAACACAAGGTCAAAATGCAGCCTACAAGCAAGCCAGTGATTCAAACTCAAATTACACAAGCGCCTCATCAAGATAATTTCTAACAATCTTCCATGCATCTGGTCAGTCCAGACCATATAGTTACCACGATCACATCATCCTTTCTAGTCGATGAAGGGTAATTACACCTTCAATAGAAGAGATCTTACGATTCCAAACAGCTCAACTGCCACCAAAAACACAGCCAAGGAAAGGAGGTTCCGTTGAATGCCAGCTGAATGGATTGACTGCCGTTATCCCATAGTCCATGGTATCAACAGAAAGATACGAACCTTTCTCCGCCCCGATGAAAACAGTAGTATCTAACAAAAAGACCAAATATGGCCTGATACAAACATAGGCATCTTCACAGTCTAGATAAATCCGTGGTAGCATTCCTGAGATTGCAGACTGGCTGGCAAATGCTCTCAAACGAGATGTAAAAGAGGAAGATATACGCATACTGCTTACGGCCTGCAGACTCCTTGTGTTTTGTGGAGTTTTATAACTAATGTGGCAACTGCCAGGGACGGTCCGGGATGGAATGGGCATATGTCCTGATGGTGAAAAATCAAACAGATTACTTGCTCTGACATGCGTGCGATTGACGAAAATGTTAATAGTGAATTTGTCACAAACAGAACCAATACAGCCAGGAGAACCGAGGCAAAAAAGAAAAAAAGAAAAAAAAGAAAAAAAAGAATAAATAAATAAAATAAAACGCAGGCAAACAGCATAGACAAAGGCAGCCCACTGGAGCTCACTTGCTCGAATCATCTCGCTCTTCAACATAGACAACGGCTTTCTTTTGGATGACACTGCCATTGGGGTCTTCCCATCCGCCCCGAATGTAGACAGCCGGCTGCTCTAGGACCAAGACCCGATGTCCATCTAGCTTGTCTACTTTGCCATGACCGTATGATGCCTCGGTATTATCTGAAGAGCGGCGAAAGTAAGGATCGATATCGTGGAGCGTCCCGAGCTGCACATAAGAAAGATGGGCTGCCATTTTCACCGATATTTCCGCAAAGTGGTGGTAGATCCGCTGCAGCCAGTCGTCTCTAGAAGAAATGACTGACGGGTCGGAATCCCGGAGCAGGGACTGCAAGAAGTCCTGTTTCAGAGCGTCCGCGCAGATGGAGTTGACGGTAGAAATCCGATGCGAGACCATCTCGCTACCAAAACCGGCCCATGGATGGGCGAAACGCGTGGTCCATAGCCGCCAAAGATGGGCATCCTGTGGTTTAGCTGGGATTACCGTCATACATCAGTCATGGTTGCAAAGGCCAGGGAGGGAGTGCCTTGCCAGCAAGCATGTTCTGATACAGTTCGTGTAGCTGGGTTGCGAAGTCAGAGGTGCTCGAATGAGACTTCTCACCGTCCCCTTTCTGAATGCCCGGCTGAGGAACGATCCACCAAAAGGGATTTGTGAAGAACCTATCCACGCAGTCTTTGATAAAATAGGTCGCCACCAATTGTGGCAGAAGCCGGCCTTGGAGAGACCTGGGGAGACTGGAATAAATGTAATCCATGTCTTCCTGCACGCAATAGCCATCTAAGCGACGGATCAGGTCCGTCTTCTGTTCCCGAGAAAGGTCCTGAGGTTCCTGTCGGGCATGATTCATCACCCATTCTTTGAACAAGCCGCAAGCGCATCGTATCTCCTTCGACCAGTTATAGGGAAACAGATCAGCCCATTCCAGGCTCGAGGAACCTAGTGCATTATCCATGGCGAGCTGATCTGTCGCGAACTGGTTGTCCTCGACATACCGATAGAACACTTTCCCCACTATGGCATGGTATTCGTTGAACTTCTTGATCGTTGCCTTCAGCAACTGATTGGAGTCCTCTGCTGGATTGGCGTCCTTCAGGGCCTGTTTCTTCCCCCGCAAGGTCCGGTTGTCTTTCTCCAGATCCGCGATGGTCTCCTCGAGGAGTCGAATCCGTTCCGCGGAGGTCGGCTTCTACTTAGATCGTTAACGTGATGATTTACTTGAAAAGGAGGTTATCCGCACGACCATGCCTCACCTTTGGGGTTTTAGCCTTTGCGGCAGTCCTCCGTGGACGGTCGCCTGATACGGCGGTCGGCTCGGCCGGGAGAGGCTATAGTCAGGATGTAAGTACGTTGCTCATACCAGTAGGCAGCCAGATGAAGATGGATAGACTCGCCTCGTTGGCCTTTTTGGCAGTCTTTGCTACTTTCCTAGGCATTGAGGGGGGGGGTAAAGGTCGTTCACAGATGCGAGAAGAGAGAAAGGCAGAAGGAAAGCAACAAAAGAAAGAAAAGGGAGAGTGGGGAAGAGAGGGGGGGAGGCGGAGTCTCCTGATCCTTTGTTCAACCACCGCTATTGACCGGCCAGTCTTGGTGAATCGCCGAGTCACGGGTCGTACAGGGGGCATCCCTGGGACTTTTGAGGTTCTACCCTAGCATGTCGGATCCGGCAGAGAGACACGAAAGGGACTTTTGGCGAAACCTCGAGATCCGATGACGAAGGCCACGAAGACGATCCCCCCCCCATCAGAGGGAGGGGATGCCGCCTCCTCGTTTAAGTAGCCACAGGGCGCCTTTTGACAGCCAGCGTTGGCCCGCTCTCCTGGTGGTCATTGAACTTCACTCCACCCATCGCTCATACGAAACTTTGATCATATCGATTTCTCGAGATGGCCTTAGATTCCAACCCTCGAATGATCATCGCTGTCGACTACGGCACGACAGCCACGAGTACCCCCCCCCCCCCCCCTCCTCCTTAACCCCCACCTCCCAAAATAGATTCCACACTCTTGAAGGCACAGAGATCTAATACCATTTAGGCGTTTCCTACGGGTTTCCGCACACAGAAGTGACTGGTAATATCAGACTGATCGGGAATTGGCCTGGCTCTGCCAAGTATATGGCTAGTTACGGCGTACGGTGCGAGGAGCGATTGATGAATGTACTCATCTGATTAGCCAGACTGAGAACCGAGAGGAGACTACCCTAGTTCCACCCTGACGATACAAAGACACACCCAGATTGAATAAGCAATGATGCGTAACAAAGTCACAGAGTTGTCCCATTGGAGTCGAGGAGTAAATGAATGGATGTCCGTTGGCCGATCCTATAACCAACCTAAACAGTATACCATCACCAGGACAGCCATAGAAATAACAACCTTGCCGAAACCCTTCTCTTTGCCCTTCTGACCACGGTTCGGCCATCTGAGTAGGATTTGGGGAGGCGATATGGGGCACTCCAGTAGGATCCGGCAGGGCACCGATCATCAATCCAGTTGGAGCAATTGGCCAGTTGGCCCGGGACATGGAGAAGCCAGTGTACTACACATTCCTCATACAAGATGCAAAGAATGAATGGAAAGTAAAGATAGAAATAAAAAGTGGGGGCTTGAGAGCTATGAGTACCGACAACGATAGAGTGGCAACTACATGACAATCTGGGCTCTTGACCGCGACGAATCTCTGATGATGAAGAAGAAGAAGAAGAAGAAGAAGAAGAAGAAGAAGAGAAGGAAGACCGGAAAGCTGAATTCACCTGTCATCAGCAATTAGAAGCACCAAGATCGATGGCGCCCTGTACAGAAGGAATGAAGAAGCAGAGTATAGAGAAACCAGAAGATGCGCAAAAAGGATGAATCAGTCCTGGTCGTTCTCAAGGAGAACACAACCCTTTACCAAACACGACCTCAAGGGAGGCTGTGTCATATCATCATGGACGTAGATGGCTGGGTAGCTCATGGCCAGAATTCGATGCCCATCTGGGCGGTTATCAATCTCCTGCAAGCCACACCGGGCTGACGGTTCAAGATCTGTCGAGGGACGCTGAAACCTCGGCTCAATATTGTCCAGTGTCCGGAACTCCAAATAGATAGTATGGGTTGATATATCAACCGCTAGCCGGGCAGCCTCCTGATAGATCTCTTTCAGCTCTCGGTCCCGCGACGTAGCATCGTCTTTGTTTTCCGGGGTGGTCAGGAGCGTCTGGAGGAGCGGGTCAGTCAAGACCTGCTGGACCATCACGTCGACCATGGATTCCCGACGCTCATGCATCTGTGTGGAAAAGTCACTCGAGATTGTACGATGGGGATCGAAAAAAGGGATCCTGTGGGTTGGAGAAGCGGACTGTCCATAAACGCCACGAGGGGATGAATCCGTTCCCGGCTAGACAAAGCTGTCAGTATCCCGAATACTCGGCGAGGAAGGACTTACTTGGAAGGATATTTCGAAAAAGGTATAGAGCTGCTTGCCAAACTCCGTCGGTCTTGCTTGGATCCCCTCATCGGTATCAGGGGCGGGGTTTGGGTCAGGCGCGATATACCAAAACGGATTGATAAAGAATCGCGTAATGCAATCCTTGATCAGAAGCATGGTCACCAGTTTATCGGCAAAGGCATTTCGGACGAGAGGGCAAAGTCTGGACATGGTTTCATTAAGATCTGCCTGGAGACAGTAGCCTTCAAGGCGCCTAAGGAGATCTTGCTTGGTGCTCGCAGAAAGGCTGTCCAGGGCCGGGGCATCAATATTCCGATATGCCCAGTTCCCGACGTTAATGAAAAGATGGAGGAATATTTCCTCCAGATCACCGATCGTCTTGGTGTCCCATCGATTGCACCTTGCCCCCCAGTCATTGTGGGTGGCCTTGAGACACTCCAGATCTGCTACCGCAGCTGAAAGCTCCTTATTTAGTTGCTCAATCACTTCATCACGTTTTTTTTGTCTCGTCTGGCGCTACAGGTGGACTTCCACCTCCCGCTTCGAGGTTCTTGTCTGTCCCTGTCATCACTGTCGCTTGGTTGGCAGGAGGGGTCGGTTCTTTGTCGGGTTTCGGGCTTTGGCTCTGTTTCGAGGATGGTTTCGAAGAGGGCTGAAATTCATCCGATTAGACCAATCCTAATAGCCCCTTTGCAGGGACTCCTTCAGACCATGATATGAGATCATATGCGGGAATTACCTTGGAGTTGCCCTTTTTCTTCTTTGCAGCGGCTGGACGTTTGGGCGGCATGATGGATAGGGACGACTGGGTCTCGGGGGGTTTGCTCGACGCCTGCTCGGAAGGAGAGAAGGAAGGCAGCAAGGGAGGCGGGCTTTGTCGGGGTATATATGCTGACGAGCGTATGAAAGTCGATCGGGGAGATGCTTTGTTTGGAGATACCGGGGTCACGAACCCTTTCGTGCTGTGGTTCAGCTATGGTCGACAATCGGTTTCGTCCAGGCAAGGATCCCATCATACTGAGTGGAGCAAGGAAGCTTTCAGTAATCGAAGAATGTGGTTGTTGGGTAAAACAAAGCTGACGGGGTAAAAGTACGAGGCCAAAGCCCCAAAGAGGATCGGCATTGAAAGATACGACCCCGAGTCTGGGGCATTACACGGGCCGGTAAATCACAGTAACGCGGGATCAAGGACGGAAGACGTCTTTTCGAGCTAAAATTGGACAGTAAAGTCTCAGAGGATCAGAATAGAAACAGCGGGGGTAGGCGCCCTGAAAGCTTATTTGTAGGAGGGCAAATACCCTCGGTGCTGGAGCACCCCCCAGGTCGCCACTGGGGAGCCCAGGTGTTGCCAGGGATGAACTGTGCTTCCTGGTTTCATTTGCAACTCGACCAAGGTTTGGACAATGAACACATCAGGCAAGGAATTTTCAATCTTCCCCACACCCTCAGTGCCGCCGATGTCTGCGAGGAGTTCCTCCGGCTACTCCAGGCTGCATCGCCCCGCTATGCAGCAAGTTGGCGTAATGCTAGGTATTTACCCCGCTGACATTGGCTTCACAGCGGGGAAATGCGGGGTGGCGTCGATTTACAGCCGCCTGTACAGCTTGATGCAGGCCCGGTTTGGCGACGGGTTCACAGGTCGCCCCGTCAATAGCAGAGCTCCGGGAAGTCAGTTTATGATCCAGTTTGAAGCGTTGCTTTTGAATCTGCGACAGGACCATTTCCCGGAGCGTCAATACCCCCTGATATTCCCCATGCCCCCCAACAACCCCAGTTCCCATTCATTATGACGCTCGGACGGGCAGGGTCCTCTTGTCCAAACAGGATATGATCAGTATTCTGGAGCCCATGGTTGACAGGGCCCGGACGATGATAACGACGCAGCAGCACCCCACTGCTCCTCATTGCTCGGGGAAAAAGGTGTGAACGGGTATGCAGCATGTCTTTATCGTCGGTGGGGGTGCACACATCCCCTACGTGACTCAGTCACTCAATCGTCACTTCAATGCCCCTGGGCTAACGGTTGTCGTGCCCCATAATCCGTAGGTTTTGACAAATGGTGGCGGGCAAAGGGCGGAACAACAATGCTAATGGAACCAGGCACCTGACAGTCCTGTATGGCGCGGCAATGTACGGTATGTGAGTGTGTTTTTGGCTCCCGTTCCGTAGCCTTGCCTGCCCCAGACTAACTTATCCAGCCGCGGTCCACCTCACCTCCATGGAGCTGGACTTCAACGAGGTGGATTTGACCCGGTGCGCTACACGATATAGACGGAATGTTCTGCCAGCGAAAATCGGATGGCATTCACTGCAACCGCATGGAGAAGAGGCAGATTCCTCCTGGAGTATCCTCCATTATTGACACTCAACCATCCGGGTCCCCGCGACACCGTAGCGGGAGACAGTGGCCCATCAAAAGGGCGCGCGGACTGCCGTCACTTGGGCAGAAGGTTGGTCCGGACTGTTTCACACTTCGTGTTGGCAATCAGCCACCTTTATCGATTGAACCTTGTCCTCTCCCGACCGATCACTTCCTATGAGTAAAGGGAGGAGATATACGTATCGATATTATTCTACCATGAATAGGGTCATTACTAGGGCCGATTGACTTTGATTCCCGACTATGATGAATGCCACTGGCTGAATGGACTGATCGGACGGGAGGATGCCGGGCGAGCCGATCATTGCAGCCCGTCTTTGACTTTACTCAACTCTGTCCATTAAGTTTGTTTCTCTCAGAAGGATTTCTATGCATCTTAGGAACCTCCGCTTGCCCCCTGATTGGTCACCCGGACCCATCCTTCGATTCGACCTGCGATTGGCTGATCGGCTCCGGCCGAAATGATCATGGGGAAGTGGCCTCCACCGGAACCCGTGACAGTTGACAGGCAACATGGTGCATCCGCTCCACTGGATCTCCGAGACGATCTCTGCAGGGATCCCAGGTCTGACACAGTGTCACTGACGCTGATCAGCATTCTGCATCCGCGGCACCCAGCCAGGCCGGGCCGGAAACTGGCAGACAGCAGAGCGGTCAGAGGGGGGTCCGTGATTGGATGACGCTCCGGGGAAGCCGGAACTGACTGTCCGCATTGGGACTGTCGGGAAAGAACCAGGGATAGATACTCTTACTGCGACAGGCTGGTGGCACCCGCTCAGTGCACGGGGTTAAGCATCCATCATGATGAGACTATAAATACTACTAGGAATTATCTTCATCCAGATAAATTGCAATCTTAATGCATAGAGCATCTAATAATATCATGGCAGCCTCAGCATCGGCCAGTCCAGACCCTCCGCCATCCCAATGAGGCAATTAGTGGATCCCCGTGGTAAATTCTAGAACCCGGCCGTAAAAGGGGGTACCGCACAATGTTGGACTTCCCAGCATTCATCAGGAATGCCAGCCCTTTCTCCCCGGCTGCTTTCTCGTGAGCAGCTATCCTTGGTGGTGTGGTGAAATCCGTCCAAAACCAAACGATCAGCCAGCCACGGTCTCTCCCCGGGTTCATCCGCAAGATGTACACCATCCAGGAGCTCCCTCCCGATCAACGCATCGTCTCGGCCCAACGACATCGAAGCCTGCTGTATTATGTCGCTGCGGCCGCAGGATGGACCTTCAACCTGTATTTGGTCGTCCGCCTCGTTCTGTGCTTCTCCTCCGTGGAACAGAATTGGCGCATCTGGGGAACCTTGTTGGTTGAAGCCATTGTCGCGGGTATGCAGCGCCACCTCCCAACACCAACAAGTTTCTAAGCTAACCACCATAGACGTGTTGCGTCGTGATCAGCGGCTCACCCTGTCCGCGGGCCCCGCGTCGCGCAGCCAGCCCCGTCCGCGACTGCGTTTGCACGGCACCGACCAGCTGCCCCAGGTCGATGTACTCGTGCCCTGCTGCGGCGAGCCGGTGGACGTCATTCTCGACACCGTGCGAGCCGCGTGTCGGATGGATTATCCCATCGCCAAGTTCCGCGTCCTGGTGATGGATGATGGGGCCTCCAGCGCCTTGGAGGCCGCCGTGGCGGCGCTGCGCCTCGATCTGCCTCACCTTTTCTACCACACCCGGGGGAAGCAATCCGGCAAGGTCTTTGCCAAGGCGGGCAACCTCAATTACGCCCTTTTCTCCCTCCAGGACAAGGTGCAGCCCGAGTTTTGCGTCATTTTCGATGCCGACTCCATTCCGATGCCGGATTTCCTGCGCGCCACGCTGCCCCATTTACTTCGCAACCCGGACACTGCGTTACTGACCACCCGGCAGTACTTTTACAACCTGCCCGCGGGAGACCCCCTGTCCCAGTCCCGCCTCCACTTCTACAGCTGTGAGAACGCGGAGCTCGATCGTCGTGGCGTGGCCCGGGATGCAGGCTCGGGGGCCGTGTTCCGGCGACAAGCCATCATCGATGCGGGCGGCTATCCCACGTATTCCTTTTCCGAGGACTGGCAGCTCTCGCTCGTGCTGCAGGGTCTGGGTCAACGCACCATCCAAATTCAAGAGCCGTTGCAATACGGGCTGGTTCCGACGTCTCTCGATGGACACATCGCCCAACGCAACCGCTGGAACATTGGGCATTCCCAACAACTTCGGGCCCTTTTTTCGCCCACCAACCGGACTCTTCCCCGTCCGCTGCAGTGGTCGATTGCCTGGAATGGACTTTCGATCCTGGCGGGGGTCGCGGGCTGTCTGGTTGCGTTTGGGGCGGTCCCATTGCTTTTGGTGTCGGGCCCGCTGATCCCGGACGCTGCGCCGCGGTTGGCCAGAACCCAGTTTTTCCTGGCTGTCCTCCACGTCGCTTTGACCTGGGCGTATGACCTTTTGCAAAGTGCACACACCGGGTTCGAAAGTGCGCCATTTGCTCGCTTGGAGAATACCTGGCTGGCCGGAGGTAATTCTCGCTTCTCTCTCCTTATCGTACTGTTTCTGCTCTATACCCGTTGTGTTGTTGCTCTGTTCTGTTGTGCTTTCGTTGGCCCTGGCACAGTTCCTACATCTGGGTTCACGCAGCATCATTTCACCATCCATGTACTCAACGCTAACCTTATCTAGCCCATCTCCACGCCGTCCTCCGGTTCCATCTCCTCGCCAGCCGCCCCAAGGGCTCCTTCGTGACCGGAAGCAGTGCCAACTCCTGGAACCGCCGCGCGACCCCGTCCTCCCTCCAGAAGCTCTACCACAACCTCTGGCACAACGGCATCGCCTACAGCATCGTCCTGCTGATCGCGACCCTTGGCTCCATGCTGCTGGCCGTCCGCGCCGGCCTCGCCACCCCGACCCCGGATCGCCTCCTGCGCTTGCTCACCACCGTGGCCTGGCCCCCGATGCTGCACATCTGCTATCTCTCCGTGCTCAGTTACTGGGCGCCCATCGCCTACCTCCTGAACCCGCCTCAGTATCGAGAGCGCAAAGATGGACTGACACGGTCGCAGTCGGGCGTGGCCCTGCCCACGTCGGAGGTGCAACGGGAGGTGCTGCTGGGGACTCCCCCGGTCGGGTTTTATCGTCGGTGTGTGGTGGTCACGATGGTTTTGGGTGGGTTGGTGGTTGCAGGATTGGCGTTGTAGATGCGTAGATACATTGGGTTCGATTCAATGTCAAATCATTAAGTGAGATTCATTCAAGGTTAGATACATGATATTAATCTTTCCTCCCCATCATAGACTATATATTTCAAATTACACCTGGACAGCAGACAGCAGACAGAACCATGATATTGGTAAATCCAAACAAAGAACCCCCCCCAACCAAATATCCTACCATCCATACCCCAGATACAAACCGACCCGTCAAAACCGGGCCACAGTGAGATCAACCCCCAGGCTAGCCGGACCTTGACAAAGACCACCTGACCGAACACCCATGACAATGTGATCCTCCACGTGCCGTGAAAGGTATACCGTCGCAGAATCTGTTCCTGTGCTAGGGTGGTATTATTTCAGCACAGCGTTCAGCATTCGGTTATTCCATTCCTCTGAATCCTGGTCAAGGTTCTGGATCATGGTATTCGGGTATTTATCTGATCCTTACTAGACTGTCATGCTTAGATTAAGACATTATAGATAGATATCTCTCTGAAGACACTTCATTACAACGAATGTCTGTCACGTTCAAAGTGGTTATTTATCATTAGAGTATTATCTCAGAGTGTGAATTAGAAGATTAGTGTAATGCGAATATGGAATGGCTACAGCGAGAAGTGGCTATTAGCTTCGGGAGGTAATTGGGATACCTCATAATATTTATATGTATATTTTTACTCTGTGGGATTAAGTTAGATGCGATAGTTTTCTAAATTAGGAATGATTACGCCAGTAATTATCTTCCAAAGTAGACATTTCTTTATGTACTAGTTACCTTTATCTCAGGAAGATTAACTTCATTTCCTTTGATCAATTAATAGGTGAAACATTCATATGGTAGACTTTGTTCGTTTCGGATTCCTGTTTGTGGATGCTGCTAATTGCACCTTGCTCAAGGTAGTGGAGACGGAGATCCCAATCAGTGATATCTTATTCACGAGATATAAAAGATACTTTCAGATTGGTGATATGTGAAGTGTGAGGTACTTAGTCAAGGCTAGAGGTAAATGTAATTCTAGTATGGAATTAGGCTTGGGGATATTTATTTTATAATCATATAAGGTAGAGTTGCTAACAAGTCCATTATGGTTCAGGTTACTGTCTGACCCACTCTACCTAAGGCTGAAGTTCCGTGTTGTTCAAGACACTTTATGAATCTGACTCGATCATTAAACACTTTATCATAAATTGAATTGTACTCCATATCAACAACCTTGTAGCACTGAGCACTCAGAGACTCGTGAGGCATTCTAGAGCTTGCAAGATCAACACCCAAATATTGCCCGATGGCCACTTATCGTCCATTGATTCCCCTTACCCAACATGTGCAACATCTCATTGGAAGGGAGAATATGAATCTGGTTATGTATATTGTTGATCTGATAGTATTACTATGGGAATTGAGGTATATTCTCTTACCTCTGATTGTGTACTCTAGGCTGTACAGTATTCCAGCTGCTTCAGGTGAATAAATAAGCCCCTGATTAATACTGCACTTGGTTTAATATTGAGATAGTATTCGATTAATACGTTTGATGTTTATTTTATTTACCTGCGTGGGAGACCATAAAGGTAATTTAAACTCAGGACTTGGAAGGCCGCATGGTTAGGGCTACATCAGACACCACCAGAACCCTAATTCCGCCCGTACTCTGGATCCCGATCTCACACCAACAGAATATCAGTTCAATACTGAATTCTAGTCTTATCATCTACTTCACACCCACCTCATAAACACAACCAAGCACCCCCCCTATAACTGATAAAACCCCTTCCCCTCCCAAAACCCCACAAACCGCCTCAATAACCCCTCATCAAACCGGACATACCCCACCCCCTCCGCCCCCCTCAACGCCTCTACCGCATTCCGCGCATCATAATGCGGCGTGTTCCGACTCGTCTCGAACCGCGAAAATCGTCCCAGCACCGGCTCCTGCAGTAACGGCATCACCGCCTGCAGTGGATTCTCGGGCGTTGCTTCCTCCTGTAACATCCGCACCCAGTCCCAGTAGGGGATCATTTTCACGGGATACCCGGCCTTGTTGATCACGTCGTGCGTGGCGTCGATGGTTACGGAGTCCTCAGGGTCCGGGGCCACCAGGCTGTAGGAGCGGCCGAGGTTGGTGTTCTGCGAGGCGATGTGCAGGGTTGCGGCGCAGACGTAGTCGACGGTGACGTATTCGAGGCGTTGGTTCGGGAGGTGTGGGAAGGCCCCCAGCATGATGCTTCCCATGATGAAGCGCGCGAAGAAGTCGTCTGGGTTGCCGCACCCCGTTTGCGAGTCCCCGATGATGAACCCCGGGCGGAAGATCATCGTGGCGAGGCCGCGGGAGCGGGCGGACCGGACCATTTTTTCCGTGACCCATTTGCTGGCGGCGTAGCCGATGTCGTAGGGGAGGCCGCCGAGGTGTGGGTCGAGAGGCTCGTCTTCGAGGAGGCGTTTCGTGCCGAGGACGAGGCCCGTCGGGCCCCAGGCGTCGATGCTCGACATGTGGATGAAGGCTTTGCGCCGGCCCGTGGTGGCGACTTCGAGGGTGTGGCGCGTGCCGAGGACGTTGGCGTCGTAGTGGGCGGCGTAGGGCTCGCAGAAGTTGACTTTGGCGGCGAGGTGGAAGACGATGCTGGCCCAGTTGGTGAGCCAGGTGAAGGTGTCGGGGGCGAGGCCGAAGTGCGGGATAGTGATGTCGCCGGTGAGGACGGTGAGTTTGTTGATGTTAGGGGCGGAGGTAGTCCAGAGGTCGTAGCGTTGGAGGACGGATTGGACCCGTTCGCTTGAGGGTTGGCCGGATTTGCCCCGCGTGAGACAGACGACTTCTTTGATGGTGGGCATTTGGAGGAATCGGTTGAGGAAGTGCGCGCCCACGAAGCCGGTGGCGCCGGTCAGGAAGATCCGGCCTTCGTCGGGGGATTGCCAGTCCGGGACGGCGTGGAGGTCGTCGGCGATGTGGGCGTCAGAGAGCCATTGCGAGCGGTCATCTGGCGCGTTGCCGCCTTCGGTGTATTGGTCCAGGCAGGCGACGAGGTCGGAGAGACGGGGGTGTTCGTAGAGGGAGCGCATGGAGAGGGTTTTGCCGAGTTGTTTTTGGATCTTGGAGATGAGTGCGGCGGCTTGGAGAGAGGAACCGCGGTGGGTGGTGAAGAAGTCGTCCGAGTCGGAGATCTTGGATACCCCGAGAATAGAGGTCCAGATGGATTTGAGGGTGGTGGTGGTATCCCTGGAGGTGTCGGATGGAGTATCCGATTGAGGATGTTGGTCGCGATATTGTTGAGCGAGGCCTTTGCGATCCACCTTGCCGTGGTCCGTCATGGGGTATTTCGAGCAGAAGACAATGTCGCGCGGGATGGCATAGCCTGGAACTCGGGGCTGGATGTATTCCGTCATCTCTCGCGGTCCGACGCTGTTGGAAACGGCGGGGATGAGGAACGCCACGAGGAAGGCCTCGTCGTCGGGGGTGTCCGGCTGGATTTGGACCACGACGGCCCCTACGAGCCAGGTGCTGGACAGGAAGACCTGTTCGATCTCGCCCAGTTCGACGCGGAACCCGCCCTGCTTGACTTGGAGATCAGCCCGGCCCATGAACTCGAGCAGGTCGGGGGCATCCGAGCGCCAGCGGGCAAAGTCGCCGGTGCGATACAGCCGATTGCCGTCGTTGTCGGTGAAGAATCGCTCCTCGTTTTCCTTGGGACGGCCGATATACCCGGGGGTCAGACCGGATCCGCCCAGGAGGATCTCTCCGACGGTGTCGGGCTTGGTGATGCGGTTGGACTGTTCGTCATACAGGTGAAGCAGTGTATCGCCGAACGGTTTGCCAATGCTGATGTTGTCGTAGTCAAGATCTTTATGGGTCACTTCGTGCATGGTCGAGAGGGTGGTGGTTTCCGTAGGGCCATAGGTGTTCCATACATGCTGAGGGGGGTGGCTGGATTCCAGGACGGCCTTCATGCTGGATGGATTGGCGACTTCCCCGGCCGTGAGTACATGTCTCACTCCCGCAAAGGCGTCAGGGGAGACCTGTGCGATGATGGAAAAGAGTTGAGCAGTGAGAATCATGATGGAAATGTTCTTGCGCGCGATAAAATCCCTCGCATCAAACGGATCCATGATGATATCCCGGGGGACGATGACCAGGGTAGCCCCTGCCACCAAAGGGACGAAGATCTCAAAGAGGGAGATATCAAAGCCAGGATTGTTGATGACGGCCACGCGGTCGGATGACTCAAGCGGCGCCACAAACGTTTCGAAGGCCATGTGGAGGATACTAGTTTCTGTAATCTGCACCGCCTTGGGTTTGCCGCTGGAGCCGGACGTGTAGAGGATATGGCTGCGATAGCCCTGAGTTTCCTTGGACCCGTCGACCTGGGTCCCGTTGACGCCGTTGGACTTTTCTTTGGGGATGGACTTGGGGTTATGTTCGCCACTGATTGGGATGATGGTCATGTCGTCCCCGATATCCGGCGACTGATTCGAGAGGATGTATCGACCCCCGATATCTTTCAACAGGGTCTTCAAGCGCAGGGTGGGTATGGATGGTTCAAGGGGCACACATGTCAGCCCGGTGCGGATGACGGCGAGTTGGGCAATGATGGTTGCATTGCCCACGGCTTCCAGGATACAGATGGGTTCTTCAGCAGGCAGCTGCAACCCCTTGAGACAGTCCGCGACTTGCTGGACCTCGTGATCGAGATCCGCGTATGACCATTGTCGCGATTCATCGTCGATGGCGATGTCATCCGGGGTATTGGATACGTGATGAGAAAAGTGATGGTCCATGTTCGTATACCAGAAGCGTGTAGTTGTTCAAGATGAGACGATACATTGGCTCGACGCCGTGTCAGATCTGGCGATATTTATGTCTGAAGCAACCTCGTTGCGGTCCAGATTTCAGAGTCATCTTGTCGATCAAATGCGCGCATCGTGACGGCCTCATCAGCCAAGCCATCGTCACCTGTCTGGAATGACTTCCAGCCTCTCAGGATGCTGCAAATACGCACAGATCCTGGCGCTCCAAGGTTGAGGTAGAGCGCGATTATTTTTCGGAATGTTACCGGCAGCATACTCCTGAGATATGCTTCAGCACATGGCGGCCGATACAGTAGGTAGGTTGCCTGGTTACTTCAGCGAGAACTTGATGCGATATGCGTCAGGATGCTGCTGGAACCATGGGTGGGAGTCGGAATCATGGAACAGCCGGGATTTAGTTGCTGTGCCCAGATCGAACCTGAGGGCTGTCATGGAAGGTTATTTCGATTAGAATTTGGGTTCCAGATGGGCATCTTATTGGCCGCGTTGTTATGGTTTGGCATTCCATGGATGTCTGAGCTGTCAATCCGGTTTCGTGCACATGGATTCCACCTGGCCAGTAGACCCATGGACTGTACATCTTACCACCTGTGTTCTGGGTTAACCTTGCTGCAGTTGATCCGTCATAAGCCTACGTGATACTGCACAGATCGACATGATAGCCTTGTTTTTTTTTTTGATCGTTGATGAATCGGGACTGCCCAGCCTTGTTACCTACATCATCTTTTTCTAGTCAGCCTGTCAAAGCCACTGAAACAAACCTTGTCAAACCTGGCTCGATGTTCCGCCTACGAATTGGACAAAGCCTCCAGTGAATGACTGAAAGGCAACGCGTATCTGAATCCAGCGGGGGATTCTTCTGCTGCATCCTTTGTATCAGCTGGAATTTCCCAATTCATCAACTGGCCAAATTCAGCAAGCCAACTGGCTAATCAAACCGCCAATCGGTCATCTCCGCAGGAATCGGCCATCTCCGATAATTTGACTTTTACAGGCTGGTTTCCCAGCCAACCAAGTGAATAGTCGTGTTTGCCTGCTTATATGAAATCATTATTTCTTCATTTATTTGTATTTTATGATCACATTCACTAAAAAAACTTGTTTTATCCTACTTTAATATTACATTACTGTCACGGGGCATACTGGGTGCACATTCCAGGTACTTCCCGCTACACTATCAGCAAAAGGACTAGGATGTAAAGCCAATGGCTTTACACTGCGCACGCTAGATAAGGGTATTCAGGAACAGGATTCAGGCAGGATTCAGGCAACCACACAGGTTCAGGTAGGCAGGCAGGCAGGCACCGTGACACAGGCAGGCAGGCACTGTGACAATTACCCTATTTTACTTCGTGTTCCAATGATTTCATGACTTTAATTTCAAAGCATCCTAATTGTGATAGAACGGTCCAGATTAAGGCCTTATCTTATTGGCAGCGGCCCGACTGATGTTCTGATCCTATAGTAGTCCAGCCAGTGTGGTCTGGGTCCTCGGGGTAACGTGCTGGGATGGTCATGGAAGTCATAAGATTATCAGTGATAGTTCGGGATCTCCTTACCTTTTATAAGGTAACGCTTCTTAGTATTAGACTACTGATCCTTCAATGATCAGTCTATCTTGTGGATATAGGCTACCTTTGTTATTACCAGCGAAATCCTACATGTTCAGTGGCCAGTTCCTTACCTAGTCGACAGGCCTTCTACCCTGACAAGTAGATCCTATCACACTGATCTAGGCCTGATTCATGATTATTCAGCCTAACAGGTGAATGAACATAAATATGGTCTCAATCTTTGTTCATTCACTTCATTCTTATTCAAGTGATTCAAGCGATTCAAGCGATTTAACTGAGAATTAATTCTTTGATCAAGTTCGATCACTTTTTTTCCTATTTAGGAAACTTTTATTGAATCCTTCCCTTTGACTAGTAAAGTTAATTGTATTCAGAAGATACTAGACCTAATTAGGATTAGTATTTTCCTTTCTTGGTTTAGTGTCTCCTGTTTTCCGACACTTTGTACTTCATTTGCTAGAGGCTACTCAGGATTCGATAGATCTCTTTGAAGTACTTTGCCTTGGACATTAGATTCCGCAAATCTGTACTATGCCATGCTGCGCTGTTGTATCGCAAAGGCAGCAAAAGTAAGTGGCAATCACTTTAGAAGCCATCGCCGCAGCAATCCGTAACATTAGAGTTCCGATACTCTAGAGATCCTGCTGGACAATAATCCGCAATATGACGCCCTGCCACATCTACTGCTTATTCGCGGATTGCCTCCCAGCCAGGAAGCAGCAACCTTGCCCTCGAAGCCATCACCGGCAGATACCCCTGTGTCTCATTTCCCATCTATCCTCATTCTCACTCCCCAGTCCTGAGCTATTTTCCCAAACACTCATCAACGACTAAAACTTCAATATGTATATGTAAAAATCCCCCCAAAGAAACCTCGATGTCAAAAGACCACACAATAGGATATACATCTCTCGCTTATTTATATTATCACAACCTCAGATTACCCTCCTGACCATCCTATCATATACTATATAATCTAAGTATCTCAGCCCTAACCAAGCACAATAGCCTCTACGGCTTAACCAACCCATCCACCAATTCAATGCAGTTTTTCATATCCATCGATATGTACTGTGCACCATTGAAGATTAGGGAAAACCGCTTCGTGTGTTTTTTTTTGTTGTTGCCTGGTGTGGAGATAAGGTCACGGATGTGAATTGGATGTAGGATTGGAATTATGCCAAGGGGATAGATATCTGGTGCGTGCTTGGGATAGTCGGTGCTGGTGGTAATACCACACCGCCTCCGTCCCGTGCATAGGGAGAGGGGAGAGATATTCCGCGTTCGGATTTTGATTCCTGTGGGGTGTGGCTGATTCATGTGGCTGGTGAGCATATACCTGGGAGGATTGGAGATATCTATTCTTGGATCATTCCGATATCTCGGCTTGGGCTCGGGTTATTTACTTTCTCATGGGTAAGACCTTCTAGTGGAATTTCTCTGCGTAGGGATCTGCTGTACTTTTATCAAGATCCTTGCTTCGATCATACGTAACACATAGCGCCTCCGATTAGACATCCCTTATTCTCATAAACCAATAAACTAATAAATCATAAAAGCTCCTATTTTATATTAGATTCCCGATAATCCCTACAACCGACTCGCCACAAAGTACGGAATATTCTCCGACTCGTACAGATCCTTGTGATCCGCTTTGATGAGATCGGCGCCCTGCATTCATTAGCCATGCTTTAGGTTTTTGTTTGAAAGAAAGGTATATGCTCACCTTCTCGCCAATCATATACACCGAGTTTTGGATCCGACAGTCCGGAATCACCGGGATAATGGACGCGTCGGCAATACGCAGGTTGCGGATGCCGTGCACGCGCAGCTTCGAGTCCACTACACCTTGGTGGATGCTCTTCGAGAGACGCGCCGTGCCGCAGGGGTCTATACCATACCATGTTAGTTCTGTGGGATGGAATGGTGGGGGGATGGTGGCAACGTACGGAATCCAGTCTGACTACGATCCAGAACAGCCCGCTTCATCTCCTCGTCCGAGTGCAGGGGCATCTTCCAGGGATATTCGCCCAACACGATATCCTTGAATCCGGCGCCGGTGGTGAGGACGTCGTAGGTCCAGCGGACGCCTTCGCGCATGGCCAGAATGTCCAGGTCGTTGCCGAAGAAGTTCAGGTTGATATTGGGCTGGGTCAGAGGATTGGCGCTGTTGAGGGTGACTTCGCCTTCGGAAAGGGGCCGGAGCAGATCCACGATCACCGTCATGTGGTTGCCTTCCTCCGGGATGGGGTAGTGCCATTGGAAGGCGGTGCTGAACATGCCCACGAAGTCGAGCTCGAAGTGAGGTTGTCCGGCTGGGCCGAAGGGGTCGAGACCGCCGTTGGCGGCTTTGGCTTCGCGGTAGACGGGGTATTTCTCGAGGCGTTGGTCGATGCGCGGGAAGCCGACGAGTTCGAGGAGGCCGGAGCTGATGGGGCCGGTTTTGTCCTTTTTGTATTGGGCGATGGCGGCGTCGTTGATGGGACCCGGGCGGAGGATGTGGTCTTCCAGACCGTAGCCGTCCTTGATGCGGAGGACGAAGGGCACGATGGGGTGGTCCAGCAGGTGCTGGCCGACGTGGGGCGAGTCGATGATGGGCTGGATGTGGTGCTTGGCTAGTTCGGCGGCGGGACCGACACCGCTCAGCATGAGCAGCTTGGGGGTCTCGAAGACACCCTGGGAGAGAATGACTTCGCGGCTGGCGTAGACGCTGAGCTCGGTGTTGTAGGCCTCGCTGACGACGGTGACCCCGGAGCAGACGCGGGTGACGGGGTCGATGATCAGCTGCGTGGAGTGGACGCCGTAGAGGATAGTCACGTTGGGCTTGTCCTTGAGGTAGAGGAAGCTCCCCTGGCGCTGGCCGTGGTAGATGGTGTCCACGCAGTGGGTGAGACCGCGCATTTCACCGGAGTAAATGTCCTCGGTCAGCTTCTCGCCCTTGGAGACCCACGCTTGCGTGAGAGCATCGCGGAAAGGCTGCATCTCCGGGACCAAGTCGGCGTGGGCGATCTGGACGGGGCCACCGGTTCCGATCTTGCTCAGCTCCGCGGGGTAGAGCTTCTCATCGTCGTGGTAGGTGGCGCACTTGCGAAGGTAGTCCACGCAGTTATCCCAGGTCCAGTCCTGTCCACCGAATGCCTCCCAGTCATCGAAGGTGGGCTTGGATCCGGGGATCCAGGTGAAGTAGTTGGCGCAGGAGCTGCCACCGAGGGCCTTGCCACGGGTATTGGGCTTCTCGACCCGCTCGTAGTCGTCGCGCTTGATCATGGTGGTCTTGTAGGCCCAGTCGTATTTGCTGCCACGGAGGTTGAAGGCCTTGGAGGGGGTGGTGATTTCCTCGATCTGGTCGGGGTTGGGGATACCGGCCTCGACGACGAGGACGCGGACATCGGGGTTCTCAGCGAGACGACCGGCCACCGCGTTACCAGCGGTGCCACCGCCGACGACGATGAAGTCGTATTCGTTGCCGTTGGATACCATCGCCATGATGGGGATTCAGTGAAGGAAGAGATGAGTGATGCTGAATGCGATGCGATGCGATGATGATGATGATGATGATGATGATGATGATGAATATCAGTGGACTCAGCCATATTTATATTCATCGTTAAATGATGTTGATATAGATGCGTTGCCGACATCCGAGCAAAGGCCGTATACTAGCGTCGTGGCCGATGTGGCTTATTGGGGAGATAGTGGTGCCGGAGGGGGCTAGTGTCGGATGCCGTGAGGGGGCACTAGATTCAGCCCAGCAGAAATGCAGAAATGCAGAAATGCAGCGGGCATCGTCCCCGCATGAGGGGTCGGAATGCCGATGCTGCATCCCTGCTGCTCGGGATAGCTAATGCTTGTCAGCGATCGACATAGTTAATCGGGTACTGACTGCATCCACCGTCAAGTCAGTCAAGCTAATCATCCCACTATCCTGTTGATGCATCATGTCACCAAAAAAAATTGCCAGCAGTAGCATTATTTTGTTTGCAATGACGAGTTGGAGATGAGGAGAAGCGCTGAGGGGAAGCGAGGAAAGCGAGGAAGCGAGAGGAGAAGTCAAACACGCGGAGAAGCAAGGAGCAAGGCCCAAGTTCGGCGGCCGGGAATCGCTCGGTCCGGGATCGGGCATCTCTCGGCGAACACCAGACGGCTGGCCATGAAGCACGGAAATGGATTCCTGTATACCCCTCATGAGGCATCTTGCTCGGCTTTTTGAGGGGATATTCAATTGGGGAAGTTTTGCTGGGGGGAATCGAGATCGAGGGAATGTGGGATATAAAGGAACCCTGATGCTCGTCATGTCTGTGCTTAGTATATTTTCTTGGCTGACATTGTTACCCGTATCCACATATCTATATATACAACTTTTACTTCCAAGACATAAGTCCCATCCAATTATATTGATAGTTGAATCATGTCTCGACCAACCTACACCCTCGCAGAAGGTCCGTCCCTCCCTCCATCCTCAATCTCATCAATCTGACCAACAGGCCAACCCCTCTCCGACCCATCCATCAGTCTCACCCTCCCCACCATCGGCGGCGGCGCCCACACCACTCTAGGCGATACTCTCCTCCTGGAAACCCTCGCGCACTTTAACCGGGAACGGATCCCTGAACGGTACCCCCCATCCATCCTTCCCAGGCAAGTAATCTCAACACAACTAACCTCAACAGTGTCGTCCACGCCAAAGCCGCCGGCGCGTGGGGTGAATTCGAAGTGACCAACGACGTATCCGCCCTGACAGCCGCGAAATTCCTCAACGGTGTTGGCAAAAAGACAAAGGTGCTTTTCCGGCTTAGTACCACGGGTGGCGAGAAAGGGAGCGCGGATACGGTGCGGGATGTGCGGGGGTTCTCGGTCAAGTTTTTTACCGAGGAGGGGAATCATGATATTGTGGGGAATCATATCGTATGTGCCCCTATGTTGATAGGAAGGGTTAGGAGGTATGCTAATGAGGTGGTGAAGCCCGTCTTCTTCGTCCGGGACCCCGTTCGCTTCCCGTCTTTAAATCGAAGCCATAAACGCCATCCCGCGACGAATCGGCCGGATTGGACGATGGTATTCTCTCATCTCATACCCTATAAACCCCAAATCTAATTGAGAATCTAGTTCTGGGACTTCCACACTAATCAACCTGAAAGCGTCCACTCCCTCCTCCACCTCTTCGGCAGCCGAGGCATCCCGTCCTCTATCCGCGCCGTGACCGGGTTCGGCGTACACACATTTAAACTTGTCGCCGAGGATGGATCCTTTCGATACTGTAAATTCCATTTCCGACCGGTTCGCCCTATCACGCATTTCTCTGGGCCAGAGGCGTCGCGATTAGCGGGGGCGAATGCCGACTACCATACCCAGGATCTGTGGGATGCGATTACTCGCGGGGAGTATCCGGTGTGGAAGCTGTGCGTGCAGGTCATGGAACCGGAGCGGGCGGAGAGGTTTGGACGCGGGCTGTTTGATATTACCAAGGTTTGGTCGCAGAGGGAGTTTCCGTTGCTCGAGGTGGGAAGGATGACCTTGAATCAGAATGTGAGTTTAATGCATGGAGATTTGGCATGGGGTTGGATGATATGAGCTGACTAGGGAATAGCCGGAGAATTACTTTGCGGAGATTGAACAGGCCGCGTTTTCGCCGTCGAATATGGTCCCGGGGATCGCCATGACGCCGGATCCGAGTAGGTCCCTAGTTACATTGGAGCTTCCCCGCGGGGAGTTTGATGGTGAATGGCTCAGGCTAATCTGTTGATAGTGTTGCAAGCGCGGATGTTTGCTTACCCCGATGCGCAACGGTACCGTCTCGGGGTGAATTACACCCAGCTTCCGCCCAACCGGGCCATCTGTCCGGTCTATGCACCGTATGAGCGAGATGGCTTTGCGACCACGACGAGAAACTACGGCGGGGATCCGAATTACGTGCGTAGCTCGCTCTCCCCGGGTGTGGTGAAGCCCACTGCGGCTCAGGTCCGCCACCACGAGCGCATCCCGTCGTTTGTGCTGGGACAGCATGAGATCCCGGTGGATGAGGAGGATTTTGTGCAGCCGCGAGACCTGTGGAATCGCGTGTTTGATGAGTCGGAGAGACGCACTTGGGTTGCGACTGTGGCGGAGACGCTAGGAGAAATCCCGACACCGCTGACCGAGGCGGTGGTGGAGATGTTTGGTCGGGTGGATGCCCGCTTGGCGCGGATGTTGGGCGCCAAGGTGAAGGACATTTCGCGGCTGTAGGGCTGCTTCCTGGTGGTTTTGTGTGTTAGGGCATAGCGTCTACTAGGGTAGCGAATGAGACGAGTTGGATCAACGGTTTTGTTGGGACTTGGGAGATTAGATTGATGGGTCAGTCTGGGCAGTGCAGGGAGATAAGACAGCCCGATGCAGCGGACTAAAGGGTGATCGGCCATCTGGATCAGAGCGGGCACTACTAGTCAAGGCTTTGTTCGCTGATAAGCATGGCTGCATTAGCGCATGCAGGAGAGGAAGGGGAGGTGAAAATCCCTCAAGCACCGCCCGTCATTCGGCGAAACCAGGAGAAAGGGATCCTCGTGATCAGCAGCACGTGTGGTACCACGCACGTGGTTACCGGACCAGGTGACGGAGGAGATTGGTCCTCATACCCAAAAACCCTCCGAGAAGACAGACACAATGCATTACCTACAGTGGAACAATCGGTAGTGAATCGGCGGCCCACCGGTGGCAAATCTGTCACCTACAAAAAGGGCCGTCCGTTGCTTCAGCGCCATGACATGGCGTGGTTCAGCCACAGGGACGGTCGATCCCCGAGTGATCTTGGTGGCTGGAAGTAGTCCGAGCTCCCCACCCAACCATCGATATGAGTGAAACCGCGTGGATCCGTGCCACAGTGGAGGCTGCTCCTCGACTGAAAAATGAAAAACGGAACGAGAGTGGTTTGGCGTAGGGCAGAGGGCAAGTCTGGTTCGCGGCGGCGCTAGTTCAGGGCAACTGGACATGCAAGGGATACCAGCGTGCGGACTCGGTCATGGAAGTCAGTCTCTGCGATCACAGGCATAAGCAAGGGAACTACGGAGTCGAACGGCGGCCAGAACGGAAGCCTTTTCCAGGCCGGAGGATGCCCCGTCGGGTCCGAGCCTGGGACGGCGATCGCGGCGCTGAATGGCGCTGAATGGCGCTGAATGGCTCGGCCCGGTCAGCCAACCGGGTCTAGCTCGGCATGGTTCAGTCGTGCTGTTTGTTCCTCATCCTGTGGTGTCTGCTAGCCTACCGGCTCTCCACTTCTCGCCAGTCATCGCGATCGACAGTCGGAGGGGTCTAGAGGCCTCACGTTGGTTGAACCAGGGTCATCCCTCGAGTCGGAGACATATGGAATAGCCCCCCTGAAGGCATCAGGAGAGAGAGAGTTACAGGATGTCTGCCGCAAGATGACCACGGTACGCCGGGAAGCTGCCGCCGCACCGGCCAACAGTCGGCCTTCCCTCGGCCTACTCTCGCGGTCGCTGCCACATAAGAATCCGTTGCCCACCCACCAGGGATGCATGCCACCCACCGTTGCGATCGGAACAGAACCCACCAAAATGTACATCACACTCTCGTCCAATTCCCAGAGCCATCCGCAGCCCAGGCTCAAGGGCTCCTCACTTCACCTACGTGTCGCTGGATTGAGAAAATCCCTGCACGACACCTGGAAGCGGTGGGCACCTCTCCTGCCCGCGAAGGAAAGCTGGGATGACGAGTATAATTTCCAACCGGGACCATTTGCGGGACAGGGCCGTGAGTCTCGGCTTCGTTGAGTGGGCATGCCTTTCCACCAAGTCTCCGGCAACACTGCTGACTTTCCTGCTAGCGCGTCGTCTCCCAGCTCCATACCGATCCTGTCCTTTCCCCTCGCCAGGTTTACCAGGCTCCTGACATGGCTGACTGATAGCTCGAGTCTAGAGCGGTTTGGATGGAAAGAACCGACCCACGTCCATTCTGAATGCTGCCTTCGCTATCCTTGCTCGATGTCTCATTTATATTGACCCAAGCCTGGTGACCTGGATCAGGTTGCACCGGCCGTGATCCACTCAGTCGTTGATGGTGGGTGTAGGGAACAGTTGGGGGACTATCGTGGCTGCACCTGTTCAGATTACTATTTCATAACGAGACCACGAATGGCATGAGACATGATGAGTAATATTCGAATCGATTGTCGCCATCCGATAGGCAAAAGGCGTAGCATCTTGCAACGGGAATTAAGCTGCGTGAGAGGAGCCGGGCTGGTGACCGACCAGATGTCAAACCACCTAGGAGGTGACTTTGCCCCGACGACCAGTGTGTTTCTTTCCACCCGGTCCATATCAGATAGGATCCAGTACTACTATCAACGATACTATCTTGTCCCCTCATGCAGAGAATTCCCCCGATTTGGGAAAGAGTAATCGACCAATCAGACACGACCCGGGCCGACCCTGAAGAAATGGAGCCAAGGCACGGCTTCGTTCGGTTTTCCTCGTCGGACCCGACCACTGCATGCCATAGGAGTCTCGGGATAGACTCTGTAGATACATGTGCCGACTAGCCAGGCACTAGTGAGTCTCCATCAGCCTCGATCCCCTCCGGCAGCCATGTCGCCACCGAACCTGTCACCGCCCGCCGCGATGGGCACAGCCACAGATGAGGCCTCCTTTGACCCTCATTTGACCTTCCCCTTTGGATATCGGCGCAAGACGATGCACTTCGCGCGTCTACCCTCAATCCTTATCGTTGGCTGCAGCGAAATTCGGACATCGTCCGGTCCCCCAGGATGAGAATGGGAAATAGCGCTGTCCACTTTGGTTGAGGCCATTTGGGCCCATTGAACCACGTCACCCCGTGCATTCGACGGGCTCGTTCCCCCTGCCGAACCCTTTAAGCAGACCAGACCATCACCCCTCACCCGCCAGGATGCCGTCCACCTGGACCCGTTGCATCTTCTTTTCTTTTCTCGGTGAAGAACTATATGAATCTCGCGGTCACCCCTCATGCGGTGACAGCATGCCCTATCGATCACACCACCATGAGCAGAGGCCCTGGCTCCGATCCAGGCATCACCGAGTACCAGTTTGTCTTTGGGAAGGACCAACCCGGGACGCGCAGCCATGCCATGCGCCAGTTCTGGCGACGACGACACCAGGCTCTGCAAAGTTCGGTCAGGATCTCCCGACCTCAGCTGAGAACTCTCCTGCCCAAGGAGTGTGGCTCAGAAAGCGGGGAATCCCAGGCGGATGTGGCCCAGGGGAAGTCCCCAGATTCCCTAGACGATGGGTGGAAAATAGTGTCTGGGCATGTCACTCCCCAACGCCCTGGCAGCAACGGGGCTCAGGCGCCGAACATTTCCATCTTTCCGGCACCTCCCACCAAGTTCCCCATCGATCTCTCTCCCAAGGATCAAACGATCTTTTACTCGTGTGAGTTGGCCTATTCCTGTCCAGACGACGATCTCACTGATGATGAAATCGGCGAGCAGGGCTCGAGTTACACACCAGTCTCACGCCCGACGGTTTCCTCAACACCCGATTCGACCCCATTCGCGATGTCTGGCTCCCCATGGACTTGTCCAACAGTGCCTCGTTCTGTGCCTTGATGGCACATGCCGCAGCCCATGTCGCACACCGCCATGGACAGACCAAGTCCTTGGAGTCCGAAAAGTTTCGAACCCTGGCCGTGGGCATCATCGCCAAGTGGCTGGCGGATGAGAGACGATCGACACAGGATGAGACCCTTGCTGCGATCGCCCGTCTGCTAATGTTCGAGGTATGCGTTGAGGGAACATAAGACTGTTTATGTGCGGGGCTCATTCACCTACCATCACAGAAGTATTGGGCCTTGGACGACCAATGGCGCGCGCATCGAAACGGTCTCCTGAGCGTCTTCCGGGCGAGAGGCGGGCTGAAGGCATTCAAATCGAATTGGCGTCTGCATATGGTTCTATTTCTGTGAGTGTACAACGGTCCGTATTGTTCAGGAGGTCTAACGAGAACTTGCATCCTAGGGCCTTCTCCATGTCCGAGCCATCCAGACTCTCCCCCTCGGCCCATGCCTGGGAAATCTCCGAGTATTTCGTTCCCTCCGCCGTACATCCCGCCATTCAGCTCCGATTTACTCACAACAAACCGAAATCCTTCCAAGGACTACACATGTACCCTACTCTCCATGATACCATACTGTTCCTGGGCAATGATTCGAGCATTCCACCGCCACAGGGGGATTCTTCTGGCGCACAAGATCATCGACTGATTTGTCTACTTATTTTGGTTGTGATACTGCAGGAGACCTTTTACTCGTTGGTTCCGGTTCTGAGACACGCCTTCATCGACAAATTGCCGGCGCTGGACGAGATCCTCCGTCTACATCGAGCATCATGGGAAGGCTCGCCCCAAAGATTGCATGACTTCCTCATGGGAGATCATTTGAAATCGTTGATCAATCCGCCGACTCGCGCGTTTATCACGAAGCTCAGTGAAAATCTGGTATATCTGAATGATGAAGCGTGTGGGCCGATCGGGAAATGCCTGCTCAATGCGCTCCTCTGGCAGAGGCCGCACGAGCGGACAGATGCGATCTCGGTTTATCAATCGCTGAAAGTGGACTTGAGCTAGCTTTCTCAGCTAATCAAACCAACCAGTAAGTAGTTCTATGAGGAGATTGCACCGCTCCGTCTGCACCGCTCCATGGCCATCGTGTCGTGGAATGAATGGCGTTACGACAGGTGAGTACTGGCACTCCTCACTTCCCTCTATCCAGTATATTTCATATTGAGTCCAGAAGGTTGAGGGTAACGATTCGAACAGTCCTCACGGAACTCCCGAGTCCGGTTTCAGTGGCACTCAGCCAGATGCTACTCCACGCGGCACCAATACCAGACTCCGATCACAAACAGAAACGTGAATATCACGAAAACAAAATACTGGACATAAAGACGTCGGTGGAAAATACGGGGAATGTACTGTGCGGCAGAGCACGCAGCCGCCAGACGGACATGGATGTCTATATCAAATAATAAACTTCGCGGGTCGAAGTAGAAGTCATGAGAATACATATTCTTGTAGAGCTTGAGTGTTGCCTTTGTCAGTTCGAACTATGAATTATAGTCCGCTGTCTTTTCTACGGTTCTAATATATGTCAATGGTACTACAACAACAACAACAACACAACAACAACCCCTTGACGATATTCAGAAATGAATAGTACCTCAGATACAAGATATCTCTGGGACTAGGTAGATAACGAGCAAAAAGGATCCGTAATCAAGGAAACATGATTATCCTCGACACGAACACTCTCATCACGTAGACAGCCGTCGTGGAAAAGGATATGCTCGATTCAATAGACTACAATGGTAGATATGTCCCCTTTGTGGAGGAAATGTACGGTCGGAACAATCAGTGAAATTGGAGGATTAAAAAAACCTGAAGGGTCGGGTTGAATATGGGGTTTTTAATGTTAGTTTGGATCGTTCTGTGGGATGAGATGAGAGCTCATGGTTAGGGAAATTACGAGAGTGGGAGAGGTGGTACTAATAACTTAGGGCTTAGGAGTTGGAGAGTTAGGACACAGAAATTGGGAAGCTTTAGGGGCTTCTAGGGTTGGTTTCAGATGGGGGTGAAGGTTGGGGAATGGGCGCGATGGAGTACAGGTGGCTGTTCGGAGATTATGTCGGAATGGTGTGGTTTGTTGGTGGATGCGTTACAAGTTTGGAATTACCGTGGAGGATAGAGATAGAAGACGGATGCATTAGATAACATGGCGCACGCAGCGTACAGCAAGGAAATCAGATATCACCTCCGCGTGGAAACAATTGCACAAGTCAATTCATCGCAACATCCCCTACGGGGAGGTTGGGCCGTGACTGAAAATGTTTTAGCAAACGCATCGAGGTCACTACAAAGTCTGGAAACTCTTTGATCAGCGCTATAAAGCCCGGTGTCTGCCACATCTCCATATATGTTAGTATGATTGCCCGGAAAACACAAACCAATGGGTCAGCATCTGGCAAGGTCACCAGTGCTAATCGGGTTGCCATCAAGAGCGGGGTAGTATCTTCCGCCCATGATTTGTGGGCTTCAACCATCTTGGTGACATGTTTCGCCGCAAGATCTCTCAGGATGGGGATCTGGTATACGTATGCGAAGATGTAGGTGCGGGTGTGGTGCATCAGGGAGATGGTGAATTCGTTGGTGCTGGCGTCGGTGGTTGTCGTGGAGGTATTGTCTGCATCTTGGGGGTTGTGTTTGATGGGGTAGGTGTCGGTGTAGAGCCACTGGAGGAATGAGGACATGACCTCGTTGCTGGTGTTGATGTAGAGGGATTCGCTTGGAGGGCTGTTCCAGTCTGGTGTGGTGAGGTAGTTGTAGAGTGCGGAGCACTTTTCCTCTAGGAGTCCGCGGTGGACGTGGAAGGATAGATTGTGCGTGCGGATGACGATGGTTTCGGTCCGTAGGTGGTTGACAAATGAGCTGATTTCGGAGGTATCTGGCGGCCGTTAGCTCTCTGCAACGTTTGTGCCGTTATTTTTCTTGGGGTGAGTGCGTTGGGGAAGGAAACTTGCCTTCTATGTCAACCTCAATCGAATATTCTCTGGGGCGGTCAAGATCTTGAGACATGTTCGGAGTCGAAAGTGAGGATGCTGGGGTTTCACTATCCATTCGGTCCACAAACGCGGTGGTGGACTTTGTGTCTTGTAAAGGTATATGTATTGCTAGGAATGTCCGATGTATCGCGAAATGTCGCAACCCTCTAGGTGCGCTTTCAATAAACACTCAGGCTCAGTAAGTGATACGACTCGACTGATCAAATGAATAGAATGATAAGCTACCGGGCATACCTTTTTCGTCGCTTATGTAGCTCATTGGTTCATTTTGGGCGCTTCGTGTAACCGGAGCCCAGTCAATAGCTCTTTGTTCATAACCATCAGTAGTATAGTGATATTGCGGCATCCCACTAGTTGTATATGCATGACTCCGAAGCAAGACTCGATCAATGCAACAATCCGCTACACGAACAGCCCAATCGCTTTATGCAGAGGGTGCCTTACATTACTCAAGTTTCGTGAACGCCCAAGTCCCGGCATCCTCCGTGTCCACCATTATGGGCGTTTATCACCATACCCGTGGGCTTGGGAAACAGTGTTTTAGTGTGATCAATAGCGCATCTGCCAAGAAACTGCATTAGCCGTCGTCCTGAAAGGCAAATGTTGGATGACTGACATAGATCGGTCTGATAAAATTGATACTTCTACTTCCCAACGATTGTCACAATGCAACTTTCAAGAGGTGTTTGTCCCGTATGCAGCTGGCAAATCCACTGGATATTCATCGTTTCAATCAATATACCAGTTCGGAAGCCACCCACGCCCAAGCTGTCAAATCTTTTGATGATGCACGACCATCCGAGACTTATAGGATCATTCCGAGATCCAAGACATTCCGAAGCAGCTCGTGTAACACAGTTGGCGGCGGGAGATCGACACAATGGGATTCTGTGTAACATCCATCGGATCGACAATGCAGCGGCATGGTACTGCTGCAGGTGCGGCTCTTTGTACATAGTACCGATGATCTGGATGATCCCATATAATTTTACCGAGATCGAAGGATGGCCATGAGCCTTGGACCACGGTTTGTTGCGGAGAGATTGTGATTGGGATCTGGAAGGAATACATGGCATTCGGAATAGAGCATAAACAGATGTCATGGGGGTATTCATGCAAGATGATGGAAGATAGAGGACGGACAGGAGATGGAAATGGTCGAAGAAGTGATGTTTGGGGATTTCCGGTTTGGGAAGAAGCCATGCAGCGCGTAGCTGAGTCAGCAATGGGACATCACTGCATAAGTGTTACGCCTCAGGCATAAGGGCGAAAAGCTAAGGCGACAAGGCAGCAAGGAGGGCATTTTCTGCAACCAATCAGAGTCATGAAAGACCAGAAAGCAGCCCATGCTGACGGTGACTTCAATCCTTGATGGCTGATGCACTGCAAGTTCCCATTCCCAGTTTCAACGTCCGAACCACTTATCTGGCCCACCACACACATCTTGCCTCTTGGCAATCGCGTCTGAGCGACTCACATTCAGCACGGTGGGCTAACCAAGCCCAGACATGAGCTTGGCACGCGACCGTATAGATGAGCTGTGTTGAATTGAGGAACAGAAATCATTCCACAACTTTAGCTGTATCTCATCTTCAGACGTTGCGGCTACTGTGTCTGAGAGATTCAGGGCTACTCGGCCGATGCTAGGCAGAAATATTCGCGATATAATCTTGAATCTTCGCATGAGTGGACGATGATGTCATCGCATGATTCAGCATGGTGGGGTTGCATCGACGCATATAAAATCCCAAAGCAGATGTGGGAGATTCCTGCAAACACATTGACAGTGTCGGTTGACTTCGGATCTGCAAAATGGCTAACACAGTCGACGTGACGCGAGCTTCTGAGCTGAATGAAGCCACCGGCAAGTACTGCCATTGTTGAATGAGAAGAATTGAATAATGACTGGAGATACAGGAGGTCATACAGAGGGGATGGTTCGCAAGGGAGCGATTGTTGACAAGTCAGATCAGCTATGCGCATTAGGTCAGTATGTCCCTATCCCTATCCTAGGTCCATGGTGGCATAGAACCCTTGACGAAGTTTATTACAACAGCTAACCCTTGCCAGTCATGTGCGCCCAGCCACATTCCTCGTCAGCCGTTCACCATCACGGTGAGCAAGACACGGTGGTATATGCCGCCAAAGGCCGCGGTTCTATCGTCTTCGATGGTGGCAAGCAGCGGAAAGACCTTGCCCCGGGTGATTTTGCCATCATTCCTGCGTATGTCATAGTCATTCTGGAAGCATACAGGCTGATAGAATCTAATCGTCTTGTGTAGGTACACTGAACACCAGGAAGTGAACCCATCTGATCAAGATGTGGAATGGATTATCACCCGAGCCGGTCGGAAACCCGTCACGGTCAACCTGGACGGGTGGAGTAACGCGTCCAGCTAAGCTGGGGGACTTTATGTAGATATGACTGCTCAGTATGATGCTTATACGTGTATTACCCCGAGAATCCTCACTGAGGGCTATTTTTGATGTCCTGCACCTCGGAGTGCTGGTTATCTCAATTCACTCCACACATCTAATTACTCCACTTAGTCGATCTTGACTGTTTGTTGTTTACGAAGCGCTGAGTAACTCTAGGTTTGCTCCTAGCCTCCTACTAGGTCTGTTGCCAGCCCGTTCGCTTCTCATTGGTCTAAAAATTTCACCAATTCAGCTTCTTATTGGCTTTTATTTTTCATGGATAACGTGACTTTTGTTCTGCCGTTTCTCTCCGTTGTTTTTTTTACTTCCAGCTTACTTTTCTGAATAGCTTCAGAGGCCCTACGTGAGGTCCTACGTGCCTCTTATATAACTTGCAGAGCTTACGTACATTATTCATGTAATTTAGAGAGAGTTGTCTGCTTTAGTAAGAAAATGCGTTTCGGAATGCCTTGAGCTGTGTGCGAGACCGTAGGTCGTGGCCTGCGGCCACGACCTAGTAACGATTAAGGGTCTGCTAGTCCCACTCACACTATAGAATCCCAATCACGATCCAGAAGTAGACTTCCATTCCGAATACATTCATTACCTTGTGAGGAGATCTGTCAGACAGCGAGGATGATGTAAATGAAAAGATTTGGAGAACAAAAGCAAGACAAAAATGATCACTACAGCCAGGAGCACGTTATCAACGCTGGATGACAGGGCTCAAGGTAAGCAATGCCCAGGTGAATTGAACGGGGCTGTATATTCACATGACTGTATCCACGCTGCATGACCTGGGCTAAACAGTCAGTGTTGACTCTTCACACTTTCTTCGAGAGTCCATCACCTACCATGTCTCGAGCATATCAATTCCATCCACTTTCCCGTCGTTAGATTATTTTGACTGAGAAAATTTCATACCCTTACATTTCCTTATCAGTGGTGGTAGCGAAGTCGGATGGGTTCTGTATAGGAATCTTGAAAAGGTGCACGACAACTACTGCCTGCCATTGATCGCATCAAATAGAGGGACATTTTGGAAGAACTGGCTGGCAAGGTAGCAGCGACCAATCAGGAGGTATTCCTGCAGAAGCTGTGACTGCATCATGTACATAATTCCTATGAATAGGATGCCCGAATAACCTTACATGTCATGCAATCAACCTCACACAGCCTCCTGTCAGCACTAACCGGAACAGCCAGTGGGGCCAGGCTGCACGCGCCACATACCACATAAAAGGCCCTCATACCCTCAACCACACAACCCTCACTGCAACCATCATACCCCATCTACTCCCCCCAAAACAACATCAACATGGCATCCCCCCTCCCCCACATCCACCTCCTCTGCATGGACGACCACTTCAGCCAAACCCTCCAAACCCTCCTCTCCTCCCCAACAACCAACACCACCAACTTCCCCCAAATCACCATCCACAACTGCTCCCTGTCGTACCTCTCCACCACCACCTCCATCACCTTCGACGCCATCGTCTCCCCCGCCAACTCCTACGGCCGTCTCGACGGCGGCTTTGACGACGCCATCTCCCGCGCCTTCTCCCCGAAGCAAGATTACCTCGCTCTGACCCGTCACGTGCAATCCATCCTCTACGATGAATATCGCGGCTTCTTGCCCCCGGGGTCCTGTAGATTAATCCCCATCCCGGAGGAATTCACCCCGCTGTCGCGGAATATCTGGAACACGAGATACCTGGCCCTGTGTCCGACGATGAGAGTACCCCAGGATACGCGCTGGGATCGCGAGGTCGTGTATGAGTGTCTTTGGAGTTTGTTTTGTGCGGTGGAGAGACATAATCGGGGTGCGGAGGAAGCAGAGAGGATTGAGAGTGTGCTCATGACGCCGTTGGCGACTGGGTGTGGGTTTGTCTCGCCGGAGAAGTGGGCCAGGCAGATGGTGTTGGCGATGAGGCATTATGTGGATGCGGTGATGGATCCGGGGAAATGGTCGGGTTTGGATTTGAGGATGGCGGGGAAGTTGGCGAGGGAGGTGGAGGGGACGTGGGAGTTGTGATTGTTTTTTTTTATGGACTGGTGGTTGAGTGAGATGTCTAAATGGGTGGATGGAATGATGCGCACAGGAGGTCAAGCATAGCCGTTCTAGCACATTTAACACTCCAAGCTAACTGCGAGGGTGCCATAATCCAATCACTGCTACATCGTCGGGTTGACACGATGCGTAAATGATAATATGAAACATGTTGGTGCGCTACTCTGGTCGAGGCGTATACTGTAAGGATAGAATGTGGGCTGACCTGATGATGCAGCCCTAACTTCCGACCTGGTCAATAATGATGGCACAGACAGGTTCTGAAAGAATCATGAGGAGATCCTATGAGCTCAACCGTCGCCTGCCTTCTGATGGTTGGTGGTCTATCGGAAGCGCCCTAACACCGCACTTAGGAGGATTCCATTCATGGTCTTTGCGACAAATAAACTTCATCTGCTACAAAACGTCACAGCCTTGATGTTTCACCCAGCATTCAATTACGGTATCCACCATCAACAATGCGCACCATGCCTTTATCCAACGGCATCTCCCGTGCAAGGATAACATACTCCACCAACCATCACTGTCCAACATTTATATCGTCCCTTTCCGAAACCGACTGCAAGCCACCATCCATCCCAACCGGGATTCATCTTTCGCGATGGCCTGGACTGCGCCCACTGCCCAAATCAACGTCTCACACGGGATTATCCCTGTCTCCCTTGATCCTCTGCCGGTACTTCCCATACAAAGAAATCCCTCAGCCCATCCTCTCTATCTACTCAATCCTCAACACTCTACCTACCTCCAACAACCTTAACCCTACCCCACCCCATCAACATATAAACCATACTATCCAAAATCTCCACCATGGCCACCCATCCTCATCTCCACTCTCCCCAAACCACCCATCATGCCGTCCTCCCCTCAACCATTCGACTGCCCCATCCCCGAGGCAAGCCCCGCCCTCCTTGCCCTCCCCGACGAAATCCACGACATCTTCCCCAACCGCCTATTTCTCCCCGAAGCCATCGCGCGCCTCTCCAAAACCAACCGTCGCCACTACATCCACATAACCACCACCCTGCGCCGCAAAACCTGGATCGACGCCCTGCCCAGCGATCCAACCCTCCCCTCCCAGATCGGGATGGAGCCCACGGGCAAATGGAACCGCCCCTGCACTTTGTCCCACCACGACTCCCCCGAAATCGTCACGGCCATCGAATCCGGCGACCTCAACCACGTCGAATCCCTCCTCACCTCCATCCCGATCAACTCCCTGGACCCGAACTCCAACTGTCTCCTCCACCTCGCCCTCATCTCCCACCAAATCCCCATCGCCCGTCTCCTCCTCTCCAAAGGCGCCTATCCCGACGGCTACCACCCCTCCACCATCCCCGAACTCGATCAATTATTCCTCTCCCCCTCCAACACCGGCCCTCAATGCCCCCACATCCGTCAGGAAATCCTCGAACTCCTCCTCAGCCATGAAGCGTCCATCTCCCGCTTCCCTACCCAGAACATGATCTACGGCACCAAAGCTCCCTCCCTCCTCCTCGAATACCTTCTCGACCACCACCCCGAGACCATCGACCTTCGCTCTGCCTCCGGCCACACCCTCCTCCACACCGCCGCCGCGCTAGGCGACCGCTGGTCCTGCCAATTCCTCCTCGAAAAAGCACCCCATCTCCTCACCATGGACACGGACTGGGACGTGACCGTCTTGCATATGGCCATTCTCGAGAAGAATGAATTCACCGCTTGTTGGCTGATCTCGTGTGGTGTGCATTTTCATGCCCGCAGTGGGTTTAATCGGACTGAGTTGTTTCTGGCCGCGACGTTGGGCTTGAGTGCCGTGGTTAGGGCTTTGTTGGCTTCGCAGGTCGCGGAGAGGGCGTATCCGCCGGGGAAGTGGCTTGCCGATGCGAAGGCCGCGGTTAGGATGGCGATGTTTTTGGGGAATACTCAGATTGCGACCATGATCAGGACGAGGTTTAATTTGTGAGTATTCCCGTTTTTTCGATTAGGGGTCTGTATATATACTGCACTGAGATGCCCTATGTTGCCTTCGTCGGGGGGGGGATGATTCTACTCATGCCCGAAGCGTACGGATTAGGGCACGGTATGATATCAATCACCCCTCCCCCACCCCCAGGAAACAACCACTCAGTTCAAGACATCAACGCTCCTATACTATAATTACGCATATACTAATAAAAAATCAGATCCTGGCGCGCATGCCTAAAAGGCTACCTCACCTGGTCGAACCGCCCCGCGCCCGAGACGCCCAACCCCAGGAAGGGAAAAGGAAAAGGAAAAGGAAAGCAGCAACCCCGACGACGAAAGGGAGGGAATTTCACTTCTGGGGTCCTTCCCCCGTCTGGTAGTGGTGCTGGGACTGGTAGGGGCAAGGGTAGAGGTAAAGGCAGGGGTAGGTAGGAGTCGAGGGAGAGGTATTCGGGGACGGTCGACTGGTAGTCCTACCCCCCATGCAGGAGGTGCTGGACGGGGGGTGGAGATTCCGGTTGGGGTGGAGAAGGGAAGGGGGTCTGATTGTGTGGAACGGAGTGGAGAGGAGAGTGTGAGTGTGAGTGTGGAGGGGTGGGGGGAATGTGGTGAGGGTGGTAGGGATGAATCTGTGTCGGTTTGAGGGGTGAGGGAGGAGAGGAGAGGCAGGACCTCCGTGTGTCTATTGTTCTGGGTCAGGCGGGACCTGGATCTATCACGGTTGATCCGTTGGTACGGTTGATCCGGCACTATATGCTGCATGTATGGTGTTGGGTAGAGCGTGTTTAACTGCTGCGATGTCTATTGGTGACACGGTTGAACCGTTGGTGTTGAAGGGTAAAGCTGGTTGAGCCGGTGTTGATAGGTGCAAAATGGTGTGGATGTCATAGATTGGAAGCTCATGTTGGGTTATGGGGATGATAGACCTAGTGTCATCAGGGGTATGTGGTGCAGTAGATTAAAGTAATATCAGATTGTTCTTGATGCTTAGGGCTGGTACTTTTCACTATCATGTGATCTAGATGAATGTTGGATTATTCAAGAATATATCACGTGCACTTTGTCAATCCTTTCCAATAGTTACCTACCTTACCCCCATAAGGAGGAATTGATTTCCTTCACCACCGACCCCACAGCCAAATTCACCTACCCGACACACCACCTAACAAGGCAACATTCATCAATGAAATCCATTATCACTATCCAGAGCCAAGTAAGATAAAATAAATAGTCTAACCGAACCTAACCTTCTAATCCATCCATGCATCAATCCCACCACCCACCCACCATCCATACTATACAATCTCACGAAACCCCCACCTTCTCAACCCCCTTCTCCACCACCACCTCTTCACACGTAACCCCCCCAACATTCGCCCCATTCAGATAAAACTCCCCGTTATCATCCTTCGCCGTCTGCTCCCACGTGTACCCCTGCTCTTTGATAATGCGGTGGTTCTCTGTCGGCCAGAACGTGCAGATGATGTAGTAGCAGACGAATCCTGTTATGAAGGAGAGGATCCACCCCAGGTCGCCCATGCGGGTGGCAGTTGTGGAGACGTTGGCGCCGAGGGAGCCGACGAAGCCTGCTTCGTGGTTAGTGGGTGGTTTTGGGGGGTAGGGGACGGGCAAGGGAAGAGGGTATGGGACGAACCAGGGAATGGCAGGGCAATGGCGATAATGTAGGCGATCACGGCTTGGAGGTTCCAGCCGCCGGTGTAGCGGTAGTTTTTGTTGAGTTTGGTGCCGTCGTAGAGGGAGGAGATGAAGATGTTACCCTTTGAGAAGATGAAGTCTGCTGCTGTCAGTGCTGTGCATGGGGTGGAATGGATGGATGGATGGATGGATGGATGGATGGATGGATGGATGGATGGGACGTACACTCGCACACCATGATGGCGACCACAGCACCCATGAACAAGGCGTATCCCGAGAGAAAGTCCTCGAATTTGGACGCCGAGGTGAGAATCTCCCAGGGAACCACGGCCCAGGCCAGAGTCTGCACGATGTATTGGCCCCGACGCATGTTGATGAACCGGGGGAACAACATCGAGGAGTCGGCACCGAAGGAGATCATGTTGGCCGCCACGTTGGTGCCCATGATCTGCACCAGCCAGGCAAAGGCGACCAGGAACACGGCGAATCGGGTAGTACCCGACCAGTAGCGGTCGAGGATGAATTCCATCAGATCCCATTGGTTCCTGAGCAGTTAGCAGGATACAGCAATACTGTCGAAGAGGGCGTACCAAATATCGGTGCCGTATTTGTTGTTGATGGCGGAGGTGGCCAAGATACCCAGACTCGCAGACAAAGTCACGGCAATCGGGTTGGAGATCAGCTGGGTCCACAGAGGGGCCTGTCGGCTTCGGGCCCAGCGGCAGTAATCGGGTTGGTTCGTGATCAACGTGGCGGTGTTACTATCTAATCAGCGTGGTTGTTTGAACAATCAAGGGGCTGCACTCACCCCAGGCCACTGTTGATACCCGAAATGATCATCCATGCCGTAGCAGTCGACGAGCGAGACGACGCCGCGTACATCGTTCCCAGATGTCCCTTGGTGTTGGCCATGGCAAAAATGAACAGTCCGAACATGGCAGGCAGCGAGATCAGAGTCTTGAAGATGAAGAACTTGCGCAGCTGGTACGGCCGGAAGTGGCAGAAGGGCAAATGCGCCAGCCAGGTGAGGAAGAAGGCCAGCATCTTCTGCGTGGTGATACCCGCACTCGCCGGAATATGGTTGGGAATGTCGGTATAATGGTGTCCGAAAATCGCCCGGAGGATGTTGTACATGTACTCAGCTCCGAAATCCACTGCGCGGGTTAGCCTAGCCTTTGCTATGATAGACATTGAACGTACTTTGCACGGCAAACCACACGATGGCCAGCACCGCTCGGGCACCGACAAAATAGTAACTTCCCCACATTCCAAACACACTGCGGCCGACACACGGGAACCCGAGATGATAGACACTAGCAGCGCGGGAGTTGAACGCCATGGCGACGGAGGAAATCATCTGAGAGACGAAGATGACGACGATGGCCTGCCACCAGTTGAGACCGATACCGATCATGGTCTACGCAAATCAGCATGGATCAGGCAACAGGCACGACGCACTTACCGATCCCAAGGTCCAGTTCGTAAACGAAATAGACCAGTAAAACGACACATAGTTCCACCAGCGCCAGGCTGCATCATTAGCACAGGCTGCGGCGCTGGACAGGCCATAACTTACTGCACTGCTCCGGGGGCGTGGGAAGCAGATCTGCAAGAGGTAAGTCGCGTGCCCAGGCACAGGCAGAATCTAGGGTTTCCGACCTTCGTTAGACCACCGCGAGTCCCGGCTGGACTCCAGCTCGATCGCGGAGACCGCACGACTGCCGAACCTAGCCATGATGCCGAAGGGGAATGCTCGTCCGATCCAGTTAAGGACCAGAGGAGAGGGGAGGAGAGAGAGAAGGAACGGTTGATGCCGGCAACCGCAGGATTTTATTCCGGGGGGGGGGGGTGGCGCCTGAGCACGCGCCGGGCAAAGATTTGCACCCGCTTAGCTTAACAGGTTTAAACGTGACTGTGATAAGAAAACCCATCGGTGGGGGTGCCCAGAGATAATGGTGGGGAAGCAGATTTTCCCCTGGTCTGATTGGGTTGGTTTGCACCACAGGTGATAAGCTCGAGCAAGGCCAGGACCGGTTGTGGTTTAGCGGCGGTGGTAAGGTTGTAACCCTATTTGTCTCGGCGTTTATCTTAGTCATGACGAGCCTATCACCGCGGCAGCTGCGTCAACGCTAAACCGGGAATGATAAGGAAGCCGAGTCCACGAGGCTGGGTCGGGTCAACGTTGGTCCGGCTATCCCTGAGGCTGCTGCACTGCTGACTGCTGACTGCTGAGAGCCCTTGAGGATCTCCCGATCGTGGGTCATGCATGCCTACTCGCGGTGGGGAGCTGCTGGCTTGGGGATCGGCCGAGCTGCTGAACATGCTATGCCCATTGCCCCGTGTAGAGCACTAGCCTGATGGCCGTGGATGCCGGTAGATACGATACTACGGAGTACTCCATACAGCTAATAGACTTGGCAGATGCTAGTCCAGACGGCGTGGAAAATGGAAGCTCTAGAAAAGGATCGCGTGAGGGGTGGTTCTTATTAGACACTGCCAAGCGCGGAGCGGGGCATCCACCAATCAGCGGTGCCACAAATGGTCGGCCCTATCTGCCGCACTTGAGCGATGGCTGGAGCCTAGAGCGGGTGCAGGCTGAGGGCAAATCCGACTGCGTGGATTGATGATAACCCCTGCTCACGCGATATCAAATGTCAGCTGTCACCAATATCCCAGAACCGCCCGGTTTGTTGTGAATACCACTGATATCACTGTCATGCCACTACAAGAGTACTGTCCATCGGCTCAAGGCTCCATTTCCAGTAACTACTGCCGGGGGAAGACCTGTGAGGCAACAGGGAGTCAACGTTGCATCAGTCAGTTGCATTCAGCGCTCAGACGGCGTGGTGAAATCAGGGTCATCCGTATGTCTATGCCAGTACAGTCAGTGTTTGCTCGTAGGGGAATAGAGATATCAGTGAAGATGCATGTTTGCTGGCATTCATCGTAACAAGATGGAATGAAACAATCAAAGAAGTGAAGACCAACAAAGAATCTGGAAGAAAGAACTGCCGGTGCCGGACACTAGTCCGTTTTAGGACTGGTCAGGGCACGACGCAGCCAGGCCGCCAGGCCGCGAGGCACGCAAGGGGCTCCCACAGAAAGAAGCCAAAACCAAGAAGCCAAGAGAACACCAGCGCTACTGTCACCAGGCCCGGTGGAACTCGGTTGTAACCAGAAATCTCTTCCATCATACATTCTACTCCGTAGAGTCAGATACTCATTACTCGGGTCGAGCAATTGTGTGCTTTTGTTAAATTGTGTGCCTCCGTTCTTTGTTTGCCGCAAAGTACGACTCCATGTCGATCAATAACGGTCAGGAAATTCACCCGGGACTAGTCCATGGATGGAGATCCGGTTCGGGAGTGGTCTAGAACTAGGAGCACGGCGCATACCAGCCGCCGGACGGAGTACTTCGGATGTCACTGCTGGTACCTGTACTTCATTCCCCCAATGTCAACCCGGTGGTGCTCAACTATCACCGAGGTCACCTGTATAGGCTCGAGCCTGCCAGGTCACAATCAGGTCAAATCACAATCAGTATCCCCTGTCAGATGAGCACGCTGCTAGTCTTGGGACGACGCAAAGTCAGCTTCTCCATGTCTGATGACTCGGCTCCTCTCCGGCTCTGACCAACACTTTGATATAAGCTCGACATCCCAATCCAGGCATAGTTCGTGACGCAACCATGGCTCCGCCCAACAGAGCCCTCACGATGCCGACGCAGTTGGTCGGGTTGGAATCCTGCAGGCAAAGAGTGGAAATTGGCCGGGGCCATCCGCCGGGCGACGCGGTGGGGTGCATTCCATAGTGGAATGCATGACTCGATGCTCAAGAATCAGACGAATCCACGCCAAAAATGAAGTAGCCATTCGCAGGATGGTATAGCTCGTACCGCTACCAGGGAATCCCGACTCAACAATCGGGCAGGCCGGGCAGCCAGCACCATGGGATAGGGCGTATCCCTAGAGTGAAACCATCTGTTACCCGCAACCCCGAGCGCTGTTGGACCCGACCGGATCGTGTAATTTCCATCGGGGCCCCGTCATTCCCGCGATCGACCAATCAGGGTGCAACATTGGCTTCTGGCAGACCCCTGCAATCTCCACCCGGCCAGGGATCTGCCCGTTCGTCCTCAAATCGGATCTCGGTCTCGCGTTTCACATTAAATGTCCGATGGGGAGCCGTCATTTCAGCGCCAAACCTGTCACTCTTTGTCTACCCTCCTTCTATATAAGCTGTCAGTCCCGCCGGCGACTTCACTGGGTTGATTTGATCCTCAGCTTCTGGAAAGCCTCTGCCGTCTTTCGATTCAACTTTCGTCGTTCTTTCATCATTCACTCGTTCATCATGTTCGGTAACCCTTCGCGCCTCGTCCTGGGGATGCTCGGCTGTATGGCCATGCTTCCCAGTCAGGTTACAGCAGACCATATGCGCTACGGTCGTCGTCACCACCATCTCGCTACGCTCGCTCAGGCTCCCACTGCAGCCCCTGAGGCGGATTCTTGTGGTTTTGAGTCTGTATCCACCACACCTGTTTCCGTCGCTACCGCTGCCTATGCCACGGTCTCGGCCTCTGCTTACGCATCCGCTTCTGCTTCTGCTTCTGCTTCTGCCTCAGTCTCGGCGGCATCAATCAACAGCACCAGCGCCAAGGTCATCATCCCGTTCTACGTTTATCCCAACCCGGGAGCCTGGACCCCCATGGAGGAACTGTACGTCCCCTGCCTACTCAATAAATTCCACTACTAACGGTTTAGGGTTGCTTCCTACCCCAACGTTCACTTCACCATCATCATCAACCCCGACAGCGGCCCCGGCTCCAGCAGTCTCCCGGACAGCAACTTCCTGTCGGCAGTGCCCAAACTCACCAGCTACAGCAACGTGCTGGCCATCGGCTATGTTCCTACTCAGAAGGGTACCCGCGCGATTGCAGACGTCGAGAACGACATCAAGACCTATGCGGGCTGGCCCACTGCCTCCGGAAACTCCTCTTTCGCCGTGCACGGCATCTTCCTCGATGAGGCCCCCAACGCCTACAGCGCCGAACTGGTCTCGTACTACCAGCAGTTGACCACGTTGATCAAGGATAGTGATGGTCTCGGACCGGAGAATTACGTATGTAACCAGTCTCCCAACACATTACCACGTACTGATAACGATAGGTCGTAACCAACCCCGGCACGGTCCCCGACTCCGCCTACCTCAGCATTCCCGACTCAACCGTCGTCTTCGAGTCTCCCTACGACTCCTTCCTGAGCGCCGTCTCGGCCAACACCTTCGCCAGTATTCGTGGCGGGAACCACAGCTCCATGGCCTCTATGGTCTACTCGGTCCCGCAGACCGTGCATCTCCCGACTTTGATCGCGCAGGTGGGTAACATCTCCGATCAGATCTTTTTGGGTAATACCAGCACGTACGATGTATATAACTCGTACATGAATGAGGTGATTCCGTTGTTGCCGAATGCGTGAGCAGATCCCTAGGGGGTATCGTGGTTGGATGGTATCGATCTTTCTTTCTTGTCGCTCGTTGAGTATCTTCTTGTATATAGTTGTATGTTGTTGAGCAATGTGCAGGTTATGCCACCGTATGTTATCTCCCTGTAATTTCACTATCCTAGAACCAGACGACGTTACACTGATACTCCTGATGCCTAATACCAAATGAATTCTACTATACCACCAACCCCTCAGAAAGAGAAATCCAAAAGCAAATATAAATCCAAACTACCTATCAACCTCCCCACCCACCAATACCCCCCCGGCCCTCTTACACCCCACATCCAAACCCATTAAAATTACCACACCCCCCAAACCCTACACCCTTATCAGCAAACCCCTATACCCCATCCCACCGCAACAGAACAACCAAACATACCTATCCCAACCAACCAACCCTCCATACTGAATCCATTCAATTCAAGAATTGATAATTGATGATTAGATAATCTCCAACTCCCCAAGCCCAACCCCCAAACCAACATCGGCCCCCACATTCGCGGCAGCATTGGCTCCCACGTCCGCGCCGATATTGATCCCGACGGGGTTGGCGCTGGCGAAGACGGCCAGGAAGGAGAGGGCGGAGAGGATGAGGAAGTTCATTGTTATGGTCTGTTGCTTGTGAGTGTTTGAGGTGGGATGGGGTGGGATGGGATGGACGTACTGAGTTTGGTATTGGAAAGATATGGTGAGTTAGTAGTTGGATGAGTGTAGTAGAGTAGGGTTGATAGCTGAAGACCGATTGAAGATGATCGATGGCTTGATGATCCATGAATACTGCAGAATCCTACAGGTTTATATACCTCTTCTTTACCTACTATTCTACTAATTTCCTATCAACGCCACTCTATCCAAGGATTAGACGATAAGATACAACGATATCACATGGCTGTTGTATCAGACACACCCGACTACTGAATTTTGGGCCGATCGGCTCGATTTTGCGGGGCCTCAATTTTGGGTTCGCTGCCGTTGGAGTTAACCGTGGCCGTTAGATTTGAGATTTGAGATTGTGAGGCTTATCGCTTATCTACCTTCGCTGGCTGGTTTACTATTATGTGGTAGTGAGGGGGTAATGAGGCTTACTAGTAGGTAGATTATTGTTACAAAGATTGCTGTGGGATTAGGATTTATTTGAGCCTTACGGTTATTACATGAACTACGGAGTACTCCATAGTATTAGTTAGTACTGTGCTGGGCATACCCGAAGATTACCCGACAGTATCTATCTTATCTCCTATCTACAATCTACCTCATCTGATTTTAAGATCAACCAAAACTTCGACTGAAAGTCTAGATTCCTATCCAATGCAATGCAATATTATGCATCTGAGCCGAGTATATCGGAATCTCCATAATGGTAGACATGCACGTGGCAACCCCCTGAACCACGGTGTCTCCGGCGGCCGGCCCGAACCAATGTTTCTGATCGGGTTCGGGCCGTTTTTGTCCGATCGGTTCTATTTTGTGGACTGCTGTACGGAGTCCGGAGTACCTTGGGCTATGTGGGGAATTCCTTGACTGGAGTTTAAAGGTTTGGGGAATGAGCATTCTTGGTGAGGAATGCGTGTCTGAGGCTGGAATGGTTTTGTGGGTACGTGTCGGTATTTTCCGGAATTGAATGTTGCTGAGTTTACAGAGTACAGAGGAGAGGTGAATGAACATGAGCACCTCGAGCTGGTTATGTCAATTAAGTTCAGACGACACCATGCAGATCCTGCTGATCTTCGTGCTGCTCCGGGCCAGTCTCCGATGCCCTGTCTCGCCTTTCCGATTTGCATGTGACTGCAATAAGTTGTGCAATTCTCCTAGGCATGTCGCTATACATCCGGAATCCCAGCCTCATGCTCCAACACCACCGGGTGCTTGACCCCCCCGACCGTCAACTTACTCCAATCCCTTTCCACTCCCTCCTCGATATCGGGGAACGGACCTAACGGGGTAATCGCCGTGGGATTCACCTGCCAATGACTCTTCGTGTACTATTCGGTCAATACCAATACCCATCCCCCTGGGGAGATACTTACATTCTCCTTGATATGCTTAAAATCCGTACTCGCCCGTGCGGCCTCCACATCCCAATACATCCCCTTCAACCAATTATGCAGCACCGGGTAATCGTGTCTGATCGTGCCGAGGTTGCATTTGAAGTGCTGCACGTACACCACGTCGAACCGAATCAACGTGGCGTACAACATCACGTCCAACTCCGTCATCTCTTTGCCGAGGATAAACGGGCCGCCGTGAGCGGCCACAATGCGTTCCAGTTTATTTAAGGCCCCGAAGACCCGGACTACCTTCTCGTCATATTCCTCTTGTGTTTCGGCGAAGCCGGCGCGGTAGACGCCCGAGTTCACGTCCGATTGCATCCAGGGACTGATGGCGTCGATTTTGTCGCGCAGATGGGCGGGGTACAGATCGATATCAGCTGACGAGGTGGGGATGTGCTCTTTGAAGGCGTGGGGGAGCCATCTGAGTAGTTGCAGGCTTTCCTATTTGCTGTAAGTAAACTACCTCACCACAGCCCCAAAGAGTAAGAAGGAGAATACATTACAAACGGCCGTCCCGGCAACCTTATCCCACAACAACGGCACCGAATACCGGCCTTTATATTCCGGATCCGCCCGGAAATACACCTTATGGAGGTAGTCCTCCCCGTAGAGATGATCTACCGTCGCACCCGGGTACTCGTCGTCCGTGGCGGGGAATTTCCATCCCGGCCAGCCTTTCAGATCGCCCTTTGGGTAGGGTCGGACGATGCTGAGTGGGATTATCTTGGTCAGGTTGTAGAGGTGGCGGATGAAGTTGACGCGGTGGGCGAAGGGGCAGAAGAGTCCGATGTATAGGTGGTAGCGGTTTGGGGCGGCGGGGAAGGTACTGCTGGGGATGGTGCCGTGCCAGCTGTCGGCGGTGCCGGGTTTGTGGATTTGGGTGGTCATTGTGTGGTTAGAGGATGATAATTGTAGAGGAGATGAATGTTGTAGAGGATTGATGGGGGATGATGACAGAGATGCATCACATCATGCGGGGTACGGAGCTATTCCGCCCTCCGTCGGATGATTCGTCATCGCAGCCTGTATCGCTGCCAAGCCGACACGTGGAGCTGCCAGATACTCGGTACTTCAATGCAACAAACAATTGTTGTCAGGGCTGTGTTGGGGCTGTATTAGCAATGGCATTGTTAGGAAGTATCTGGGTTAATATTGGTGATCTGCATGTCAGACGAGCAAGCTTTGCAGGATCGACATCACCTGACAGATATATATATATCCTGTCATCATTGTGGAATATCCGACAACTTCAGTACCACTAGTAGCTAACCAGGAAGGTAATGCAGCTCCGGGCCTTAATTCTAATTATAACCGCCTACCTATACCAGTCCTGAAGCTAAGTTGACTCCATAAGCTGATACAGGGGCAGAAGACATGGGTGTCGTTTCAATGTTACTGCGTCAAATGATCCGCGTGGCATCTGGTTGACGGTCTACCCCTACAAGTGGGTACAAGATATGAAGACTAGGATAATGGCTGAGCTATTAATTTGGCACCCTTGATTTATCGGAACAAGCTTTACTGGCAGCAGTCACCAAATCGGGACCGGACCGGATCGGACCGCCAGGGCACGTGATTAGGGCCGCAGCAAGGCACCATCCAACATACACAGTACTGTGTATTCCACTGTGGCTGTTTCATTCGGAGTTAAGGCATAGTGGATCTCTGCATAGTCATGGAGATTTTTTTGCGAGGAAAGCATTGCCGCCGACTGCAACGGATTGCCATGTGTTGTCTTTTCAGCACATCACTGTATGATCGAAATTGGCCACTGAACTGATTCAATCAACAGCTGCTCAGGAACCAAATGTATTCATGAATTGGCATGGATACCAACATCATGGCAGTGATGCAGTTGGCACTGCCGATCGATCGTCCAAGACATGCCCGATTCAGCTACGCTAAACCCGCCGTCAGCCTAGGCCCCCCGCTCAGCCACGCTGCTCCGACTACATGCCATGTTGGACTCTTCAGAGCGGTTCCAACTGGAGAATCATGCAAACGTCCTTGGGGGCCAAACTTACTTACCCCTATCCGAGCAGAGAATAAAAGCCGGCAACCCGCCGTGCTACCTCAGAACAACCCAGACCAGACAGAGAGAAGTGACAGAAAACATCATGAACCGCTGGTCCATTCTGTGCTTGGCGAGCGCCGTTCCTGCGCTAGCGGGTTTGGCGGCCCGTGACCCCATCGCTACCATCTGCACCAAGAACAACATTATCACTACCGATGACTTTATCCTTTACAACAATCTTTGGGGGGAAGATACGGCCACCTCTGGTTCCGAGTGTACCTACCTCGACTATGACAGTGGCAATTCCATCTCCTGGCAGACCTCGTGGACTTGGGCCGGTGGCAGCGGGGAGGTTAAGAGCTATCCCAATGCTGTCCTGAACGTGGGGGCCAAGCAGCTCAGCACTATCACTACCATCCCATCGACCTGGTCGTGGAGGTGAGTCTATCCCTCCCGGTTAATAATGTTGAACTAACCAGTTAGTTACACCGGCACCGACCTCGTCGCCGACGTCTCCTACGACGCCTTCTTTTCCGCCTCCGACTCCACCACCGCCACCCACGAATACGAAGTCATGATCTGGCTGGCCGCCTACGGAGGCATCGAACCCATCGGCTACTCGGATGGCCCGATCGCTAGCCCCACCATCGGTGGCTACACCTGGGATCTGTACAAGGGGCCGAACTCCTGGACGGTGTACAGTTTCGTTGCCCGCGAAACTATTACCGATTTCTCCGGTGATATCATGGAGTTCTTCTCCTATCTCATTGATGATGAGGGCGTGTCGTCCAGCTTGTATCTCCAGACTTTGGGGGCCGGGACGGAGCCGGAGACGGGCTCGGATGCGTGGTTTACGGTTTCGCCGTATACTATTAGCATTAATACTTAGGTGGGATATATGTCGGAAATAGTGTTGCGTGGTTATGTTGGGTGCCTGTACAATTATTGGCGACAGATTTAGGTCTGTTTGTGATTTGAATGGGTGATTCGAATGGGGTAGTTAATAATGCTATTTTGATTGGTGCTTCTCTGCCCTGATGCGTAAGGTAGAGGTTCGAGTGGACTGGAGATGTTGATGAACAGAGTCTGAGTGGATGGAGAAGGTAGCAGAGCAATCGGAAATAACCGGAAGATATTCAAGCGTGGCTTGTGTAGCATCGCGTGTATCCGAATGGGGGTGCGCGTGCGCGTGTTCGTTTGACGCCTCAGGCAGTACGGCAGCAAGGCACGTGCCTAGCCGCCGGTACACATAACTGGCATCCCTCTTCCGTCTTGCACCATACGTTGGCTGGTGACAACCCGCTAGATTTTCATCATTTTGCGACTCGGTTTCATCCATATACGATCCCTCAGTTTCATGCTGTCTCAGGACATGGTGTATGCATCAATCACGTCAACCAGCCAAGCCACCGAAAGTCTCTCAGTCAGAAATGTCTCCTGCAGGCTGTCCTGCCATCCCGTGAGTGGGCCTCGGAATTGTGACTGGTCAGTTTGACTGTGGTTTCGAATTGATCGACACAACCGATGACTACTGCATGTTTCAATGTATATTTGCTTTGCTGTTGAGTTGTTCATCGAGAAAAGCAACTACTAGACCGGAAACAGTTTGGTATTCTGACCATCTCGTGGATCCCCCCGGTGCAACGGCCATTGAGCCGCCGGCTAAAGCTCAGCATCTCAACATGACCGCTGTATTGCATATCAGGCGGATAAACATCCAGGTGATGCGTTGCCAGCGACCAGGTCGCGGTCAACTCTTGATGTATGCAACTTTATCGAAGGTGCAACCGGTTCGCAAGAAGCCGCTGATACGTTCATGTCGGCCGCAAGATCGGAGTTAGTATGCATAGTCATCGGTCCGAGGACCAGTGGTTTCTGTAGCCCATGTCGAAGTCATGAGCATCTTGTAGACTGCGAGGTATGTCAGAATCAGGTGAGGAACCAGAGAGAAAGAATCGCTGTTAACCACAACTGTGTATGCGAAAGCTGGAAGCTGACAACGAACAAACCTTCAGTAGAAACAATTTATTGACCTCCAGGCACTTACAGATAAACCCCACAGAGTCGGGCCAGGAAGCCCGAAAATATGCGCTACCATTGGCCAGAGGATACGCACCTTTTAGTCAACATGACAAAGACTGTTGCACAAGATGCACACATCAGCTGCCTGGCTGGAGCACATCTGGACACTTGGAAGCCCGACGAGAAGAACGCATTCAGACCAGGACTGGCTCCACTCCTGACCTGATCGCTCCAGAGGATTAGTGGCAGATCTCCGACTGCCATGCAAGCACAGCGATATTTGAGTCCGCTTACAGCCAGGCAGCAATTAATGATCGGCTGAGATCAGCTGAGTAGCTAGACTGGGATGGATATACCGGAAATATCCCGAAATGACGGAGCAGGGTTGCACGGAGCGTTGCACTCACCAGACTTTTCAGACCAGGGTATCCTATTACACAGTGTCAGCCCCGATCTCATTCACCATCCTCGTGTCTGCCCAGATGATCTCAGGGTTGTCAGCCTGGATTCTCGACTTAGTTGGCTGCTTGCGTTTCTAGACAGGGAACCGAACAAGAGTACCGATTTAGTGACCCTATAGAATCAGGTATTCACGACCGGATACGACGACAGGATCCTTCCTTTATGTAATAGTTTACAGGCCTTTCATGAGCGCATGCACTCTACTGGATTTGGAGACTGCAGGATATCTCAATAATGCGGTGGCGTCCCAACGGTAGACGTTCATCATGCATCGAACCGGACCATCCCCGGAAATGGAAACGTGCTCGATTGCCAAGTGCTCTGCTATTGACAACGGCGCACAGGGTAACGATTCCGCACGTTTAGTTCGTCGATCGGCAATGCTAGCAAGCCACGGTAGCCGTTAATGACCGATGAGGCTTATTAAGGGATTCGATGATTTCAGGGCTTCCGCCACGGAGGAAATCTCATTGGGGGTCGAAGGCGCCGAGCCTGGCAGAATCATCTTCGACACTCCATGCCTGAAACCACCGTCCGCTGACGCAGCGGTACGTACAGGTGGCTGCGATTGGTCGTCCTGGCTTGGATGATCCAGGTTGCCGGCTGAATGCTACAACAAGACATTTTCAGCTGCTGCCTGCGGAAGATGCGATTTAGCTGTGGAGTATATGATATGTGCCATTAACGAAGTCAGCCGACTCAAGCGCCTGTCGCAATAAATGGCCATAAGGCATCGCTCAGTATATCAATAATGTCCTAATGATACTCTGGATCACCGGTCTGGTTTGAAACATGCACTCAGCTGGCCTACGTCACACCTTACGCTACGCCGCCGGCTCAGTCAGATCAATTCTCTTGCCATGAACGGCCTGACCTTGACCACATGGAAGATAATTAGCGAATGAAAAAGCAGGATAACATGGTGATAGCCAATCCACGCACAGACCGACCAACTAAAACAACCGCTCTGCCACCCAAGATCAGGGCGTCAAGTGTAACGATTCGTATATGCTAAGTCTTGCCATGGCACCGATGTCTGAGACAGGTACGATGAAGTATAATAGACTACCTCACCGCATTTGTATGCAGCTAGCATCTCGCTGTTATATCTTGTCAGATATTGTCAAATCCGGGCGTTGTTCGGGATACCCGAAGTTAATGAGAGTAACATGAAGCACAGACAGGTATGGCATCCATGACGCGCAAATCCGCACTAACAAACACAGAATCATTCTGGACATGCCATGCCAGACTTGGCGTGCACCAGATGCCGGGAGCGCAAGATACGCTGTGGCCGAGAACGGCCTCGCTGTCGGAACTGTGAGAGGGAGGGAGGCGTGGTTTGCGTCTACCGGATTCCGGCCAAGCGCGTCAACCATCTTAAACTTCTGTAAGTATATTCCCTGCTCGTGAGAGCACATCTAATCAATGCAGATGTGATAGCATCGAACGGCTGCAGGATCGATTGACAACCATCGAGTCTCATCTTAGTCGACTTCATGGACCCGGCCTTGAGGAGCAGACCACCCTTTCGTGTGGGTTGCGTGGCATGTCTGCAAGCAGTGGCAATGATTCCGATCTCGATGACGACGACACCAAGGAGGGGGTCATGCAACAGCCAGACTATTCTTTCGGATCTGCCTCTGTTTCAGATCTCTGCGACCAGCTTCGGAGACGCATTTTATCGGCGGCCGAAGATTCCGATGCCGAATGGCGGCCGCGGTGCGACATGCTCCAGCACCTATGCGAGATGGCAAGCCGGACGGAGCCTTTTCCGTCTTACAACGATCGGATCCTTGTTCCGCTGCTGCCTAAACAACAGGTGATGACCGCCATTGATCGGTTTCTTCACCAACAAGACTGCCAGACGGACATTTTTGTTCCTGATAATCTCCGGGCCAACCTTGACCGGGTGTATGCTCAGCAACAGCCGCAGCCTGACGACGATGCATGGGGGATTTGCTTCCAGACCATCGCCATACTAGCCCTAGGCTCAGGACTGTCACCACAGCACGGAAATGGGCTATTTGGCGACTTTGCTCGATCCTTTCTACCCACGCGAGCGGCTTCGGTCAGCTCCCGCCTGCTAACCACCCCCCGGCTTATCAATGTGCAGACCTTGCTCCTTCTTGTGGGTGCCATCTGTATACTAAGATAGGATGCAGCTAACGATACAGAGTGTGGCAGCGCAACGATTGGACCCGCCCGGATGGGCAGAACTAATTTTCGCCCATGCCTGCATGCTGGCACGGTTCATGGACTTGCAGCATACAATATCTTCAGATTCCGTCACACCGGCTGAGCGAGCCAAAGTGCTTCGAGCGTTGTATGTGCGAGATCGTAGTCTGTGCACATTGCGAGGGTCAGTCCTCTGGCTGCCTAGTGATGACTCCAACATTGTCTCGCAGTTGCGGGCGATTCCAGACCATGACAAATACTCCCACCGACTGCACCTCTCTTTGATTCAGGAGGATATATACCAGCTGACCCGAGCGGGTTCAATGTCTTTTATTTCCCACAGCTCTCAAGAGAGTCTGTTGCGCACGATAGAGGAACAGCTCGATTATTATGACCGCACACTGGGTCTTCAATGCTTGGCGGCATCATCTTGTGGGCCGCAGCTTGTCACCGTGCTGGAGTTCTTAAGCACACGAATCATGGCTCTGCAACATGTCCGAGAGCCACGACATGCCGAGCAAGTTCGATGCGATGCGCGAACTAGCTGCTTGCTTTTGCTCACGGCCTCTGGCGACCAAGACCCGGCCATTGTATACAGCCTAAACGCCTTGATAAGTGGAAGCGCTCCCGAGAGAAGCCAGGGACATTCCAGCTCCGCTATCCCGTTTTCCAGCATCCTGGACGTATTTTCTCTACCTGCATTTTTTGTTCTCCTTCAAGATCTCCTCCTGGCACGGTCAGGCGAGACCCAGTCCGGGATAATGGCAGACCTGGACCTGCTGCGACGAGTATCGATCTGCTATTCAGAGCATGTCAGTCGGACACAGACTAATAACCACCACCGGAAGGTGGCCTGGATGCTTGCGCAGCTGCTGGCTTTGCTGGATGTCGTTCCAGAGGTCCAACCAAGACGGTCAGTGACTGAATCGCCCAAGGCTATACAGAATGACATTTCTACTCCGCCGTATTGGCCGGCAGCGCCATCAAATGTCCCCCTGACATGGGAGAGTTGGCTGGCTGGGGCATCATCTCTGGGGCTTTCGCCCCTTGGCTCTGGGACGCCGTTGGAGACGTGGAATTTGGTCGGTACTCAGGCCCCGGACACGGATGCATTGATGCCCTGGCCGACGAGTGAGGGGTCGTCGGCCGGGCAGGCCGGTTCGCGGCGTGAATAGAGGTCTAGTCTGATACACTGTGAGGTCAAGATCAGTGAATTTAGACGGCGCTAAATTCGGCGTGCAGTCGTCGGATGGGGCGGAGTAGATTGCTGGCAACTTGACTGGCAGTATGTATCGCGAGGGTTCCCGCGGCGTATGCCCCATTGTGCTTGTCCATTGTCTTGTTCCGTGCACAACATATACCGATGTCAGCCGGGACCAGCAGATCATTTACAATGATTGGTAAGTATTTTGGTCGGCAGAACTGTCTGGTACTTATATATAGAAATTAGCTAGAATCTGCCATTCGTACGCAGTGACTTGCCTGATTGTATACGGCCCTTCATTCTATTTGACATGCAAAGAAATAGCCCTGGTAGGTAGTACTAGCTCTGATAGGGACAACGGTGAGTCCGCCAGTATCATAGTGGGACCACAATGCGCCAAACAAGCTGCGAAATCATCAGGTTTTGTATCTCAACTCGCCGGATATATTTGAGTATGCTCTGGACTCAAATGCCCTAACAATAAGAAGAGCGGTACATTATAGCTGCCATGAATTGTGGTGATAAATTGCTTTCCTTTATTTGTCCGAAATAAGCCGCCAAGCATCATCCAGCTCGGCGTCCGCTAGCAGACTAACCATCATCAACAGACCGAACATCATGCAGCAGTGTCACACAGACCAGTTGCATGACACCATGCTATTTCTCTACCTCTACAGTAGACACACGTGCCACAGGAATGTAATACGATTGGTGGTAGGCTGTCGACAGAAATGCGGCATCTCGGCTCATCTCGGGGGTCGGGAGCCGGTTGGATATACGTAGGTATCTAGTAGCCGGTTGAGAATCATTAGCAGGTTACCCGCTGATTCAGGTTTTGATTGCTCTTCAATGATAGCCAATCCCACTGGATTGACAATAGAATTGATGCCGTCGGAGTCTGGATCTGGTTGCATGGGAGAGCCAACTGAGTCGGTTCTGCACTGGCCATAGCTATTCGGCCCATGAGTTGGTGTACCTGGATCTTGCCTAACTTTCCAAGGACATGAAGTGAATATGCCCAATGTATTGAGTAGACTAGTATATATCTCGTCCCGTCGCAGATCTGACAGTATTGACTCGGAACCCGAGCTACAATAAGCTGCCTGGTCCACAAATATATCCTCAACCCCTATTACTCCATCCACTCCACCCTAGCCCTGCCCAGACATACCACCATGTCGACCCTCTCCGGCCACTGGCAACCCATCCCTCACCACCCCAACGTCTACTACGGCTCCAACTGCGTAGCAGACCACCTCCTAAGCTCTCTCCCCACCCCCACCTCCAAAGCCATCATCATCACCGGCAACACCCTCACCACCCGCACGCCCCTCGTCCAACAACTCCAAGCCCTCCTCACGCCCACCCACCACGCAGCCACCATCTCCACCATCACCCAACACAACCCCTCCCACACCCTCGACGACGCCCTCTCCACCATCCTCACCCTGCATGCCACCGACCCCACTATCGACACCCTCATATCTCTGGGCGGTGGTTCCCCAATCGACTCGGCTAAGATCCTCGCCCTTCGCTTCTACGAGCATCACCATAATCACCCCCCTATCCCTTCAGAACCCTCATCTCCACCATCCCAACATACACAAAATGCCCCCCCAAATCCGAAACTAACCCACCTCACAATCCCCACCACCCTCTCCGCCGCCGAAACCACCCCCGGAGGCGGCTTCACCACCCCCACGGGCACAAAAACCGCCCTCCTCTCCCCACTCATGTCCATCACCACGATCTTCTACGACCCAACCTACACCAAATACACCCCGCTCCACCTCTGGCTCACGACCGGAATCCGAGCCCTCGATCACGCCGTCGAAGCGATCTACCATCCCACGGCGAGCGAAGTACCCTGGAAGATTCTCGCGATCCATGCCGTGAAGGAGTTGTTTGAGTGTTTGCCGCAAGCGAGGGATACGCATCCACGGGATGAGGGGGTTATGGTACGCTTGCTGTTGGCGGGGTTTGCGAGTAGTGGGTTTAAGGGCGGATTGCTGGGTGGTGGGGGCATGGGATTGAGTCATCGTTTGGGGTATGCGTTGGGGAGTCCGTATGGGGTGGGGCATGGGGTGACGAGTTGTGTTACCCTGGGGAAGGTGGTGGGGTTTGTGGTTGCTGGGGGGTTGGGTGGGGGTGAAGGGGAGAAGGGGGTGGTTAGGGTCCAGGTGGCGAGGTTGTGTGAGGCTGTTGGGGGGGTGAGGACGGGGGATGTGGTGGTTGATGCGGGGGTTGTGGGGGAGAGGATTGAGGGGTTGGTGGAGGGGTTGGGGTTGAGGGTGAGGTCGTTGAGCGAGTTGGGGATTAGGAGAGAGGAGGTCCCGGTTATCGTGAAGAGGGCGTTGCGGGGGGTGCAGGAGGGGGAGATGTATGAGAGGGTGGTCAGGTTGGTGGAGTCGTTTTTTTAGGCAGCTACTGGTGTATGTAGGCTGGGTGGTATGGCCTGATGGATGAGAAATTGGGCTAGGGTTTGTTAAAGAGCCCTTGGATGTGTCTAGTGATTGGCTGTTAGCTACCCCGGGCATTGAGACAGAAGTAGGCTGTGCTACCAGGCAGTTGGAATGGATATCTGGTTCATAGGTTGGCTGAATGCGCTGACAGATTCAAGCTCGGGTTCCGAACACCGCATGCGCATCCAACGACTGCTAGATCTCAGAGATGAATTCATATCAACATTCATAGCTGCTGTTATCCCAACTCCATAGATTGAATCTGATTCAGTCCAACGCAAGCATAATGTCCCAAGACATCCGCGCCCTAGCAACCGAGATCCTCGCCCTCTGCACCCAGCTGGAGGAAACCTGCAACGACTCTGGAATCCCTTCTCCAAGCCTAACCACAGACACTAAATCCAACTTCTGGTCCAAACCTGAGCTAGCGACCACCAGAACAACCGCCCTCGGCCTACTCGACCACCTCACCACCCTCCTCCAAGGGCCCCACGATTTCCTACACGAGTTCGTCTCCTCTAACTGGGACCACGGGGCACTGTACGTATTTCTCCAGTCACAGACACTAGAGCATATAGCCCAGACCGGCCGATCATCTCTTCACGACCTTTCAAAACACACCAGGATTCCAGAAGACAAACTCAGCCGTATCCTCGGACTCCTCCGGTGCCGACACATCGTCGCTGAGCCAGAGAGGGGTGTATTCTCCCTGACAGCTGTATCAGAGGAACTGCTCGAAGACGGGGACTTTTGTGCTTGGGTGGAGTTTCAGTATGTATTCCCACGTTCCCACAGAGACTAGATTGTTGCTGATTATGCAGGTTATTCGAGACCCGTGTTGCGAGTGCACATCTGGCGGATGCGCTGATACATAAACCGAATGGATATGCCGATGGCGTGTCAGGGTTCAAAGAAGGGTACGTACGCCCTCAATACTAGGAGAAAAAGACTAATTGTTAGATGGGGCATGGAAATGTATGACTGGCACGCGCGATATCCGGAGAAAGGGGAGCGGTTTCGTCGTGCGATGAGGGGGGTTTCGAGGGGTGAGCATACCATCCTACATTCTTTAGAGCTTCGAAGAAATAAGGATACTTGAACTCAGCTAAAAATATAGCCCTCGACCCTGCCGATTCTCTCCTTGAGAGCTGGATCGACCAACACCCGCCTACATCCCGGACGAAGATCGTCGAAATCGGAGGCCGGTATGGATTTGCCTCTGTTTCCCTGGTACAGAAGCATCCGGATCTCTCGTTTGAAGTCCGCTGTGACTCTCAGGATTTTCTCGACCGAGGCAGTGCACAGGTCCAATCTGGCTGTCGGGATCGGATATCCTTCACGCGCTGTCCTTCACTATTCGATTCGCAGCCTGTGGAGGATTCACGTACGGTGTGGGTCTACGTAATCCAGAACTTGTTTTGGAATTGGTCAGATGTGGATGTTATTCGATTACTACGGTCATTGAAAGAGGTATCAGATAAGTCTACGCGCATTCTAGTAACAGATGGGGTCTCCCCTCTGTCTGGAGAATTTCCTGCGCATGAAGAGATAGCGTATCGAAGGCGAGACGTCACGACCATGACGATGCATAACGTCAAGCAGAGGAGGCAGGAAGAGTGGGTGGCTGTGTTTGGGAGTGTTGGGGAGAATGTACAGGTGAGTTGTATGTTCTTTTAGATGGGCTATGCTGATGTATGTAGGTTGAGACGACGTTTGAGCGAAGTTCGCATGTTTGTAAGGGGCTGTGGGAGATACGGTTTGGTGGGAATGGTTCAGATTGAGCATCAGGGCGCTGGGGCATTAGAAGTGTTGTGAATATTATATCTACGCTCTGAAAATTTCTGAGAGTATCAACTGGCGAACCCTACCTTCCTGTTCACTTGAACCACCTGGGCCTCACCTCTGAGGCTACAACAATGTACGCACAGGTAACGCATCGCATCGCATCACCCATCATAACCCAACTTAGACAATGCTTTCCAATGATCGATATTTACCTCATTGACCCTCACCCCAGCCTGTTTCCAACCAAAACCCTCCGACCGCCAAGCCACCCAGCTGACACCATAACCCTACCTGGCAACAAAGGTATCACAACCGGCCGAAGCAATCCATGTCAGCAATCATACGAGTAACACATCCCAGCCAAGAGAATCCCTCTCTCCATCGGCCCCCGAACACCGCATACCCAGATCATATAAGCCATACCAGTGGTGCCATGCCTTTACCCACACAGCCCACAGCACCGTACCCATAACTCAATCCACCATGAACCGCGTCGACCAAGCCTACGCCAAAACCCTCACCATTCACCACTACCAACCTGACCGGACGCCATGGCGCAGACTCGGACAATGTAGCCTTCCCCCCCAACCCCTTTCAAGGGCTTGTGTACCCTGAGAAGTACTGAATCACGCACAGACCTCTACCGCATCATGGAAGACGGCACCCACACGCAATACCGTCTCGCCGCTATTGAAAGTCTCCTGCCTCCGCACTCCGAAGGGCCTGTGTTCCATTTCCATGAGATGCACGATGAGGGGTTTTATGTCACCGTATGCCCCCTTCTATTCCCTCCATCAAAATACTAAGAATGTATAGAAAGGAACCGTCCGCTTCCACAGCCCCGGCCGTCCCTCCATCGACGCCAAAGCGGGCGACTTCATCGTCATCCCCATCCGACTGCCCCATCGCTTCAGTAATCCGTTTGCCGAGGAAGCGGTGTTTATGAATACCGCGACGCCGGGGTTCTTTGTGCGCTATTTTGAGTATTTGGAGATGTTGATTGGGGAGGGGTTGGTCTTGACGCCGGAGGTGAATAAGAGGGCGTTGAGGAGGTTTGCGACGGTGCCGGTGTCGAGGGCGGAGGTCGAGGGGATGGAGAAAATGGCTGTCGAAGAGGGTAGGGGGGAGACGGAGGGGGAGAGGTATGTGGATTTGTTGGAGGAGGAGAGGAGGAAGGGTGTGGAGTGATGGTCTTTGGTTGGGGTTAGGTTAGGGTCGTAGAGTATACTCATATTGACGATCGATATGGGATAGAAGATACATGGAGATATAACCTGCATAGGGCATCAGGAGCTGTATTGGGACGATCCATGCTCGAGAATGCAGACACTGTTACAGTCAATTCCGCGTGATTAATTGCAACAATTGATGTTCTATGTTACGAAAGGAGGATATTAATCATTCGATTGGAGTTATCCTCAATTCTACTTGGTACAGATGTAAACGAAATCCTCACCACAACCAACCGAGTCCGACGAATCTACTATAAATAATCCATAAGCGATGCTCCAGCTAGATCATGCAACAGTTGACATAAATGCCAAATCTACCCCCTCCCCACCACCCTCACCATCAACGGCGGCTTCACCCAAAACCCAAACACCCTCTGCCCATCCAGCCACTGACCACTCTCCCCACTCAACTCCATATTAAACCGAAACAGCAATTTCGCCGCAATCAAGCGCATCTCCGCCCACGCCAGATTCTTCCCCAGACAGTTCCTCGGCCCGAACGAGAATGGCTGGAAGGAGTTTCTTCGGTCCTTTACAAATCTCTCCTGACACTCTGGTAGCCACCGCTCAGGGAGAAATTCGAGGGGATGGTCAAAGTTCTGGGGGTCATGATAGCATGCAAAGTGGTTGACGCCGACGGTTACTCCTCCTGGGACGAATTGTCCATTGATGGTGGCGCCGTTGGGTGGGACCACTCTGGGAAGTGTCACGGCTACCGGGGGGTAGATTCGTAGGGTTTCTTGAAGCACGGCGTTCAGATAAGGTAGTCGGGTCAGGGCAGAAACTTCAATCTGCTCGTATGTTTCAAAGCCTTCGCGGATCTCGGCCACAAGTCGGTCATACACTTCCTTGTGCGTAAGAATGAAGTAGGTAAATGCACTCAGGGCCGTAGCAGAAGACTCCGATCCGGCTATGCTGAAGGAGAACGCGTTGACGTTCATCTCGTCCCGAGACATGCCTTTTTCGGTTTTCATTGCTGCGAGGATGTAGTGGAGAAAGTCATTTCGGTCGGTGTTTCGGGATACGCGCTGGTTGACGATCTGGATGACGCGCTGCATGTTTTGTGCCCGCGCCCCGGCGATGGCTCTGGGCATGAAGAGTTGACGCAGTTGGAGGAGATGGTAGTAGGCGAACATTTGGATGAAGGTGAGTTCTTTGGAAATGGCTCGGATGGATTGCACAAAAGGGTCGTATTTGGCTTGGTCGAGGCAGTGGAAGTGTTCTCCGAAGGATAAATCTCGGATTAGGTCGTATGCTGGATTCGTTAGATAGAACACAGAGCATCAGCATGGACTACATACCAATAAAGGTGAACCAGTCCACCATATTCTGAGGGCCATCTCCCGCTCGAGAGGCTAGCTGCTCCACCAGTCGGTCCACATAGCCCTGGATCATACCCTCTTGCTCCCGCAACGCCTTTTCCGAGAAAGCATGCGAAAGCAGTCGGCGCTGTCGAGTATGCGTTGCTCGATCGGCCGTCAGAATATCTATCCATATTAGCCTGACCTAGCAAAAAGATCATCACCTACTCTGTACGCCTGTCGGTGTCCGCAGAGAGAACACAGGATCCTTTCCCATCTCATCCGACCGCGGTCCATAGATATCCTTCCATGCCTCTTCTGAAGTATAGGACAGCTCATCGGGAGCCACCCGCACGACCTGCCCATATTGTTGATGCAGCTCGAGTAGCTTCTGGTTGAGTCGTCCCTGTGCCTGATACCAACACCAGGGCAACCGCGTGGCAGCCCATAAGGCTGGACCGGGATAATGTCTCAGCGGGTGGAGAAACAAACAATAGCAGACATGAGATACCGCCGTTGCGAGACTCTATCCAGTCAGTATATCCCCTTGAATCAATCCCGGAAACCTACCAACGTGAGCACCACACCCACACCCACACCCCAAGGCCCTAGACTTTCCACTTCGAACATTGCCATCTCGATCCTCATCTGCAACACCATCCAACTCGGACACCCGCAGACCTGTATTGCAGCATTTCAAAACCGCCCGACAGCGTCACCCTCGTGTTCAGTCCCCCCTTCCCTCGCAAAAGCAACTCCCGTCCATCCATCACAGTCAGACAAGACAGTCCGGATCCCGAGCCCCAACCGCCAGGATAGTCAGCATTGCCACCTGGACCGTCAGTATACAGCGGACCTGTCTGTCTCGATACAAAAATAGACCCTGGCCGAGTGTCCAGTACTTCCCCCCCCACCCTGCAACCCTTGAACTCAGACCGACCAGACAGACTACCCCCGCACCAGACGTCACTATGGCCATTCCTACCTCCAAACCAGAGGACATGCACGTCCTGATCATCGGCGCAGGTATCACAGGTCTGATCCTCGCACAATCTCTCAAGAAGGTACCCCCCATCCCTTCCCCCCCATAATACCTCCCTACCTACGATACCCTACTAACAGGGGTAGTGCAACATCCCCTACACCATCTTCGAACAAGAAACCTCCCTCAACTACCGCAGCAACGAATGGACCATGGCGATCCACTGGTCCCTGGACCGTCTGCGCACCCTGCTCCCCCCGGCCCGCTACAGCAACATGGAAGCCGTCTCGTGTAACCCCGACGTCGCAATCACAGCCGGCGGCAACTACCCCATCATTCACGGCGAATCGGGCCACTTACTCGCCGGTGTGCCGTACGCGAAAGGCCTCCGGGTGCCGCGTAGCAAGATGCGCGATCTGTGTAGTGTGGGGGTCGAGGTCCAGTATGGGAAGCGGTTGGTGGATGTGGCGTTTTGTGAGAGTGGGAGGGGGGTGATGGCGGTTTTTGAGGATGGGGAGGTGGTGAGGGGGTCGGTGCTTGTGGGGGCTGATGGGCCGAGGAGTAAGGTGAGGGAGTTTGCGATGGGGGGGGTGGAGAGGGCGGCTGTTAGTCGGTTTCCGATCTTTCATACCAATATGACGGTGTGTTATGGGGATGGGGAGAAGGCCAGGTTGGTGAGGGAGAGGTTTCCGACGAGTTATCTTGCGTTGAGTGATCGGTCGTATCATGCTTTTCAGTCCAGTGGGTTGCCTGCCTTCTAGGGAGTTGGAGTGGGGTGTGCTAATTGGTATAGTCTCGAGCATGCCTGATGGTCCGGATCATCCGGAGACGTGGATCTTTCATCTCGCGATGGCCTGGTTCATGGACCATGGTCAGCCGGCGACGTATCGCGAACGACTCGATATGATCCGCGAAAAGGCGCAGAGTTTGGCTGAGCCGGCGCGGTCGTCGTTTACGTGGATCCCGGATGATACGCAGGTTCATAAGGCTGATATCAGTTACTGGGTTACGCAGCCGTGGGATAATCGCCTGGGACGGTTGACTTTGGTGGGGGATGCGGCGCATCCGATGCCGCCGTGTGAGTATTCCAATGGGATGAAGGGACATTGCTGATGTGTATGTGGCAGACCGTGGTCAAGGACTTAATCATTGCATTTGTGATATTTCGCATCTGCTGGCGGGTATTCAGCAGGTGGTGGAGGGCACGGCGACCCTGGAGGAGGCAGTTACGGCCTACGAGGCGGAGATGGTCCCTCGGGGGGCGGAAGAGGTCAAGTGCTCGGTCGAGAATGGATACATGTTGCATGACTGGGACCAGATCCGTGAGAGTCCGGTCTTTCGGCAGGGATTCCGCCCGATGACGGGGCACGATAAGGGGTCGGTGGATGAGCATGAGAAGATGCAGCCTATGGATATTGCTGCGAATTGAGTGGATCAAGCTGGCATTATACTAGGGCAGGTTGGTAGACGGTGAATACGATTGTTTAGACGGAGTGTGGTTTGCGGTAAACCATGATAGGAATATATATCAGGTCCACAATATCGGAACACTTCCACAACCAGAGATGACGGACTTAAATTAACTCTAGGATTGAAAGATACAAAATGGGTTCCCAAAATGTATCGACGATAATCTACATCGCAAAGAGCTGTTTGTAGTTAATTAGTTATACAGTTGAGGTGACTCAGCAGTGGGTTAGGGCTGGGACCTAATTGTAGTCCTGAACAACTGCAACAGGATGTACCCCACATACAATCGTGCCATAAATGTAGCCGTTAAGCAGGCAATTGACACAGGCAGCATAATGACCATTACATGCAGCCACACCTGCAGGGCTCTACATCCCTGCTGTGACTCCACACGTGTTGACTTAATGCCTCATACTACGGCACCGCTGCCATTGCCATGCAGGAGCAACTGCCGACCGAGACTGGTCGAATCGATGCCGGTGACTGTGTCCGAATCATACGATCTTGTGTTACACATTAGGGCTGAATGCAAGGATAGTCCAGTTGCCGCAGACCGTCCCTCCGATAGATTGTTGGTCCCTGACCACGCATATTCGCCGATAACCGTCCTTGATGGAAACGATATCGTCCAATTCCGAATCTTGTGTGCCGGAGTCCAGATTCCGTCATGCCTCGGCTCCCGAGAATACCCTCCGAACGACGATGAATGTCCATAAATGATGCCCTTTTTATTGGAATAGACATCATCATCCATGGTTTTCAGCTGTCGTTCACGCACCACAATGTCTGCCCAACGCCCCTTCGCCTTGACCATCTGCGGATACCGCAAGCCTGGCATGGACGAGGAAGAGTACCATCGCTATCTCAGTGAGCATCACGCGGAGGTGGTCAAGAACCATCTAGTCAAATTTGGCATCCGCACCTATACACTGGTAAGCATGTCATGCAATAATCCGGCAAAGATTAACACTGCAGACCCACAACACCACCGAATCTAAGCAGCTGATGAGCCGCATCTTTGGCAATCTCCCCGAGGGCAACACCGGTGACTGCGACTGCTATGCCCAGATCGTCTTTGAAGATGTCGAGGATTACGTCCGCGCTCGCAGCGATCCCTATTACAAGGAAGTCATTTTCCCTGATCATGCGAACTTTGCGGACTCGACCAGGACGCAGTTTCTCACGGGCTGGGTGGAGGCCCACATTGTTGATGGCAAACTGGTTTCGAAGGATTGATCGAGGAGAATGGACCAGGCAGGAGCTGCTGCAGACGCGGGTGTCCATAGAATAGAAATGAACATTGCTTTTTCATAGGGTGCTGCCTCCGTATAAATGATCAAGCCGTAGTCCGCGGATGTATTCACCTCATGATCATCCGTCCTCCCATACATCGCATGCGACCATGGTGAGGTTCCGATAGATGGTGCCATGATGCAGTCCGGTAGTATGGACGTTACAACACCAGCAGTTCGTACCACACTCGGTGTCCAAGCACTCATGATCTCCCCGCTTCTCCATTTCGTGGCGATAAAGCTACACCCACTGATTCGGCCACCAGGAACCCTCCGAAATGGACCCGTATCTGCACCGTCAGCGCTCCAGCGAACATATTGGCCAAGATAGCTGCAAACACCACAGGTCGATTGACACCTGTCTCCGAGACTTGCAGCTGAGGATGCTCGAAGATCTTCGGATTCACACTGTCAGCGAATTCGGGAGCCGACCCATGTCTCCTCGTGTTCGTAGGAACACATTCGACAGTGTCCGCTGGTGATCAGCAGTATGAATACTCCAGTCGACCAGGAACTGACTGCTTCATGCCAGAGGCCCTCCTCATACGTGGGATGCAAGAACGGGAGTATTCAGCGCATGAACATGGTCCTTAGGACGACGTTGCAAGACTCGAGCGCACCCACGGAAACCTCTGTCATCGACATGGAGGCACCTGCCGAGGTATTCATCTTTGGTGACCAGACAGTGGCGTTTGAGCCGACATTGCACTCGCTGCTGCATATCAAGGACAACGCGGTTCTAACCGACTTTTTCGATCGCGTTGGGTTCCAACTGAGACGCCACGTGGGGAAGTTGCCTTCGCACCAGCAGGAATGGTTCCCTTTCTTCACCACCCTGATTGATCTGTTCGCGCAGCATGAGAACTGCGTGGCAGCGCCGGCATTGAAGTTTCCGTTGCTTTGTGCGACCCAGCTGGGCCAGTTTATCCGGTAAGTCTGATGCCCTTCGAGACTGCACGAGCTCATCCGAGTAGGCATTTTGGACAAGGGGCAAGAGCGTATCCTGCGCCGGAGAGTACGTATCTGGTAGGTGCGTGCACTGGAGCCTTTGCCGCTGCGGCCATTGCCAGTGCCCAGACCCTGGCCGAGCTTCTTCCTGCGGCGGTGGAAGCAGTCATCGTTGCGTTCCGGACGGCGCTCCGGTCCATGATTCTGCGGAATGATTTGGATCCTTCGGTGGATGGGAGGCAGAGAGCATGGTCGGCGATTGTCGGGACAGTTGAGGAGGAGGCAAGGAGTGCTATCGACAAGTTCAACGTAGCTCAGGTATGTGATCCCACTAACGCGCGAGTGAAGCTAATGAAAGCAGAGTCTGCCTCCAGTGGCTCGCCTGTATATCAGCTCCATCAGTCGAACCAGTGTGTCTGTGAGTGGTCCACCGTTTCTGCTGAACGAGTTTGTTTCCTCCTCTCCATGGAAGTGCTCGTTCCTACCTATCGAGCTGCCTTATCACGCGCCGCATCTGTTCCGAAAGGATGATGCAGAGGCCATCCTGGGTGACTTTCATGACCCTTGCCTGCGGGAGTATACTCAGCGGACGAGAGTCATCTCCGCCACATCAGCAGAGGTGATTGCATCATCCGACCTCCGGAGTCTGTTCTGTCGCGCTGTTCAAGAGGCCCTATGTGATCCGCTGCAGTGGGATCTCATCATCGCATCCATTTCACAGGAGCTACGGGAGTACCAATACCCAGAATGCATCATATATCAGGTCTCCTCGCGGAGTGGATCACTGCTCAGCTCAGCCCTAACCCGAGAATCACCGGTCAAGACAAACCTGGTTCACTCCATCGGCGATGGCTCGGTCCCCCCATCACTAGCCACCCCAACCGGCAAGTTCTCGCAATCCAGTATCGCCATCATCGGATTTTCTGGCCGCTTTCCCGAGTCCGGTTCCAACGAAGAATTCTGGGAGATGCTACTGGCCGGTCGGGACGTGCATCGCACCATTCCGGAAGAGCGATTCGACTGGAAAGCACACTATGATCCCACGGGCAAGACCAAGAACACCAGTCGAGTCAAATACGGGTGCTTCATCAAGGAGCTGGGGGTCTTTGATGCACGATTCTTCAACATGTCGCCCCGGGAGGCAGAGAATGCGGATCCGGCACAGCGACTGGCCATCACCACGGCGTATGAAGCAATGGAAATGGCGGGACTGGTCCCGAATGCCACGCCCTCTACCCAGGGGGACCGCATTGGGGTGTTTTACGGGGTGACGAGCGATGACTGGCGTGAGGTAAATAGTGGACAGAATGTAGATACCTATTTCATTCCAGGGGGCAACCGCGCATTTATTCCAGGCCGGATCAGGTATGAACCAAGACCCCTGGTAGACATTCACTGACAGTGGCAGCTACTTCTTCCGGTTCTGCGGACCCAGCTTGAGCATCGACACGGCGTGTTCGTCTAGCTGCGCAGCAATTCAGACAGCGTGTGCTTATCTATGGCGCGGTGAATGTGACACAGCCCTGGCCGGAGGAGTGAATGTCTTGACCAACCCGGATAACTTTTGTGGCTTGGACCGGGGGCACTTTTTGACAGCCAAAGGTATGACCACTATCCGTGTCCCGAATGAGGCTAACAAAATAGGTAATTGCAACGCCTTTGACGACGAGGCAGACGGTTACTGCCGTTCTGACGCTGTTGGCACGGTCATTCTCAAACGTCTCGAAGATGCCGTCGAAGACAACGATCCGATCTTTGGCGTTATCCGTGGCGCGTATACAAACCACTGCGGCCGGACCGACTCCATCACACGGCCCTTTGAAGGAGATCAGGCGACGGTTTTCAACCGGATCATGCGTTATGCGGGCGTCAACCCCCTGGATGTGGGCTATGTCGAGATGCACGGCACCGGCACGCAGGCGGGAGATGCCACCGAGATGAAGTCGGTCCTCTCAGTGTTTGCTCCCGATCCCCGCAGGCACAATGCGCTGTTCCTCGGGACGGCCAAAGCAAATATGGGTCATGCAGAGTCCGCATCAGGGGTGTCATCATTAATCAAGGTGTTGTTGATGATGCGGAATAACACCATACCTCCACACTGTGGCATTAAGACCCGGATCAACCATACCTATCCCAAGGATTTGGCCCAACGGAACGTGCATATTCCTTTTCAACCGACACCATGGCACCGGGAGGAGATGCCACAGAGTAAGCGGACGGTATTTTTGAATAACTTCAGTGCGGCCGGAGGCAATACAGCCATGTTGATCGAAGATGCCCCGGTCCGACAGAGCGGGCCATTTCAGGACCCTCGCTCTCAGCACCTAGTGACAGTGACAGCGAAGACAATCAAAGCCCTGCAGGGCAATATTGAGGCCCTGGTAGCGTATCTGGAGGAGTACCCGACGGTGTCCCTGTCGTCCCTCGCCTATACCACCACTGCCAGGCGCGTTCACCACGGTTATCGGATCATCGTGTCAGGCTCTGATACCGACTCCATCCGTCGCCGTATGCAGGAGATACTACCAGGCCTGGAGAGCCACCGGCCAGTTCCACCCCCGGCGAAGCTTCCTAACATCGTCATGGTGTTCACCGGACAGGGGACTCTCTACACCGGGATGGGTAAGCAACTGTTTGACTCGGTGCCCTCGTTCCGGGAGAACGTCATGCGATTTGATGGGATGGCGGTCCAGATGGGCTTTCCAAGTTTCCTGCCTCTCATCGACGGCAGCATGGTCAACCTCGACGAGGCCCCTCCGATGATGACTCACTTGGCTTTGGTCTGTCTTCAAATGGCACTCTCCAGCTACTGGAAGTCGCTCGGGGTGGTCCCTGCTGCCACCATTGGCCACAGCCTGGGCGAATACCCTGCACTGTACGCTGCTGGGGTTCTTACGGCAGCGAATGTGATATACATGGTGGGCACTCGGGCTCGACTACTCTTCCAGAAGACCACACCCCGAACGCATGCCATGTTGGCAGTCAAATGCACCACCGACCTGATACATCCAGAGCTACGGGGCACGGCATGCGCCATGGCCTGTTTCAATCAGCCGGCCAACAATGTCGTCAGCGGGCCGGTGGACGAACTGCTCGCCTTGAAGGACCGGCTTACAGCCAAGGGCATCGAATGTGTCCGGCTCAATATCCCATACGCGTTCCATTCTGCCCAAGTAGACGCCATTTTGAGTGACTTTCGAACGGTGGCAGGTAGTGTCCAGTACCGAGTCCCGACCATCCCCTATATCTCGCCTCTGCTGGGAAAGGTAGTTTCGGCAGGCGATGCCGATCTGCTCAATGCCTCGTATCTGACTAATGCATGTCGCGAGCCGGTCAACTTCCAAGGCGCTCTTGGAACAGCCCAAACCGATGGTCTCGTCAACGACAAGACGCTGTGGGTAGAGGTTGGCACCCACCCAGCCTGCTCAGGCATGGTCAAAGGCAACCTTGGGTCGCAGAGCGTCTCCGTTGCTTCCCTGAGGAAGGGCTCTGATCCATGGGGTGTCGTGAGCGCAAGTCTGGAAGTGCTCTACACCCACGGGATTGACATCCAATGGACCGAGTATCATCGGGGAGTGGAGGGTCCCCGTGAAGTCCTCAGGTTGCCGCGGTATGTCTGGGATCTCAAGAACTACTGGATACCTTATCGGAACAACTTCTGCCTACTGAAGGGTGAAGGTCTGGTTTCAGCCGGCCAACAGGGATCTGCGTCGAGTCCAGGAACTGCGCGTATTGCTCAATATTTGTCTCCATCAGTGCAGAGGATTATCCAACAGGAAGACGGCCCTGAAACATCAACACTCGTGGCCGAGACGGATATTCACGATCGACGACTGGCACCGATTCTGGAGGGACACGTCGTCAACGGAGCCATGTTGTCGCCATCAGTAGGTCTTCTGTTGAGAATGTGATTCACATACTAACGTGGCTAGTCTCTCTACGCCGACATAGCCCTCACAATTGCCAAGCACATGATGCAGGCTATTGGTAAAGATAGCGAAACGGCGGGCTTGGACGTTGCCGACATGCAGGTGCAAAACCCATTGGTGTCTCGACCAGATGCTGACTCTCAGCTGTTTCGCGTCTCGGCCTCTGCCAACTGGGAGAGCCATGTTATCTCCTTCCGGCTGTACAGTGTTAACCGTGACGGGAAAAAGACGTCTGACCATGCTGCCTTCGTGGTCCGTATCACGAAGAGCGTTGACACCTGGCTGGCGGAATGGAAGCGTCATGCCCATCTGGTCCAGAGTCGGATCGCTGCCCTGCATGCCAGCGCGGAGGAGGGTGACGCGCACAAGCTGAAGCGACGTCTGGCGTACCAGCTTTTCTCGGCACTCGTGCAGTACGGACCAAACTATCAGGGAATGCAGGAGGTCGTCCTGGACAGTGACCAGCATGAAGCCACCGCTAGGGTCTCTTTCCAGATCGACGAGGACGGATTCGTGTTCAATCCATGCTGGGTGGACAGTCTCGGACATATTGCCGGGTTCATTATGAATGCCAGCGATGCTACGCCGTCCAAGGAGCAGGTGTTTATCAACCATGGCTGGGAGCGCATGCGGTGTGCCACCCGATTTTCCAAAGACAAACAATATCAGGTATATAATCGGATGCAGCTGGAAACGGGGACGACCTACGTTGGAGATACGTACATCTTCGAGGGGGACACGGTGGTAGCTGTGTACCAAGGGATCCGAGTAAGTGCCCTGCATGCGAAGTAGGCAATTCTAACGGCTATATAGTTCCAAGGAGTACCCCGACGGCTTCTTGATCGGCTGTTGCCCGCAAAGAGCCCTTCAGGCACGCCGGGGAGAGAAGCCGTGCAGCCGACCAAGCCCCATACAGCTCCTCAACCTATCCGCTCGAAGGAAAACCCCAAGCCCCTACCATCGATGCCGGCAGATAAACCGTCCAAAGCACCCATCCCCTCGAGCGGAGGCCTGGCTGGTCGCGTCCTGGCCATCATCGCCAAGGAGGCAGGGATCGACCCATCGGATTTGGGACCAAATGAAGAATTCGCCAACTATGGCATTGATTCTCTGCTATCATTGACCATCTGTGGCCGGATTCAAGAGGAGCTGGGGGCTGACGTTCCATCTTCTATATTTGTGGACTACCCTACGCCCAAAGATCTTCTTGGCTTCTTCGGTGACGTCGAGAGTGACTCCTCCCAGCCCAGCTCATCCGAGCGCAGCACCGAGGATGATATATCCAGCTACGAGACGGTCGCCACATCGGAGCATGACCCGGAGACCGCTGTGCTGGAGATCCTGCGCGCCACCATTGCCAATGAAACGGGTGTGCCACTCAACGAAGTGACGCCTACCACCGCATTCGCAGACATCGGAGTAGATTCACTCCTCGCTTTGACCATTGTGGGGACCCTAGCAGAGACGCTCGAAATTAATCTGCCATCCAACATCCTGATGGAAAACCAGAACCTGGAAGAGGTTAGCAAAGCCCTCGGTCTCGAAAGCAGCCCTAAGCCGGCGGCGCGTAGTACACCCTCAAGGCCCGCGTTTGATCCACACACGGGACCGCAAGCCACTTCCATCCTGCTCTGGGGGAAGCCCAAAACTGCAAAGAAGATTCTCTTTCTCTTCCCGGACGGTTCAGGTTCTGCTACATCCTACGCCGCCTTGCCAAAACTCGGCCAGGATACCGCTGCCTACGGGCTCAACTGTCCGTGGATGAAGACGCCAGAACAGATGACTGTTTCGCTCGAAGAGCTAACGGCCAAATATCTCGTGGAAGTCCGTCGTCGCCAGCCAAATGGACCATACTACTTTGGTGGCTGGTCCGCTGGTGGCATCTGCGCCTACGAAGCGGCACGCCAACTCGCGCAGGACGGCCAGACTACCGCCAAGCTCATTCTCATCGACTCGCCCAACCCAATCGGCATGGAGAATCCCCCGAAGCGAATATACGACTTTTTCCAGGGCATCGGACTGTTTGGAACGACCGGCAAGGAACCACCTAGTTGGTTGATTCCCCATTTCAATGCGTTCATCCGGTTGCTGGACGCCTATCGCATCCATCCTATTGATGCATCAATTCAAACACATATTGTCTATGCACGCGACGGCATCTGCAAGGATCCAAACCTGCCTCGGCCCGAGAGACGCCCGGATGACCCACGCGAGATGATTTGGTTGTTGGAGAATCGGACGGACTTTAGTGGAGATGGCTGGGCATCGTTACTGGGACGGGATAACCTGCAGATTGAGATTCTGAGCGAGGTGAATCATTTCTCCATGATGGATCCAGGCAAGCATATGGATGCGTTTGGGGAATTCTTGCGTCGTGCGTTGCTGTAGATAGGAATAGATATGACAAGTTATTCAGATAACCCCTTCATAGAGAAACCCAGTATAAATGCCCTAGCAGTCATGCCATTCCTTGTCACCTACATCAGCTTCACCGCGTCATGTTCGGGCACTCATCGCTGCCCTATCTCTTTGTCTCCGCTGATTCCGGATCTGACCGCATCCGCAGTATCCCTGGTCGCTGCATTGGCGCAGGATGCTTGATTGGCGTGACCAATCATGCTGCATGGGATGCAAGGAAGACCAGGGCAGTGGCCAATCTGGATGCATGATTCGGATGCCGAGATGGGCCAATATTGCCAATGCTGCTCTGCGGCTGCCAATGTTGCCAATGTTGGTGTAACATATCCCTCTCCTGGCTCCCTTGGAGTTCACTGCTTATCTCTGGATTGACTTAAATACTTGCCTAGATCCAGCAGATACAGCCTTACTGATCTCTCCTACCATACACATACAATCCATTGATCTCAGTTGAATTCTATATATCCACCATGGGAACCCTCACCGACCTCGCAGCCCGCATCACCCAGCATGCCCAACTGCTGGATGAACATCTCCAATCTAATAATCTGCCCTCCCCTTCCTTCTCTATCCATGCGCCTCCGGATTTTCCGAACCCGGACAAAGATCCGAATGTTGAAGCTGCCCGTGTCGCTTTGATTGAGGATACCCAGACCCTACGCAACTTGGCTCTAGGTCCAGGACAGGTTATTCGGGAAGTGGGGTGGAGTGTATGCCCCTATCTTATCTACTACTTACTCTGTCTACATCCTTCCTATCCTTCTATACCGTCAATCCCTTGCTAGCTCACACCCCCGCACCCCACACATATCAACCCCCCCAAACACCAACACCACCACACACCCAACCCTGATCTAACAAACAAAACAACCAGATAATCGACCTCTCAACCCTACACACCCTCCTCTCCCTCAATATCCCGCACCACATCCCCCTAACTCCCACCGGCATCCCCTACCCCACCCTCTCCACCCTAACCTCCCTCCCCCCACAAACCCTAAAACTCCTTCTCCGCCAGTCCGCCACAGCAGGGATCTTCCATGAGCCGATCCCTAACCACATCGCACACACGGCTGCGTCGGCTATCCTCCTACGAGATAAGCCACTGGGGGATTGGTTTACTCATCATCTCGAGGAGGTGTTCCCGGCGGGGACGAAACTTGCTGAGGTGGTGGGGGAGGGTGCTGCATGTAAGGGGGAGGGGAAGGGGCCGGGGGGGGAAAGTGCGTTCTCTCGGGCGTTTGGGATTGACGAAAGCTTCTGGGAGTTTTTGGAGAAGCACCCCGATCGACAGAGGCGGTTCTTCGGCGCCATGCAGGCGGTGGGTGGGGATGAGGGACATGATTTACGGTTTGTGGTGGAGGGGTATCCCTGGGGAGGGGTTGGTGGGGGTGAGGGTAGGGGGGTGGTGGTTGATGTGAGTTCTCTTTCTATCTTTCTTATTCTTTCCTGCTTTTATTTGTGTGTATCAAGACTAATATGAGGATTGGGGGTATATACAGGTCGGCGGCTCCTCCGGCTTCGTCAGCAGCACTCTCGCCCACACCTACCCCAATCTCCACTTCATCGTGCAAGACTACGCACATACCGTTGCCTCTGGACGTGCTCAACTCCCGTCCTCTCTGATAGATCGGGTCAGTTTCATGGCTCATGACTTCTTCACGCCGCAGCCTGTCACGGCGGATGTGTATCTGCTGCGTCATGTGTGTCATAATTGGTCTGATGGGGACGCGGCGAGGATTTTACGCGCGATTGCGCCGGCTATGAAGGAGAGTAGTCGCATTGTGCTTGTTGAGGTGGTGGTTGTGGAGCCCGGGGTTGTCGGAAGGGTGCAGGAGAGGTATATGCGGTATGTCTATTTTCCTCTTTTTTTGGTTTTCGGGTTGTTATGTTGTTGTTCTTGTTGGTAGATGGTTACGTATGGATGAGAGCTAATACAGGGGGTAGGAATATGGACGTCAACATGTTGCAAATGTTGAATACGCAGGAGCGTGGAAAAGAGGATTGGGAGAGGGTGGTCAAGGAGGCGGATGGCAGGTTGAGGGTGAAGGGCATTCATAAGCCCGAGGGGAGTTGGGATTCAATCATTGAAATTGGGTTTGAGTGATTGCACTTGGTTCAGTGATCAGGCTAGGTTGGATAGGAAGTGGATGTGTGGTTAGGTGATGTTTAGGGTCATATACCTGGAGCTTTAGGTGGAGAAGGGGGGAGTGTATCTGGTGGAGTGCTATGAGCATTGATTTGAGTGGAGAGATAATTTAATGAGGCTCTGAAGAACTATATTTATTGATTAAGAGAGGTAACTGAAATGACAGTGGACCTGTTACGGCCATTGCTATGAGCACCACCGAACTGAATACTGTCATGGTTTTAGGGATAGACTAGCTTCATTGCCCCAGAGCTATGTCGCTACAATCCACGTGTTGCGTTTCCCATTAAGCTCAATCCACCAGTTCTTCACTTTAGGTTGAGTGGATTCTCCTGCAGATATCTCTCTAGGGTGGTCAACGCCCCCCGCGCCTGTTGGGCCGACCACTGCACCTTCTCCGCCGTCTTCTCGCCATAATACCCATAGTCTTGGAACGACTTCAACATATCCGCAATAAAGTCCACCATCAACGGCGGCAGAAATCCCCGCCACACCTCCTCCGGTACCTGACGATACGCTACCGTCTTGCCTGACACCCGACTCATCGTCTCGGCAATCTCCGCGAAGCTATACAGCGCCGTCGCACAGCACAGCACCTTGCCTTCGTACTTGTCGAACTCGCTTAGAATAGTTGCTACCCATTTGCCGGTATCGCCTGCCGTATTGATCAACGGCAACTGCGTCTCTGGCGTCACAAACGAGATCAGCGCGTACGTGCCATCGCCCATCGCACGAGGCGTCATGGTCTCGTGAAAATTGGACATGAACGATCCCGGGGCGATAAAGGCGCTTCTGATGGGCAGCGTGCGGATGTATTGTTCGACCTCTTCCTTGCCGTCGAAATGACCGCCCGACGTGAGGGTCCCGTTCGAGTTCTTGGAAATGTTGGGCAAGGTCGAGTAAATGTAAAAAGGCACCCCCACAGCGACCGCAGCATCTACCAAGGCCCGGCCGTGGCTGACTTCGTGCTCCTTCGTGTGGCCATCGTAGATGGTCGTTGTGTTGCCAAAGACAACGTGGGCTCCCGTAAAGGCACGCTGGAGGGAGTTGGGGTCGGAGAAATCGGCGGGGACCACTTCCACCCCCTTGGCGGCTAGTGCCTTAGCACTGGCACTGGAAGGGTCACGGCTAGTGCCTCGGATGGCGTACTCCTGGCTCAGCTCCGGGTCGGCGAGGGTGGTCTTAACAATGGAGCCGCCTTGCTGGCCGGTCGCGCCGACAACAACGAGAATCTTGGCCATGGTCACGATGGTCACGATGAATCAATGAACTCAGAAGTGAATGAATTAATGAATCGATGTGGTTCTGGTAGAGGTGACGCAAAGATGATCGGTAAATAAGTAGGCACAAAGAACGGTGGAATCACGGACCCCGAGGCGTCGCGTTACATCAGCGGCATAAGGACGGAGTCCGACGCTTAACTCCGAGCAGTCAGTAGAGATCGTAATGTCGTCTGCTTTATCCGGAGGATATCCCCAACCCCACCTCATCTTCTTTGTGTCAACCGGGTGCTGTGGCTCGATTGGCACCCCTGGTTTCAGATGTGCTGGGATGGTTGTGACAAAGCCTCGGATATGTCCCGGCTGACCTGTCATCCTGTCTCACCATACAGTGATCCTGGCTACCAATCTCGACTGGCTGGGTCTCTTCATTGTAAAAGCAAGCCACCCATTGCAATAAATAAGTTTTGTAAGGAGAACGTAGGGTTATATGAGATGGCTCGCGATTCATACCCGGGAGACGCCTAGCATACCGCACCCCTGTTTGTCTAACTCAAGAATCACCGCAACGACTCGACTCGTCATCATCGATGCTGCATGATGTGGTCAGCGTCAGTGTACCTCGCTTATCGGGGAATACGAGAAAGCTCGAGTTCGAACCAAGGATTAGGTATAGCTACATGAATCTGACGCACTGCAGACCTTAGATACCCCTCAAGTTCGCCGTAGTTCGAGGCAAGGCAACTTTGCCAGATGCTTGAGACATGTTGATTGACTGATTTGCGTCTTTTTTAGAGCATAATTCGCTCCGAAGACATGTTCTGAATCCCGAGCATCCTGGGAGCCTCGCATTGATGACCTGTGCCAGTAGAGCTAGAAATGATCCCAGACATGCTAGACTCCTCCACGGTTCAGAAACCCCGGGACATGAAACATCCGCAATATACATAAAGTCGCAAGGATTGACCAGGATGGATTTGGGCTTTCAAACGTGTTGGGTCACCTTATCTCCCCGTCTGCTCCCCAGATGGCAGCGATATATCGTTTTGCCCTACTGGTTAAGAGCCACAACAAAAGCCAACCATAATACCTGTTCCTGCCATGCTGGGTCAAAGGTTCATGCAGGTCATACTGCGCAGCCACTGAGACTTATGGCACGAAAGTTGGTTGGGAGCACTTTCATCTGCACAATTATTGATGTTCATGCAGTTTCGACTCTCAGATACCATCTATTGCCACCTACCAAGTAGCCCAAATCTGTCGCTTCGTACCACCACACGCCTAACCACATCGTGCTGTCCTCTGAATTAGGTATATGGGAGCTGCAGGCCTGGGCAGCTCTGATCAGATCACGTGATAGATCACCTGATTCATTGAGCTCCAGGGTCAATCCACATTATGCATATCTTGTGCACCATGATAAAACGATTAGTGGAAAGTGAGATCGTGTGTAACATGCTGTATTTGATTTGTCCATCATTGCTGCTTAAATTGGGAGGACAGTAGGATCCAAAATCGCAAATTGCGGGCCTCTCGTATGTTCTAGTGTGAGGGCTCCTTTCAGGCGCCTTCCAGTCACTGAAGTTAATTCATCTCTCAATAAACCGGTTCCCTATTTCGGATAGAGTCCATTTCAATGCAGTAAGGACTTTCGCTAGTGTGGCCAGCCGAATGGCCCTCATGCCCAACGAAGTGCACCTGCAACCGGGGAATATTCATATCAACTCCGACCAGCGAACACCAGTTAAAATCCTCCATGTAATTGCATGCTGTTCCTCAAGACCGAAAGAGGTAGCACTGTTAATCCGTGGTCAGGAGTATCCGCAGTCTGACAAATTATGAGCCGTAGTAAACCCATGACCATTTGAGTCTACCGCAAAGGTTGCACTGACAGCAATAATCTGATGTTCCTTTCCGCGATTCCAATGAGGCCTGATGACCAGGACCAATCAACTGCGAAAACTCAAGAGACTGCCAGTGCCGCATTGCTGAGCGTCCAATCCGATCAAAGGTCCTCTTGACTCCCCCTCCCCCCTCCTGATTGTGAACAATTCGGCAAGATTGTGCATCATGGCGTAGGGGCAGTTGCAGGTGCCCTGGAAGCCTGTCATGCCGCCCCGTTAAGGCTTTGTTAGGATGTCTATTCAATGGCCACTATACGGCTTCATTCGGCGTGGCAGTCCATCTAGTAGAGCCAAATCGAGGTGCAAATAATTTTTGAAACAATAGAATACGAGAGGTTGTGTCTGTCTTGCAACCATCCTTGTCGGGCTCATGCACCACTAGATTGCAGAAGTTGAAAGCATGAATCAAGCCCGTGGGCTCGGCGGCTAGGCATTTTGCTGGTTCACAGCTACATTGGTCAGCAAGGTCATTATTTCGACCAGCGACCTATCGGTCACCACCTCATCACACATGTTGGCTACATCTAGAATTATGTGTAGCACTCGCAGGAGTGACCAGTCAATGTCGTGCCCCTACTGGCTTTAGCAGTCAACAACTTGAGATGGCGGTTGCTATCCATGGATTCCCTTCACCGTAGCCCGACTTTTCATGCCTTCGAGCAAACAGCGGGAACCGACAACCTAGAGTGGGTAGAAGACCAAATGGCAGCAAGGGAGAGACACTAGGGTTCCTAGCGCGAGTTCTACAACCGGCGCATCGAATCGATCATCCTCGTGATATCCATGGGCTCGTTCGCAAGGCACACCTGTGCTCGCATGCGTCCTGCGAGTCTGGTAGGGCGCCTATCCAACGCTCTGGGTTATCCCACGCTGACATGCAGCTGCAACTGTGAGTGCTCTATGGTTGTGGCAGTTTACGAAGCGTCGACCGATCCTTCGGACCCGAATCGGGACCGCATCAAAGGAAGGCGACCGTCTCAGGGGTGGCTACGATCTCTCGAGGCCTCCTATTTTGTAGTAGCATGTTATCCGGCATGTACGTCTCCTTTTTGATCCCGACATCCACGTGGTTGTTATTCGAATAGTGCGTCATTCTTGACGGAAGGCCAGTTGGAATTGAAATCCGACCAGGGGTATGACAAATTGTTGGTGCCGGGAGATCTGCCGGAGATCACACACATCAGCCTCGTCTCTGCTCGGATATTCCAGCATACGCATCACCAGCGTTGCTCCTGCGCTTGTATTGTTGACCATGGGTGTTGCAAGTGGTCACTTGGGAACATTGGCCAAGCCAGACGTCAGGCTCCATGGGACAAGGTTTATCGGTTGCTTTTCAGGAAACGGTTAGCCTTTGGTGGGGTGCAGCAAAGGTACCACAGAGTGAAAACTCACCTCAACCGCCCCCTCGTCCTTGAAAATCCCTTCCTCCACTGCCTGATGACGTTCCTGGCACGGAACACTTTATCCGGCGGTTATTTGGCCATGGATTTAGAGGGCGTGGAGACCAGCACGGTGTGAGGGAGCGAGAAGGGGGGGAGGAGGGGGAGGAGGGAAGCAGACTGGAGGTAACCGGGCGGCTGTTTAGGCTGTTTGTCTGGGCCATGTGATTCTCATTCTCCTCGGCTGCCCCTCTTCCCTCCTCTTGCACTCTTCAACAACTCGTCTCTCGATTCATCCTGATCGGCTCGGTTACAGAGGTGAGTTCCTCGCGACAAGCTGGCTGGATACCTACTAATGTGTTGACGGATGGATAGGACCCACATCAGCCTCCATGGCCATTCGAATCATGGCCATGGAGCCGCCGGGGGGACACGCATCGCAGGAAGCTCCGAGGGTCGTATGAGAGTGGGATCAGACGCATCCTCGTTATCACCAACCAGCCTTCGACGGGATCCTCGGAATCAATAGCGCGACCTAGGTGGGATCGACTACACAATCCTCTTCCTTAGGACCGAACGACAAGCGCGGCTAGCAGAGATGGAAGTCTACGGAGTTTCCCCGATCACAGCACTACCATCGCGACATGGGCTTGCGTGGATTCCCTCTACCCAGTCCTGTGATATCAGACTAGATGGAACTAGTAGCGTCAGAGCCACCCGACACAAGATAAGACATAGTGTGGTGCCTGGTCGTGGAGGTTGCCTTCTATCATCTTACTGGCTGGGCGGCTGCCGCAAAACCAATAATCCCATTGTTCGGGGTGCATTATTGCCTGACTTAAGCCAGTAGCCCTATCTCTTCCCAGGGCCCCATGCTAGATCTACGATCTCTCTCCAACTGATCAGCGCCGCTGCCCAATGACACCCGATCCCCCCCATCCGATACACGAGGCCTAGCAGGGACAGGCCGATCCACCTGTGAGATGGCAGATCCATCGCTTAAGCAAACTGAGACACTGCGGGTCAAGTATAGCCAGCCCAGGACATACGTCGACCTTAGCCACACAATCAAGCCTACCAATCAAGCATTCTGGTCAAGCACCTGAGGCTTACTGTGGCAAACCGGGACATCCATCTCCGATACTATCGCTGGGGGTGATCTGTTCAGCCCGCCACAATCCCACAAGAAAGGTGGGGTGCGATAGAGACGTAATGGGTGATGGGAAATCCGACGTAGACAGCGGGTACTTCCGCCGCAGAGACTGGAAGTGTGACTCGACCTGCGGCAGGGGCAGCGAGGGAACCGTGCTGCTGTGAAAGTGGCTTGCAGCTGACTAGACCGGGGCCATGAACCCTAGTTCTCAGGCCGTTCGTGTTGGCTTGCGGCTGAACGGGGGTGCATGTGTTCATCTGACGGCATCATGGGGCATTTCCAATAGTCTCCTCGCCCAGCCCACCATGCCTGGTGGCAATTCACATCCCCGCCGATGAGCATACTCCGGGTCAGGCCCGGTCATTTCTTTCCCTCACTCTCGATCGTCTCTTGTTGCCTCGTGGAGATGAGATCCAGTCAACGGCCTGTAGCCGGAATTTGATGTAAACCCCCCAGTCCTCTTGTTGCTTGTTTTCCTTCTATCCGTTCATCTCTACCATTCCCTCAAATTCCCTCATCCCCTCTTCAGGATTGTTTTAATTATCCTCTGCTATCCTACTCCATCTACTCCCTTCTCAGAGCTACCCTCCATCCCTGCTTTGCCTTATACTTTTACCCCGCATCCCCGTCCACGTTCTTTTCTTTGTTACTCGGGCCGATCTTCAACATGAGCCAAATCCTGGACTGTTTCCCTGAATACGCAGACACCGCCCCTCTGGATCACCTGCGAGAGACCGAGTACAAGTATCTCGATGACCAAGGGCAAACCTACCTCGATTATACCGGCTCCGGCCTCGCCGCCAAGACGCAGTACCACTCCCACAATGCGCGCCTGACTGAGCAGGTCTTTGGAAACCCCCATTCTGCCAGCCCCACCAGCGAAAATTCGACCCGACTGGTCGAGCAGGCGCGCTCCCACGTCCTCGCCTATCTCAATGCCTCCCCCGAGACATATACCGCCATTTTCACCCAGAACGCTACCGGGGCCGCACGCCTGGTCGGCGAAGCCTATCCCTTCTCGCGACAGAAGACTTTGATCCTCACCCAGGATAACCACAACTCGGTCAATGGGATCCGGGAATTTGCCCGAGGGCGGCATGCGCGCACGGTCTACGTGCCATTGCAGAGCCCGGACATGCGTGTGAACCCCGCCGTCCTCGCGGAGGCCCTCGGAGGCCACTGGTGGGAATGGGGATTGGATAAGATTGGAATTGCCAAAGAGGGCCGGTCGACTCGTGAGCGTGGTCTGTTCGCCTATCCCGCCCAAAGCAACTTCAGCGGCGTGCGCCATCCGCTGGAATGGGTCACTCTGGCCCAGCAATGCGGCTATGATGTCCTGCTAGACGCTGCCGCCTATCTACCCACCAACCGGTTGGACCTATCGGATGGCAACCCACAACCAGACTTTGTGATGGTCAGCTGGTACAAGCTCTTTGGGTATCCGACTGGGTTAGGCTGTCTGATTGCGCGGCGAGATGCGCTCTCCCGCCTGTCTCGGCCCTGGTTTTCGGGAGGCAGCGTGCTGACGGCCGGAGTGGGACACCTCTATCACCGGATGGCGGCCAATGAGGTCGGGTTCGAAGACGGAACTCTCAATTTCCTGTCGATTCCGGATGTTCACGTCGGCCTCGAGTGGCTGGAGCGAGTCGACATGAAGATGATTTCCACCCGGGTGCGTTGCCTGACCGGCTGGTTTCTCCAGCGCCTGCTCGCCCTGCACCACACCGATGGATCACCGATGGCCGAAGTGTATGGGCCCCGCGACCTTAAGCGCCGGGGTGGGACCGTCTGCTTCAATCTCCGCGATGCCGAGGGTAAGATTGTCGATGAGCGACTCGTGGCGAACGAATCGGCGGCCGCCGCCATCTCCCTGCGGACCGGCTGCTTCTGCAACCCAGGCGGGCTGGAAAAGGCGCTTGGCTTTGATGCCCGTTTGACCCGGCGGATGCGTCGCCGTCTACGCGATGTCACCACAATTGACAGCTATATCAGCATGGCCGGTTTTCCGTCGGGAGGTGCGGTCCGGGTATCTTTCGGGGTGGCGTCCAATGTGGCTGATGTCGATCGATTCTTCAATTTTGTGACGACGACCTACCGGGACCGGGTCACGGACACCAAGGGATTGTTGCCCCGCCTTGGCTGTTGAATCTGGGTTCGGATTGTACTTTGTTCAGTTGCCTGTCTTGTAAAGTTCTGTTTCTTATGATGTTTGTGATGGCCATGCTGAGGATATGCTTGAGCAGTGGTCGAGGATTGGGTTCTGCCCAGGAGATGTATAAGGTCAATAGAATCTTCGCTTAATCCTGGTCACCGGCTAAACTCCGGTTCGGATGCCTACCTATCCCTGTCCAAACACTATCCATCGCGATCTTTAGCCGACTGCTACCCATGCTGACGGCCAAAGCATACTCCGGGTTTTCCGGGCAGACCCTGACAGTTCCTCCAATCCCTCCACGGGCTGGTGGCTAGCTGAAGCACCAGGTTTTATCCCAGACTATTGATGCTATTGATATCAGGGAGGGGCACAGCCACGTCAAACACGCCACAGCCTTGCGGGCTTCGCCACAGAGATTGCTTTTTTCACCTGACAACCCCGCCGATCGCATCGGACAACTCCAACGATCCCATGCACATGGTCCATTAATGCGACCGCTTGCATGAACTGGTTCGTCTGGGCTGTCGATCCCATCCTGATTGGGCACATGGGTTTGCACCCGTTCTTCCCGGGCCACGCCGGTTTGACTGGCGCGTGGAATGGCCTCGGGGAGTCTTCCGGTTTCAATAGTGTGGTCGTGGTGGTGTCCAGTTGGATCTGAATCCTGTTTGCCTGGAAATTGAGTCGATATTCCACATGCCAGTAATGACCTGCCTATCAGGTACCTTGTGGGTACCTCCGCGTACCTCTGCCCTGGCAGGTTTACGTCGGTCAGGCCAGCCCATCTCAGCCCTTCCACAGTGGACCAATCATCAATGGCAGCAACCCCCGTTCGCGCGTCCATTGCTCGACTAGACTGCATTGGGGCACCAGTCCCTGCCAAGCGGACCCGCTCGGGCTTACAACCCCGAGATTCCGATGGATCGGCGGGTACGATCGATACCGGCAGGTACTTCCACCGCACCAGCGATATCAGCCCTCAACAGTGTGCTGTTTGCCTTCATATGCTGGATGTATGATCTGGGTGTAGACCAACCTGTGAAGTTATCGCTCGGTTGGAGATTGGGGGTTATGCATTGTTTTCATGTTGGATCCTGTGGAGATTCCGCTTCCCCTGGCTGGTTCGATCTGAGGGTGGGTTCACTGCAATTAAGATGGGTAGAGTAAATATATTGTCACCATATTGTGATAGACAGGGGATTGAGACATGCAATTCTACCTAGTTACCATGAGCAGTCACCATTGTGTTTCCGCACAATATATATTAGGTACACGACGTAGTCAATCATTCTAATATACTTGTAGTAACCCTTTAATGAATATCCATTCAGACGACCCAGATAATTAGACAAACTCCTCCACTCCATCCTAAGCAGCCTGATTCGCCAAGATCGACTGTTTCAGGCGCGTCCGTCCCACCATTTCCCGTGCCGTGGCATACCCACCCCTGTTTCACCCTGTTTCACCTAGACAGCCTGGAGATTAAGCTTATATTTATAAAGTTATCTCCCTCTCCTATCACCTGCCGCGCATCCTTGTTTCATTTTCATTCTTCATCATTTACCTAGTCATTTTTTACACCATGTTCGTCCACACCCTCGTTCCTTTGCTCTTCTCCTCAGCGCTGGCGCTGCCCACCCTCACCACCCGCACCACCCAAGCCTCCACCGAACTCTGCGGCGACTACGACTACATTATCCTCCAGGATGCCCCGTGGATCGTCTATAACATGCTCTACAACGCCGACGAGATCGTCGGCACCCAGTGCACGAACTACGGCGAGATGACTACCTCTGCGAACGGCACGAAGGAGGTCATCTGTAGTAGTGTTACGGATATTGAATATGTCGAGAGCACGTACGTACCCCTCCCCCCATAACCTTCTCCCTCAACCCCATACTCTAACCCTCTATACTTCGACAGAAACAACGTCCCCAAAGGCTACTCCTTCGTCGGCCTCACCCAGAACCTAGAGACCAAGATCTCCGCCATCGATTCCATCCCCGCTGAGTACTCCTGGACGCGTACCAATACCACCCCCTTCAAGGGTACCCTCCACACCCCACCACCCCACCACCCCATACGACAAAATCTAACAGAATAAACTATAGGAAATATCTGCTTCGACTTCATGACCAACGACATCAAAGGCGACTCGACCTCCTCGTCCTCGCACGAGCTCATGCTCTGGCTCCAATACGAAGGCGGACAACTCCCCATCGGATGGACGGATGGTGCAGTCGCCACTATCGATGACCTGTTCGGTACGTCGTGGACGTTGTACGAGGGGGTGAATGATGATAGTGGTATTACGGTGAGTACCTTGATGCCTGAGACGCAGTTTGAGGGTGTGTTTGAGGGTGATTTGAAGGAGTGGTTGCTTGCGATGGTGGAGTTGGGAAGGTTTACGGAGGGGACGTATGTTAATGTGGGGAATGCGGGGTGAGTTGTTTCTTCTCCTGGATTTTGAGTTTTGTGGTTTTGGGGGTGGGTGCTAATGACGATGATAGAACGGAGTTCTTTTATGGTAACTCGGTGATGAATTCGACCCTAGGGTTGCAGATTAATTTGGATTGAGCGATCAGGGAGTTGGATTGGGTGTTGGGTGGTGTGGATGGTGGATAGGTAGGATGTACTGTATTTGTACTGGCTGAATGTATGTACATTGTGCTGCGGGGTTAAGGTAACGCGTGGTTTAAACTTCTTAATCTATAGTGGCATGTTTGAAGTTGGGCTTTCATTCGGATCTTGGTCCCATGTCATTCTCCCACATACTCTTCTGCTAGAGTATTGGCAATCATCAGTCATCGAACCACCTATCAACGCAATTACGGCTCACAACAAATTACCAATCCATAGTAATGAACAGTAAATCAACACCCAGAGTCTGCCCAAAATCAAAAAAATAATCACCACAACACCTCCCCATCCACCGCCACCCCCTCCTCCCCCTCCCCCTCCTCCACAGCAGCACACACCACCCCCGGCACCGCCAACAACGCCAAATCCCTCAAATGCACCCCGACATGATCCAAAAACTGTTCCGGATCCCACGCCTCCCCCGCCTGCAAAAAACACACCGGACATTCCCTCACCCCCGCCGGCCGCGTCAACTTCACCGGTGGCCGACCCCGCTCTCGACTCCGGTCGAACGTCGGATGATCGAGATCTAAATGCTCGTGGATGTCCGCTTTGCTGTGAAATTCGCGATATATCCCGTGTGTGCTGCACGGGTAGCATTTGTAGTATTTTGTCTGCCCGTGCGTGGTTTCCAGGTGCGAGTGGAGGTCTTCGCGGTGGCGGAAGGTCGTGCTGGTTTTGCAGGTGGGGATGAAGCAGGTGTATGGGGATAGGTCGGCTGAGACGTGGATTCTGGGGTAGACTTAGTAGGGGTTGTGTGTTAGGGGAGGGAGGGGAGGGGGACTTACTCCCAGTTTCCGTGCTCGGATTCAGCTCGTAGCAGGGTATCTCCGCAGATCGGACATATAAACGTTGCGTCGCCGTCCCTTAGTCTCGGCGGAGCTGGCCATCGGGCGTGGATCAGGGACCCTAACACCGGGCGACCTCGTCGTTGGCTCTGGGTTACTCCCGCTGGAGCAGCTCCATTCCGTCCCCCCCAGAAATTAAACCGATTCCTTCGCCTCAGGACCCCAAACACAATCTGCAAGAGAGACTGCAGTCGATCATCCGACAGATCACTCAATCTGCTGGTTCCCGCTCCAGTCCGTCCAACCACACCCCCCGCTCGCGGCATATACCCGAACAAAACCCCCAAGACCTTCTTCCTCAACGCAATCAAATCCTCCACGTCAACATCCGGATGAAACTGATATCGTATATTCCCGAGATGCGCATATTCCCTCCGCCGAAACCTCGAATCGGGCACTTTGCGCAGTTTCCGATAGTGGATCCTCTTCACCTGGTCGGCGAAAAATTGCAGGCTGGCGAGACGACTTTCGACGGTTTTCTTGGCTCTTTGGATGTTGCCTTTCCATGTCTGAAAGTGGATACTGGTTGGACTGGTCGGGGTATATGGTTGTGGTCCTACCGTGTAGGTAGGCATCGTTTGCGGGAATGACTCCGTCTCGTAGACAGAATCGTCGTCGGCGTCGTAAGCGCCTTCGATTTCGTATCGGTCTAGGGTGCCAAACTCTGTGGGAGAGGGGGGACGACTTGATGCTATTCGTCAGCTAGGTTAGTAGGGAGATTCCCAGGACAAGAAATTTAAACTGTGGTGGTAAATACCCATATCGATACACGTCTCCACCGCCATTTTTAAATGCGATACGTTTGCCGGCAGGGTCTCTCGAATCTCGGTTTCCTGTCGAAGCGTCTCTTCATCTAAGAGACCGTTCGATGTCCGACCTATTCGCAGTTTCATAATCCAGACGGTTTGGTATTTGAGGAGTTGGCTGGCGGCCCATCCTTCGTTCATTAGGAGAGGGATGTTCCGGCATGATTCGAGGAGGGGGATGATGGCGAGAGATTCTTCGTTGATGGAACATGCAGACGTGGTGGTGGGAGATGCCATTTTTGGGTTTGTGGTTGCGCCAATTGCGTCGGGGGTCTTTGGGGGGGGGGG